CCCAACCCCAACCCCAACCCCAACCCCAACCCCAACCCCAACCCCAACCCCAACCCCAACCCCAACCCCAACCCCAACCCCAACCCCAACCCCAACCCCAACCCCAACCCCAACCCCAACCCCAACCCCAACCCCAACCCCAACCCCAACCCCAACCCCAACCCCAACCCCAACCCCAACCCCAACCCCAACCCCAACCCCAACCCCAACCCCAACCCCAACCCCAACCCCAACCCCAACCCCAACCCCAACCCCAACCCCAACCCCAACCCCAACCCCAACCCCAACCCCAACCCCAACCCCAACCCCAACCCCAACCCCAACCCCAACCCCAACCCCAACCCCAACCCCAACCCCAACCCCAATAATACATTTGTTTTAACTCTGTGTATTATAAATCTTTATTATTTTCATGAAAATTATTGTATCATTCAATTTTTTAAGCATATTTAATATTTAGTTTTTTTTATTTTATTGTAAAAATTAAAGTTTTATTTTAAAAATTATAGCAAATATAAACTTTTAATGCTTATCTTAGATATTTTCTATATTAATTTCTATACATATTATTAAACTCTATTGTAGTTTTAAATTTTTTACTTATTAATATTTGGTTTTAGAAATACTCATCAAAAGAATATGTAAATATAAAGTTAATCAAGCTCAAATCAAGTAATGTATATATAATTATATAAATAAATAGTAATAAATATATTTATAAATAAATAAATTAATATTGTTTAATGTATCTTTCTATATTGTTTTAATTTTAAAATTTTATTCAAAATAAAGTAATTAAATTATCAGCTAATTAATTATTCATTCATTCATTCCTTTCTGATTTTTCATTAAAAACTTTTTTTACTAATTGTTCATCTACTTATTCTAAATTTTGATTTTATACTTTATGTTTATCTAACTATTCGTCTGAGGCCACTTTTGATTTTACTGACTGGCTACTTTCTGAATCACTCTCACCACTGTTTGTTAATTTATTTAATTAAATAATACTTTTTGTGCATCCAACGCATTAGCAAAACCTATCGAAATTGAGGCGTCGATTATGATCAAAGTAGAAATCTATTTCACTTACAAGATCCATAAATTTAATTTCAAACAATTATCTTCCTTCACGTTACAAAGCCTTTTACAAATTAAAATTTGATAAAAGAACATTTTCTGAAAATTAATTTTATTTTACTGTTTTGATATCATCTTCATTTATGTATCCATTTTAATCTGCGTCTATATAATTAAAAACTTCTATTAAACACTCTTTGTCTTATAATATATCTTGTCCTAAGCAAGCGCTTAAAAAATCTGAATATTGTAAAATATCAGCATGCTAAAATTATTGCTGCTCTTCTTTAGAGTTATTTGTAAGCTATCTTAAGAAGTTATTACAAAATGATTTAGTCTATTCATTTGCTTAAATACCTACTTTTTCCATTATATCCTATAAATCTTCCTAAGTCATGTACCCTTTCTATTCTTCATCTAAAGTTCTAAATAAGTTTCTCATATGAAGTTCTTTTTTTTTTGAAAGGAAATTTTTTATAAAAATAGAGATCACCTTTTGTTTCATAAACGAAATAGTAAATAGTTAGTTAAAATTCTAGTTTGTTGATAAAAAAATTTACTTCTTTTTTAAACTAATTTAGATAGTTATAATGACTCAATCTATCTAAAAGTTTTAAATTGTGAGATTTTTTTATCACTTAAGTTAATTTGAGTGTTGTGTTCCTTAGACTGAACCATTTATGCTTAAGAGCATCTTGTATAGTAATTCTGATTTTAGGATTGTATACAATCATTCTTCTAATCAAATCTTTTCCTTCTTTAGAAATAGTTTTCCAAATTGGGTTATCAAAATAAAGCTTAGCATCATGTATTTATTACTGCGACTTAAAAGGAAGTTACCCGCATATAAGTCTGTACATAATTATGCCTAAACTCCAAACATCGCAAGATTTATTATAAGACTTATTAAACATAACTTCAGGTGCTTAAAATTTAAAATAAATTTTGATTATATAAATTGATTTACAACAAGTAATTAATATTTTTTTTTTTACTATTTTGAAGTAGAAGTTATTTATTCATTTCTAAACGCTTAATATTTATGACTAAGTTTAAAATTTAAGTAAATAAATGAATTACCCATATATGCAACTGATCCAACCATAGTATGTCTTCTATCATCATCCCCCACCTTTTTTGCCAGTCCAAAATCAATTATTTTAATATCGGAGTTTTAGCTTTCACTTTCAAACAAAATATTTTCTAACTTTAAATCTCTATGAATGACATTACGCGAATGCATATAATTTACAGCATAGAAAAGTTTTTTCATAACATCTAAAACATCTCCTTCTTTAAATGTCCACTCAAGTAAGCTTCCTCCTGAACAATATTCCATTACTATATATATATTCTTTTTATCTATATATGTCTCTATAAATTTAATAATATTTGGGTGATCCAATATCTTGCTAATTTAAACTTCTCTTTTTACATATTACAGTGGAAGTTTATCGATGTTGTTTAAACTTATCACTTTTATAGCTACTTCTCTTTATGGTTCTCTTTTTTGTTTAGCATGGTATACACAGCCATATGTTCCTTTTCCAAGAGGTTTTATTATTTCATAAAAGTAGTCTATATTTTCTATTGATGCAATAGTTGTTTCATTCTTATCATCTTTATCATACCAATCAAGTTGCTTAATTCTAGTGTTTGAGATTCTTCTTTATGAAGCAATTGATTTTTTTACTTCAACAGATTTTGCACAACCCATATTGATGTATAATTTTATTATATTATTTATGGTATTAATTATCTTCTTAAAAGCCTACTTTATAAATTTCTTTACTTGATTGAATTTCAAGAATTTATAGAATAAAATTGTATGTATATTTTGATTGAAAATATAGATAAGCAAAAATCAAATTCAAGAAACAAAAAATTAATATTATTATTATTATAAACAAAATGATTAATATAGTAGCACCTGCTAAGCATATATAGTTATAAAAAATAAGCAACAAATTAAAAATGTTTCCAAAAAGCTACATAACAAGCTACAATAAAACAAGTTAATTATGAATGATAAGGGATAAGTATGATTAGCTATTTTTATTAATAAATAAATTAAGTTATATTTTTAATCATATTGTCTTTTTATTTCACTCTACTTTAATTATTAAGATGAGGTTATTATCTAATTAAACAAGATATTTTTTTTTATTTTTTTTAGAGACTTAAAATAAAAGATTTTCTTATTTTTTTCATTTAATTTTTTATAGATTATTTTTAATTTAAAATATTCAATTTTTATCATTTGTCTCTATTTAACCGGATTTTTTTTAAAGAATATTTTTATTATCTTCAATGTAAGATTTTTCTGATACTGATTTACTATTTTCACTCTCATCAGAATCTTCTTCTTCATCACTCTCATTAATTTAATCTTATTGATTTATTTTTTTAGTTTATTTACCCTACTAATTAAAACCCAAGCAAGCACAAAAACCTTGAAAATCCATTTTTTTTTCTGCATCGAAATATGTATCAATTTCCTCTATTAAAGATTATAGTTTTTCTTTAGAAAACTATCTTCCTTCTCTTTGGAGGGCCTTATTAAAAATAAATATGTTTAATACTTAAAAAATTTATAAAAACTTACAGCTTCAATATCTTATTAAGTTATTTTAGATTTACTATCAACATCAATAAGACCAAAAGCATTTTTTAGTTTATCTAAACTACTCACTAAGTCTTAACCAACGCAGCCAGCTAGAAACTCTGAATATTCCACAGTATCATCTACTTACACATTATTTATTTGGTTTTATGAGTTGTTTTATGCTGTCTTATTTACTTCTTACTGTTATTTATCTATACCTAATTTCTACAAAGTCTCATCAATTTATTACTTTGTCATTATGCCTTTGTTTTCAGAGTCAATAGACTTAAATAATTTTCTATAATTTAACTCCTAATCTTTAGAAACATATCTCTTTACATACATCTACAAAATCTTTTGAATGTTTAAAATTATATTAAAATTATTTTAATTAAATATTTTGTTTGTTACCTCTTTTTTAAATTATGAGAAATGATCATACAATTAAAATTTATTTAAGACGAGCAAATGACCTGGTTAGAGTTATATCAATTATGAAATTTGAACAGTTGATCTTCTCTGCTAGAACCAACTGTGTTTTAAAGCCTAATCTATTGTAATTCTGTATTATGGGTAAACATTTACCATTTTTTTGAGCAAATCAAAAGCATCTCTGCTTACTGAGCTCCATATAGGGCTTTTAAAAATTAAAAGCCCATCTAAAATCTACTATCTCTATTTGAAAGGGAGTTCCCCACTTAGTAATCTATACATAATAACACCAAGACTCCAAACATCACAAGATTTATCATAATTTTTACTGCTTAAAACTTCAGGTGCTAATTTTAAAAATAAAAATTTCCAGTAAAATTTGAATTAGTAGCTTAAAATCTAGAAAAAAAACTACTTAAAAAATTCAAAATATTTTGAAAATTAGTTAATAAAATTCTCTTAAAAGCCCAATTATTTTAAGGTTATATTTACATATCCATATTTTTACAGTATCCAACTGGCTCAAAATTAAATAAATATTTTTTTCAGAAGTACTTTAAAAATTAAGATTCACACCATAAATAAAAATTATGCTATTAGAAAAAAACTACTAAAAAAATTCAAAACATTTTGAAATTTATTTAATAAAATTCTCTTTCGAACTCAAATATTTTTAAAGATATATCTACATATCCAAACTACTACAGTATCTAACTGACTTGATTGTAAATAAATATTTTTTCAGAAGTACTTTAAAAATTTAGATTCACTCCATTTATAAAAATTATGCTTCAACTCCTTGAATTTTAGAATTAATAACATCTGCAATTTATCAATGCTATCAAAAATTTAATTTGAAACGTTAAAATTATTCTAAATATCTAACTAAACTTGGTAGAATATTTATATTTATTAGTAAAATATTTTCATTTTTAAATAATTTTTAATTTACCCATATATGTTTCAGATCCAACAATTGAGTGACGTCTTGCCTTTTATTCTTTAGGCACCTGCTTCGAAAGACCAAAATCAATGATTTTAATTTCAGAATCAGGTGAATCTCTCTCATAGAGGATATTCTCTAATTTTAGATCCCTGTGAATAATGTTTCTTTTATGCATATAATTAACTGCATACAATAACTTTTTCATGATATTTAAAACTTCTTATTCGCTGAATTATTTTTGAGATAGGTTGCCTCCAGTGCAATATTCCATAACTATATAAATATTCTTTTTATCAATATATGTCTCTTAAAATTTTATAATATTTGGATGGTCTAAGCTTTTGCTGATTTAAACTTCTCTTTTTATGTATTGTAATGGTATTTTTTTTATTTAATTTAAATTTATAATCTTTATTGCTACTTCATCAAATGGTTATTTTCTTCTTTTAGCTAAAAATACGCTGCCAAACTATCCCTATCCTATTTATTTTATGAATTCATAAAAGAATTCTATGTTTTCTATTGATGCAATAGTGGTTTCATCTTAGTTTGAATTTTTATCCCATGAGAGTTGCTTAATTACTTTTTGATTTTATATTCTTTTTATTTTTTTTTCTGAGCTAGAAACTTCAGTGGATATTGAGCTAGAGCATCCCATCTACACTAAATATGTATAATTGTCTAATTTATTTTTTTTAATATAGCTCTACTTTAGAAATATTACTTAAAAAATCTAATTAATTATAAAAAAGATTAAAGCAGTGTGATAATTTTAAGTTACTTTGCCACACTCAAAATGAAATATTAAAATACATTTTTTAGTTTATTCATTTTTAATTTCTTCGATATCTAAGTACTTACTTTTATAGTATAAAACTAAAATAATAAAATGATCTTATTCTAACAAGCATTATCATTAGTTATTTTTAAAAATTGTGGAAAGAATATTTACTGGTTCATTTATTAAAATGTATTTAAACTTTCATTTTATGCAATTGATAACTTTAAATAAAATATAAATATAAAAACAATTATATTCTTTTAAATTTTTGCAAATAATGTTAAATAGATATCAGATATTTATTTTAGAATGTTATTATATTTTTTAATAATTAATTTCAATTTTTATATAAAATAAATAAATGTTTAATTAAATGTTATTTGATCTTACTTTTTCAATTTTTTTAAATATATTTATTTAATTTATCAAAAATTATAAACAGCAAGTGAAGAAGAGGAAATTAGAAAACACCTATTTAATATATAATTAAAATTTTATTATAAAATTACAAAGCATAATTGTTTGTAGTTGTTAAATTTTAAGTTTAATATGAATATTAATTATGAATTAAATAATATTTATAAATTTAAAATATTAGATTTACTAATAGGTTAACTTCTAAACCTAATATATTCTATTAATATGTTATAAAAACTCTTAAAACTAGTATAAATATTAAATTAATATTAACTATTTAATTTCATTATTATTATAAATAATCTCTCACTAATGAATATCTTTAAAAAATTTAATCTCAATTTGTAATACTAAAACTTAAAAGTTTTGGTTTTTATTCTTCTTTATTTTCTTAGACTGAAGTATTATTATTATTGTTGCTATTGTTTTATTTGATGTCTGTAGGTTAATTTTTCTTTTCTTCTTCAATCTACATTTAGTTGCTCTCTTTTTAATTATTTGGGTTGGTAGGATATTTTACTCTTTTTGGATTTAAAAAAACATTTTGGTTAGGATCAAAATCTATTTTTTATGATTCTTTGTCAAAGAGTATATTGCTCTTATTTTCCATTACTGAAATTTTCTTATTTCTTTCTAGTAGTTTAAGTTTTAAATTATTTTTATCTGCACTTGACTATATTTATTATGATATTTCTTCATTTTTTTTCACCTTTTTTTAAATTCTTTCAATTTAAGCTTCATTCTTTTTTTTGAATTCTTCCATATCATTTTTGCTTGCATGACTTATAGTTCCTTCATAAGTTTTACGATATCCTATTTAGATTAAACTTAATTAGTTATTGAAATATTTAATTATTTTATTACTTGATCTTTTAATGCAATTGGAGGGAAACTTTTTCAAAGCATCATGAGTTTAATCTCTAGTAAGTCCTATTAAAGTTCCACTAATTAATTATAATTTAAACTTTATTTAATAACTTTAAATATAGCTTACAGCATTATTATATCAAAAGGAGAACGATGATCAAAGTCTGAGGAACAAGAGCTTGAAAAAATAATGTTCTTTCCTTTAGTCATTTTTACAATGTTGATGCAATTTGCTAAAACTGTTCTCTTTTTTGCTGGATCTAATCATATAAATATTTTAATTGAGAACATGAATTAATTTTTTAAATTTACCTTCTATAGCTTCTGAATAACATATTTCAAAAGATATCCCTTTTCTAACAGCTTCCTAAATCCACCCTCTTTTAGGGATAAAGGGAAGTCTCTCACTCATATCAAAGCACAATATATCATAATCCTTCAATAAAAAAATCATTTTACATTAAAATAGAGCAATTGATTATTAATTACATCATAATCTATGCAAAGTGAGTGAAAAACTTTTTCGTTTCTAGTTTTAATAGCTATAATATCGTAGGTAGCTAAAGCTGTATTTGATTTCTTTTATATTTATTTTTATTAAAAAATTTATTTTTTTAAAAAGATTTAACCATACGAGTTATGGAAGATACTTTCCATCATTTATTTCTAGAGTAATCCTTTTTAATTGTTCAAATTTTGAGACATTTGGTAAATCTTTTTACATATTCATTGACTTCTCGACGCTTTGTTGCAGAGTTTAATTTGAAACTAATTAGATTGAGCAAGGCTATTAATTTTTCAAAAATTGGTTAGCCATTCATTTTAATGTTAATTTTAGTTAAATTACTTTAATTTAAGTATTCATATCATTATGATCTTGATTCAAAGCAACACAAGTATAATCATCTTTATTATTTAAATTTACATTAACAATTTTAATGATATGTATGCATGTATGATATGAATTTATTGAATCTCTAAAATTAAATTTATGTACCTTAAATACAACTTGTTAAAAGAGAAATATATCTAAAATCAAGTGCAGTATTTTTAGGATCTGCGCATTTTAGATTAAGATCGTAAGACATTTAAAATTTTAATTTAATTCTATAGATTATTGCTAATTATTAAGGCTATGCTATTAATTCTTATTATTTATTTATAATTTTATTAATACACTTTGAAAATATGTTTTTGATAGTATATTAAACAAACAAGCAAACAAAACCAAATAAAAAGTGTCTCAAAATTAAATTGTATTTATCTAATCTAAGCAAAAGTATCTTTCTGTAGAAGTAAAAATTCTACCTTTTAACATAATAAATTCATTTATAAAAATTTAATTAATTAAATTAATGTTAAATAAATGAGCGATTTCAAAAATAAATTATAAAACATTAACAAACTTAATAAAATTATTATAAATTAATCAATTTTAAACGGTAATTATATATATCTCTTATATTTATTTATTTACTTGTAAGAACTAAAGAAAATTTTAAAAATAGAGGTAGTGATTAAAAAAAATAAATTTAATTAAAAATGAATTTAAAAATAATAAATTTTCCATTTTTACTTGAAAAATGATCAAATTAACCTTTTTGATTAAATTCCAAATCCAAAATCTGAGTTAGTTTGATTTTAGGATTAATAAATTTATAATTTTGTAAATTTGCAAAAAATAAATGGTAGAAATATAGATTGAATTTATGTTTACAAAATTAAATAAATATTTATAAATTAATATATGCCAATGTATTTATATATTATTTTAATGAATTCATATAAGTAATGCATAGTATTTTTATAATAAGTGTTATGATAAATTCATTAATCGAAATAGCAACTTCATCAGTAAAAAATTTAATATATTTAAAAATATTAAATCCAACTTGACATATTCAAATTCCAAATTCAGAATCTGGTTTGGTGTTAAAATTTTATATTTCTGAGTGCTCATTTCCAAAAGAAGACCTTTTCCTAGGCCTTAAAAAGTAATTTTATGTATGTTATTAAAATTATGATTCTTCAGTCCTTAACTATTCATGGACAGACTTTTAATGGTCGTTAACTTAAATATTAGCTGAAATATTATGTTCTTCCAGTGGTTTTTATTATTAATTTGGTTTTATCATTTATGGGATAGCACTTTCCTTTTAAATTTATTTTATATTTTTTGCAGCATTTTCGAGTTATTTCTGTAGCTTTGAAACTTTTTTTTTATAATGCTTTTTAACTGAATTTATATCCTTACTTCTATATTGAAGAATTTTAACCCATTTTTTATACTACCTATTATCTGCTATGGTTTTTAAAATAAAAAAAACTATGATGCAAACTAGTAGAGGTTACCAAAAAACTATATCGAGAGATTCTTAAAAGAAATATGAGTTATAAAAGTACTAAAATGTATAGGATAATATATTAGTATTATTTTATGTGAAAGGTCCACATACTCTACTTAAGTTATCTGCAAAGTAATGTAAAGGCTAGTCGGCCAAGCTAATGAAAAAGAAATGTAAAAACATAAAGAATACAGTAAGCAAAAACATCTTAACTAATATCCCATGTATGTCTATACTTGTGATAGTTAAGTACTCAGGTAATTTCCATTTCTTTATGATAAAGTAATTATGAAGAAGTAAAATTAGATTTAAGATTAAAGCTATAGGGAATAAAATAAAATTGAAAGGCGTATTCATAAAAATAATCATATTTGATATTATTAAAGGTATTGTGTCTTCTACAACTTTAAATTATCTTCTATTTTTATTATCCATAGCACATTTTAGCCCACTCTTTACATGGTCATCATTTTTTTGTATCAGATTGAGCAATAACTTAAAGTACTGCTTTAAGTATAGAATAAATACATAGTGAACCAAGTACAATGAAAATAGACTATGAGCGGTAGACTATTAAGGGCAAACATAGCCATCATTTTAATAGTTGTAGTCAACAATATTTACTATAAATTCCTCTCGAGTAAAGGAAGCTGTACATCTAATAAATATATAAATGGAATAGACTACAGCCTAGTAAATAAATTCTATTGAGTATTGAGATTTTAACTATAAGCAAGAATTTTCAAAATGACGCAAAACACTCATTAAAATTGCAAGAAGAAATGATACTACTTCAACAAGAGCTATTACCACGATAGAAAAAAGACATTCATTAAGAAATAATGAATTAGGTATAACTTACTTGTTAAACAGCTTATTGTTGCAAAGAATTAGCATAAAATATCCAGAAGCTAGCATAGTTGAAATGTATAATATGTAAAATAACATATCCTTAAGTAGCTGCTAAATTTAATTTACATAAATTTATCTTCTATACACTTAATCTTCATCTTCAAAAGAAGAAAATACTTTGTTTGTTAAAGATAACTAAAACCAAAGCCTCGGTTTCTCGCCTGGTATTTTCCAGTTGTATTCACAGAATATCATGGTAAAATATTTTAACCCCTTAGTTTTTTAAACTTCAAACATTACAGAGTTCTTTTAGTAGTGCAAATATCTATAATAACTCATCAAAATAAGTATAGCAGCTAAAAAAATTATCAAGAAGTTAAAGTAGACAATTAATCCTAAACTATCTTGTAATTAATATAGATAAAAAATCTAAACTCCTTAAGATGAAATTTGATCTGAATATTGAATCTATTTATTTATTTTTAATATTTAAAATTATCGTAAGCCATAATAGTGATTTAATTTGTGAAATGAAGTAGTGTTGGTGAAACTTTAATTGGAAGGAGAAAAAAAAATATTAAGTATTCATAACCAAACAAAGTAAATTGGCAAATAAAAACAAATCAAAAAACTTTAAAAAAATTTAAATTAAGTGTTAAATCTTACTATTTATTTTACTATAGGAAAGATAAATAAGATAGTGCCAAAAAGGTAGTAATTGATACACGTCGTGAGAAATTTGAAATGGAATATGGATTTCAGACCAAACATGTTAACAATTTTATAGACAAATTCAGTTAAGAAATGATTGTACTGAATTTTTTTAACCAAAAAAGACCATAATTTTTTTGTTTTCTAAATGCAATTGTTATAGGAAAGATCACTCTTCTTTTTTTCTTGCAATTATTTTTCTTACTGCCTATTAAAAAATTCTATATTTTCAATGCTCTATTTTCTTTTAAGAGCATTTCCTACTGTCGTAAGTGCATGTCTTTACTAATTTTATAATCTATTTAACTCTTTATTTTTTAAATCAAGCTTGAGCATGTCCTACTAATTCTCTTTTATTTGGTTTTCTTACTAATTTACATTTATACTGTTATTTATAGATATGCTTTTAGGATCGTTTTTAGAGTGATCTAAAGAGTTATTTATGGGTATGATTCTAGCAAAATTTGAAGTATGATGCATAGCCTATTGCTTAAAATTGAAACCATGACTTGAGTCATATTATGGAGAAATTATTATTTAATTTCCCTTAGTAGATCCATTATTACTTTAAATAGAATGATAGCTTTGATGCATTATTCTATGCGACTATCTTCTTTGTAAATTTTTCTTCATATCTGTTGAAAGATCATAATTATTTAAGTTATGATCTTCAACTGCTTAATTGATATCCTCTACTTACATTTTATTTTAGTTCAGATAGTTAAAAACATCACTTTTAGCTCTACTTCTATTTTCTATTTAAGGTTTTTAAAGCTCTGCAATTTAAATTAATTTATTACCACCATTTAATCTAACTGTATTTGTAGGTACTTAGTAGGGATTATTTTAAAATTCAGCAGGTTCGATGCTTCTGAAAGATTTGCCAACAATGCTTTTTCTACTTTTTTAAGGTGTAAACCTATTCTTTATTTAATGCTATGATTAAATTTTAGTTCTTGATTTCCTATTATCATATAAATTATAGTCGTCTTCAATATCTTTCGTTATTTTGTTATTTTGTTTTTTATATTTGTTTCTCTTATTTGTTCCATAATTTATACTCACATCTGATTCAGATGATGAATCTGACTATGAAGAATCAGAAGAGTCATTCGATGAAGAGGAGGATGAAGAAGAAGAGTTGTAATTCTTTTTTGATTAAGGCTTTTTAGAATACTTGTTTCTCCCCATTATTAATATTGTTTGTTATAAATATTATTATTTTTTAAAAAGAAAAAAGTAAATTAAGATAATATTTATAAAAAACAATGCGCAATTTTTCAAGCATTATAAATAAATTATTTAATAATTTATTGGATATATTTTATGCTAAAACAATGTAAAGATATTTAAAAATATCTTAAGCTAACTATTTTAGAAATTGTTATATATATGTTAATTACTTCAAATAAATATTCATGAATGATACTATTAAACTAGCAAATCAGAGTAATTAAAATGTAATTTTGGTTCATATAAATTTTCTTTAAAAAATTTTTTATGAAACTTATAAATAGTATTACAAAAATTCTAAAAAAATACATTTTAAAAAGCTGATGTTTAACATGTTAGTCCTTTGAACATATTTGTTACAGTATCTTTAATTACTTTTTTTTATACTTAAGTGGTTTTTATTTCTATTTCTTTTATAATTTTCATTCAGTATAAGTAAATACTTGAACGATAAATATTATTGCTTTTTTTTAGTAATTGTTTTCCTTGAATTATTTGAAAAATGATTTGATGACACGGATCTCTACTTAATTCTGAAAACCTTCCAATTTTTAAATAATTTCAAAGGAATTTTGGTTTTTATTATGGTTTTTATCTTGCTATTAATGATAGGATTCTTCATAAATATTGTTATAGAATTTTACAAATTAAAATTTTGATAAAATAAATATTGTCAAATAATACTGGATTATTTGTAGATAATTTACAAAGTAAATTTATTTAACCATTACCAGAAGCAAGGTAAAGACAATATATTAATTCTTAATTACACATATTAAGATTTTTTCCATACATTAATATTTTAAATTAGAAATTAAGGCTAATATTTTATGAAAAAAATTTTATGTTTTAACTTGGCAATAAACCAATCAATTATCTTAATTCCATTAAATTTTATTTTTATAAAACTGAATTAAGTGAATTTATAAAATTATTTTTTTTAAATAAAAGCATAACTTCAATTCCTTTTATTATTTAATTCACGTCCATAGTTGATATTTAGAAAATTGTTATTTAAAAAAATATAAATAATAAATAAGCTTAATTATTTCTTATTTTTTGATATTTATAAAACCTTTAGTAAATTATTTGAATGAATTAATTTTTTTAATATCAAATTAAATAGCTTCAAGAGTAGTATACTCAAAGTCTAATACTTACCTAATTTAATTCCAATATATTCTTTCTATTTATACTACTAAGTCTGAAAAATAAAACAGATTTAATTTATATTTTTTAGCTCTATAGTTAAAATAATATATTATGACTTTATTTATAGCTTTATCTAAAATGAATGTTTAAAAAATATAAAAAATTTCTTAAAAAAGTAATATAAATATATACCTCAAAATATTTGTAATTAAATATAAAATTTATTTAATATTTTAATTAATATTATTCATTTGTTATTGCCATATATATGTGATGATTAATTCAATAATTGACTCTTTTAAAAAATTACAGTATTTATATAATTAATAATATTATAATAGATGATTAAAATTAAATAAATTTTATATTTAAAATTTTACTTTTATTTTTCCACATTATTTTTGAAAATTCTAAAATAATCATAAAAAATAAATAATAAGAGAAAAATTTCTAAAATGAAATCAAAAAGTAAAAAAAAAATTATATTTAAGATATTAAAATAATTTAGAATAAAATAAAATATGGTGAATCAATCTCTTAAGTAAAGTAAAAGTTTCTTCAAATAAATAAAATCAAAATTTTTTAAGCTAATATATTGATAGCTATTATTAATTTAGTACATAAAACTTCAAAGAAAGAAAGAATATATCAATATAATATATTTGCATTTACTATTTATAATAATTGGTTATCTAAATTAATTTTATGTACAAATCGATTTCTTTTTTGATTTATTTACTAATTAAAATGCAATCACTTAAAAAGTCCATAAATTGAAAAAAAATATTATTAAAATCTTATTTTTCTAATAATAGCTTCCTACTTTTATATTTATTGGATTGATAATTTAGCGAAAAAACATTATTTAATCGATTGCATAAAGGAACGACTACAAAATTTTTAATCATTAGATTTTGCAAACAAATTAATAAAGAAATTCAGACAAATAATTAAATCACTGCAATTTTTAATTAAAAGTTTTTGTTAACTTTTAAAATCAGATTTAACAAAAAATGATATTTGATGATGAGATAATTGAAGAAAAGTATGACCCAAGAAAATTGCCATCGATGATTCCATCGTATCATCATGATTAAAAGCCTGCGTAAATTATTTTAAAATAATTCCCTAAACAAAAATTGGGAAAATTAAATAATTTAACTCATTTTTATATCTGATAAGTTATTTTATCTTAACATAATTTTAGAAATTCTTTAAAAGCAAATGAGATAAACAAAAGTTAATAAATATAAAAAGGCTCTTCAGTACAAATAAAATTTAAAATTAATAACTCGATTGGATTAGATTATAAAGTAAGTGAATAAACTCATGTCACTAATATTACTGAAAATGAAGAGTAGCACCCGTTTAATTAGCTAACTTTGTATTAGCAACGGATTCCATTTAGCTACAAAAGAAGTAACAGCTTAGAAAATTTTGATTCTAAGTTAGTAGAAGTTTTACAATCTGCATAAGAGAAGCATGCTCAGAAAATTCGATCTATCAAAGTCAATTAAAATTTATTACAGTCAATACACTTGGCCTAATCTCAAACTCTGGATTATTGTATGAACTGTATCCACAATCACACTGATTAGAATAATTAAAGCGATAAAAATACTTAACATAAAGAAGTAGACTAACAAGTAAGCAAATCAAAAAAGGTGGTATTTAATAATACAGAGGTTTTATTTGATAAATTAAGACTGTGCTATGACTCATAAGTAAACTAAGGGCCTCTTGTTCCATTCTAAAAGAGTTAAATTCAAAATATACCTGCAGCAGCTAACTCTAATCTATTTTAATGTTTATGTCATTGCCATAATTCTAATCAATTAGTTAGTACTTTTCGTCACAGCTCAAGCTGTAAAAGCCATAGTGGATTCAAAAGACATAACTAAAAATTTCACTCTTCAATTATAGACTCTTCTTAATTCTAATAAGCGACCTCAAACGTTTAATATAAGGATTCATCAAATAGCAATATATAAAGTATTAACGAACCTGTTATTAAAAATAATAGTTCGTTTAACATTTAATATTTTCGTAACAAATCTAAGAGAGCAGTATCTATGATAGAGATGATTGATAATCCTGAAATACGTAAAAAATGGGTAATTACAAAAGTAATTTAAATGAATTTCGATGTACAATTAACCCACACTCTCATCCAATCAATAGATTACTTTAACTTGTCAAGAGAATAAATTTTGGATTAAATGATAGATAAGTTAATTCTATTCAAAAAACAGAGAAATCAGCAATAACTAGAGGGTTCTTTGATTCAACCCCAAATAACTAAAAACGATTTCATCAAGTATTAACAAAGTATGAAGTTGAACAAAAGTTCTTTCAGGAATGAAATTCAAAATCAATCAAACTTCAATTTACAAAAGCAATAGATGGTAGCTAATTCTAATACACACAATTTGGAATTATCTTATTCGTTACCTAGGTATAACGACCCTAATTACACAAAAGGAAATGCTGGTGTTTAAAGTGTTTATTATTAAAAACATTTTTCTTAATCACCACCCTGTAATGAAAGCATTCAGATAAGTTAAGCAGTTGGTAAAAATATGATTAATTATCATTCAAATAACAGTGCTATTTTTAATTCCTAATAAGAAAATGTAAGATAATCAGTTTCTCCATAACGTAGAAGAAACAACTATATTAAAAATAAAATGAATAAAAACAGCTTTGTTAAAAGCAATGTTTCCTAAATTAAGCTGAGCTATAGCCATATTCAATCTGATGCTTTTGAAAGAAAATAGAATATTAAAAAAAAATCTTAAATATTGTAATAAAAGTTTTTTAAAGAAACAAAAGTAGGCATTTGTAGTGTTTGCTTTGAAGAGCAAGTCTTAATTTAAATTTCTTCAAGGTGCAATCACTTTTTTTGTTCATACTGCATAACTAATTATTTTGAAGAAAAGATAGCTAAATGTGATGTATTAGAAATAAATTGTTTAAATTTTTAATGCCCAAACAAATACACAGAGACTGAAATTAAAGAAGTTGTAGAAACATCTACTTTCTCCTAATATTAAAAGTTTAAAAAATTGATTCTTATTAGACAAGATCAAACTTTAAGATGTAAACAAATAACTCAAATAAATGGAAAATATTTATATATTTATTTAAAATTTAAAATTCAAAGGGTGTATTTAGCTAGATTGTAATGGAGTATTAAAAGGAAGTACTTGTAATCCTAAAATGTAGTGCCCAATATGTGGGACTTAATAGTGCTACATTTGCTCAGGGCTCTGGCATGAAGGTATATAAAAATAAATAATAATCTTTTTTTTTTTTGTAAAATAATAACTTAAAAATATTATTAGGGATTAGATGTGATCAAGCAATTAATGAAGAGTATGAAAAAGAATAGTAAGAATTAAGAAAAAATTGTCCTAAATGTCTAAAAGAAGTTAAAAAATCGAAAAGTAAAAAGCAAAAGAAGATTATCCTTACTTAAACTTTAAAATTTTATTTTATTAAATTTAGAATCAGTAAATAAGAGTACTTGCAAAGCATGTGGTCACAGGTTTTGCTGGCTATGCAACAGAAAAGTTACTCCGTTTCATTTCAGTACATGGAATTTCTTTGGGTGTCCAGGTAAAATTTAATTTTTAAAAACATTTAAATTTATTTTTTTTTGTTGGTTTAAAAACAAATAAATAAAATAAAATAAAATTCACAACAAAAATTAATTTTAAATCTTCATAAATAAAATTTTTATAAATAATTAATGAATGACATTTATTTAAATTTTTTATCTCAGAAATAATTAATGATAAAATTATTAAACTAATTATGATAATATTTAAATTTAAAATAAAATAGGGATGATCAATATAAATTAAATACCATCATGGTATCAAAAAATGAAATATAAAATAAAGGCTTTTTGTGAATATTTAGGTTAAATGACTTTGCTACTTATTTTACTTATATTATATCCTATTTTGATGGTTTTGGGAAGCTTTTTCTTACCTCTCTTAGTTTTTTTTAATAAAAATGGTGGAACTATAAAATATCGAGGAATTAAAAAGTTTTTTGTAGTCACAGGTCTTGTTCTATTTGGAATTATATTGTATCCTGTGTGGTATATTATTTCTATAGTGCCAGGGTTGTGTTGGTTTACAAGTAAAGTGCTTCATTATTTACAGAGCCAAAGAGATAATCAAAAACAAGAAAGTGACGAAGATCTTGACGATGAATTTGAGATATTTTCGTAGTAAGTATCTAAAGGTAATAACGATAGTGGTCTGACAAAGCCAGTATGAAATGATCTAAAATCTGATTCAATAAAATATCATTTTAAGGCTATAATTTAATTACAATAAATTGATTTATAAATTTCAATCAACAAAATGTTTGTACACCCAAACAAAAAAAATAATAATAATAAAAATTTTAAAAATTAAAAGACAGACAGATTAGAAAAAAATCTAATAAAACTTAAATTAAATTCAATAAAAAATCCCCTTACACAATTTCATAAAAACGCCAGTATCAATCAGTATGGCAAACACACAAATAATTACTAAAGATATAGGCTTTTAATTATATTTTCCTAACTTTTATAAATAAAATAAAATCACTTTCTTTCTTTTTAAAATAAAAAGTTTAAAATTAAAAAATTATATTAAAATTAATTTACTAGTTTATATACTTTTATGAATATCTTAATGCTCTAAATATAATTAATAAATTGTAACTTTGGTTAATTAATAAAATATTTTTATATTTTTTACATAATTTAATATATACCAAATTCTTTTATTCATATTATTCTTCTTTAATTTTATTTTATTATTTTATTTTTTTATGAACTCAAAATTATTTAAAATAAATTTCTTCTAACTATTTTATGTTGTTTTAAAATTATAATTACTGCAATTGTTCATTTGTTTATATCTGATAATATTATGGTCAATTTTTAGAAAATTTGAAATAATTTAGGGCTGTTTTTTTAATAATCTGAAAATTTAATATAAAATTAGTTTATAAGGTAGATGTTTAAACTGAAATCAAGTTGACTATGAAATATGTACAATTATAATATTTATTTATCTAAAGCTAATTTAAGAAATAAAATAAATGAAAATATGAATATAATATTTATTTTATTCTAATTATTTATTTAATCAATCAAAAACTTTGCCATTATATATTGCTTTTAATTATTGAGATAGACGTGACATTTGTTTATTTATAAGTTAGATTTATGAAATATATTATTTTAGAATAATAGTATCTTCTAAAATCTAGAATAATTTATCATAATCAATTCCAAGATAAAATGGAAAATTATAAATTGTCTTTTTATTTTAATTTTTTTTTGAATAATCAAATAAAAGCTTTAAATTAGTAAGAATTCTAATTAAATTAAATATCCTTGGAAGAAAAATCAAAAATTAATAAAGGAAATTAAATAAATAAATAATGGAATAGGAATAAAATCAAAATAGCTAGAGAATGCAAGAAGAAGTTCCAATGAGATTATTAAAGATTAAAACTCTCTCTGAAACAGTTTATGAGTTAAGGGTTCCAGCTAATGTAATTTTTACTTCATATTGAAATTCTATTTCCTTCCTTTCTTGTATTGAAATATTTTGAACAATTAATAATAAAAACAGATGCTTATCAAAGATTTAAGAATTAAAGTGTAAGAAGTTAGCGGCGTTCCAGCAGATAGATAAAGAATGATATGCATGGGATAATAACTTATCGACACTAAAACTGTTGGTGATTATGGTAACAAAAATTTTTGATATATAAAAAAGACATTTTGCAAATGATTTTAGTTAGCAAGTAAACAAGCAGATGAAAAGCAACATATTAATTAATTAATTATTTCAGAATGTCTATCAAAATACACATTTAAAAAATTGAAATAAAAATGTTTTAATATTAAATTATAAAAGCTAAGGACCCAGAACAACCAAATTGGATTCACTTGGTAGCAAAAGTCTAACAATAAAATGCAAATCAACAGCCTTAGTAATAGTAGGCTTAATAATAATAATAATAACAGCCACAGTAGTAAAACAATAGAAGACCATTAGATATGTTTGGGGGAAACGTTTAAATATAATAGGGCAATTTAGGTGATTTGTCATAAATATTAGGGAACTTAACCAATTTATTTAATATATAACCTGGAGCTAGATAGTAATAGTAACAATAGCCTAATTAATAATCTTAGTAGCCATAACAAAATCCTCTTATTCAGTCTGCTTCATTCACTTTAGCTTAACCTTTATTTTAACCTTAACCATAGCACTCTTAAGCTCAAAGCTAAACTTAACCATAAACTCAATAGAATCCTCAAACATAATCTACTGCAAGATCTAATTTAGTTAGTAATTAGTAGCCTATCACTATTTAAAGATAAATTTAACTACCTCATTAAGAATTGCTCAATTTAGGATTAATATGCAACAATCTTATGGGAGCTTAAAGTACTTTTCCTGGACCTCCTCTTCCTATGCTACCAAATAGATCTCCAGCTGCAATGATTGGTTCCTATCTAAGTAATTGGTAGTTTTAAGTATAGCGCACTCTACCATTTGTCCATCGCTTAGCAGAATTACTTTAAAGAGAGTAGTATATGAATTTGTAAGTAGATAGAAGTTCCACTCAAGCTCTTTCTCTGGAAGTTGGACGTGCTTTAAATGAGCTTGTAGCTTGCACTTAGCCACTTGTAGGAATTTTACGTGATATCTAGTTAGATTAAGGTCCAGGATAAGCTAGATTTGAATAAAATCCAAATGCTCCTGCCCCTGTCTTAACAAGACCTCCTGTATAACATCCTATGCAGTCATCAAACAGTTAAAATTAGAGTGGAAGCACTTCAACTAATACTTAAAATAGCTAAAACCAAGCAAGCAACTCTAATACCAATAACACTAATATGAATAATAATAGCAATAGAAACTAATAATAGAATGTATCTCAACCTAATGTATAAGCTACTATTTAAGTTGGCTAAGTTCCAATAACTTCCTTTTTTTCAAATTAGCAATAAAGAAATTAGGTCAATAATTAGCCTGCTTAAAATAATAATACTAATAGCACTTAAGCTTAATAACCTGGTTAAACCACAATAAATATTACTTAAAACCCTAATAATGGTGCTAATGATTCTTTAAATCAATTAATATCTTAAATTAGTGGAGGACAAAATGGAGAAGTAAGAATTGGAGTTATGAACACAATGAATAATGATTAAGAAATTTAGATTGTAGGCATAGGATCAACTCATGTTGTGGATACAGACTCAAACATCAATTTATAGTAAGTTTTAGGAAATATTTTAGGTAATTAGAATATTAACGTGAATGCATCGAGTGTAAATACTGGCAACAGAAACAATAATTAATCTAGAAATAATAATTAAAACTTAAATGAATCAGAATGGGAGGATGAAGAAGATGAAAATACTATTGGAATAGAAATGAGCAGTACCATTAATTTGAATGGAGATGAAAATCTACTCTAAAATCTTTTGTAAGGTTTAGGTTTACCTAATAATGGAAATTCTAATATTACCATTAATGCTAGTGGTCCATAGGTTTAAACTACAACAATAAGTGGTGCATAAGCTGCAAATTTATTATCTTAACTTAATAGATAGACATAATAATAAAACCAACAGCAATAGCAACAAAATTAGATGCCATCTTCATAAAATACAAACTAATCTTCTAATTCTTCTTAATAGTAACCTTAAAACTAAAATTCTAGTTCACAGAACAACACTTAAAGCTAGTCCCAATAAAACAGTTAATAATAATAGCAAGCAGTTTAGCAATAATAGCCTTAAATGGGATTCCCTTTTATGATGGGAGGATAAAGTGGTGGATTTAACCCATTAAGCATGCTCATGGGAGATGGAATTGGAGGCATGATGAATATGACCGTTGATGAATTAATCAGAGAAAATATGACAGAATAAGATTAAGAGCAAAGTGAATCTGATGAATTAATATAAGCAATTGTTGGCCAATTAAGAATTTCAGATTTAGTTTAGAGCTTTATGAGTAATAAAAAGCTTAATTTCAAATTAAAATAAAATATATTTTTTTAAAATAAATAGGTGGTCAATTCACTTTCTTAAACAGCATCCAATAAAAGATAAGAGATCAAATTAGCTAACGCAACTTAGGAAGTAATTAATTATTTTCTTTACAAATTCGATCTATAAAACAAAATATGAAGATATTTTATCAAATTTAATAATAAAAAAAATTATTGATGAAGAAATTAATTAAGAATATATAAATATTCAATCAAAAAACTTTTATTAAATAAATGAAATATGTTAATAAATAATAGAATTAATTTACTAAATAAATAATTAAATTATCTCAAATATTTATTAAAAGATACAAAATAATGAATAAAAATATTTTATAGTTTTATTAAATTATTATTTAAAAAATTTTATTTTTTAGGATAAGAGTTTTCCGAAAAGCTAGCTTAATCTTTGAGCTCATACTTAGTAGTTCCATAATAACATAGCTAATTAGTTTATGAAGGTTTAGAACCTGAAGGCATAGCTTTAGATATTTTAGAAACAAGACTTCCTACTGTTTATGATATAATTATGAGAGATTTTCCTCAAGATGGGACAGAGACATTTAGTGGAGAGTTTGTTTATGAAGTTAAAAAAATAATTGGAGAGTTATTCACTGAATTTTCTGAATGTTTACATGGAGGATTAAATGATTTATAAGTTATATTTAGAGCTTGGGTAAACGAACCTATAACAAGAATTATGGGAGAAGGTAGCATGGCTTTAGTTGATTCTTTGATCACTACTATGTTGTGGGAAAAAGTCAAGGCTTTGATTTTATAATATTAACATGAAAATGTAAAATTATATTTTTTAAGCTGAAATATTTTTTTAAATTAAACGAATATTAGAATAATAATTAGAGATCTGCAGAAGAACAAAAGCAAAACCAGGAAGGAGGTTCAAATGGTTAAATGGAAATTGAAAATCCCACATAAAATCGTGCTGAATAAGAAATTGATGTAAAATATTTAACTTTAAAAATTTAAATAAATTATTTAATAATTTTTTTAAATTGAAAGCTTTTAGAAGATATCGAAAATGAGCTTGAAAAAGACGAAACTAGATTTGAAAGATACAACATATAGCTTTCTGAAGAATATAAAAAAGGTGATTTGATGAAAAAGAAAGATTGAAACTAATTTATTCAGTTTTCAATAAATTAATCTAATAATTTAATTATTAAATTTGTAAATATTTTATAGAATCTGTTTCTACCTCTTTAGCTATTTTTGTCTTAAATTTAAAAAATTTCAATAAATTAAATATTATAAATTAAATAAAATATTTATTAAACTATTTCAGAAGTCATTATCAAAGTTGAAATATTTTAATTTACAGTTTTTAAAAATTATTAATGCTTCGGCTGATTTTTTTTATGCAATTTTTTTACAAAATAATAAATTAATATGAATAATTAAAAATTAAAAAAAAATAAATCCATTTTTAAAGACATTATTTTTAAATAACTAATTAAGTAAATTTATAATAAATTTTAATATAATAATTTAGGATTTTAATAAAACCATGTTTTTAAGTTTTAAAAAGTAAAGAAGAAATTAATTTTAAAATATTAAAGAAAAGTAATTTATTTTTTGAAATTAAATACTAAATAAAATATATAAAATTCAGAATAAAAAATTTAATTTTTTTGAACGATAATTTTATTTTTGATTATAAAGAAAATAATTAAATCTAATAAATTATAATATTTTTTTATTCTACAAAAAAATTTTGAAGATTTTTGAAATATAATTTTATTTATTTTATTAACTTTATTTAGAATAAATATCTTACACAAAATAAAAGTAAATTAATTGCAATTTTTTTCTGAAGAAATAATTATTTTTTAATATCAATAAAATAAAAATCTAAATTCTATTAACTTTTCCTGTTTTTTTCATCTTTATTTTAATAAAATATTTTCACTCTTGTAAATCAACTCCGTCTTACTAGAGCTATCTTCTAATAGTTTCAATTTTAGTTTGAAGAATTTTAATGTCACTTTTGTAACCAGAATTCTAAACTTTTCTCTTTTAATCTAATTTTTCATACCTTTTTATTATTAATAATTACTAGTCTTATTTGTTTAAATTGTTGATGATATTACTTCTCGTTTAAGCCTGAAAGATCTTCTTCTAAACGCTTAATTTTATTGAGATAAATTTTCTGGACCTGATTAAATTAGTCCTTTATTTATAATAATTAAAAAAATTATTTCTTTTGTCAATTTTTGTAAAGTTACTTTGAGTATTTGAATATTTTCTTCTTTTGATCTAACTTGATTTCTAAATACGTTTGCTGCATTCATAGAAATTTTATTTGCTTCATTTTAAGTCTATTTATTTTCTTATTCAGCCTACTTTTCAATAATAAGTATTTTATTTGCTAAAGCAGTATTCTTCAATCTTTGTAGTTCATTTTCTTCTTACAATTTTCTCTCTTTCTCATTTGTTTATATTCTTAGAACAAATAATTCTTTTGATAAATCTATGTGCTATTTTTCAAGTTCTTAAGCTTTTTTTTACAATTCTTCAATTTTTTGAGCTTTTTAGTTGTTATTTTATTGAATTTTTTATTCTCTGTCTAAGATTTATAGTTTTAGTGTTTCTAGCTTTTCCATCCAAATTTCTTTGTCTTTTTCAATTTACTCCCTTAATTCGAAATTTTCTTATTCAATACTATTTATTCCATCAACTGGTAAATGAATATTAGTAATTACACATTTAGGCTAACCTTCTACCAATCCGTCTTTTCCTACTCTGATATATAGTATATACAAATATTTAAAATACTAATGAAATTTAAAAATTATTTACTTTTTTAATGCTGTCTCAAAAGCAGCACGATTTCTGTGGATATTAGTATCAACTTTTGAAAAAGCGTAATTTATCTCTTAAAATTTATAAATAAAAGAACTTCATTAATGTGTTTTATGTATTTATTTGTAAATTTTACCTGGCTTTTTATTTTTATTTAATACTACATTTTCTTAAACTGGTTCAACTAATGCACCTAATTCAGTAATTTTTTTTTAATCCTCTAAATCTTTTAATTTTAATAATTCATTTTCCCTTTAAATAACTAGCACATTTTATCTTTCTTGGTATAGAATACTCCTAAATTTATCTAGAGTTTCCTTAAGAGTATTAACATCATCTCTTCTGCGCGTTAACTCCCATTATAATTTATGCTTTTCAGATTCAGTTGTAACAATTTCATTTAATTTTTATAACCACTCACTTCTTTCTTTGTCAAAATCATTAATTCTGTCTCTATAATACGACAAAAGGCTATTTACATAATCTTCTTGATTGCAAGCCATTTTAAATAAAAGGGCCTTATCCATTTCTGGGAAATGAGAGGCTGTTTCTTTAATTGTGTACATTATAAAATAAATTGATTTAATTTGCTAATAAATGATATCTCTTAATAACTTAAATATTTAATTTCCAATAAATTTAATGTAAATAAGTTGTTTTAATTTCAAATCTATAGTATTTTTGTGATTTAAATTATCTTAGAATCTTAATTAATTTCAAATTTATTGTATTATAAATAAATGATCGAAATCAGTAAAATGAAAGATTAGGGTTTAAATAAAATTAATTCTTTTTAATAATATTTTAAAGTTTTATAAAATAATTTTTTATTTACTTTTTTAGTTTAAAAAATTAATTTAGTCAAATCCATATTACAACAATTCCACATTTAAAAGTTTTTTTTATGAAAAAAAAAAATAATAATTAGGTTAATAAATAACGACTTGAAAATTCAACGAATAGGAAGATACTATTTAAAATATAAAATAAGGATAGAAATTGATTGAATTTTCAAAAATTAATAATTTTGATTGACAAGGAATAACATTGAAATTTGAATAAATATTATTTGAAAATTTTAATATTTTGTATCAAAGGAGGCAGATAATTATATAAAGAAAGCAAATAATTACTATAAATATAAATTATAATTATTTCTAATAGTAGTAATAATAATAGTAATATCATCTTATACTAAATACATTTTCTGAAATGAAGTTATCCGCTTATTAGCTAAAGTAGCAAACTTCATAAGGAGTTAGTTTAGAGGCTTCTTTTGGAAATGGGACTCACAGCATTTCTAATTTAACAAACAATTTATAATTATCAGCAAATAATTTTGGATCATTCAAATAGTTATCAAACCCTCTCTAAAAAGTTGCACAATAAAGTATTTTGTAGAATGAGAATAAGGAAAATTCATCCTTAGAAAAAACTTAAACTAAGTAAATTAAAGGAATTTTAAAGAATTCTACCAGATAAGTCGATTAAAAATCAGCTTCAATAGATACTTCTAAAATTAATCAATAAAGTTAAAAGAGTATATAACAGAGTGCATTTTACAAAGGATAATAAACTCTTGGGGAATAAAATGCAAACACTTTATTTCAATAAGATGATGCAAAAGATATTCTATAAAGAGTTGATAATTTATTATCTCAAAACTAATTATCTATCTAATATCCTTCTCAGCTATACATCACTTAATCTTTGGTTCAACCTGGTTAAATATCTAATTATTCATAATATTCTATTAGTAATTATTCCTCACTTCCATCATCTACATTTGTTTCAAGCTAAATAAGACCAACAAATAACAATTCTGATCTAAAGTCCTATATTAGCAATTTAGAAAGTAAAGTTATAAAAAAAAAGGATAAAGATACAATAGAAATTAAAAGGAGTTACAGGTAAGCTGAGAAAAAGAAGAGACATCTTAGAAGACGTAAAGACAGTGACAGTAGTATATCTGTTATTGAAGAAAAAGAATCAGATTAAGATTCATCAAGTAGCAGTAGTAGTGATGAAAGTGATTCAAATGAGGAACGCTTTTAAAGCAAATACTTATCTAAAAGAAGAGCCAGCAGTAAAGTTAATTAAAGTAAAAAAGGAGTTGACTCAAAAACTTTCAAAGAGATTAGCAATAGAAGTTAATCTTAAAACAATTTTTAATAAAATAAAGATAAAAACTCAAAACCAAAAAGTAAAATAGATTAAAGTAAAAAAAATAAATCACAGAATGATGAAAGGTATGATGCAAATATAAAAGTTAAATAGAAATATAATAAACATGAAAAGAGAAAAACTTAAGAAAATAACGAAGACGATTAATTATCTATGTCAAGTTATTAGTCGAACGTTACTCATAATGGGTTAAAATTGAATAGGCACACTAATTTTGCCACAGAACTTGTATTTTGCATAGTTTGTGAAGATTACATACATGTAGAAAAAGTAGATGAACATAGTAAATATTGTGAAGAAAATCAATAAATTTTAAATTAAAGTAGACGTGTTGTGGAGTAGCTTGATTAAAAGTACTCAAGCAAGTAAAATATTGCAAATGCTGCTGAGGGATTTTATCAACTAGAAAAATTAAATTAAAAATTAATGAAAATAAAAATTTACTTGGAGGAAATGAAAATAAATCCTAATATTGTGAACTCATCAAAAATAAGATAATACTCTACTTTTGCTACAGAGTGCTGCATGAATATAATTGCTAATAATTCAGTTGCTAAAGAGATGGTTTAAAACCTCAATGATATTTAAATGCTCAACAAAAAAATTATTGACTTAGAAAATTTATCAAACAAAGCAGTTATTCTAAGTATTCTTGTGCTTAGTGATAAATTAAAAGACTTTACAAAAAAAAAGTTAGATATAATAGATAGTTAGAGCTAGAGCGACTTAGCTCAGTATTACAGTTAAGTGAAGTAGAACGATTAGTATGACAGTAAGACTTAAATTGATGCTTTCAGTGACTTCTCTTCCCTAAGAAATGCAACCTAAAACAACTTTCCTTCAACTCCAAGCACTTAGAACTAAGAAAAAAAGAAAATTAATGTCGAAATTTTTTAAAAACAAAATTTATAAGGAGGATAATAGATAAAAAGGCAAAGCTCTGCTTCTGAATCTGTTTCTTCATATCAATAATTTAATTCATAAAATGATCTAGAAAGTTATTCAGTCTCATCTTAATCTTTAAATAATTAAAAAAATGGATTAAATCAAAAATTTAATTAAAACTAAAGTCAGCCAAAAAGTTTTAATAATTAAAACTAGAATTTACCAACCTAGCCTGATAAAATTAAAAAGCCTTTTTCAAAAATATTTTAAGAGGAAAAACCGAGAGAATCTCTATTTAAGATTTAATAAGTAACTCATATCAATCATGCATAAGTAGCAAATAACTAATTAAAATAAATTGAAATTTAATAACCTCAATAATATTAGCAAGTAAAATAATCAGATAACTAATAATAGAACTTGCAATAAATTTAGGCATTTTACTAATAGAACCAGTAAATATAACAGTAACAATAATAATAATAATATTTGCCACCCTACTAAAAATAAAATTAATCATCATAATTATCGGTTGATATAGAAAAGAAAGAGTTTTTTGAAATAGCTGTAAAAATTAAATAGCAATATCCAAACTGTAAAGCCGTATAATAGATTTTAGTAGTCGATCTCTATAACTAATTCATTAATTAAAGGCTACCTTTTTCTCAAGTCGAGAATTTTTTAACTAATACTTTTAATTCTGCATAATAATGAAGTAAAAGTATTTATTAAAAAAAATTTACTTTATTCTATTTTATAAATTTATGATTTTAAAATTCTTATTCAATTTTGTTAAATTGTAATAATTTCTATTCAAAATCATACAATTAAATATATTTGTTTATTTTTATAATTTTAAATTTTGTTCTTTTTTTTTTTAAAAAATAAAACTTTTGGATAGCTTTTCATAAAATAAAATTAATTACCTAAAAATATTTGAATAATCTTAAGTTTTATCAAAAATAATTAGAAAACTTAAAATCGAAACTAAAAGATATCAGAAATAGCCTAATTATGTATTTATTGATATGCCAAATATTTAATCATATATTTCTAAAAAAAATCAAAATATTTTGTTTTTTTATTCTTTATTATTGTGATTAAATATTTATTGGCTTTCTTAAAAAAATAATTTTGGAAAATTTCCAGAGGTTTTCTTAAAACTAATTATTAAGGATTTCTATTTTTTTGAGTCATTTTAAATTATAAATTTTATAAAATGATGAAATTTATGAATAACTTAAGTAATTTAATAGTAAAATTACAAAAAAAGATATCAACTTTTAGATAAACAATATTATCAAAAATTTTATTTTGATTATAAAAATAACAGTGATATTTCTTAAATATAAGATATTTATAACATTTATTTCATTATTTATTTAGTATTTCAAGATAAATGCTGCCTTAGATTAACAAAATAGAAAGGTTATCAAAAAAAGTATGGAGAATTTTAGGTTTAAATCCAGGGTATTTATTAAGTTTTTAGATAGTATTAATAATGAATTTAACTAAATACTATAACATCAAACAGACCTTTTACTCTTTAGGGAACAAATACTTATTTGATAGGAGAAGGAAAATATAGAACACTTATAGATTGTGGATAAAATGAAGATGGATATAAAGAACTCTTAAAGCAAGTAAATTATTGACTATTGATTTAGGTAGCAAATATGAAATGTTATTTATTTATTTTAGGTTTTAGATGAAACACAAAGCTAAATTTCTTAGGTGATATTTACTCATAACCACCCTGATCATACTTTAGGGATCAAGGATATTCTTGAACTCAAATAAAATTGTACATTTAAGAAATATATGTATTTAGAAGAAGATTAATAGCTTGAATAAGAGTATGGATTTAAATATGAGCAAGTTGGTTTTTAAGATATGGAAATAGTAAAAGGCGAAGACCACACACTATAAGTAAGCTACATAAAAAAATTTGTATTTATAAAATTTGTAATTTAAATATTTTGAATATAGGTTATAACAACTCCTGGGCACTGCACTGATCATGTATGTTTCTATCTCTTTGAAGAAAAAACTCTTTTCACTGGAGATTTTATACTATCAGGATCAAGCAATGTAATCAGAAATTTAAAAGATTAAATGAATTCTTTCAAAAAGTGTTTAAGCTTAGATGTTGAAAATATCTATTCTGCTCATGGAGTAGCTATAACAGGAAAAGAAGAATCTCAAAAAACAATGTTAGAATAAATGTAGCATCGTCAAATGAGAGAAGATAAAATAAAAGCAGCTATCAAATAACTTGGATAATGTAACTCTAATTAAATACTTGAAATAGTATATCCCGGTTTGTAAGAAAACTTAGTTAATGGAGCACTTCATAATATTTCAGTGCATATTACTAAATTAATTGATGATAAATTAGTGCTCAAATTAGATAACTAACAATTTAAATGGGTTGAAGAACCTAGCTTATGAAAATGATTAAAATTTATATAAAATATTTTGTTAGTTTAAATTTAATGAATTGCTTTATAAGCAAAAAAATATAAATATTTAGTTTAGTAATTTAAACCTTTTTATAACTCAAATTATAAATTTTTATTAATATTCTTCAATATTTATTTATTTAACAATTAAAATAAACAGTAAATATTAATTAATTAGTTGTTTAAATAAATAATTGATACATTTTTTTTGTTTATTAGTTTAGAAAATAAGAATAAATAAATCATAATCATTTTATTAAAATTAATACTTTTTTATTTGATAGTTTGTAATTTTTTAAATAATTAAAAATTTTTATTAGCCATATATTTTTTTAGCTGTTGTTTGTTCAGTAGCAGTTAATAACTTATTTATAAACACATCAATTAATCACTCAATCAATCAATCACTGAAATTCAAAAATAAAAAAAAACAAATAAAAAATATCTTACATAAAGTTTTTATTATATAATATTTAAGTTTAAATTATTTAATTTCAAGCAATACTTAATCACTATTAAAAATACAAGAAAAAATTATGCAATACTCCTCGTATTATCAGTCACCAAGTTTAAAGGAAAGGTCTAATATTTAAAGATAATTTTTAGCAAATTATAGTAATTTAGGGTATTCTAGCCCCTAACTTACAATAACACCAACTAGTAATTACTAATTTTAAAGACACTATGAAGGTTATCCATATTATTACAGCAAATACTATGAAGGTTATCCCTATTCAGCTCCTCCTTAATAACCAGAGTTGTTTTAATCAAAGCATTCTCATATAGCTATTAATCAAGAAGACAGTTTTATGAAATCAAACAGCACTATATTAGATAATAAACCTCCTCGCACATACACAAGTACATATAATGTCATATATAAATGTGGAGAATAGTTAGAAAATAAATATAAAAAAGAAGATTTGACAAAAAGTCTTACAAATTATGAGTAAAATAAAATAAGTTAATAATATAAATAGCCAACATATCTTGATTCAAGTGTTTATAATAATTATTATGCAGATCATTCAGATTATGAGTAAAGAGAATAGCTTTTAAAAACTGTTTATAGAGAGTAAAATAATGAATTGAAAGACCAAATAATATTTATATTTAAAGAAATGATCCTATTTGAAAGAGAAGTAGAAAATATTAAATAAAGCTTATGCAAACAAAAAGATGTTTCATTTGATCAAATATTTAAAATATTTGATTTAGAGCTTAACAATCAAGTAACTCCCTTCGAATTAGATCGCGGACTAAAAAATTTAAAAATATTTGCTGATAAAATTGATATTTATTTATTAGCAATAAGGTATTCTAAGAACGGAAGAGATACTATGAAGTAAATAATGTTCAATATATTTATTGATTTATTGATATTAAATTATTTAACTAAACAGTATTGAAGATTTCTTTTAAATGCTGGAGCCTTCAAAACAAGATACTGAATATTCACATGTCTATTAAGATAAGAATATTATATTTAATGTAAAAAAAACTTAATAAAAATGTTTGTTTTCAAAAAGAGTTTATTTTATTTTTAAAATTAATTTAGGATTTATGTGATCTCTCTTAGTCTTACATTATTAAACTTTTTAAGATGTTGCTAAATTAAGAAAGCGCTATATAGTATTATTGCAAAGACATTTAAAATAAAGGACTCAAATTGGAAGATATTTATAAAATGTTCGATCCATAAAATAGTTAAAATGTATAAAAATAAGACTTCTTTTAATGGATAAAAGAAAACGGGGTTTATGTAAATGAAAATGAATTTAAAAAGTTCTTTTAGAGGTTTGACAGAAACAACATTGGAGCTATGCATTAAATAGATTTTATTAATGAACTAACTCCTAAGTCTTATAGAAAGGGAATATGATATATTTATTTTGTATATTCTTTTATGTTATAAATTGAAGTATTTTAAAATAAAACGAAAAAATAGAAGTTGTTTGAATAACTTATTTATTAATCATTTGTTTATATTTATTTATTAATTAATTAAGTTTTTACTGAATTGTTTGATTTTGATTGATAGTCCAATTATTTGTATAAAACTTATAACCTGAAGATAGTTATTACTTAATTATAGATATCTTTGTTATTTTAAATAAAATTTTTTAAATAAAGCAAATGAAAACTATGCATTTAAGTACATCTTAAAAGAATTTTAACACTGAGGGAGTTCGCCAACAAAAAAATATTAAATTAACAGATAAAATTCATAGACCTAAGAGTCAAACAGCATCTCAAAAAAGAGAGTTATCCAAAGAAGACTTTAAGTCATTTTTAGAAAATTTATCATCAAAATACCAAACTACTTAGCCATTTGCTAAATTCTAGGGTAAGAGTGACATTTTAGGTTAAAAATAGCCAAGTAATAATTAAAAGGGTGCTATTTTTAAGGCAAATGCAGATGAATATCAGGAAATATAAGAAGATTACGATGAAGATTTCGAAAGCGACTATGTTGATAGTTAAATGAATAGCAATCAGCACATACATCATAAAAATAAAAGCACTGGTTTTGCAAAAGATAATTATATTTAGAGTAAATATGAAAATAAAGATGCTTAACTAAAGTAGATGTAAACCTACCAAGAGAATGAACAAAAAGGATTTTATTCAAAGTTTATTAAATTTAATGAAAATCCTGATTAATATTTTAAATTGAGTGAGAAAGATAAACTCAAAAATGGATAGTTTAGAAGTAACAGTAGAGATAAAAGAGAAATAAAATAGCAGCTAAATTTACCTAATAAATAAAATTTTTATTAATTATAATATGCTCTTACTACATATCCAGAGTAGGGCAAGAAGAATTTTACTCTACCCTCTAAACCCACAGCAAATACATCAGCAAAGCATAAGTAAGAAAATCAAAAATAATAATAAAATTAATATGAAATTATGAAACAGTAAACTCACCTAATACCATAATCTTCATAGGAAGCTAAAACTTAATAAGGAAATGATATTTAACCTATCATTAACATGCAATATAACAAAAATTAAGATTTAAACAATAAAAAAATTAATACTTTCCCAAATACATAATTAAGTTCTCCATCAAATAATAATAATAATGATAATGATAATAATTATATAACACCAATTAATAATGGTTAAGTAGCATTTAGGATAAGAAAATCAGATTCAGCAACACTAAGGCACAATCCAAAATAGGCATTTTTTAAAAATATTCAACAAAATATTAATAAGAATCCTTCTGAAAAGAACACTCAAATAATTAAAAATAGCAATATACTTATTAATGATGTATTTAAAATCAGTGATAAAGAATCTTAAAGCGAATAAAAAGCTGTTGAAGGAGCACTTTTTATAGAAATTTAGAATTTAAAAGTTCAAAAAAATGAAATAATTTAAGAAAATAATTAAGTTAGAGAAAAAATTATCAACCTAGAAAGAGATATAAAATAAATGAGTAGATAATTGAATAAATGGAATATAGAAAGTAGAATGGTCTTTGATGAAGCAGTAGAACCTTACATTGATTCGCAAAGCTGTGATAAAGTTTATGAGGACCCAAACTTTTACTTAACTTCTCTTAGAAAAAAAGTAAAAGAAATGAAACAAGAGATAAATTAGCTTGATGAGCAAATAAAAGAATATAATGACACTTTAAGAAATATAAGGACAGATTTAAGAGCTGAATAGAGATAAACAGAGATGGAAAAATAGCTTATGATTGAATATTAGCTATACAGAGAGAAAATTTCACAAATTAGGTAGGATACAAGTGAATAACCACAAGATTAGAGATAAGCATAAAAAAATAATTAAAATGAAAAAAAGGAACTCATAAAAGAAAGAGACTAACTTTTAAAGCAAATATAAAAGGTAAAAGATGACAATAAAACAATCATGATTGAAATATCACTATAAATGGAATTGCAAGAGGAAAACGATGCATAAATAGCTAAATTAGAGAAAAAGGCATAACAAAGGCATTAAAAGTTAAATTAATATAGGTAAGAAATCATTGATAAATCACCTGAAGATTTGTAAAAGCAAAAAATTATGTTAAAATAAAAAAATATTTAAATGGAAGAGGAAAAGAAAATCAGAAATGCAGATTAATAAAACTCATTAATTTAAATTTAATTTGAAAAGCTCAATTCTCTGAAATTTGATTTTTAAGAATTCCGTCGTAAATAAATTTTAGAAAACTAATAATCTAATAAATAAAATTAGGAATTAGATAATTTAATTTAAAAACTCAAGTCAGACTACATTAAAGTTTAATCTCAAATCATAAAAAAGAAGAAAATTTTAAAAAACTATATGCTTGAAAATCAGCATGACAATCTTATTAATGCAGATTAGTTGTAACATCTGAACTTATAAGATGATGGTGATGATTATTAATTAATTGATGAGGAAGATATGACTGAAGAGCAATTGAGTAGATAAGCAAGCTAAAAAAAGCTTAATTCTAGAAAAAGTTCAAAAAATCCTAGCTATGTATAATTTAAGCAATCTAAAGGTTAAAATAATCTAATCAGCTTAGCTAAAATTGGTGCTACCATATCTCAATAAAGCTTAGCTATTCCATAGTAGTCTTTATGCTCTACAGACTAAGGTAACTACGGTGAAAGTCAAAAGTCTAAATATAATAATGATGAACCTATCTCAATTATATATGGAGTACAAACTATAGAAGTTTGAGTAAAACGAAATCACCAACAAGAGCTTTGCGACTTATTTAATGTTAAATAAATTTTTTTCTCTTGGTACTAATATCATTAATTTTTAAAAATTTTAATAAATTTCAGAATATTAAAAATTGATGTTTAAAAATTTTTATTAAATCAATAAAATGATTTTTATTTGAATCAATCTTAATTAAAGTGTGAAAAGTATATTCTTTGAGTAAGTTTAAAATTATTTTTTAAATATTTAATTGCAACAAATGATTTTGTATTTTTTTATTTAATTTATATTCTATATCATACATATTTATTTATTATTAATATTATTATTTTGTTTCTATTTTTTATAGTAAAATTTGAAATAATTAATATTCTAAAAATGATTGATCAATTATTGATATTTAAAATAATTTATTTGTAGTATTTTTAATTTTTATTATTTATTTTTAATCCTTAAAAAAAATCAATTAATGAATTATTTTTTCCTAAAATTTTTATATTAAAAATAAATGGTATTTTTTTTAAAGAATAGGGTAAGATTATCACAATAATTTCATAAATTAATTAATTAATGCTTAAGTTCATTAAATAAATTGTATTTTATCAAACTTAAATGAACCTAATCTTAAATATTTAAATGTAAGTTTAGTTAGAGCAAAAGTAAATAGTGTAAGATAAAAATTAATTTAAATCAAAACTAATATTTGTAAGTTGGTCTTAAGCTTTTAGATATCAGCTTTCTGGAATAAATCTAGAAAAAAATTAAATCTTTGGAAAAAAATAAAATTTGTTAAAACAAATATACAAGTTTATATATGTATGTATTCTTTTTTTTTATTTTAAGCTCACAATTTTGTGTTATTTTGCAAAAACTATTTATTGTATTCGATGATAAATTTATCACTTTAAAGGTAAGCTTTAGGTTTAGCAAAGAAAGTGAGTAGTTTTTAGTATTTATCTGACCTAACATACTCTTTTATTCTTGGAAGATTATGAAAATCTTAAAGAAATTTTTCAAAGCTTGATAGATGTTAGTCAAATAGTTCTGAATCTAAATGCTTGAAAAGTAATAAAATTTCTACAAGCTCAAAATCAGCAATAGTTAAATAAGGCAATAAGAACTATTTATCTCCTCGTATATCTTTAAAGTCAAGCATCTTTGGAAGAATTGTTAATAAAGTATCTCTCTTGACTTTGTGAACATCTGGGTTGAAATGAAGAGCTTTTAAGACATCTCTTAAATCATTCATAACACTAAGCATTTAGTCTACAAATATTTCATCTTACTCTTTACCTAAAAGGTCTTTGAATTAAGGAAAACGCTTTAACAAATATTTAATTATGGAACACGTCTCTGTTAGAATTCCATCTTTGGTTTAGAGATAAGGAAGGTTAGAAAATGGTTTAATTGTCTTTTTATCTTTTTCATACCATTCATCAGGGTTATCATATGAATAATACTTCTATTCGAAAGGAATACCCATATACTCCAATAAAAACTTTAGAGGCTATGGACGACCTCTGTAATCCCAATATCCAAGTATTATTTTATCTTCTGTATTGGACATAAATTAAATTTTTAATTAATCTAAAAATTTGTTTTTTTATTAATTAATTAATTATTTTTTATATTTATTATATCAGGAAAGGCATATCTATCTAAGAAAAATTAGTAAAAAATAGTGATAAATACTTCAATTTATTCTAGATCAGGGAGATTTATATTTCATAAATTTTTATTAGAGAAATGGACGAATATCGCCAAAAAATGCAAGAGAAATTCTCATAAGAATAAGTTATTAAGCAGCAAAAGTTAATATTATAATTAACAACCAATCTATGATATTTATATAAATTTATTTCAAATATTGTCACAAAAGTTCATTGTTTGGATCTAAATTATTTAGCAGCTAAAGTAGCAATTAAAATAATTATAATCAACAAAAATCGTTTGAAATGTAAAGCATCAATATGACCTCAAACTATTAATAAACGAATGAGGTAAATAATTTAACTTTAGGATTATTTATGTTAAAAGAAAATTTAAAATATTTAGTAAAGGTAATTAATTTAGTTTTTATGGACTCGCTTTAACATTTTTTCCCCCTCTTGATATAGCGAATAAACATAACCTGTAATAGCTTATGGCAGCAACGAATACCAGTAACATTAAGGTGATTTAATGATTTTAAAAATAACTCTTCATTCAATTAAACTTATATTTCACTTTGAAGAATTTAGTTTTTTAAATATTTCTATTTAACAAAAAAGAGGGTTAATATGTAAATTTAGAAGCTGTTGAATAACCTTAATTAAATGAGTAGAAGTTTTCTTTTTTTCACAAAATGAATCCTAACACAAAGATACTATTTATAGCTAATTTGATAATTATTGGTCTGATTCTGATTATATTTTTAGCATCTTATTGAAACATTCAATTGATAAATAAAAGCTATTATATAAAAAATAATATAAATTTCTATTTAAATTTAGCATCTACATTAAAATTATTTCAATAATAATTATATTCAATATTAAGTTTTCACATCTATTATAATACTTGCATAATTCTAAAAGTAAAATTATCTTTCAAACACATCCTTAAAGTAAATAGATATTTTACTTCTTTTTTTCGTTCTTCACATTTAAATAAATAAATCTAAAATAAAAGTATTTCACTATAATAAAATCAAATAAGTTTGAATTATATTTTTGTTATCTCAATCTCTATTTTAATTTAGCATATATGTATATAGTCATTTCTCAGTTTTTTTCTAATAATTTATCAAAAATATATTTAAAATTAATTAATATTTATTTCTTTTAGTAATATTTAATATTTACCATTACTAAATCCTTATGTATGGCTATAAGATAATTTATATTTTAAATAAAAAATTGTTTATATTGTTTTTAAAATCTACTTTTTAAAAAAATTTTTATGAATAAAATATTTATTATTATAATAAAAGACACAATTTATTTTATTTACTTGTTAAATATCTATAAGAAACTAAAAAAATTTATTATAATCACAAAATTTATAGATATTTATTAATAAAACTTTTGTTTTAAATAAGTATTTTATTATTATGATAAATTAATTAATCTTAAAATTTATGTTTTCTATTAAAATGATCAGTTATTGATAATAGACTTTGGGCAATCCCTCCATACCTCTTAAAGAGACCTATTAGAAAGATCAAACTAGATTTTTATTGTAAATATTATTACTAATTAAAATAATTGTTGTATCACAAACGCTATCTGTTAAGTTGTATATACTTACTTATATATAATTTAAAATATATTATTTAAAATGAACTTTTTTAATGCAAAATTATTCTTCAATAAATAGAAATTAATTTAAATAAACTTAAATGTATTTTAATCAATTTTTTTAGTTAGGAAATTAGAATAAAAATCAAGCTATATTTTCGTTGTAATCATATTCTTCTTCAAGTTTCATAGAGTCAACAGACTAATCATGTCCATAACTCATCGAAGCACCATACGTATCTTCCATACTACTAAACATTGGATTTTTCCTCTCATTATTCTAGGCAGAGCTTTTTCCTTAGACCTATTTTGGTTTTGATGGAGGTTTACTATAGTCTTCTTCTTCAGATATATCTTCAAAACCACCCATAGATTCTTCAATCTCATTATTTTTATCGTATTTGTTACTTATATTTTTAATATTATCATATTTAGTAACTGAATATTTATTTGTAATTGCTTCTTTCTTTTAATTAATTTCTTTGTTTTATTTAATTGGTTCTTCTTTTTACTTTAACTGAGTTTTTTAAGCCTCTTTAGGTGCAGCTGCAGAGGTGCTACTTTCATTTTTATAAGAGCTTGTATTTACATTTTTCCCACTTAGACAATTTTGTACTATTTAAACTAAGATAGGCTTTTTTTCAGATTAGTTTGTTTTTGTTTATTAAGCTAAACTACTTCTATCTGGATCTTCTTATAAATTTGCTTCACTGCTAAATATATTCAAAGTATAATCCATCTAATAATACTTTAATAGTTCCTTTACTAGCACTAAAGTTAATTTTTCCTCCTCATTTTTTAAAGCACTTTAAAGAGTTTTATTACTCATATGAAGAGCAGATTCTTTCTACTTTAAATTTTATTATGATGGTTAATATTTTGTCTGCTTTTTATCTTTATCATTTATATTAATTTATGATGAAGGTGGTTCATTGTTAACTACATTAAAAACTTACTATCTTATCATAGCTTTTACTGCTGCTAATGAGCCGCTTGCTTCTAAAGTTTACATTATTAAATCTGACAGCTATTTTTCTTCTTTTTCACTCATTTATAAAATATTTACTAATAATTTTTTTAAACCTAAAAATAAATTTTTTTGAATAATTAAAAATAATGAAATTTTTTAAAAGTAAATTCAAAAATTTATAATTACGATAAGATATTAATATTTTTAAATTAATTATATTAGAAATTTTATACAAATAATTATAATGATAGAATGGTGATTTAGTAAAATGTATTCATTTTTTTTAATTAACTAACTTTTTGCATAATTCTCAAATTAATATCAAATCATTTTTATTTTTGAAAAATATTTATTCTAAAACTTATAAAATATAAATAAATAAATATATTAAATACTGTATGTTTCTACTTATAGAAGGGAATTGTAAAAAAAATATTGTAATTTTATGATATTTTTATTCGAATACAAAAAATTTTACTTGTATTAAAGTATATTGGTAACCATCCATGAATCTATGGTATATTTATTTATAAATTTTAAGCATTTTGAATAATTTTTTGAATTAAATTTGATAATTTATATATTTTATTTACTTATACCACATAAACTAAACAAATGCTAAAAACTAAAATTGAAAATATTTTTCAATTCCTTTAGTTGCAATATAAAAACTAAAAATAGCTTTTTTATAATATCTAGTTTAATTGCATTATATGTAGAAAACAATAAATTTGATTGCTAACAATATATTATTTCTCAAATATGTTTAGATATTTTTTAAATCTTTTATTGTTTTTTTAAATTCTTTTTAATATAGAGATTCAGATTATCTCCACTTTTGCTTATATACTCGCTAAAGTTAAAAAACATAGAATTAACTCACAAAACTCCGATTAATTTTAATTTAAAATAATCATATTTTGTTAGAATTATCGATGAAATAGAAAAATAATAAATTTGAATATTAAAAATATGAAAATTAGTATTTAATATAAGAAGATCTACAACATTCAATATTGTGAAGCTTAAAAACGATGTTATAATGTTGGAAAAAAAAATTTTGAAGAAACAAAATTAATAAATTATTTTGAGATAATATGTTTATTTTTTTTTTAGTTTTTGAATTTATAAAAAAATGGATGAATATCATTTTTAAAGTAAAAAAGATGCATGTAGCTAAATATATAATAGGTAAATTTTAATATTCTTTTATGTTTGGTCATTCATATTTCATTGATTTTATTGATTTGTATCCTTTTAAATTACTTTTTTTTTTTTTGATAGAACACTTTTTTTGTTAAATTTATTAATTATTTTAGGTTTGAATGATTTCTTAAAATTTATTTGTTGTTATCGGCTTAACAAATAATGTAAAAGAATATCAGAAGCAAAGAAAAATTATTAATCTAATCAAAAATTATCAAAAAAAAGTTTAATTAAGAATAAAAAAATGGTAGATACAATTGATTTACATGAAGATCTTAAGAGTATTGTTAAAGAAGGCTGGTTAGAAAAAGAGTCTAAGTTTTTGAGATCATGGAGAAAGTAATAAATGGATTAAATTTTCAGTTATAAAATAGAAAATGGATTTGAATTTTAAATAGATAGAGATTATTCTCATATAAGTAATATAGATTATTTAACATAAAAATTATAAAATAATAATTAGACGTTGGTTTGTTCTCACTAACTCTACTTTGTACACATTTAAGGAGTCTAAGGTTTATAAGAATCCCACTGAAGTTATACCTTTGAAGAGCGTTACAACTATAAAATCAGCAGAAGATGAAACCAATAAACCTCATTCATTTGTAATTTTATACCATAATATCAAGATTTTACTTCATTAAAATTATCAATATAGAGAAATAAAATTCAAAAGGTTTAAAGTGAGATTTTAATTATTTTTAAAATGAATAGAAATTAGAAGTTGGTGAAAGAAAGTTTTATATGGTTGCAAGTGCTAATAATGAAAAGGAATAATGGATAGGAGCAATAGGTAAATATTTTAATGTTACATCTCACAATAATTAAATAAATATTCAAAACAATAAAAATATATTGAGCAAAACAACTAAGCTTTAATAAATTATATAACACTAAATAGGTAAATAAATGGTTAAATTGATATAAAGAGGTAAGCCTTCTTTCAGTGATGAGGATGATTGATTTGGAGAAAAAATGAAATAACTAATTAATTATAATCAATATCTTATTTTTATCAGACTTTTGTATTTAGGTGTAAGTTAAATACCAATAAAAAGCAATTAAATAAATAAAGAAACAAATAAACAACCAAGTGCAAACAAGCTAAAGAGGATGCTATAAAAATAGAGGATATCTTAATTTATTTATATGTTAATAAATGATTGAAATTAATTGAAAAATATTATTTTAATACTTGTAAAATTACATAGATATATAATAAAATAGCAATCAGTATAAATAATTTTGTTATAATATTCTTATTTCGCTTAATCAAACAATTTATTCTTCTCGATCAATCAATAAATCAAACAATCTATTTTTTCTAATATTAACCAACTTATTATATTTACTCAATTTTGTAAATAATTGTTTCAAATAGATATTATTACTTAATTCAAAGATATTTTTATTCTATGCTTTCTTTGTTCATTAATGAAAAACAAATAATTGATTTATATATTCTTTTTAATTACTAAAAATACCACATGTATTTCTAATACCATAAAAGCAAACCAAATAAATAAAATAAAGTTACTTAGAAATTTTCAAGTAAAATTGTAACTCAATAAATTTATTACACTCTATATATTAGTTTATGATCTTGTAAAGCAAAAAATTTATTAAAAAAAAGTCATAGCTTCTTATTTAATCATAAAAATGTATTTTATATTTAATTCTTTAAAAATGAATTAAAGGGTGATTCAACTTAATTTTTTTAAAAGCATTTTTAAAATATTAATTTTATAAAATAGCCAATAATTAAATTAAAATCTATTTATTAGTGAATCAAGGATATCTTTTATTTTTTTCATTTAAAAAATATAATTCCTTTTAAGATTATTTATATAATAAATAATACATCCGAACTATCATTTAAGTTAAAATTTGAATAAGAAATTAAATCAAAGTTAATTAAATTACTCTATTAAAAATCTATAAGTAGTAATTTTTATTTAACTTTTCTACAAACTATAAAGAAAAATTAACATTTTTCATTTAAAAACTAAAAAATAAATATAAAAAATTAACAAGAAAAAGCTAAAAAATACTTTGAGTAAATTTTAATTTTTCTTATTAAACGAATAAGTAATAAATATATATACTATATAACAATAACACTATTTATTATTCTTTAATGTTATCAGATTACAAATTAAACTAATATTTTCTAGTTTAACATTTCAATTTGTTATTTTAAAATACTTTTTTTTTAATCTTTTTTTTCCAATTACTTTTGTATTTGATTCCTTATTTTATGTTTATTCATTACTTTTATTTAGTTTATCATTGATTTAATCATGCTTTTCTTCTAAAGTATCTACTTAATCTTCTTCTTATGAATCTTAAGACTATTATCTTTGCTTTTGTTTTTTACTTTTATAATTTTGATTTGTCTACTAATTATTATTTTATTCAACTTAATCATCATTAAATCCATTTGTTTTATCATTTAATAAGCTATGCTCTCTCTACCCTTTAGTTTATTTTTATTCTTTTTTGTTATCTTAATCGCTTTCATCTTAATCTTTTCCTTCTTCATTATCGTCATAGCTACTTTATTCATCTACTTCATCTTCATCTTCATCTTTAGCTTCATTAAATTATTATTTTATTTATTCATCTTTTTAATTTTAAGTGATTTCTTAATATTGAGATTCTACTCTTCTATTATCTGGATTAGTAGCTTGTTCATCTACATTCAATTAATCTGGAGCTTAATACTAGTTTGTATGGTCTTCGAGAACTTAGTTGTCGATTTAATCGATGCTTTAGTTAACAAAAGGGATATTTAAAGAAATTTGTGTTCTATTTGTTATACTCTCTGCTCCTTCATTTGGCTACTCTCTGTTATTTAAATTAACTAATTCAGCAACACTCTGATTCTTTTAGAGAGCCTAAAGTAAAATAGGTTCATAATCCATTCTACATTGAGGGCATTTATAGTTGTTACCTGTCATAGCCCATATGTCAAAGCAGGTTTTATGGAAAACTTTTTTACATTAGTAATGAAATCTTACTTAAGTATCACCTTAGTATTTTTCTAAGCAAATTCTGCAAGAATCTTCTAGTTGTAATGATGGATCTAATTCGCTAAATTTCTTACTCTTATAGAGCATTAAGATAGATAATTTTTTCTTCTCTACTGTATATCTGTAAATGAAAAAAAAGACTAAAATAGAAGACAAAATAACTAAAAATATCAAAAAATTAGTAAGCATATTCAGAATTTAGGTTTCTGGATCATTTTAGACTAATTCTTTATCATAACTATTTAAAATGTCTTTTATTTTCTCTTGATCAAAGGTAAGTTAGAAATTAGTCCCTTATCTGTAGGAATAGAAACAAAGTAATAAAGGTTTTTATGTTAAGGTACTATTACTTCCGCTTAAGAAATTATTAGAATTAGATGATTACTCACCATCTAAATCAAATTTCATTATGTACTTTTTATCAAGTATGATTTTTTGGGGTTCGCTTAATAAATACTAAGAAGATATTGAAAATGAAGTAAAATCTGTAAAAGCTATTACTTAAAGTAAGCCTTGTTTAAAATCTAATAAAATTATATCATCTTATGGATCAACACTTATCCATTGAATACCGCTTTCCATCTAGGCTATCCAAGGCTTTTGTTTAACATTGACTTATCTCAAGTTAAATTCACATGCCCTACCTACATAATCTTATGAACAATTACAGATTCCATTAATGCATTAACCTCTCTAAGAGCAGTCAAAAGGACATCTTAGCTATTAGTCAGAAGGCTTTTATTCCCAGGATTACCACCTTATTTAATATATTAACTTGTTTTTCTCATTTTGCATTAACTAATCGCTAATGATTACAGTAACATACTAATGTGATATATCAGCAGGTAAATTTTTCTATATGAAAAGCAAATTTGATCTAAAATTTTATTGATATATGTCCAAATTTTCGCTATTAACGCATTAACTTCCAAGAATGTCAGAGACACAAAAATAAATATCATCTTATTCTAGTAAGCGAGTGTATATAGATTCTAAATTATTTTAAAAAGATATCTCAACCTAAATGTAATTTCCATTTTTGCTTGGACTATTATTAGATTAATCATTGTTAATTGATTGCTCTAATTCTATTTTATAGTCAATTCTATTAGTCTCTTGCTTTATTTCAGCTTAATTCTTTAGTAATGCTGCTAAACTTAGCTACTAAAATGATGCTAAATAGAGTAAAATTATAAAAAACAAATGATTGATAGGTTTTATTTCTAAAGATTCAAACATTTCTAATTAAAAAGTTTATCAGATTTTTTTTAATTAATTAATTGGTTAAATTTTGATTTCTATAATATATAAGCTTTAGATAAGGATTTCTATTTGCAATTTAACTTTAGAAGGTAAACTCAACATTTTATAAGTTCTCATTCGAACAAATTTTAGTATTTCCATTTTTTATCTTTCAATAGAATTGAAATAAAGAAATTTATTTTGAAAAGATACTGTAAAAGAATTATTGTTCTTTACCTGAATAATTCATACACAGACAAATACAAGAGTACTTTATCATGAATAAAATTATAAATACTTATTTAAATATTAAAATATATAACGAGATATATTGTGGCTTAAATTAAAAATTTTAATAGAAGATTGGCTAAATAAACCAATCAAAATTAGTTATTTTAATATCAATTTTGTTAGTAAGATTATTATAATATGTGGATTTTATCCATAAATATTTTTACTTTGTTTATTTGCTATCTTGTTTGCTTTTATTAATATTATTATTATTTTTTTTTTGGTTATTAGTAGAGTTTTTTCTTTTTAATTTCATAATTTTTCTATCATTAATAAATTTTTTATGATAGAGTATTTAAAATCTAAATATTTTTGAAAAAATATCAAAATTTTCTAATAAATTAATAAAAATATCTTTTTTCCCAATAGACTTCTTTATGAAATACCTTAAGTAGTTTCTGAGTAATCGTGGTTAGAAACGCATCTATATCATGATAAATATAAATTAGCTAGCATCAATCTTTTTTTCTATTTTATCATTGTATTTTATTTTTATTTTCTGTTTGCAAAAACTGAATCACTAATTTAAACAAAAATATTTTAACAATTTAAATATAAATATATGAATGAATGAATTACTTTGGTATGTTAAATAATTATGTGACATTTTCATTCTCATAACAACTAAGTGGCCTAAAACAAACAAAAAAAAATGTTGTGAAATATTGCTAAATAATCAAAATATATTTATTTATTTATTTACTTAAATGCTGAGAAAGTTATATTTGCATAAATTGAGTAACTTAAAGGGATTTATACTTTTACTGGAAAACCTTTTTTAATTAGTACATCATTTACTTACTAATCTTTGAAAACTTCATAGAGGTTCATCAAAAGTTAATTGCCATTGCTTAAAAATTACAAAAGTGGCATAAATACTTTAAATTTTATAGGAAAGTCTTCAGAAACATATAATCCTAGTGTTTACTTTTTGATTTCATTTTTGTTAGTCTCAGTTATTTTAACTTCAAAAGGATTACCGTTATCCATTCCATTAATTTTAATATCTTTCATGCTCACCTAATAACTCAGCTGCTGCTAATTGTACATACTCTCATTTCTCCTATCACTTAAGTAAGAAGCTTCGTTAGGACTAACAACAGATTTGGTAGGAGATAAATCGCAGTTGCTGCTAATATACTTTTCGTAGTTTTTAAGGAATGGTATTCTTGTTTTTTTAAAGATCATATATCTATATCTTAGCTATAAATCATACTTATCACATGTGTAGCCTTATATTTTGTGACTTTGTTTTGATCCAAAGAAGGATTTACTTTAATTTATAGTAGTTTTTTCTATCTTAAGATTTCCTTAAATGCTATCTGTAGAGTTTAAGAGATCTTAAACAATTTTTTTCTTTTCTTCAAGGTCTACTTCTTACTATTTTAATAATTTTTATTAATTCATTTATATTTAGGTTAAAAAGTTATCTAAATAATCATTACGAGAGGGAAATGGAAAGTCTTTTCTTCTTTTTGAACAATCGTCAAAAAATCAAAGTCCGTTTAAATGTTTACTTATTTTTAGTTCAAGTTCAGACAATTAAAAAGTAGCGATTAAGCTCTTCTCTTAGAGCGATACTTTTAAAATCCAGCAAATGTGCTATCACACCTGACAGACCTTCCATATTTCCAGATTTTAAATGTATCTGAAGGTGCAAGTTTAGACACAAATGGAATAATATTACTCTCAAATTCCCATTTCATCTCCATATAAAAATCTGGAACATCTGAGAGCAACAAATTGTCAATTTCTCTTTTTTACTAAAGTAAAGCTTTTTTTTTAAAGTTAATGAGATTTTCGAAAAGTAAGCTGGCTAATTAATGGTCTTTCTGAGAAACTACTTCTTCAAAACAGCTCCAATCTTATCTGTCTCTAATTCGTGGATCTGCATCTGAAAAAACAAAAATAATTATATAAAAATAGCAAATATTAATATCTTTATTTTACCGTGCTTGAGCAATATTTTTATGATACTGTAATAATTTGGATTAGAATAAGATAGTTTGACTGCAAGCAGTAGAGGAGTATTACCTTTTTCATCGACTTTATTAATTAAATGATACCTTTCTTCATTTATAATTCCTTTTTAAAAATTAATATTATTTAAGATTTATTAAATCAATCTCCTTTAAAAAAAATACTCTTAACAATTGTTTCAACTAGTTGAATATTGCTTTAAAAAATAGCTCTCACAAGCGAATCATATATTTCACTATCTATAAGTCTATTTTATTCTTTTTTATCTACCACTTGTGCTGTTTTTACTGTTTGAGTATCAACTTTAACATCAATTGTATTAATTGTACCCACAAAAGTCTCATTTTCAGGAAAAGCCAACAAATCATGATCGTTTTATAAAGATTTTTTAGATTTACGTTAATATGCATCATTTGCTTACAAATATTACTGATTACTAAAATTATTCTGTAATTGTTGCATTTTAAAGCTGGATTATTTTTCTAACCCATATTTTTGCGAAATAGATGATCTAGATTAAGCATCTAGACCTAAGTCAGAAATACTGTTAGCTAAATTATTGGGAACATTATATTGTATTTAATTAACATTAAGAGTGTCGATGTCTTAAAACTGCTCTTACTTTATATTAGGAGAAATAATACTAGAAAATTTAGAGTTTGTATCATTTCCTACAAATTAGTTTTAGCTTTAAATTTATTAGTTTGAAACAATTTATTTGTTATTTTAATTTTATGTCAATTAATTTTATTTATTGTTTAAATAGGTTTAATTTTATATGTTATTTGTTTCTTAAAAATTATTTTTTTATAAGTTTTTATTTTCATTATTATTTTATGCTTGAGCGTTATTAAATTTTTTCTAAAGCTATTCTTAGAAGGCTGCCTTTTTTTCTTCTATATTTTTGGATTATTCTTCTAACTTAGCTTGAACTTACTACGATTTTATAACTTGCTTTTGAATGGATTCTTCTTTTATTTATTTGTTTATCCCATATGAAAAAGAAGTCGGTCTATTTGAAGAATTACTACTTTTTTAAGCCTGATTAGCTTGTGTTATAGAAAATTAAGATGCAGATGTTGTTTAAATAGAAGAACTATTAACTTATTTTTAATTAGGTTATTGATTGCTATTATTTTGTAGAATTTTACTCAATTCATTCGGAGATATCTTAGTCTAGGTATTAGGAATATTATGCTGTTAAAACTTAGAGCCATTTCCATTGATTTTTGAAGATGTATCTTTAACATTATCTTAACTTTAAATATTCTGTTTCTTCTATTACAATAAATTATTCTGCTGGCTACTAAAACTTAAATTAAATTTATTAGCATCTAATACACTTTAAGGTAACACTTAGGCTATTTAGTTTTACAATTATTACTGCTATTATATTTTAATATCATTTGAAACACCCTGTTTTATTAATATCTAATTATTATTGTATTCATAATTGTTTTAGTTTAAGTTCTCATCGCTATTTGTACGCTACTAAAATGCACTTTTATTTCTTACTCCTTTCACAGAAAAGTTTTATTTTTAAAGATCATCAAATGAACTATCTTGTAACCGCTTTACTGAATTACTAGCTTTTATACTTTAAACCTATATAGACCCATCATTTATATTCTTAGGAGTATGCTCAATATAACTTTTAGTAGTTTTTTAATCTCTAAAATACTTTTATGCTTATTTTGGTAAAAGAGTATGACAACGAGCTTTCCTTTCATTAAATTCTTTAATCTTTTAGTTAAAAAATGTATTTTTGTACTGATTAAGTATAGACTAGTTAATATTATAAGAAGGTCCTACAGCTTCATTTTCACTAACATCAAACTCAGAGCTACTATAATCATTATCATTTATATTTTCTTCTTCGTATCCTTTAATATGTATATGATTGCTGTTTTTAATATGATGGTACGCCTAATGTTTACTATCGCTACCCATTTCTATTAAATTTAAAGATTGATTTTAATTTTACATGCCACCTAGCTATTAATATATTTATGGCTAAGAACCATTTCTATAAGAAGGTTGTTAAAAAGATATTTTTTTATCATATTCATTTGTAGTACTTTAAGAGTTTGGATATTAAATTGAGCCAATCGATTTATATGCTTAGCTGTTCAGCGATTGATTAGATACGATTGCATTCAAATCATTAGAGCGAGGTTCAAAATCTTTATATATAAATATTTGTAAACAATTTTAAAATATTTCTTGTTAGGATCAAAATTTTATTGGCTATCCTTTGCACTTGCTAAAATATAAGGTTGATTATTAAATTATTTGCGTTTGCATGTAGAAAATAAAATAATCGCACATAAAACAGAAATTTTTTGTCTAAAACTAAAGGTGTATGATTTGAATAAATATATAGCAGAAAATTACCTGGTATTTTTTATTTTTACAGCCTTGAAGGATTAGAAAAGTATTGACTATTTCCTAGCTTCTTCATGTTAGAAAAAACGTTTTTGCTGCTTTCATTTTCATCTTCGTCAATTTACTATTAATTTTAAATACAATAAATCAATCAATAATCCATTTATCACTCAACAATTAGAAAATCTTTGGTATTAAATATGAATTAGGCTACAAAAAAAAATATAAATTTAATGTATGAATCCCAATTAATTTATTCATGTGTATTAAAATATCATACTGTGAAATCATCATGAAAATCTTCATTTTTTTTCTACATATTTCTTTAGCTGTATTCAGTAGTATTGCTTGCTTAATTCCTAATTTATTATTTATTTACTAGTTAGATTACCTGCTAATAATTTCAAACTCAATTTTACTGATTATTGTTTTCTATTTTTAATAATATTTCCAATCTATTATTCTCTACCCTAAATCCATAGCTATGTAAATTTTAACTATTTCAAACAATCTAATTCCTTTTTATTTATTTGTTTGATTCATTTTTTATTATGGTGGTCAAATTATTTTTGAATGTTTAATGAACACAAAAATATTTAATATATTTTTATTACTGATAAAATATTTTCTTTTTTGTTTTTTTAAATATTCTTAACAAATATTCCTTCATTTTTATTAAGTTTTAAAAATATTTTATAAATGATAATTAAAAAAGTTAATTTAAAAAAAAATTATTACAAAAACAACAAATAATAAATAATATATCTGTATTTACAGAAGTAAATATTAAATGTTCTAAATTTTAATTACCATTCAATAAAGAAATAAGGTTTAAGATAACCTAGGAATTAAAAAATTTTTTTGTATTAATATATATTGAATTACACTTAAACTTGAGCAACATTAAAAATTTGCATTTATTTCAATAAATAATCTAATGGAAAGACTTTTCAAAAGATACTCAAAATACAAGATATTAAGAATAGAGTATATTTTTTATTTTTTACTTATTCTTTATCATAAATAATTGTTTATTTTTAATATTACTCTAAAGGAGTGATTAAGATGAAGGATTGCAAGAAAAAGTTTTAGAAAGAATAAAATATAGAAATTAGATGATATTTCTATGGGTTACGTAATTAATTCATTTGAAATATTTTAAATGTAGCTTATGATATAAAAGATGTTAAAATATACAAATAATCATTGAAGTTTTTTGGGTTATAAATGGTCAAATTGCAGACTTCTATTGTCTATTAGAGTATGGTTGATTCTATTTTTACTAAATTTCCATTAATTTTGCTATTAAATCAAGCGGAAATAAGATAAATGACATAAAGGATGTACATAATTTTAGTAGAGAACTCATAATGCTTACTAACCTGAAAAAATTCAGTCTGTCACTGATGTAAATTTTTGCAATCTATCTAATGATAAAATATAATAAAAAAGAAATATGAATAATAAAATTGATGATTTTGAAGATTTATTTGAAAATATATCTTTGCTAAGTAAACTAGAGGATTTATAATTAGATTTCAGGTAAATTAAAAAATAATAATCAAAGTATAATTTTAAGTAACCAAAATTTTAATTATTTAGAGGAAATAAAATATCTTAAAAATCTCATTAAAATATTTGTAAGTTATTTTAAAAATTAAATAACTTAAAACATCTAGATCTCCTATTATCGTAAATATTTAGTGTATTTTCAATAAAATAATTTATATAATAAATTTAATAGTTATTCAGGAGTAAATAATAATAATTTGTAATCATTAGGATCTTCTTTTTCTTAAATGAATCATCTTGAAAGCATCTAAATAGATATTAGGTAAACCAATTTATGAATGATTTATAATTCTTAAATTTTAATATTAATAAAATATAGTAGAAACATATTTAATTCTTTAGGACTCTAAAATTTTTTTATAAGCTTTACTTAAAATAAATTTTAAAATTTATAAGAAATCGAAATTTTATGTGATAATAATTAATTAAATGAACTAAATAGCATTAAATACTTCTCTAATGTTATTAATACATTTAAATCGCTTAGCAGAATTAAATTAAGTTTATCTGAATGCAATGTATATTTTATATTATATTTCAAGGTTTTTTCATAAACTTATAAAAACTAAGATATAAGACTAAGAGCTTGCTGATTTTGTTAGTTTAATTTAGGCTAATTAGAATATTAGATTTTTTGATTTAGATTTGAGGTAAATTTCAAAGAAAACTAAATTTATTATTAAGGTTTTTAATGTAAAAAAAGTTTCAACAATTTGAGTAACTAAAGATTTTATCAAATTCACTAAATTTTGTCCTAACTCCTAAATCTCTAAAAGCTCAACCTCAAGTTAAGTTTAAAGTAGTTCCATTTTTTACATAGTATAAATTAATTTTTTTTTTTTAAGACAAGGATAAAAAGATACTTAGGTAGATCTTTTAAAATTTTGCAGGATTCTTTTAGAAGTAGGATATTTGACACAAATAAATATAGATTTAGAGTAATTAAAAAATATTTTGTAAGAAAATAAATTTATTATTTTTCTATGATTAGGCAAATACAAGAATTTTTATTTAACCCTAGAGGATACTTAACAACAATAAGGTAAGAATTGATGAGAATAATTATAATCAATAAATTGTTGAAGAAGTTAGACAAAAAATTATAGTTAAAATAATGGTTTATATGAATATTGTGGCTATTAAGTATCTTTAAAGATTTATTAATATTTTCTTAATTTATTTGTTTGTTTGTTTGTTTGTAAATCAATATTTAAATATTTAATGAAAACTATAAATAAGGTATATTTATTATTTTAAACAGAAAGATAAAATCAATTTTAAACATTAAATCATAATTATGTTTTACTCAAATTATTCCATTGTTTTTGAACCATAAACAAGGCAAATCCTCATTTTTGAAGAGTTTATTTATAATTTATATTTCCTAAAAAGCATTAAAGCTAGTAGCATCTATGTAGAAGATAATAATTTAGAAAAAAAAGAAACAACAGAGTAGCTAAATAATACACTTAAATTAAATCCAAAAAGCGGTTAAAGCATATTAAGCAATGATAAACTGGAGGTTTTAAATTAAGATTTAAATTAGAAGAAAGAGGAAGATGAAGAAAATTAAGAAAAAAATGTTCCATCAAAATAATTCAGCAAATTAAATACAGATCAAGAAATATTAAACACATCTGAGAATGTCTAGCAAATTGATGAAAGTGATGAATTCGATTCAAAAAAAAGACAATATACTGAAGAGTTTTTTAAATATGTCAAAGTTGAAAAATATAGCAACGAGATATAAATTAAAGAATTTATTCTAAACATTATTAAAAGAAATTTGTTATCGATTGATAGACTAATTGTCTACTTTAAACTAAGGCAATAAAATAAATACTAAATTGAAGATGCTTAAAATTATGGTGTTGATTATACATTATATCAATTAAGTACTAATACTTAAGATGAAAACTTAGATGCTTAAACTTAAAAGCATTAGCATTCTGTTTATCTTTTAAAAATTGGTGGAGCATTAAACATGTGGCTAGGTTATGCAAGAATAGCTCATAATGTTAACAAGGTAATAAGAATAAATATTTTTGCAATTTTGAGTATTTTAGCAAAGCTTTAGTTTATTAACTAAATGTCTTATTTTAAAAATAAAATATCTTAAATGCATGAAAATTTATAAAATTTGTAATTTTTAGATTTATTTTATATAAAAAGGTTATGATAATAGCTCAGATTAGTTATAATAATAAATAAGAAAATTATTTATGTAGTTTTGATTAGATTATAAAAGATTGGTTTCAACAAAAAAATATTAAAATGGAACGTGAAAACTAAAGCTAAAATATTAAACCGAAAGAAGAAGAGTTCGAAATTTAAATAAATAAATTAGTAGAGCTATTTAATCTAGACTTAATTTCATTTGGAGTTAGTAAAGACAACTGAAAATTAATTAGAAATTAAAAATTAAAAAATGATTTATTCAAACAGTTTAAATTATTTAAATTATTTTCATAAATATTAATTTTTTTTTTCATTTTTTTTTTCTGTATTCAGAATTCATTAATTTGCCAAAATTTAAAAAATTGCTAACTTTTTAATATAACTTTTATTTTTTTTATTTTTTGTCTAAATTAAAAATATTGCATTAAAAAAGAAATATTAAACTTATTTTTATTGGCTGTATGATTATTTGTGTTAGTAACAATAATTCATTGCATATAATCAAAAATATACTATACTTTTTTATAGCACTTAAGAATTTTTAATAATTAAATTAAATATTTTAAAAGAAATAAACAATCTTAAAAAAAAAAATTTGTTTTTTGCTACAAAAGAGTAGACAATAATTAATTAATTAATGTTTATTTGTAAATTTAGAAAAAGAAATTTTTTTAATGAAGTTTATCTAAAAATTCTAGAAAATAAAAAATTTGCCTTTTAAAATTAAATTGATAAATGTCTTTTATGATTCATAATTAAATTTATTTAAGTAGATAAATACTTAAATCTAATAAAATTTATTACCTTACTTTATTTTTGAATGATTGTTAAGTAATTTTTAGTTAAAATAAATAAAATTTATTAAATAAATACATGAAAAAAGTTAACAATTTTTAATAACTTAGTATGAATTATTTATAATTTATATATAAAATAAATAAAGGTACATTTTTATTATATTAAGTATAAGAATTATTAAGAAATTAATTAATAATATATATAGTTTTAAAATTTTTTATATTTAATAATTAAATTTTAATTTTATAATTTGTTTATTCTTTGCTTGCTTGTTTGATTATTAGAAAAAAAAATAAATTAATTTTTGAAAAATTTTAGAATATCTAATTAGGTTTTATTAGATTGTTTAAATCATTCATTTTTGTTTTTTTTAGAGAGAAAATTTTATTCGCTCAGCAACTATCTACTGGATTAGATTTTTCTTCATTGCAGCTGATATAGCTTTTAATTTAAGTTTTTAGTAAGTTTTATTTTATTTTGTATTTACATTTATTATCTTTGTTATTTTAGCCTTCGTAGCTCTGAATTAATTAAAGGCATTTACTGTTGCTATTATTTTTGTTGTTGGTATTTATACTGCCTTTAAATTGATTTTTGATGAGAGATGACTGACTTTGAAATGCTGAATTGCTTAAAGAAAATCTTCTTCTTCGAAAAAAATCCTATTTTTTTATTTTTTACGACTAATCGAAGCTGAAATCTTCATCATCATCTTCAACATTGTAATCAAATTCATCATCATTTTCGTAGCCCTTGAGGTATTACTCTAATTTGAATTTTTTACCAATTTATTTATTTTGGGCAGCATCTTTATCAACTTCAGAGTCGTTATCTTCATTTTATTAGCTAAAATCACTTTCATAACCGTTGTAAACGCTATCCATATTATTAGCTTCTTTAAATTACATATTTTTTTTCTTTCTTTCATTTGAGTCTTAAGAAAGCCTTTCATATAAAAATTCTACTTCCATTTTGTTTTAGTGAGAGTTGTGTAAAGACCTGTCATTCTATAATGAGCACTCTTAATCATTAATACTATTATTCTATTACTTTGAATGACTCAACATAACACTATAACTCCCATTAACATTTTATGAATCACTGCTACTTGATTATGTGGCAATAATAATTTTCTTTTTGTTGTGATTATACTAGAAATTGATTTATCTGGCATCTTTATTTTTACTACTCACACTACTAGAACTTGAATTATTTTACCCGTTTTTATTGCTATCGAGTCCTATTTTTTTAATTGTCTTGTTAAATGTTGATGCTGTGCTACTAGTATTTCCTTAAAAGTCTTTTTTGTCAAGCTCTCTATAGTTAGTATTTTATAGCTTTTACTATTACTGACTATTTTGCTAATTTAAATGGAGGTTGTTCATCTTAATATTGATTTGCTTTTGATCGCTTTCAACCTAAATGCTACTTTATTTTTTCTTACTCTAACTATTTTTTTGGTCACCTTCATCTGTCTAGCTCGATTATTGCTTTCTTTTCTTTTAAGGTTCTACATCTACTATGTTGTATTCAAGTATTTAATTTTAGTTATTTTAATTTTAAGTTGTTTAATTATCTTTTATCAATAAAGAGATTTTTCTCTTTTTTAGATTTGATGGATTTTAATCGATCTTGCTAGAATGATTATCTTCAAATTTACTTTTAGAATATGACTGGATGCAAATAACTTTAACTTGATTTTCATTCTAATTTTTAACTCTAAATTTAGCAACTTTCTTATTTTGTTAATTATTCATCGTACTATTGCTATTATTGTATTCGTCATCAGCAATGTGATAGCTTAATTAGCTAATCTAATCTATTTCTTTTCTGATTGAATTTAATTGTATAGAATTGTTATCTCTTTCTTTTTCGTAATTTGAGTTTTTGGATTATTATTTCGATAAAAATTATTAAGTTTAGTTTTTAGATTTTTTGCATTAAGCAGTTTGCTATTCTTCTTGTGTTTTTTCGATTTCCATTTGATTATTTTTTTCATTTTGATCTTTGGCTGTCTCGAATACAATAGGAAATTTTTATAACCTCTGCTTTATGTTTGAATCTTAAATTGACAAATTATAGCATATGTAATGGAAGGAGTTTTTCTTAAAAGAACTCCTGGGTGTTTAGTTGCAATCCTATTATTCATTATTATTATAGTTAATATTCAGAGTCTATTCTAAACTTGGAATTCCACCTCTCTTCTCGATTACTTAGTGAAATTAGTTTTCTAACTTATCTTGATTCATTTTTATTTCTATTTTTATTTATGAAATCTCGCAATATACTTTAGAGTAAGCAGCTTTCATTTCGTCCTATTGAATATTATTATTTAAGAAATTTAGTAATGAATTTATTTATACTCAATAAAATATTTACAATATTTTCAATCAACTTGAATTCTTTAGGTAGGTCAGTTGGGGTTTTTTCTAAGAAAGTCAATGTTGGGCCTTCTAGAAAAGACATGTATTTAGAAACCTAGTTATTTTTTAAAAAAAAACTATGCTAAAATTGTTAAATTAAAGAAATGTTGTTTTACTTTTGCTAAATCTTTATTAATGTTTATCGAATAGTTGTTGGACTTTAAGCATAAAATGAGAAGACGCTATTCAGATTCATCTTCGATGGAATCAGATTGACTTGCGTTTAGCAACTTCTCATATATGTATCTCTAAATTTGAATAATCAAATTTTCTGGTGACTTTGTATATTTAATTAAAATGAAAAATTAATTTCTGGGGGAACAATTTAATATAAATTACGATGTTTTCTTATTTGATTATATTTTTATTATAAAACAAAGAGATAGCCTTCGGGAACTTAAAAAGCAAATATAATGGGTGGATAATCTATATTTTAATGAAGAAAAAAAAAGCTTAACTTAAAGTTTTCAATTTATTATAATTTTAGTACTTTATGTCTGATGTTTTAAGCTGAAAAATATATAATCAAGCTTTGTAAATCTTCTCCAATTATCTTAGATTTATCGCCTGCTTCAATTTAGCTTCCCCCTAAGTTGTATTATTTTTCTAGGATAGATGGAAGAAATGGATCATACAAAGTGGATATATTTTATTCCTAAATTATAAAGTAAAATTTTGAGTCTAGCTTGTCAAAATAATAATCAATAGATCGTATACCTTGTGGGCTCTCTCTTAGAAAGGTTTTTTTCTACTTTCAACGATAAAGGGTGACGAAATGAAAGTAGAAACTAATTGATTATCAAAGTTAGTCATAGCAATTACTAATTAAAATGAATCGCCCTATTATTTAAATCAAATTAAATTAATTAGTTGCTGGTTAAATAGAGTGAAGAGTATTATTTTATTTAAGAAAAATTAATTCGTATATTGAAATTTAAATTTTCTCTAGAGTGAATATATAATGTATGGGGGAATAAATTTTGAATATATTTGCTTCAGAGATAAGGTTTTGAGAAATATGCCTTTGAAATAAATACAATTATGATATATTAAATGAAGTGAAAAAGTGTATTACATTTCGAAGAAGAAGAAGAAGAAGAAAGAAAAGAAGAAGGAAAAAAAAAAAGAATCAAAAGATACTTCTTTGAATATTTATTAAGAAAATATTGAAAACTAAATTAGAGCAAAAAGAATAATAATGGAATTAATTTATTAAAAAAATACATATAAATATTGAAATTCCCTAATGTAATTAAGTAGAAGAAAAAATAAATTACATGATGATGGAAGCTTGTTTCTTTGAATCTGACATGCTAAATCTAGCAATCGCCATGTTAATCGAAAACAAAGCTAAGTGACTTTGATTTCAATTCTATCTATCTGTACTTGTCTTCACTCTCAAGACGACGTACAGAAAGGAAGTGAGCTTTTTAGCACTAAAAACTTGTATCTTTAATTTTTATAGAAGGAATGTTTATGTTTTTGAATAAAAGAAGTTTATCTTCTTTCCTATCAAATAGCTTTCTATCAATAAAATCTACAGATATGGCTTGCGATTGGCCAAGTCTTAGCCACTCTATTTCGCTCCTTTTCGTGGTTGAAAACGATTTTATCTTGTTGGAATGTTCAACCAGTACTTCTTTCAGCGGGCCATTTGCTAAAGAAATTTCGTTTTGCTTAAGAACACTCATATGACTTCCTTCATTCTAAGTCTGCTTTTATGATTTTTTCATAAGAGTCACCTTGCTCAAATATTTAACGGAGTCAAGAATGACAGGTTTTATCTAAAAGGTGTTGTTTTTCAAATTGTTTCAATTTAAAATTATTACTGAATAATAGTAATGGTCAATTGAGGTTTTAAAGAAGGTTTTATTGTGTTTAAGTAGAGAGATTTTGCTTCTTATCTTTTCTTTCACTCACGTTTACTTTGTATATTGTATTTATTATTTTGTTTGATATTTGTTTTGGGAGAGGAAATAGTTATAATTAAATCAATTATTAAGTACATCAAAACCCAGTTGCTTTTTGCATCTCACTTTGTTACTTTTAATTAATCAATCTATACTCAATTACTCCCATATGTTTATTATATATTTTATTAAAAATAAATTCCTCAATAATTTATTCTACATTCTTTGATTAACAAAATTTGATTGAGTTTCTTAATTAAATAATGATAGCAATATATCAATCAATCAATCAAACAAATAAACAAACAAACAAACAAAGACACAAACAATCAAACCTACTACTTGAACGGTGAAAAAATTTTTTCTATTTAATTCTTTTTTACTCATAATTCATATCACATCTTATGATTTGTAACTAGCCTTAACTAGCGAGTGAATAAAACAGGGGAGATATCATATTAAATAATTACAAAACTCATTTTATAAGCAGTTTTTAAATTAATTTATAATTGATAATTTGTAAATAATTATTTATTTTTTCTTCTTCTTATCTTTCAATCCTAAATTTAACTTTGTTTCTATGATCCATAATTGCCTGCTGCTCAAATTTGTTTTTCTCTACCTTACTTGTTATTATGTGATTAATCTTTTAGTTATATTAGAAAAGCACTTTATGATTATATAAATGTTTCATAGAATTATGTCATAAATATTTTTATTTTATTTTTTTAAGGCTCTAAATTAGTAAAATTTAGTAAATTTGATAATATTTTTTTTAGGAGGTCATTTCCTTTAACAAACATTCAGACCAATCTAAATTTTGAAATAATTAACAAGTTACATCTGTATATTATCAGATTCTTACCCAACTATTAATTTGCATGAATTTATAAAAATTTAAAAAAAGATAATTAATAAATTCATATAGAAAGCCCACTTATTACTCCAAGTAAATTTAAAATGTTATATGCCGAATAATATGTGTTTATTTAAGCCAACTAACGCTCATTAGCATATAACTTAATTTATATTAGGACAAAAAGCTATTATCAGGTTTTACTTACTAAAAAAAATCTACTTAAAGCTAAATTATTCATTTTACATCAAAATTTTGATTGCAACTACATATATATCAGTTTTTTGAGGTTGAAAAGCATAAATTTGTAAGTTATTTAATAAAAAAATGATTTTTAAGAAAATATTTTGACTAAAGGTTTGTGCTTTATCGTTTTAAAGCAAGAATTATCAATTTTTTATTAATTAGTTAATCATTTTTTAATTTTGGATTTTTAAGTCTTGTGTAAAAAATACAAATTTATCCCAAAAAAAGATTGTTCACCTTGGTAAAATTTATATTTAATAAAATCTAATTTAAACGATTACATTATAATAAAATCTTCGCTACCAGAAAAAAAAGTAAAAAACTAAATGATAAATAAATTGTATTAAATTTCATTATATTCAAACGTTCAATTCGTTAAAAAAAAAATTAAAATTACAAAAATAACAAATTAATTTTCTAGTGCAAATAATTCCATTATTTTAAATACTTGATAACTTAAATTGTTTCATTCAAACTAAAATATTTTATTAATCATTTGTAAACTGTACCTTATTAAATAATTAATTTAAAATAATTATTCATTATACTATTTACATTTAATCTTAATGGTTTTTTACTTAGAAGATTAATTTCTCCTAAAACGCATATTCTATTTTCATAAATTAATATATTAAATATAGATAAATAACTCAAGGAAAGTAAGTGAAATTTAATAAATATTTAATAATTTTTATTTACATTTAGTTTAAATATTTTTTGTTGAAGTAAATTTAGTTGGCTATTAGCCAATTTTTAATTATTTTTGTATACTTAAACTAAATTATTCAATACAGATTTTCAAAGAATAAAAAATAGTATTGATTATAATTTCTAAAAAATTTTATTAGTTATTATAGACAATCGCATTATAAAAAAAATAAAATTTATATGATTATTTAATCTTAAATAGAATATAAATAATTAGATTTTATAAATTTAATTATTTCCATTTCTTTTAAGAAAAACAATTAATTTATTTTTATTAAAACTCAATAAATATTTTACAATTCAATAATAAAAATATTTTAATCTTTATATTTTATAAAAAATAAATAAATAATTTGTTTTAAAGATCTATGATAAATAATCTATTCGAATAATTGGATTTATCACTTATCAGTGATAATGTTGAGTATTGCGTGTCTTTAAGCAAAGTGCTTTTTAAATTATTTATTATAAATAATATTTTTGTGTTATGAAATAGAAGTGAAAATTATGTAAAAATATTGCAATAATCAGCTTGTAAATTGTTTTTTTGGAATTGAAGAAAATTTATGAGGAAAAATGAAAATTTTAATAAAAACTTATATAAAACTTTTGAATGCAATATAGAGAAAGTGAATAAATGATAAACAATTTTTCAATTTTCTTCTTATTTCTTTAATTTTTCTATTCTCGAAGTATTAATTAAGTTCTCTTCTTGCTTTATTTAATAAATATTTTGACACAAAATTTACTTAAAGAGTCTCTATTTTGATTTTTTGCTTTTATAATTTATGGATCTTTGAATCAAGCTATCAGCCAGAATTAAGAAGATTATTATGATGAACAAAGGCTTTTCTTGATTAATTTAGAAAAATTCACTTAAAAATTATGGGATGTGATCTATACTCCAATTTCGCTTTTAACAAAATAATATCTATTCATCATCATAAGCATCTTAATTAAAATTCCATTTAAAGAGTTTTTAATCAAGAGTAATAAAAGAGCGAATAACAAGAAGAGCCTGCTTTGCATTTAGCTATAAGAAGAAAGCAAAAAGTTTTGTTTACACAGCAAGTATTTATAACCAACTATACTCCGAATCTTTCATTTTGACCATCCTACACCAAATGAACAAAAAGCGCAGATTCTTAGGAAAGCTTATCGCCGATTTGTAGAATAATAGCGTGGTTGCTTAAAGTCCTTCTTTATCTCATGAACCAAAAATCTAGAAAAAAAGACTTATTGCAGTTCCTATGTACTACAATATATAGCCTCTATATGAATTTTTTTTAATCGGAGAAATAAATTTAGAGCTTCAACTCGACAGTGAAGAAGAGTATTTCCCTATAGGCATCAAGCAATCACCATTAAATAAATGGCGTCCATTTGTTAAGGCAGAATAGTTCCATAATAGAATAGAAATGACTATTGACGCAAGCTATCAAGGTATCTCTGAATTTGAATTTATCATCTAAAAGCTTTAATGCTGCTCTAATGATGTATATAAGTAGTTGGCTCACTACTTGCAAGCCTATTAGCACTTCATACGTCGTATCAAAGAAAAGATGCTCCAAAATCCTGTACCTCCACGTCTCTATGAATATAAATTCTAAAATTTTTTAAAAAAAGCGACTGAATATGTTGATAGTCTTCCTATTGACGGTCTTTACGCAGTATCTATTTTACAGCTTGACTATAATATATATAATACTAAACGTATTAAATTTATCGTAAGCAAAGCGCTAGCAGAAATAGTTGGTGGAGTTGATTAGGCTGAATGTGCAAATATCCTCCTCAGAAAGGGTTGGCTTGAGGTATTCGGAGGATCTTAACGTATTATGAAAAACATAATGCTGCTTAATCGTTTAATGAAAGAAGGTAGATAACTACTAACTTTCAAAATCTACACTGTTGATAAGATTTTAATTTAGGTGGAGGCAGAGATTGAAATTGTACAAAATCTTAGGACATTTGTTGACGTTGGATTTGTTGAAGTTATTAGATTTACAATATCACCTGAAACTCGATCATATCTCTATTAGATGAGAAAGTCAGATAACCAGCTTAAGAGTTTACCATATGAGCTGTATTTCAACAACAAAACATTTGATCCTTTACCACCTTCTACTTCATTGACTTACTCAGCATTTAATAAAGAGAACCCAATATCTAAACAATTAAGAGATTAACAAGATGATAATTTGGATGCATTTACAAACTAAGTAAAATATTTAAAAATTATTTTTAATTTACATTAACTTAAAAAACTTACTAATAAATAAATAAATAAACAAATTATTAGCAGTCATATACCTAGAGAAGCAGTGATACTTTCAAGATTGAAAACAATTGTTAATAAATTTTTAATTAAAGTACGTTGTATGGCAATTATTACTAAAATAACGGATCACACTCCTAGAGATCGTCAATAGATGAAGATAACGATTAAAGGTCATAGATGCCAATCAAGAAAGAAGAAGAGGAAACTAGCTTTTCTTATAAAAAGTTTAATTCTACTAATGCAAGTATTTCAAAAAGAAGTAGGAGCAATAGCAATAGCAGCAATTATAGTAACCAAGATATTCCAGGGGCTATGACTCTAAAAGAATTAGAACAACATGTTGATAAATAAGAATAAAAATAAAGATCTCATTCAGATTAATCTAGTGTAAATGATATTTCATAGACAGGTAAAAATAAACGCCATCCAAATTATGATTAGCATGAGCTAGATGAAAAGTACTCTAAAAAGAGTTAAGCCTTCATCGAAAGGTTTTATAGTGAATAGGAGGTATAAAAAATACTATTAAATCAGGCTGCTGCTGCAGCTCCAAAAAAATTGGTGTCACCTAATATTTAAGGAGAATCTCAATAGTAAACTGAATAAAAAAATGACTTTTCTTCAAGGGCAGACAGCTTAGATGTTCGCAGTAATACCTCATCAATATCTGAAAATATAAATATAAATATTTTAAGCAGTCCTGAGTAAAACATATATAAAAATAATAACGGATAAAAATAGGAAGACTCTTAAAAAACTAAAGTTAATTACTAGTTAATATAAAACCAAATAAATCAAAATAATTTTATTAGTAAAAACTAGTATGATTAAAGTAAGTAAAATACTTATAATATATAACCAAATGAACTAAACTAATAACCTAATTTTTAAAAAAATTAATTGTTTTAATTTGCCAGTAAAGCCCACTTCTAATAAAGCAGCAACAACCTTAATTAAAACACTTTAAATAAATAAAGCAACAACAATAACGTTTAATCAAACATATTCAGTACAAGCTAATACCCTGAATAAATAAATGAAGATCCTAGTTAGTTGAATCATATTTCTAAAGACGAATGCTTCTTATAGGATCAAACTTATATTGATTAAGATATTTACTAATAAAAAAATAAAATTTAAAAAAGTGATTATGGTCAATCTCAGGATATATAATTATAATATCAGACTGACTATCCATAAAACTATAATAATTATTAAAAAGATGAAATGTAAAACTATTGTTTTGAGGGAAACGAACTATAGCAACCAAAGTCATAGAATGGCTTGCAAGAATATGATAATTAACATTAATATCAAGAATTGGGAGGAGAAGATTTAGACTTATATGACCATCATTACTTTAATATTTTTGATGACGAGTCCTTAGGTTGCAAATTTGAGGAACTCTAACAAGAACAAAAAAAGCTTCATAAAATGATATATCACTAATAATACTATTGAAGTTAATCTATATATATATATAAACAGTTTAAATGTGTTTAAATTTGGTGATAATCAAATCTTCTTTTTATCATACTTATTTTGCTATTTTAATTGAAAGATTACTAAATAGATTTCAAGGTTTTGTTTGACTTCTTAGCTAATTAAATTTGTTTTAATTTTTAAATCATAAAAAGATTTAAAAATATTTGCTAAATTTTATGCATTTATTTTGAAAATTCATTATTAAAGATTTCATAATTAATATTTTTTTAAATTTTATCTTTTTTTAAGACAAAAACTTTCGATAATTTTTTTAAATTTAAATTTTTTTATCATTAAAAAAATTTATTTAAATTTGTAATAGTCATAAAATTTCTAATCATTTGAGCTGTAAACGATTTCAGAATATCTCCAAAATATTAAAAGTAGTTGATTTTATCTGAAAAAAAATGTTTAACCTATCATTAAATAGTTTTGCAGCTCTACTATACTTTCTGTGTAGTTGCCAAATATCAAATTAGTTTTTTTTTGAATTAAAAAAACATTGAAAACTTAGTATTTTTATTAAGCTCATAAGTATTTTTAATATCATAGGTCCAAATGTAAAGTTAAAAGTACTAACTAAAAGCAAATATTTTTCTCTTTCAGCTAATTAAATTTAAATTTTCCTTTCAGATTTATTAATTAAATAGTAAATTTGTTTGTAAAATATTAAATATAAAAGAGGAGGGAAAGAAATGCTAATTATTGAATGCATAAAAAAATAATAAATCAAACTTTTTGTAAAACATTTTTGCATAAATACATTTCTTTTTGTTTGTTTTTCAAAGTCTTAAAAATAATTTGTTTAATTTTAATATGCTAAAATAAGAAATTGAAAAGGAAAAAATGATGAAAGTGAATGAGTTAATAATATTATTTAATTATTAATTTTATACTTTAGATTAGATGTAATTATTTTTGTTTAACAATTAAGAGATGAAATAATAATATTAAAGTGAGTTTCTTTTTCAATTACTCCTTAATTAATGGATAAAACTAGCTTTAATGATATTATTAATATTAGATATTGTCAGACTCTTTCAAATGATGTATTTACTTATGACGCTTATTAATATTATCGCTAATAAAGTTATGCTTTCTCTTTCATTTAATTTTTCACTAAAGTAAAGTTTCATATTAATTTATTGAAAAGTCTTAAATTTTATGTGATACTGCTTTCTCATTTCTTAAGTATTTGTTTGTACCTGCTTTGTGTAAATCAGGTTTGACACTATTTTTAATATTTAAATTTTTCATCCTCACAAAAACAATAACCCTACAATTCTTATAAATTAATTAAAAAATTATTGAAACAAAAATCTTAGTAAAAGGATAAAAAAGAAAATCACAAACAATTAGAAAATATTGTAGAAAGGTTTTATAGTGATTAGTAGAGAGAGTATATATTTAGAAGAATGTAGAGTTAGTAATAAGGAGAGATTAGTTATTAAAATGTATTTAAAAACAGAGAATTATTCGTTTAGCTCTAGTAAACTATTCCTCAGACAATAGAAAATATCAAGCGAGCTGAATAAACTAGAGCAATGCTCTGGATGCTCTATCAAAGAATTTCTCAATAGATCGAAGTACCTGCTATTTCAGACTTTATAGCCTAGATAGATTGCTACACAGACACTCTTCTTAAATGCCTGTTTGATGTTAAGAAAGTAAAAAATACTGATAATATAGAGGAAGAAATCCCTGTTTTTAATAATAACTAAATCAATAATGATGAAGAATCTACAAGCGAATCTAATGAAGAAGAAAAATTTGTTAAAAGCAAAATAACTCTCTCACTTAAGTAAGATGTTAACATTTTTATATTAGAAGAAGCGATGGAAAAAACTAAAATGTGTATTTTTGATGTTATGATGGATCACGGATAGAGAGGTTTAAATGATAATGCGGAAAATGAGAGGGTTATGGAAGAAATGATTGCTTATTTTTTGTCTGCCAATGGAAAGTTAAGTTTGTTAATCGAGTTGTTACCTCTAATTGTTTATTTTAATAAAAATGATTTAATGTCTCTTCCTCGCTACGATGAAAGATGGAGAAACCTTTATAGGAATTCACTTAGATACAGAAAGCTTGCTTCAGATGCTGAATTGATTAACAGGTTAAAAGTATTTGAAAAATCTATCTACCTTGCTAACTCCCTCTGCTATAAAATATACAATATTGAAAATAAGCCCCTGAAATAGTTTATGGCGTTAGTACGTAGTGCTTAATATTTTTTCTTTAACGAGGAAGCTCGTCTTATAACAGTTAAGTTTTAAACTAATCCCGATCCTAAAGCTGCCATCCTTGTTTGGGATGTCATAGAATAGATAAAGATGTGGGAAATTTTCGTTGCTAATGTGATTGATAAAATTGAATATCACGAAGTAATATAAATAGATGCTAACGCATATCCTACTCTCACTGAAGAAATGATCAAAAGTGAAATTGAAAGCAATACGATTTATAACAAATATCAATCAGAACCAGTAACTAAAAGAGTTCCTTAAGATAAAGACATAGACACAGCTTCACCAAATAAAATACAGCTTCGTGTATTATGTGCAAAAAATCTCTAGAGAAGAAAATATGGCCAGCCTTTAAATTTCCCTTCAAAGAATAAAAGCGTTACTTCTACTTTGATAGAAGGAGTTAAGAATGTGTTTAAATTCTCTTCAAAGCTAAAATTAAATCGTCAACAAAAACCTAATAATAATATAGATGAAAATTCTGAAAATGATGAAGATGATAAAGGAAACGTATTTTATAGATAGCCTAGTTTGAAAGGAGAAAGAGAAGTGTTTGACGAAGTTATATTCCATATTCATGGAGGAGGATGGATAAGTATGTCTTCTTTTTCTCATCAAATTTATACAAGAAGATGGGCTAACTTGTTAAAGGATGTCCCAATATTCTCAATTGATTACAAACTCCTTCCATAAAATAAATATCCTTCAGCAGTTGCAGATTGTTTTTAAGCTTACTGCTGGATATTATTTAATGCAGAGGACTACTATAATATTAAAATAAATAAAATATTGCTAGCAGGTGATTCAGCTGGAGCTAACATGGCTCTTGGTGTTTGTCTCTTAGCACATAAATATGGGATACGCTAGCCAGATGGTTTACTTTTGTGCTATCCAGCTGTTAATTTAAGTACAGATATATATACCCCTTCTTTCCTAACTTCATTATTTGATCCTATTGTTCCCCATACTTTCCTTAAAAGTTGTGTATCTATGTATGTCAATAATAGTGAAGATTCTAAGAAGGATCCATTCCTCAGCCCAATACTATTCCCAAGTGAAATCATGAAAATATTACCAGCTATGCGTATTATGGTTGGAGAAGATGACTCATTACATGATGATACAATTCGCTTTACAGAAAAATTAGTACTCTCAGGTCACAAAAATGTTAAAACAATAGTATATAATTTAATGAGACATGGTTTTCTTAACTATGATTATCCCTTTGGTTTCGATTCTTCCTAAGCTATATAAGATACAGGAATAATGTTAGCAGAATTGCTTGATCCTGTAAACACTTACGTGACTTATTGATGATATATTCTTTCTTCATCATTTTAAAATTCATAATTTTAGCTTACATTAATTATAACACTATTTTATAATACCTTATTTTTAAACAAATTATAAACTATCATTTCTTTTATTTTTTTTGTTGAAAATATTAATTTTATGATATAAATAATTTGTCTTTATTTTATATCCTTAAATATCTTCAAAAATATGAAAATGTATAATAAGCTGATCACATTACAAGCTTGAGTTCTTACTTCTAATTTTTTTTTTTTTAGAAGCTTTAAATTAGTAATTTTTTTAAATATATTTTGAATTCCTTTATTTAGATAAAAAAAAATAAAAATCAAAAGGATAACAGATTGATAATTAAGTTCTACTAAAACTTCAGTTTTCAAACTTTCATATTTATATTTGAGCTTTTTTCATTATAAAAAATAATAAAACGGTTAATTATTAAAACAACAATAATTTTTTTTCAATTAAAAGGTTTTAATTTTTATAAAACAATATCTAAATAAGCTGTGTTGATATGTTTAGAGAGAAAATATAAGAAAATAAAGAGTCTACTTATATTCTAGATTTTTTTCTATTCTCTACTTAATTACATATAAAATATTAATTTTTTGATTAATTTTGTAAAAGATATTAAAATTAATCTTTAATAAAGGCACTGTAAAATCTTAAGAAGTAAAAATTACAAAAAATGGATGAAAAATTAAAAAAACTGGTGTTTGAATTATTGTTAGGAACTGAAAAGTAGTATGGATTTAAGATCATTTTTGCAGGTGAAACTGGTTCAAGATCTTACGGCTTGGAAACTGAAAATTCTGATGTAGATATTAAAGGCTTCTTTTTATATTCTGAAGATAAATATTTAAGTGTATTGAAGTTAACCTCTTACTTAAAACTAAACCATGAAACAAAATTAAATCAGAATATAGACGTGGATCTTGAATTGATAGATCTCAGGAAATATTTAAGAGATAGATGTAAAAATGTAATTTTAGATGAAAGTACTCTTTGGTTATAGACAAAAAGTGTTTACATAGATTTAATTCCTAAAGAGTTAAAGATTCTTTTATAAACTAGCATTTAGCCTCCTATCTTTTAAATATGGAGTAAAATTAGCAAATATTAATAAAAGTTTATTAAGTCTAAATAATCAGATGACGGATTGATTATTGTGAAAGATGTTTTAAACTCTATTGTTTAAAGTTATTAAGTATTATATATAAAAATGAAAGGCGGTGTTTAAGATATGTAATTAAATTTTGAAAGTATTTATAAATAAGTAAAGTAAATCTTTTTAGAGCAAAGCAAAGATTAAAATAATTCAGAATTAATACAATTAATTGATAAGATGTATGAACTAGGGTAGATTTTATTTTAATTAAAAAAGCTTGATAACAAAAATAGGATGCTTTTGGAAGACTAGAGACTAAATGATTATTTTTATTTTATGTAAAATTTCATTTTAAATGAATAGCCTGTTGAAAGAAACGACTTTGACCACTTGAAGAAATCTAATAACATATTTAGACTATTTTTGTAGGAGTTATCAAAAAATCTTGTTTGATAGAAATTTTGTGTGATTTATTTTTGATTTAATAACTAAATTATTTGTAAAAGTTAATTTAATATTTTATTCAGCTTTAACTATGCTTAAAAATAATTTTATTTGATAATAATTAAAGAAAATAACTTAACTATAAAATAAGTTTTTAAAAAAATTGATTATCAATTAAAAATATTAATTTTCAAATATAATTATATTTGTAAAATAAGTTTTTAAAAAGATTGATTATCAATTATAATTATTTATTTTCAAATATAATTAATTATATTTGATAATTTATCATCAGAATAATTCTTATTTCATCTTAGAATTATCTCCTTAACTTAAGGAAATTTGATCATTTTTTTAAATTTATGAGTAAATTTTGGATAAAATATTTTTGATCAAATTTTTGATGAATTTTTTTTTTGATCAATTTAAATATTTAAATATTAAGAGCTTATAAATAAAGGAAATACTTGTTTTTGTATTGTTATTATAATATCTTTTAATATTTTAAAGTTTTATTCTTTTGAAAATATAATCAATAATTATTAATTCAAAAATCCGATTTTTTTTTCTTCAACAATAGAACAGAAATAATTAAGCTTTAAGCCAATCAAAATAAGTATGGAAACAATTCTTTGGTTTATAATGCTTTTAAGCAATTTTTTCGCAACATTGCTTGCTGTCTATTTCTACCTTCTTCACGAAGACTTCAAAAACGAAAAAATAACTGCCTATAATTTGACTCAAATATTATCTAAATACATTCCAATTGAAATCATATTTTAATTATTAGTAACTACTTTAAGTTTTATACATAGAAGTTATTTGCTTTTTATTTTCTTAATTCCTTTGGCAATATTTAATGCAACAACATTAATACGAAGGAGCTATAAAATGTATGGGTTTACTGCTTCTGAATACCGCTACTAATCCAAACAACTGCAAAATTAAATGAAATACAAATCTTTAATTTATTTAATATTATGTCTCTCTATAGGATTTAAATTTTCTCAGGCGTTTGCAAGAATGGCCATCTACAGAATCAATTTTTTACTTAAAAACATTGATGGATGACTATTTAACAACAAATAGTAATAAAGAGCTTGCAAACTTAAAAAAAAATCTGCAAGAATGTTCTATTTCAATCAATAATTTTATGTAATTATTATCAGCTACAAAATAGCAGGTATTAATTTATAATCAAAATAGTCAGTCTTAAATCTTAATATATCTAGAGTAAAAAAATTTTAAAGATAATAAAATATTTAAGCAATTATGACTATTAAATACTACTACTATAATAATAATAATAATAGCAATATAACTATCTATCTATATTTTATATTTATTTTCTATTGGTATCTATCTATCTATAATACATGTTAAAATTAAATTAATAGCTTCTTAACAATCATTTAAAGCCAATTTAATAGAGAAGAAATATCTATTTATTTTTAATATTAAACAGATGATATTTTAATATAATAAATCATTTACAATTTTTAACAAGCCTTTTATTTAGTTCTAATCTTACTTGTTAAAATAGAGTCTAAAAATAAAACCATAATATTAATATTTTATATAATAAAAACATTTGGTTAGTTTATTTTTGTTTAATTGATTGACTGTTTTTGATGCTTTTATTTTATATAAGATTTAAAAATTTTTGGCAACTTACTATTTACTGGTAGGAAACTAATAAATGCAAAATGTAGTATCAGACAGACATTAATTAATTGATGATAAGTATTTATCATAGTAAAAAAACTTTATGTTGGTCGAATATTGATATATTTTTTTAATTTCTTGGGTAAGCAAGAAAGATAGATAGATATTAGAAATGAAAATATGCTTGCTTTTTTTCTTATTGTTCTGATAAAAAAATATTATTTGAAATAAAATGATGCATGCATGAGCTATTGGTTTTGTTCATTTTACAATAAAATTGCTTATTATTGAATAAAGGTTTATATACTAATGTAATTAAATATATTAGCATAACAAACAAAAGAAAAGAAAAAATTTATATTAAATATTATTTTTAAATAAGATAAAACACAAATAAATAAAAAGCCAGAAGAAAGAAAAAAAGTATAAAAGAACTTATTAAGATATAGTAAAAGATAATACAGTTTTTGATAAAAAAGTTAATAAAATGCATCCAAATTAAGAGCAAGAAAAGTATGGAATGCAAGCAAATCGCATGAACCCAACTGCTGGAAACATGGTAGACTAAAGCAAACAGGATATTATGTATCAGAATAATTTTAATGGAGGAAATAATCCTAATGAAATGAACTATTATAGGAATAATTAGCTTCAATAGCAGAATTTTATTGAAAATAGTAATTTAAATTTTGAATTAATTGAATATCAGTTTTAACTAAATGATCTATATTCCATTGCACTCAATTATCTTTTGCAAAAAATATTTAATTAAATTCTTTTTCATTTGATGGAGTATTAATCATTATACTTATTTTATTTTACTAATATTAATCAACTAAATTTATTAACAGATAATAACATGTATGCTGCAAATAACATAAATATGGTTAAAAATTAAATGTTGAATTAACAGTAGGTAATGCCGCCTTAGGGTTAATATATCTAAGACCCAAACGCTTAGGTTATTCATTAGTAGTAATAATATGATGATTAAAATTATTATCCTATGAATGGAGTGAATACTTAACAAAACTAGTAGCATCAGTTTGTGAATATGCAAGGTGATATGCAAAATCAATAAATATTGAAATAGGGAAATGACTTTTAATAAATTTAATATATGATGGGTGGTGGAGAAGGTGTATAAATAGATCATCAATATACTATGTACAATTAACTCTAAAATCATTAGTTTGACTAAAATTATGGTATGAACAACGATTTAAAGCCTGCTACTGTCAATTCTTAATATCCTTAAATAGGGAATCCAAACTATTAGTCAGCCTAGTTTTACTAGAAGCAGTAGCATTTAAATACTTTATAGGAATAAAACCAAAAATAGAATAATTAAGAAGTAAAACTCAAACAACAACCAAATAGCGACACCGAAGATCCCTATTTTAACTCTATATTCATATTCTAGAATAGGTTTGATGTTCCCAAGAAATATTAGCTTCTTGTCCCTATAGGTAAATGCTTAAGCTTAACAAATAATATATAAATAGATAGTTGTTTGTTTATATTATTAATTCATCTTTAAAAAAATAAAAAATATTTCTTTATGTAATTTAAAAGGCATAGGAGGTTATGGAGTTGTTGCTAAAGCATTTGATTAAGAGAAATAAGATTTTGTTGCTATAAAAAAAATATTTAAGGTATTTATTTTTTTATTTAGCTTTTTATGCAGTCAGCAAAACAAATAAGAGATCAAACAAAACTATTCATAAATTTACTTAAATGATTTTATATTAAAATGTTATTCATTTAAAATAAATAGCCTTTCTTGAATCCATTAGAGACAAAAAGAATTTTGAGAGAAATTAAAATATTAAAAGCTTTAGAGCATGATAACATTATTAGTATTAGAGATGTTTTATCACCTGTTCCTAAAGAAAAATTAGAAGATATTTATATTATTTCTTAACTTATGGATACTGATTTACATTAAATTATTGCTTCAGACTAAATTCTTAGTGAAGATCACATATAATTTTTTATTTATTAATTGCTATGCGGTCTTAAAGTATTTTAAATTCATTAATTTATTAGTATGTTAACTAAATTTATTATTTCTTAAAGTACATTCATTCAGCAGGAGTATTCCATAGAGATTTAAAACCAGGCAATCTATTAGTAAACTCAGACTGTGTGTTGAAGGTAAGTTTAGCTCAAATCAATATTTAGGTTAATTTAGATATATTTTTATATAAATAGATATGTGATTTTGGTCTTGCAAGAACTGTTGATACAAAGGTTAATGTCTTGGTAATTTTATAGAAGTTTATTTATTTTTTTACTAAAAATTTTTCAATTTTTAGGTTCTAATGACAGAATATGTAGCTACGAGATGGTATAGAGCGCCTGAATTGCTTTTATCTTGGAATAAGTACACAACTGCTATAGATATGTGGGCTGTTGGTTGCATTTTTAGCGAATTATACATGAGAAAGCCTTTGTTGCCAGGAGAAAGTTACTTAAATTAGCTCATTTTAACTCTTAATTTAACAGGTACTCCATCTAAAGAAGATTTAGAAAATATACAAAGTGATAGAGCCAAATAATTCATTATAAGTTTAGGAAATAAAGCTCCAAAAGATCTTTCTAAATTAATACCAAATGCCTCACCCTAGGCAATTGATCTTATTAGCAAAATGATAGTCTTTAATCCAGTAACTTTGAATTTGCAATAAAAGCTCCCATACAATTTTATTAAAAATTATATTAGGATAAAAGAATAAGTGCAGAAGAAGCTCTTAAACATCCCTTCTTTGAAGGTATTCGTGAATCAGAATTTGAAGTAGAAGCAAAAGTTAAATTTGATTTTGATTTTGAAAGAGAAGATATTACATTAGATGAATTGAAAGATGCAATTTATCAAGAAATGTTAAAGTTCCACCCAACTTTTGATGAAAATAACAAGGAAACATACCACATCCCTATTAAAAGAGATTCCGATTTATTTACACTTGATTATGATGGTTCTAAAATATATATAGGTAATAAAAATAATAATTGTAAAATTTATTTAATTTTACCTCATTTTTAAAATAGATTATAAGCTAGGATAGAATGATTAGCCATAATAGGTAGTTTAAAATATCTAATAAATTAATGAAAAGATGGTTAAAGATATAATAGGAGTAGATGGAAATGGTAAAATGATTTAGGACTAGCAATTCATATAGATGCCTTATTATAATAACACTATTTTTTCACCTTCATAAGTGGAATAGCAAAATTATTAGCACTATTAACAATAGTAGCAATAGCTATATTAGTAGAATTATAACGTATAATAACAGTAGCACTAAACCGATACATAAAATATTGAATACTAGCAACAATAGTAATAACCACATTTACAGCACTAGGCTGTGTTTAACCATGAAGGTGGTAATTAATATATGGATATTTAGCAGTAATAATAATAATAATAGTAATAGTAGTAATATATGATGAATCAACATTATGTAGATTATAATAACAATAATCAAGTTTTTATCAATCAGCAATAAGAAATTGATCAAAATGATACATAAATGAGAGAAGAATGAAATGTGTATTAGTTAGCATGAACTAATTTATTCATAATACTAACTCTGGATTGTTAAATTTTTAGCATTGCTATCCTCATCTCACTTTCAATAAATTTACTTTTCTCTCAGCTATAAATAAAATGATAAAATAAAATAAATTCCTTTTTCAATTAACCTAAATTATTTTAAATACTAAAATGATGGTAAACCAGATTTTTAAGTGTTAAAAAAAAACAATAAAAAATTTTTTTCTAATGATAAATAATTAAGTCAGATAAAACTATTCAGCTAAGCTTTAACTCTTGCTATAATTAGTATACCAAACATAATAAAAAATAGGCTTTTCTTGTTATTTAGCAATTAAGCTCAAAAAACTCTAAAAATCTACATACATATCTACCTATCTATCTATTTATCTATGAAGAATAACTCAATATTATTTTAATTATTAATAAATAATCTTTGTAATTTTCATTTTCATTCATTTTCTGTATAAAAAATTCTCATAATTATCCAATTAGAAACTAAATTATAATTAATTATTTAGCTTTTTAAAATATTAATTTTTGTAACATAGGTTAAAATTTACTTTTTTATTTTGGGAAATAATACTTTTTAAAAAATTCCTAGTGCAAAAATCAAATATGAAAAGAACTAGAAAAAGAGGAAAGCAAAGAATGAGTGAGTGAGTTAGTAGTTTATTATAAAAAATTTTTATAAATTTAAATAATGCTTTTATGTAAACAAAAGGAATAATGTGAGTAAAAGCTAAAGAAATATCAAAATATTTTCTATTAAAAAACTATCTTTACAAAATAAATACTTTCTCTTAAATTATTAATTTGTCACTTTAAACCATTATTTATAACTATTTATGAAGTGTATATTTAATTACTCAATTTATGCCATTAATTAGAAAAAACAATACTCAATTGTAAATAAATTTTGCATAAATTGTATATCTATCTATATTTTACTAAATTTTTTAATAAAAAATTTTTTTAATAACCTTTCTTTTAACTTTCTACTTATATCAAAAATTAATTAATTAAGAGCAAAAAATACTTATATACTAATGCATGAAGTAAGGTATAGCTTAATATAAAATGGACTAAATTGATTTTCGTAAGAACTCTTTTCAGTAAAATATGAACCAAGAATGTAATATTTAATAGTTTGAGTAATTCCATCAAAAGCTAAAATAAGATCAATAAGGGTAAGATGATTTCAATAGCTAATAAGGCATTATAAATTAAAAGTAGAGATAAATGTTTTTGAGGTAGCAAAGTCTGAATCCATTCTAAGAAAATTCAATCTATTCTGTTTAAGATTAATTTAAGAAAACTTTTTTTAGAAAATGTAGAACTATTTCTAAATATCCTTCTGTTATTTCTCAGTAAAGAAGTAGTAGTTCAAATACAAGTTAAATTTATAACTAAAATAAAGAATAATCCCAAAAAATAAAATTCAGTCATGGATAAGATATTGACTTAGACTCTATTTTTAATGAGAACAGGAAAGAGAAAATAAGTAGAATTGCTAATAAACCTGAATTTTTTAGTGAAAATGAATGGAAAAATATACCTGATGATTTTGAAGAAGAATATTACAACAGTAATGGTGGCAATTAACCAATTAAAAATAATATCTTAGCTTCACGATTACAGAGTAGTGCTAGATAATAAGGAAATAATAATTCTTTAAAAAGTTCATTTTAGCAATATAATAATAGGAATTCTTAAAATATTTTAAATGCTAATTTAGTTAATGATTCAACATAATAAATACAGTTGAGATATCAAAATATTATAAATGATAATTATCGAGATAAAGATAAAAATGACGACAAAAGTATTTATTAACAATAATAATTAAATAACTCATGCATCTAATTTATAAAGGAAATTAAATAAAGAAGCAAGTCTGAAGATACAAAAAAAGTAAAAGTGACTTATACAAATAATGTTACAGAAAACTTAAATTAATTATATAAATACTAGAAAAATATGCCAGAAATATTTAAAAACTAGAAAATAAATTCTATTTTTTCTAGTAAATATGAATAGAAAACAAATAATATCAAAACTAAAAATTTCATTTCAAAAAGTCTTTAGGATATTGGTAAATAAAAAATTATTTAAAATAATTAAAATGAAAGGTTTAAAACCGAGCCTCATTTGTAAATTCTAGAAAATATAAATTCTTAAGAACAAAAAAATAATATAAAAATAGTGAATAGATAAAATGCAACAAATAAAGACAAAGATGAATAAAGCTAAGGCATTAGCTTATTTGAAAAAATAAATATTATTAGAAGATGGATTTTTCTTACATTTGAAGATCCTTCATATAGTTTTTTTTCTAAAATGATATGCTTTTTTTTATAAATCACTATTGCTTTGAGTTGTTTAATTTTTATATTAAATACTGTTTATCTTACTAGTGATACTGAATAAAATTTGACTGATGGAATAAATTTTAATTCGAACTCTGATTCTACTGATTCAAGCAACTTATCTTCTTAATCTACTAACGATATTAGCTAATCTGTTATCAATTATGCTATTTTTTCTATTTATGCTGAGTTTATTGTTTCAATTATATTTACTATTGACTTATTTTTAAGATTAGTTTGTTGTAGCTCTTTTGGCATTCCAGTTAAAGCTTATCTAAAATAACCAGTGAATTTAATTGATTTAATATCTATCATCCCATTTTATATTGTGTTAATCTTCTAACAAACTCAAGTCAAGTAACTTTACATTCTAAGAATAGTGCGTTTGCTTAGAATAATTCGTGTTTTTAAACTTTCTAAATATATAAAGGGATTTTCCATTTTATACAAAGCATTGCAAAGATCCTATAAATAACTAATTTTTGTTTTGAATTTAATATTAATTATTGCACTTTTTGCATCCACTTTGATATATTACTTAGAAAATCACTTAACAAATAGCAGTTTATAACTTAGTGATATTGATCAAAGCTTAAAAATAGAATCTATACCTCAGTCATTTTGGTTTACACTTGCAACTATGTCAACTGTTGGTTATGGTGATAAAATACCAAACACAATACTTGGAAAATTAGTAGCTATGTGTATAGCTTTTGTGGGTAATGCTCTTATGATTGGACTTCCAATCGCTATCATTAGCTATGACTTTTAAGTTATATATAAAGAATAAAAAGAAATGGAGAGATTTAAAAGTATCAAAAATAAAAGCATTGAGTAAATTAAAAAGCTTTAAAATTCAGCACATGCTTCTTTTAAAAAATTTTATTCTGCATAGATGACGTAAGAAAATGATAATAAAGAAAAGTCAACAAATGAATAAATTCAAATCAATTAATCTTTTGAAATCAGTCCTTAAAATAATTAAAATGTCAAATATAAAAACAGAAATTAATAAAATGATATTATTTAAAACTCAAATTTTAATTAAGCTCTAAATGGTAGTTTTTTAATTGATGAAATGGTAAATTAAAAGCCAGAGTAGATATTTAATGTCAATAAATAATAATAAAATTATTAGTAAAATAAAAATGATATATAAAATTATTAAAATTCGCAAGGAACCATATAAAAATAAAATATTTAAAATTTTCAAAATACATTTTTGTAAAGTAAAAAGGGTGAAAAGAGCATAAATAACTAAAATTAAACTGATAGCTAATATAGAATAGGTGATAAGTAAAAGATACATTTTAAAAGAACTGTATCGTAGTTTGATGGTTAAGAATAAGAAAATATCTAAAAAACTGAATAAAATGATGAGTATGAGGCATAAATTATTTATATGGCTAACAGGCTAAAATAAATTTCGAAAACTAATAAAGCAATTAGAGAACTTACATTTTAAATTTCTAAAATGTCTTATGTTGTGACTCTAGATATAGCGAAATTATACCAAACTTTTTCTCAAGAAAAGTAATTAAATTAAATTAATAATTATTCTAATTTTATTTATTTGTTATTTTAAAATAGAAAATTGTAAACAAACAACTAAAAAGAGAGAAGTGATATAGCTTATATGGCATAGAAATGTGAAAGCACTAAGAATTCACTGTTAAAATAACGTTTCAATTCAATAATTGCTTTTTAAAAAAGTGTAAATAACAATCTATCAACTAAGATTAGCTTAAATTAGTTTATGTAGCTGAATTAGGCCAGCTTCTCTAAAAAGGGTACCCTAACCCTTAATAGCAACTCCTAAGTATTTCAAGAAAATAGAAATCCAAAATCTGCTAAATATTTTAATAGCTAGAAACTATCTTAAAATTAAAATTAAGTTAATTAAAAATTTATATCTGAAAGCATTCCAAGGAGCTAACATTATTACTAAAAAGAAAAGAATTTTGAATCTTCTAACTTCAAATAATCATTCCAAGAAATAAATGATATAAATGCAATTAAATAAAATCTTATGAACTAATCTAACTCTTAAAAAAATAGAAGTAAATCTGAATTTTACAGAAGATTTTCAGAAGTCAACATTCAAAATAAATTTAGTCAATAAAGTAATTAATTTATTTTGTTTTCAAAAATTATAATTATTTTATCTTTTTATTTTAATAGAAGCTATTTATAAGCTAGATGAAGCAGAAGAGCTTAGCGAAAAAAATAACTAGTGTTAATTTTCTGATTGCTAATCTGAAAATTTTGCTGATGATGAATTGCTAGAAGAAGAATATGGATAAGTCAAATTATAAAATAAATATATTTAAAATTTACACTTTATTAAATAATTGTCTTAGTAGTCTAAGTCTAAGTCTAAAGAATTTAAACATAAAAAAAATATATAAAATGAATAAAATATTTCAAATTTAAATTAAAACACAAGTTTGATATATAGCAATTCTAAAAAAAGTAAAAATTCTACAAAATAAGATTCGTAAGTTAAATAGAGCTAGAACTCTGAATTTAATGTTGAAGCCTCTATAATTAATAATGCCTAAAATATATAAAAATAATTTAATAATGAATTAAATTCATCAAATTTAAACTGTGTGAATAAATAAGAAAGCTTACTAAATAAAAATTATTTGAATAAATTTAATAAAAAATATGATTAAATGAAAAATTATTTACAAAAAATTGATGTTTTTGAGGATAATAATCTGACAGATTAGGTCAGTAAAGTTTCTCATAAAATTTCTAAAAAAATAGAAGATGATTCATTAAATGATGTACAAATAGATAAAATGAATATCAAGAAAATTCCTAGTCAATAACAAATTCATTTTAGAAACAATTTAAATGAAAATGAAAATCCATAAAATTTAGGTTAAGTAGAGTAGAGACTTTATGTCTAGCAAGGAGATAATAATTAGTTATCTTAATAAAAGAATAGAAAAGCCTCACAACTTTAAAATATAATCCAAGATTTATTGCTAAATGTGAGTTTAGATATTCAAGAATAAGAAGAATAAAAGTCAGTTCATATTAAGTCTATTAGAAATATTGAAAATCAATAATAATTTAAGAATTTCATTAAGGGTGATTTTAGTAAAGAACTATATTATAAACTCCCTCAAAGCTAATTTTAATGAAACAAAAATTAAAAAGCATTAAGTGTATATTTTTAGATTTATTTTTTAAAAATCAATAATTTATTCACTTTAAAGCGTATTCAAAAAATAAAATCAGTAAATTTTTTTAGATTTATAATAACATTTAAAAAATTATTATTAAAATTAATTAATTGATTTATATTATTCATATATTTGGTCAATCCCTCGTTTTAATCACAAAGATCATTTTTTAGTTTCATGCTTAGGCTATACTACCTTTGCATAGTCAAAAAATAATTATTATTGTGAAAGAATATTATTTATTTTTAAAAAGTTTACTCAATTTTAATAAATAAAAAAGAAAAATTAATACTGAATGTAAATTCTCATAATTAACTAACAAAAAAATAAAATTAAATAATTATTTAATTATTTTACCATTTTTTAAAATAATTGGAATTATTTGGGGGGTTTTTTAACGGAAGAGGGTTTACAATTATAAATTTTAACTTTAATCTATTTATTTAATTTTATTTATTTTTTATTGTTAAAAGTAAAAATTTTCAATAATTAAAAATAAACCAGAATTTGATCATCATTTTTCTAGAAGATAAGTTAAAAGCAGATTGCTTTTTTCTAATTAAAATTGATAAGAATAAACCTGAATTTGAAAATAAATAAGTAAACAAAAATGATTACAAATATAGATAAATAAATGATCAAACAATAAATATTTTAGTATTTTCTACTTATTTCTTTTATAAAGCTTCTATTGTACTGTTAAACATTACAGGAGGACCACAAATGTATATCTTATCAAAGCTTTCATTATTAATTTCACTTGTTATTAAATCTTAAAAGCCTCTAAATTTCAACTTTTCTACATTCTCAGGCATTTAACCTTTAGAAACCTTAAGAACTAATTTAAAGAGGTTATTTTGAGTTTGTTTACTTAATTAGTTAAGGAATAAAACCCATTCTTTACCTACAAAATCATCAAGACTCAAAAAGGCACAATATACTGTAAATTAGCATCCTTCAAAATATTTATTATAATTTACATTGAAAGGATCTAATTCTTTTGCATGATCAGGTACACTCTACTAAATTTGTTTCTTAAGTAAGAAGTCAAATAAATCAAGGAATGGTAGTATACCTGTTCCTGCGGTCATAATGCAGAATTTTTTATTTTATGTAAGTTCACTGAAGCCTAAACCATTTCCAAGAGGACCATAAATTTGATAACTAATTTAAGAGTTTTGTTCATGAATTGTTTTAGAGAGGGCTCCAGAAAAGTTATACTTTTTAATGATAAATGGCAGTGTTTAAGAGTATTTGCTTAAAGTCTTAACATCTATCATGTCAGTATTTTTCATTTCTAGTTTGTTTTTGGCAAAATTAACTAGTTGTTGTCTAAGATTTACATTTTCATCAGTCATGCAGTTCAATTAAGTATAAAGTCTACTTTTGTTGGAGTTTTAAGTTTTTATCAAAAAGTGTCTACCGATCCAATTCACTCCTTATAAAACGTTTTTGATTACCAAGTCATTTGCCTAAAATTCAAATTAAGAAGTGGTCTCTGATATCTGTGTTTTTTTGATTAACTATATTTGTTAAAATAATATTAATTTATTAATTAATTACACAAAAATTGTTAAGTTTTTAAACTAAAATAAATCCTCCACACAAATAATTTTTAAATAATTACTTTGTAATTGTTAAAGAGTTTCAGCTTATTATTATTGTTTTCTGCTTCATTTGATTCTTTTTGGTTAGCTAATGCTAGAATGTTAGATTCACCATAATTTAAATCGCCTATCTTATTTTTTTTTAATAAATTAAAAGCTGAGGAAGAATGGGCATAAGGTTAGAAGTTATGTCCTTCCAAAGGTAGTGCACCGAGCATATATCTTCCGACTTCTTTTCCTATAACTTCTTTAATAATAAATTATCCTCCAGGATGAACAAGATCAGATATGTCATAAATTCCTTGATTGTAAATAACCCATTTTAAATTTGGTAAAGCAGCTATTATTTATGAAATTTCTCTTTTCTCTACATTGAGCATTCTCAAGAGTTCTTAATGATCAGGATTTTCATTAAGAATAGTGTTATCAAATGATTTATTGGTGTCAAATATTTAGTTTGAGGTTTTGTACTTGTAAAATCTTGAAAATAATTCGCAAAAGAAAAGAAAGACTATTGAAATTACAGTTATTATTATACCCTAGTTATAGTTGTAAGTTATAGAAGTAGGGCTATTTAAATCTGTTCCAATCAAAATATTAGCCTTTGCTAATGCGTAGATGATAATACCAGAAACTAAATGGAATTTTTTAATAGTATTGACATGCTTGTTTGTTCCTTCTATACCTATCTTTAGTAAAATACCTCCTAAATGCTATAAAATGATCAAGGCCATGATTACGCATCCTATTATAAAATGATTTTTAACATTACTATCAAGATTACTGACATCACCAAGCTTGTAATCATTTCCATTTATTACTATTGCTTCTAAGACAATGGTAGAAACATTGATTATGAAAAAGATCATTGCGTGAACTAAAATGTGATGCTTCCATGCTTTTAGGTAACGTCCAACAAAAATACCTATATCAGCTCCTATACCCCATCCATAAAACAACCAAACTTTATGAACATTTAGTGCAACTTCTCCTACTCCAATATTAATGGCAGTAGCCTAAACAGTTCCTAAATTATTATCTAGTTTTCCTGAAAACGAATAATAGTCATCATGCTAAACAAAACTTGTTGATGAACTCCATGCAACACAAAAGCTGTAACTTTTTCCTTATACTAAAACAGTATCTTGGCTATCTCCAGTACTTAAAGCACGCTTAGCCTTCATCTTAAAACTACTTGAAGTAATTTGTGACCCTAATAAAGTCCAGTCTTACTGAGTATCAGTTGATGGTGTTACTTCTCCGGATGAATATACATCTGATACGGCCTAAGCAAGTTTATTTTTAGTTAAAATTATATAAATAATCAAAATAAATTAATTACAGGTTGCCCACCTTAATTAGCAAAAAAGATAACCATATCTGTATTAGACATAGTAGCTCCGAATCCCACTCCAATCCAACCTTGTTATTTAGTAGACTCTATCATCATAATTAAATCTGTGCCTTATATTTAGTAGTCTAAAGTTAACCCATTAGTTAACATCATAGATGAACTTAATGGTGAGAGGTCATTAGCCTATAAAATTCTTTATTCATTATTTTGAGTAGAAATTGTTAGGCCAAAGCTTAAAAATAAGCAAAATAAAACGCAAGTTGTTTTTATCATTTATTTATGATTAATATTATTACAAATTTTTTTTTTTTAATTTATTATTTCAACTACTACCTATCAAATTTTTTTTAATTTTAAAGAAAAAAAAACATAATTATTAGTGAAGAGTAAAATTAAAAATTGCTACTTATTTTAAGTTATTTAAATCAGAGCAATGAAAATCAATAAAAAGTACAATTTATTTATTTGTGTTAGCTTCTGTGAATTACATTTTCAATAAATAAATAAAATAGCTCTTAAATTTGGAAAAGTTTTATCTAACATTTTAACTAAATAATAAGTAACTTTGTGTGTGTGCCACTCTTTTTATTTCTTATTTACATTTCCTTTAAAACAAATTTTTTTTATTACAGATAATTACAATAGCTCTATGCACATGCTATTTTTCATATAACTTTCTAGCAACGTAAGACTTTTTAATAGAGAAATTTTTAATTAATTACTTAGACCAACTAATAGATGATTATTCTTCATAAATTCTCCTAAATTAACAAAACCGTCAAATTTTATTATCTTAGATATTTAGACTAAATTTTTACCCTTATATTTCATCAAATTCTATGTAGAAGAGAATGGGCTGGTCCTCATAATTTAGTATAAATTTAATTTTTAAAATTTAATCTTAACAAATATAAATTGAGAAATATTTTGATTGCAAATCCAATTTACTGAAAAATTTATCCTAAAATTGCAAATTTGCGTTTTAATTTGTAAAATAGCCTGAAATTAATTTGTTTAGATTAATTATGCCTATCTTTCAAGAGGAGATTTAGATTTAAATAATTTAGAAATAGACTGAAATTTATTTAAAAAACAATAAACTTTTATTAGTGTTTTATAAATTATCTTACAACAAAAAAATCCTTCCAGAATCATTTATTTGCTAATTTTGTTTAAATACGATTAAATAAAAATTAATTTCTTTCCAGAATAATAGCTTTGATCTGGTAATTATTAATATCTTTATCTACAAAAATTAATTGTCATCAAAATATAAGAAGATAGAGACAATAAATATTCTACTTAGATAATAACTTTGTATTTCATGAATTTTAGAAACGAAACAGAAATTATTTAAAAGATAAAAATAAATAATGACTTTAATCAATATTAATAGATTTTTATATAATATTAAAATCTATTATTTAATAAAAATAAAAAATTGGAGAAAAAGTTTTTAATAAAAATGAAAAAATTTCTTACAATCAAATTGAAGGAAAATATGTTTAGTTACTTCTTAAGAAAATGAAAAATACTTTGTTTAATTAATTATTGGAAATAATATTTCATTCAATAATAAATATTTAAATACTTAAAAAGAGATTTTATTAAAAACATTGTTGTGTAACAAAAAAATAAACTATTTTTGATACAAATTTAATAAAAACTATATTAAACAATCAAGTCAAATTTAACAAAATGTATTTTTAAAAGATAACACAAACATGAATGAACTTGATACCTAGGGCTATTATGTAGATTTTTTGAATATTTAATTAACTTTATTCTTTTTTTTTAATTTTTAAATATTATAAAGATATTAATCTATTTATATAATTTATTTAGACATTACATTTTTTGAAAATTTATTTTTTCAAAAAATTTAGTTACCTCAAAATGATTTTTTTTTATTGTACAGTATGAATAATTAATTAATGATTTTACTATTAAGATATTTTGAAAATGTAAAAATAAATGAAATATAAAGAGTATTAAATAATTTAAACATTGTTAATTATTATTTAGAGAGTTAGTTAATGGTTTCAAATGATTTTATTTTCAAATTTTTGTTAAAAAATACAAATTTCTTCAAAGAATTAATCTCAGCTTTTTAGATTATATTTTCTAGTTTAATAATTTAAATTATTTACCAAAGAATTATTTTATCAAACTACAAAAATTTTATTTTTTTCTACTTTATTTTATTCTAAAGATTCCATTGCTTTATTGTACATGATTGGAGGGCCGCAAATGAATATTTTATCATAGCTATCACTTTTAATTTCACTCAATATTAATTCTTAAAAATTATTTTATTTTAATTTCTCAATACCTTCAGGGATAGTACCTTTAGATAACTTAAGTACGAACCTGAACAGATTATTATTTGATAGCTTACTTAACTAATTAAGGTAAACAATCCATTCTCTGCCAATAAAATCATCAATTTGATAGAATGCAGCATATACGGTAAATTTACAGTCTTAGAAATATTAATCATAACTAATATTGAAAGGATCTAATTCTTTTGCACGATCAGGAACTGTCTGCTAAATTTATTTCTTTAATAAAAAATCAAATAAATCTAGGAAAGGCAAGATTCCTGTTCCACCACATAAAATGCATATTTCTTAGTTTTTTGTAAGCTCACTAAATCCCAAACCATTACCAAGAGGACCATATATTTAATAATCAATTGAAGTGTTTTTCTCATGTATTTTTTTTGATAAGGCTCCAGAAAAATTATACTTTTTAATTATAAATGGTAAAGACTATGAAAATTGACTAACATTTCTTATTTCTATATTATCAGTATTTTTTTTTTCAATATAATTTTAAGTATAATTAATCAGTTGCTGCCTAAAATTTATATTTTCCTCAGTCATGCAATTCAATTAAGTATATAGTCTACTCTTACTTGAGTCTTATGTCTTTATCATGTAGTGTCTTCCAATCCAATCCACACCATGTAAAATGTTTTTCACTTATAAGTCATTTGCCTAAAAGTCAAACTTATAAATATTCTCACATAATTGTATCCTTTTAACCATCTAATTAAGTATTAAATAATAGATTATTATGATAATTAATTTTTATTGTTTTTTAATTTCAATTAATTTGAAGCAGCTAAATAAATAGAAATCAAATATTTAATTTAATAAAACATTTTTTGATTACCTTGAAAAGATTATAAAACTACACTTTTAGCTTCTAAGCAGGTTTTTGAGGTTCATTTTCTTAATTAACTACTTGCAGCATATTTGATTCTTCATATTTTAGACTGCCTATCTTATTTTCTTTTAGCAATTTAATAGCTGCAAAAGAGTGATTATGAGGCTTAAAATTATATCCCTCCAAAGGAAATGCACCAATCATATATCTTCCAATTTCTTTTCCTATAATCTCATTTATAATGAACTATCCTCCTGGATGTACGAAATTTGATATGTCATAGACTCCCTAGTTATAGATAACCCATTTCAAGTTGGGTAGAGCTGCTTTTATTTATGATATTTCTCTTTTCTCATCATTGAGCATCCTCATTAACTCTTAATGTTCAAGATTCTCAAAAGAAGATTATTAAGTTAAATAAGAATTTCTTGAATTATGAATTTATTTCAAACTTTTATAGTTGTATAATCTTGAAAATAATTCACATAAGAAAAGACAAACGATAGAGATTACGGAAATTATAACTCCTTAGCTATATGTATAATTTGCTTACGTTATATTATTGATATCAGTTCCAATTAATAAATTAGTCTTTGCTAGTAAATAAATTATGATTCCAGATACTAAATGAAATTTTTTCATAGTATTTACATGCTTATTTGTTCCCTCTATACCAAATTTTAGTAAAATTCCTCCTACGTGTTGTAAAATAATCAAGGCCATGATTACACATCCAATTATAAAATGATTTTTAACATTTTTATCGAGATTATCAACATTTTTAAGCTTGTAATCGTTACCATTTATGACCAAGGCTTCAAGGATTATAGTAGAAATGTTAATGATAAAGAATAATATAGAATGAACTAAAGTATGATGCTTCCAAGCTTTGAGATAACGCCCAAAAAAAATGGCAATATCTGCTCCTATTCCCCATGCATAAAATAACCAAATTTTATGGATATTAAGTGTATCTTTAGGTACTCCAACAGATATTTCAGAGGCTTATTTGTTCCCTTAAGAGTTAGTTAATGTTATAGAATAGGAATAATAACTATCATGATAACCAAAAGTTTAAGAAGAAGACCATGCAATACAAAAATTATATGTTTGTCCTTATTGTAAAATAATATCATTATTAGTATCACCAGTATTTAAAGCACGTTTAGCCTTCATTTAAAAACTGTTTGAAGTTATTGAGGAGCCTAGCAAAGTCCAATCTTGCTAAGTATCAAAGGGCGGTCTTACTGTATTAGTAGAATAAGCATCTTGAACAGCCTATAAATTGTTATTAAAAATTTATTACTCCAATTTTAAGTAAATAAAATAAAATTACAGGTTAACCATTCATATTTGCAAAAAAAATGGCCATATCTGTGTTTGTCATAGTAGCACCAAATCCTAATCCTATCCAGCCTTATGGTTTTGTAGATTCAATCATAAAAACTATATCTGTTCCTTAAATTTCAAAATTAAGAGTTATTCCATTAGTCAATGATAGAGAAGAGCTAAGTGGTGTAAGGTCATTTTAATTTTATTAAAAAACCCTTTATTCTTCAAATTAAGATGTTAAAACAAAACCCAAACTGATTATGAATAACAAAGTATTCTGAATGTGTTTCCTCATTTTATAAAAAAATAATTTCTAAATATTTTTAAAAATTTTTAATTTTTTATTAGAACTTATGTGGTATTTAAATAAACTTGAAACTCTAGAACAATTTATCTATAAATAGACTAACAATGATATTTATGTTCAATGATTTTTTATTTAGTTTTCTTTAAAACTTCTAAGAAAAAACTAAAAATTGGAAAAATTCAATTTTAAAATAAGAGCTTTATATTATTATACTTGGTTTTTACCCGATAAACATCTTTGTTTTATATTTAAAAAATTTCTAATTATTTTTATTACATCTTTATTTCACTCTAAAACCTTCTAGTCTTTTTCTATCAAAGGAAATTAATACTATTTCCTATTAACTTAATTACTCAATTTTTCTTTAAAATTTCTATTTTCAATAGTACCTTTAATACTGTTCTAAATAGAAAATTTTTAAAAAAATACTCCAGTAAAATGTAAATTGCACAATTACTAAAGAATTTGAGTAAATTTACAAATAATTTTCAAATAAACTTATCTCTAATGATCAAATAATTTATAAATTCCCTTCTTTAGCCAAAATAATATTCACTTAAAATTATAAATAACTGATATTTTTAAACTCTTTAAGATATTTAAAATCCTAAAAAAGTAATAGAAAGTATTTTTTATACAATTAGATTTTTATCAATTTAATTTATATAAATTTTAATAGACCATCATTTTTTCTTATAAATTCTATTATGTAGTTTAAATTTTGATAATTATATTACGATGCATAAAGTAATCATAATTTAAGTAATCATTAAATGATTAAATGGTTATAAATAGTAGCTCATATTTGATGAAGCAAATACGAGCTATCTATCTATTTTATAATTATTTTAATATAGTACAACTTGCTATTATGGTTGAAAACAACTAAAAATATTATTTTAATTTAAAGAATATATTAACATTAAAGTATGTTTTTCTTATTAAATTTTCTGAGTTTAAATGCGAGCATATTATTTTTAGTTTGAAAACTACATCATATAAGAATTGGCATATTATTTTTTTTTTATTTAATTACAATAATCTTAACAAAAATACAATTTTTTAAAGATATTTGATACCATTAATTGCATTTTGTTATATCAAAAGTTTGAAAATAGTTACAAAACATTAAAATATCTATTTCTTATTTTAAATAATAATGTTGAGTGATATTTGATAAAGTTACTATAAAATACAAAGAAATATTGCAAAAAAATAAAGTAACAAATTGATAAATTGATGAATGTTAGAGAAATTAATATTTAATTTTAATTAAGTCTACATTTTTAATTTAAACTTTTCATCTATTTTTATAATCAAAAAATGATATCTTCATATAATGTCTGTCATTTTTTTATCTGCTTATCTTAAAAAATATAATTTAGTAACTAAAAAGTCGTTATTTTTAAGTAAAATTATATTTCCTACTTCATTATTTTATCAAAGTTTTATAAATTTCATTCATAATTAGATATTCCTAGGTAAATTAATTTTCAAAGATAAATTTCAATAGAAAAAATATCTTAATTTGTTTTCTTTTAAAGTTAGCCAAAAAGGTATAATAAAAATAACAAAAATGTAAGTATAATAGGAGTAAAAGTAGATTAATAAGTAATAACTAGACGTCTATCGTGGTGCCTTTTTAGGTTTAAAAACAGCTAACTTAGTAGACCCAGATGATATTGAAAAATATGATTAGGTTAGCTATAATGCTCTTAAAGCTTAAGGTTTGGTGATGTGTTTCTCATTATTTTGGACTAGAATTTATGAAATTGGTAATTTTAAAATGCCAGTAAAATCTCGCTATGTATTTTATGGTTTAGGTATAGCAATTCCTTCTTTTATGCATGCTTTCTATGTATCTAAAAAAGTTAATGAAGCTTTAATAAGCTTTGATCGTAAATATACACCTAAATACTATGAATAATATATTAATAGTGTCACTAAATGATGATAATCTAAATAAATATCTAAACGCATCTTAGTTTCATAACATGAAATTTTAGGATAAAGTATAAAGTTTGTTTATAAAAGTTAAAATAATTTTTAAATAGTAATTGAGTTGATTAAAATTGTTTTAATACGTTTGGCGTCTTTTTAAATGTTAATGCTTTTAAAATAAACTAAATCTAAATTAAATCAAATTAATTCCTTCTAGAAATATCTTTAAAATATTTTTTGAAAAGTAAATTGCAGTTAATTTTTATGCATTTTCTGGTTTTAAATAAATTATTACCAAAAAATGAATCTAATATTTTAAAGGTTATATTAGTTTATTCCTTTTTCATATTAAAAAATAAAGTTTAATTCAAATAAAATAATCATTTAATTTATTGATTTAAAATTATATTTTTCAAAATATTTTATTTTTAAGATCAATTAAAAATTGTTTAACGATTTAAGATAAATCTTTCAAAACATTTTTAAGTCTAAAATTAACAATTAATTATTCAATTTAAAAAATAATTTAACTTAAAATTAAAAATTTAACTTCTATTTTGATTGCTAATATATTAATAAATTTATAATTTATCTTTTACATAATTCAAATTAAAAATAATCAATAATGATTAAAATATTATTTTTATTTTCTAAATACATTTCTAAAATAAATTTCAGTTATTATATTTTTACTTTTAAATTAGCAAAGAAAATTTAACTGAAAGAATAAAGGATCAAATTTTGTCAAAAAAAATATGTACTAAATATTTTCCTATGACTCTACTTATTACAAAGAAACTAATTAAGCAAATTTTATCTTATTTTATATTAAAATAATTGATTTTATTCTAAATTTTCCATAAAGTTTAATTCGTTGCTTAAAATTTAATTTTAAATAGTTATTATTATCCCATAGCATATTCAAAGCAAAAATCCAATTTAGGTTTTATTCTCTATTCTTCAAGTATAAAATTTCGAAATATTTAAAATAAAATTTTTATTTTTTAGTAGAATAAATATTTTATATTTGTTGCTTCTATTTAAATTAAGTAAGTTAAACTTTATATTATCCATCTATCAACTAAACAATAATATAATTGTAAATAATTTTGAAAGAATTCGGTGGTTATTTTTTGATTTTTTTTAAATTTTCAAATGTTAACAAGATAAAATCAATATTTAATTTATTTTGATTATTGATAATGCTAACTCAATGCTTACCATAATTAGTTAAATGCTTTTTAGGATCTTCAAAAATTTGAAATAAAGAAGCAAATTAAGAATAAAGAAAAATTTCATTTGATTAAAATAAAAAAAATTAATATCTTCAAAAAAATATATAAATAAAAAGGTAAACTAGTGAATAAAATCTAACGAAAATGAATCAAAGAAAGAATTAAACCTAACAAAAGAAATTTAATCCTGCAGATTATGTTAGACCAGGTGTTACTGAAGACGAAGTCATCGAAATTAAGGAAGCCTTTGATCTTTTCGATATGGATCTTGGTGGCACAATTGATCCTTCTGAACTTCAAGCTGCTATGAGATCATTGGGTTTCGAAGCAAAAAATTAAACAATTTATAAAATGATTGCAGATCTTGATACTGATCAAAGTGGTTAAATCAATTTCGCTGAATTCTTAAATTTGATGACCGCTCGTATCTCTGATAAGGACTCAAGAGAAGATATCAGAAAAGTTTTCATGCTTTTCAATGACGAAAACAATGTTGGTATCTCAATTAAGTAACTTCGTAGAATTGCCCAAGAATTAGGTGAATAAATGGATGATTCTGAATTATAAGAAATGATTGAAAGAGCTGATTCAAATGGTGATGGATTGGTAACAGAAGATGATTTCTACAATATTATGACAAAGAAAAATTTTGTTTGAATAATAAAAATAATTAATGATAGTATATACAAAATAATGAATGAAAAGATGAATTAATGAATGAAAAATAAATAGTAAACATATTTGCAATTAAAAACATTATATATAAAGCCATCCATTAAATAAATACAAGAAATAGCATCAAAATAGTAGCAATATTAAAAAATATGAATTAAAACTTATATATTTTAAAAATTTTATTATCTCGTTGTTGATTTTAATCTTTATGCATGTATGTCTGCATTTCTGTTGCTCTTTTGATGGATTATTTCTTGATTATCACAGCAACATTTAATTCAAATATTATATAATTTTATTTGTGTTTTGCTTAATATTTCAAATTTAATTTGTTATTAAATTCTAATCATAAACAAATTTATAAAAATTTATCAATTGAATCTGTCTTAAACATAAAGTAAATAAATCAAATTAACATTTTAATTCTTTCATTGGCTATCTTATAAAATTTTCCATTGATAGATCTTCACTTTCTAACAATTAATATTAACGATATCTTTTTTTTTAAGTAACAACAAATATAAATAAAATACATATTTTTATCTTAATACACTTTATTTATTCAAACAATTATATTTTTAAAAGTATATTTAAATATTTTTTATGAAGATTTTCTCTAAACTATATTCAAATTTTAAGGTTTCTATCTTGTCAACATTAAATAAAATTTTTATTTTTGAGTATCTCTATTCCTTTCTCAAATATTTCAGTGTTAAGTCTAGTTTGTTAATCTATGTTAAAATAATATTTTTATATTGAGTTTTTATTATCTAAATAGAAGAAATCGATTTTAAAATATCTAGCAATTAAATTAATTTTTTATATCGTTTACATAAATTGCTATTTTACCTGTTGAAAAATTGCCTAGGACATAAGGACTTATTACAATAGGATCTCTGGAGTTTGGTCTATCTGCAAATATTTAAAATTTTTTAATAAAAATTAATATAATTAAAATAAAAAGGATTTGAATGAATAAGTGAATGAGCAAATAAATAAATACCTATGCCTATTTTTAATCTCAAAAACTCTTTTGTATCTAAATATTCAATTATAGACTTAAGACCATTATGACCTCTAAATTTTTTAGAATAAATTTTAGTTTTTCATAAATGTATTTTAAATAATTTTCCTACTCTGCACTGCCTCCTTCTTTAATTTTTACTTTACCAAATGCATTATCTAAGTCATCGTGAACAACAATTATATTCTCTACTTTTACCTTTTTTTCAAATTTATTCAATAAGAGTGTTAAATAAAAATTTTAAAATACTTGGTGCTTTTTTATAACTTCAGAAATAGATTTTCCACTGATGTTCATATAGCAATAAGTGTTAAATAAACCAATTTTAGGTAGATTAGTGTCTTCATTTAAAATGGCTAAGTATCCTTCTAAATATAATTATCAAGTTAAAAATACATGAAGCATTTTCAGTTTAATAAGCAAACTATTACAATTTATTTTTTTTAGCTATGCATTAAATTTATTAGCAGTGTAAGAAATAAATAATTTTCCTACATTATGTCTCATGTTCTCATATTATTAGCCAGGATTACCTAAACCTATTATCTATATTTTTATATATAATCCTTCGTTTTTTGAAGAATGCAAAGATAAATAAAGAATATTGAATTCTTAAATTACGAGCTTATCAAGCTAAATTGGAGTTTCTTTGGTATTTTGTGCAGAAGGAGAATTTTATTATTGTAATTCTCTTTTTCTTTTACTTGAAAATAACGCTATAAAGAGGCCTAAAATGATGCAACTAATATAAATAAATAAGGTTGAAGTTAGCATAAATTTGTGAATATATTTTTGTTAAATAATAAATAAAAATTATATTTATTAATATTTATTTTTTCAGAGTTTTTTTCTTGAAAAGCAAATACTCTAACTATTAAAAATTGAGTAGATATGAAATCAAATACATGCATTTATTTTTGAGCAAAAAACAACTTTAATGCAAAATTAAGTAGTAAAGGATATTTTTGATGAATTTATTTAGTAGAAATGATTTAGTAGAATAAAGTAGAACATTTAAATATAAAAATAATACAGTTTTAGTTTGTTTCTGGTAATTAAATATTAAATAAGATTATATAATATTCAAGAAATCAATATTTTTCTTTAAAAAACTTAAAATATGAATCTACTTAAATATAATAAACTTCAATTTATTTCTAGATATTAATTTTGCTCTACAAATATTCATTTTTCTGATAATATTTACGCTATAGCTTCAGGAAATGTTAAAGCAGGTGTTTCAGTAATCATATTTAGTTTTATTTTTCGCAAATTATAATTTAGATTATTTGTAGATTATTAGGATAAGCGGGTCTAATTGCTTACAAGCAGGATAGATGCTTGTTTAAAATGCATAGCAAAGATAGCTTATAAAAGGGATGAACAATTCTTAAGTATAGGACTATCTTAATCTCAAAAATAGATATGCTCATTTTAAAAAATTATATTCTTTGATAGACCCTACAGTTTCTCCTCAAAACCAATCTTTTCAAAAACAGGATTTAATTTACTAATAAATCGATTAAGGAATTTTCATGTACTTTTAAGGGCCAAAGAGCTACACTGGAGAAGGTAGCTAACTTTTCATATTATATTAAAAATTAAGAAAAATTAATTTAAAAAAGATATTGTTGAAATGCATATTCATGGCAGTAGAGCATTATAAAAGAAAGTACTTTTAGAACTTTCTTAGCTTAATAATTTCAGATTGGCAGATCCAGTAAATCAAAATTATAATATTAATTGATATCAATTTTTATTTTTTTTTAAAGGGAGAGTTCACAAAGAGAGCAATGATAAATAATAAATTAGACTTGCTTGAAGTAGAGGGGCTTGCTGACCTTCTAAATTCAGAAACAGAGAGTTAAAGAGTTTAGTCAACTCAATAGTTTCTAGGAAAGTCTAGTTAAATTTTAGAAGATTGGAGGTTTTAGCTTATTCGTGCATTAGCCCATGCAGAAGCATTTATTGATTTCGAGTCAGATTAGGTAAAATGAAAATAATTTTGAATAGATTATTGAATTAATTAAAAAAAATAAATTCAGGATGATGTCGAATTTAACATCTTAGGTAAAACTTAAGAAAATGTATAATAAGTTATTAAGGATATAAATGAGTAGCTTAGTGATAGAAATAGAGGAGAAATATTAAGAGATGGAATGAAGATTTCAATTATAGTAATTATTCATTTTTGAAGGTTTTTATTTTTTATAATATTTTAAAATTAATTATTTTTAAGGGTAAGCCTAATGCTGGAAAGAGCACTCTGCTCAATTGTCTAGCAAAAAAAGATATAGCTATTGTAAGTGAAATTCCTGGCACTACTCGTGATGCACTGTCAGTTTCTTTGAATATTTCTGGTTTTCCAATACTTCTTTATGACACTGCAGGAATTAGGTAGACTAAAGATGTAATTGAAGAAAAAGGTGTCAATAAAGCTCTGTAAAATATTCAAGTATTAAAATAAATAATAAAATTAAAACTTTAATTTGGTAAAATAAAAAGATAACATGCTAGAGAGTCAGATTTAAATATTTGGATAATTGATATAGATGATGTAATAAAACAAGCGGATGGGTCGTATATTGTTTAAGACATCAAAGAGATATCAGAAATATTAGAATCAAATTAGAATACTCTTATATTTATAAATAAAATTGATAAAGTCAACTCATAAAAAGAAATAACTGACATTACAATAAGAGATAAAAAATTTAAAATAGATGGATAAATATCAGCACAACATAATTAAAACATAAACTCCCTATTAGATAAATTAACTAAAAAAATTAATGAGAGATTAGATATCACTGATGGAATAATGAGCAGTGGGACTATATCAATTATAACTTAAACAAGACACAGATTAGAATTACAAAAATGTTTAGAACACCTGGAAATTTTCTCAAGAAATAAGCAAAACTTACCAGTTGATATTGTGTGTGAAGAATTAAGATAAGCAGTTAATTGTATAGGAAGAATAACTGGTAGAGTGGATGTTGAAGAAGTTTTAGATGTACTCTTTTCAGAATTTTGTATTGGAAAGTGAGAAAAAAATATAATATTTAATCATATATTCAATCAGAATCAATTCATTTTTAAATCAAAATATAAAATAAATTATTTTAATTATGTTCGTTAATTTATTTATTTAAGTTTCATTTATTGTTTGTTTCCACCAGGTCATCTCTTTACTTATTTTATTTTAATAGCTTTTTCTCTTTTTTTGTTTTTTTTTCTTTTACTTTATCTCGTTAAACTTAGCTTAGCATTTCTTTAGTCCATACTATATTATGCTCTACCATAAACTATGCTATTCTTGCTATATTTTTAGAGTCGTCTAACCCAGAGTGGTGTGTTCCTTAAAGCTCAAGATTTATGGCTTTTAGCATTGCTACCATACCTGGAGGTTTATTCCATTTAATAATACTTTCTGTGTACCATTCTTTAGGAAATTATTTTTTTATGTTGATATATTATTTAAAGTATTATGGATAATTTATTTTCTTGAATTTAGCCTCTAAGCGTAAACATTAACCAAGATCAAAATCACCACAACAAACAAAAGCGAATTTTTTATCAATAATACCCATTTTATTTAAAAATTCATCAGCTTACTAAATAGCAGATTCTAAAATGACTCCATTATCCACTTATTCTTAAGTTATGTGGGTCAGTTCAGTGCAAAATTTTGTCAGAATAGGATGATAAGTAGGTTTAACATATGTATGAAAGTATTCAGGTAAAATTACATTTTTTTTAAGGTCTAAAATAACTATAGGGAATTCTATAATCTCTTAAACATTTAGTTTTTCATCATTACTGCATGTAGCTTCGAAATCTAAGATCAAGAGAAAATCAAAGTCATGATTTAGATTTATTTTTTCTTCCAAATTTTATTTTACTTCTTCCATAATAATTAATTACAAAATCAATTAATTTAAAATATAAATATTATTTAATTTTTTAAAAAAAAATAGCCTTTTAAAGATATTTAGATAGACACTTTATACGCAAATCAGCACTTTATATTTTACTGATAAAGCCTTATATTTTTTCAAAATTAATTCTTATCATAATATTTATAATTTTATGTAATTATTTATTTATTATGTTTTAATATTAATCCCTTAAATAAGAAATTAATTCCATTTACTTGATTAGCTGATTAAATTAAAATTATATTTTGCATTTTAATTTTTGCTTTTGAATTTTAGAAACTCTCAAAATACAAAACTTAATCTAATTCTTAATTAGAATTAACATAAATAAAAATTCTTTAATAAAGTACTTAAAAGTGTTAATTAAAAAAAATAACTCAAAAAATAAATAGATTAGATAAAATGATAATTTATTTATACAAATTCATAGATAAAGAAATACTATTTTAGTTAGTATAAATAAATAAATTGCTTTCAAAATTAATATTTTAAATTTTTAAATTTGATTTTTAATATAAATTGAAATTAAGAATTTAATATTTTAATTAATGTTTAGTGTTTGTTTATCAAATGAAAGTACAATTCTTTATAAATAATCTCTTTGATTAATAATAAAGCAGGACAAACAAATTGATAAATTAATTAATTGATATTTTTAAGTTTCCCAAATTTTTATAAACAAAAAATTGATAAAAACTAGTTAAAAAGCAAATATAATCAGCCTGAGTTTTAAAAGCAAAAGCATCATTACTTCTATCAATTGTAATAATTAATAATTCAATAATAATTTAGATCAAATACTTCTGATATTATTATTGATTTCATATTGCATTTTTAATCATTAAAATTGTATAAAAAACAGCAAATAAATTATAAAGTTTGTAGAGATTAAGCAATAAAAAATAAGAATTAGCAAAAGCAAAGTTTAGCAGCCCACTTAGCAAGAATCAACTACCATTTATTTAAATATTATAGTTTTATAGCTGACAAACATACTATAAAAAGTGTAAAAGTAAAGTAACTATGGATTTATCTTACATGATGGCAGGTAATGCCAAAAGCTTTATTGAAATAGTATCTTCATCCTCGCCTTCTCACTATTCTGCATACTCTCTCTCTATCGATAAATCTGTTGTCTTGGATGAAAGCTCACCTCCTTCGTCTGCAAAAAAGTGTGATATAACTCCAAGAAAACTCAATCTTACTCCCATGGGTAATTATTTATCTTATATGCATAATTTATTAAAGTTAGACATAAAAAGAAAGAATAGAAAAAAATTTAAAATTAACAATAAATAAAATATTATTAAAGGTAAAGGATCGCTTGATATAATGTCCCTGTTCGCTAAAAAGCCATCCAATATAGATGCTCCAGGGAGAGATGAAACAATAAAAGGAAAGCAAATCATAGAAAATAAATGCGAAGATATCACATAGGAATTAAATTTAATGAACTAATTTGTAAAAGAGTAAATTTAAAGATCAAAGGAGTCTCATGATGACAAAGAAATGGAAATATTTGAGTTAAAATAATATTTTATTAAACAAATGAAGGTAATTTTTGAATTCATTTTATTTAGGTGGATAATAATAAAAATTTAAAATTTAAAAAGCATTAAAAGATAAGCAATTATTTATTAACTATAAATTATGTCACTCTTTTCAATGTTTTTTTATAAAGCAAATTTAATCTCATATAATAGATAAGGGGAATTATTGCCGGTCAACCCATATTAAGAACCATAAAACCAAAAATTTAACTTACGTTAAATTTTTGGTTTTATGGTTCTTAATATGGGTTGACCGGCAATAATTCCCCTTATCTATTATATAATCTCCAATAAAAGAGTATTTATTTATTTATTTATTTATTTTCCTAATTATAATATTTTTTGTTGCATTTTATTAATAATATTTCATAAACTGATAGGAACTATAAGAGAGAAATTAAAATTTGTTAAATGAAAATATGGTCTTAAAAGAAATACATAATGAGTTAGATAGGTCAGCTGAAAAAATAGCCGTTTTTCGCTCTGGTTAAAAATCATTGAATATTTGCAGTTATTTGTACGATAGTTGGAAAAACAGAGAGTCAAAAGCAGATTTATATAATAAGTATATAGATAAAGTCTAGTAATACGATGAATTACTCAAAAAACATTAATAGCTTGAGTCTGAATATTTAAAATTGCTCTAAACAAATAATAATTAGTAAACAATTTAATTAATAATTTCTTAGTTATTTATGATTTAAATAGCAAAAAATAAATTCAATCAATATTTTTATATTTTAGGTTATTAGCAAAAGGAACTAGCAACTAAATGGAAGTATAAAAAAAGAAAAGAGGAAGAAAGCCTAAAAATAGTTAACAATTTTAAGAAAACTCTTTTATTAATATAGAAAATGAAAATAGTTGTGAAGTCTTAACTAAAAAATTGCTTAAAAGTTTAGAAACAGAAGGAATAAATAGTAAAAATATAAAGTAAAGGAAAGAATATATCATAGATGATGATAATAAAAGCGATGTTAGTGTAAAGGTTTTGAAAGAAAAAACTGATTTTTATAACAAAAGGAATTAGCTTAATGCAACACCTATAAAAAATATGTAAAAAAATAAAAGTGCTAATAAATAGGTTGATAATAAAACTCCAATTAAATAGATTGTTTTACTTGATAGTGATAAAAGTTCTATAAGCTAAAAATCATAGTTAACAAAGAAGCAACCACCTAAGCAAATAAATTAAAATAATAATAATAATAGTAATAATAATATTAAAAAGCAATAGCAAAACTAGCTTATAAATGAAGTTAGTAGAAAAAACAGCTATTGTAATCAAATAGATGACTAAGATAATGAAGAATTTGATGATAATAGGTCAACTGTTAGTAATAATTGTTCTAAAAGAGAAAATAAAAAGAAAAAAATAGTTTCAAAGTAAATGAAAAAATTTAATTAAGAGGCATAAGATACAGCTTTTAATTCAATAGCAGATACTCTTTTCAATTTTTGATATATTTTTCAAATTATATGAATCAACCAATCAATAAATAATTACTAATTTAATAGGCTTTAGCATCAAATTATCCTAACTTATCTTATTTTACAGATTAGTTTAAAAACTTATAAATAATAAAAAACGAGTAAAAACATTCACAGAGTATAAAGTGATAAATCAATAAATAAATAAATAAATTAATATATTAAGAATAATTGTAAAATATTTTATAAAATTAGACTTAAATTATAATAATCTAATTCAAAATAAATTAAAATTTTAGGTAAAATATATATTAGTGTATTATATATAGTGTATGTAAATTAATTTATTAATTAATTATTTTACTTACAAAAGAATCAATAAAATTTAATTTGAGTTTTTCATTTCAAATTAAAAAACTAATTCTAAGATTTTTTGACAATTTCAAAATTGAACAATAAGTTCAAGTAGGATATTAAAATAATTGGGCAATAAAATGTAATGTAAACTTATTGATGGTAAAATTTATATTAGTTTTTGATTGACTAATAATTAATTAATTGCAAGGAGTTATCAAGAAGGTAAATGAAAAAAAGAAATAAGTAATAAGCATAAGTATTTATTTGTATTCCTTGTTTTACAATTTATGATATGAATCTGGATTGTTGATCAATAAAAAAACAGTGTTTTTTATTAAAGGAATAAACTCATTATCTTAATATGGATGGATGGATGTATGGACATATTTCTAGCAATTTTTAATTAATTAATTTTTTATGTGTAATAATTCAATAGTTTTTCGTTCTATTAAATAAGCAAAAAAGATTTTATAAAAAGATAAATAAATCATTAAACAAAAAATTAAAAAAATTAAAAGGGCTCTTAGTTAATTTCAGATCTTAATTAATTAATTAAAAGTGAAGATATTATTTTAATAATTAATAAGAGAACTCTAACTTTAAATCAAATTCTATTACATAAAATAGAAACTAAAAAGCTTTTCGTACGACAATAACAAGCTAATCTTTTCTTTAGAGTTTTTAAATTCAATATAAATAAATTGAGAATAAGTTGCCAACATTTATTTTAGCTTACAAGTATCTTTTTTATTTAGCAACCAATTTCTGAATATAATAACAAGATAGAATATTAATGAAGGAAATAATAAATACAAATAGTATTAGCGGAACAAATGATTTTAAAAAATTTTTATAGGTTCTATATGAAAACCTGAATAAATATCCTTAGCACAATATGAATTTATTGAAAGTAATTTAGGATGAAATCGAAAGTGGTAAATTGATTTTCAGAGGAAGAGATGAATTAAGCATTCAAAAGGATGATACATTTTACTCTACTGATGTAGTTGACCACATTTAAGCTTTTATAGTATCTGAAGAGTTAAGGCAGCGTCCTAGATAAATATTATATTTTATTTGTTTGATAAGTGCTATGTGTAAGCAAGATGAAACATTAGGCTTATAAATTAAATAGATACAGTAAGATATTTACGATTAGATTTTAGGTTTGATTTTGAAGGCTTGGTCTTATGAACCAGATGATGAAACTATCAAAGAAATATGCTAGAGTGATTTAGAAAGTTATTCATTATAATTAAAAAAAATGCAATAAATGTAAATAAATGAACCTAACATCGTTGCTTCATAAAATGATACCAATCAATTGCAAAATACTGAATTATTATAAACAAAACGTAAATATTTTTCTGAATTTAAGAAGTCTAGGTGTCTTCAATTTAGCTGCTAGATATTGAATGGTTTAGATATTAATTAGCTTATAAAAATTATGTACAAATTCAATGAAAAATTAACTTTTTTATTAGAGGAAGTAGAAGATAGCTCTGAAGATAAATCTTAACCAAAAAAAAATCAAGTTAATTAGCCTAACAATGCTATCATTTTAGATGTAAGTGAAAGTAATGTTTCAGAAAGTGTGTAGCCATTTGATTAGCGTTATACTTAAAAGGATGAGGTGGTTAGTGATATAGTTCTGAAAGAGAAAAATTCTCAGATTGAGGGATCTTTATAATAAAATTCTGCTTATCGTTCAGATAATACACTTTATAGTTAATAAAATATATCAATGTAAAGCATAGATACGAATAACTACGATAGTGAATTCATTATAGATTGCTTACTTTAAATTTTAAAATGCTTGGAAGAGCAAAGAATTTAAAATAATCACTCCGATTAATGTTTATTATTCACAAAAAGCTCCTCTTTAAAAATTGATAAAATACGTAAGGGTTTATAAGATTTTCAAATGTGTATGGGATTTAAGTTGTCATTAAAAAGGAGAACAACTTTTAACTTGTTAAAAATATTAGCGGAAAAAAACTCCTAAAATCAATAAGAAGTATTTTTAAAGCTGACTTTATAAGTTAACTATGATAATATTAACACTAAATTAGAAATTGATATACTTGGCAAATAAAAAACAGAACATTTTATTCTTGAGTTAGGTTCTACATAAAAGTTTGTGTAAAAATGGCTCACTTTACAAATCATCTTTCCAGGGCAATAAAAAGAGCATGTAATTTAGAAAAATATTATTGAAATATCCTATTCTAATTATTTACTTTTTTTTTTAATACCAAATTACTTTTTTTTTAGTTGACTTCTATTGAAATAGTGTAAGTTCATTAAAGATTCTAAAAATATTATTAATATTTAGACAAAATAATATGTAATTCTTAATAAAAAGATAAAGATTTCTTCAAAATGAGTTTTTGGAATAAGAGTGATAAAAATATGAATTACAAATTAAAAAAATATCAAAGTTTTTACAAATCGAGTTAATTAATTTTGAAATTAATTAGCCAAATAAAGCAAAGAAGAAAATAAAAGAAAAAAAAAAAAAATCAAAATAAATTAATAATTTGTTTATTTACATTTGATTTGAAATTTTTAGAATTTCTTTTATAAACTTAATAACACTGACACATATATATCTATCTATTTATTAAAATAAGGTAAACTTAAATCTTATCAATTTATTAATATCAAATAGATCTAAATTATTGTAGATGACTTTTATTCTTAAGAACAGCTAGCTGCAAAATATATTTAGCCTAATAATTATCTTATTGATGCAAGCAAATACGTTACTGTTATTATAGGAAACCAAGAAGCAGACTTCAATACCACAAGCATCCTGAATTAAGTAAGATTTAGTTTTTCTTTTTTAATATATAAAAGAATATTTTTTTTTACACTAATAAGAGTAATTAAAGAAATGCAAATAAAAATGAAGAATATCTTTTTAAATTATGGTCTCTAAATTTTGGTAAATAGCTTAAAGGCATAAAGTTAAGAAATCTTACTTTCATTAATGACGTGCAGCAATCTTATATACTTAGCTAAACTATTTCAAAGAGATATCACACTCTTTGCCTAAACATCGAAAATCCTTCAAATAAATTATATATAAATAACATGAAGTAATCTGAAATTGATAAAGATAATCTCATTTTCGAATTCAAAAATTCTGATGTATATGATCACTTCAATTTTACTGAAAGACATGAAGCAAAATCACTTAATTTTTTTTCTAAGATTTTCAAATCAAGTGATAAAAGCTCCAATTTTGGCCTAAATGAACAAACTGTGGCAAAGGCATCTTGGAAAATAAATGAAATGACTATTAAATATGTAAACCTTAGGCTTTATTAGCATAACTACCCTTTAAATATCTTAGAAAAGATAGGAAACATGGATATATTCTTTTATATACTGAAAAATATTCTTGAATTAGATATTTAATCAAAAAAAATCAAGATAGAATCTAAATTTAACACAATAAAAGTTATTTTCAGCATTATGGAGTAATTTAACTACTCTCATTCGCACATTTTAAAAAGTTTAGACACTTACCTAACAAATTTGAGCAATCAAGGAATAATAACAAAAGACTAAAAAGAATCAATGCTATGCCAGGTTTCTAAAATGCAATTGGAGTCAATCAATCAATTTTTCATAGAAAAGAATGGTTTTGTATTGCTTCAAAATTTCCTTAAAGAAGTAAGTTAAATATTGATTAATTAACTAAATTCCATTGAGTATACATTACATTTTAATTTTATTTTATATAGAAATTAGATGTATTCAAAGAAGGAAATTTTCCTGTTGCAGATATTTTAATTAAATATTATAGATCATGGGAGTTCGATAACTAAATGCTTTATAGATGTTTTGTTAATGTCATTTTAAATTTTGATATTATAAACTGCTTAACTTACTTTGATTAGGAGATCATACTTAGAGAAATCAAAGAATAGGTTTTTAAAAGATTTAGCTTTGAGCTATAAAAATCTAATAAGATAGAATATATTTTGTATAGTTGCATCAAATATTATCTAAGTGATTTATATGAGTTTATATTAGACAAAAAAGTCAATTAATCTGCAAATTCAAATACAAAGCTAACGTTCAAAAATATACAAGGCTTTGGTGATACAAGCTAAGAAAGTCTAAATTCTTCAAGTAAAAGTCCTTACAAGTAACTTACCTACTTAATTACTTACTTACATTATTATTAAATAACTTTTAATTTATAATAAACTTCCTTCTTTTATTTAATCAATCGTTAAATAAATTTAAATTTATTATAATAGCTAAAAGGAAGAAGACAGCTATACAACATCAAGTGATGCATCAAATTCGACATTTTAATTTTATGCTAATTTTTAGAGATAAAAGAATATGGAAGAAAAGGACATTCCAAAGAAAATAATTGATTTTAAGAATAAAGAAACTCTTTTGAAATAAATTTTTAATATCATTTATCATGTAATCTTAGTAAAATAACCTAGAGAAGATTAAATTTATCATTAGATATTTCAAAATTAAATTAAAACTATTTTGAGCTACTTAAGCTACTTAATTAATATGGGAAATAAGCTCGATTATTTACAAAAGTAATGTCAGTAATCTTAACAATTGAATTGCCCACTTTTAATTGATAGATAAAATCAAAAGTTAAATTTATAATTTGGGAGTTCTTTAACAACCTAGCATCTAAGCAATTTAAAGACTCCTTAAACAAAAGTAATAAAATAAAGTTAAAGTCAAAACAACCTTAAGGATATGGGAGAGATTTTTGGGAATACTTTCCTATTTCCAAATACTCTAAATTAAACAAATAAAATTAATTTCACTTAAGAAAAGTAAAATATAGCCGGAAGAGCAACTTTAAGTCAGGGGAAAATAAGAAAGGAATCATATTCGAATGATAGCTGCTAAAATTCAAATGCTCCAAGCGAAACAAATTACTCAAATCAAAATGATGATGATTTTACAACTTAGGGTTTCTCTGATTAATTTTATTGTAATTAATGCAATCTATAGCATCAAATTGAAAAACAACCCTATGAATTAGAAAGGTTGCAGTTTAGTTTGCTAATTAAAGAATTAATTTATATTATTCGTCGTTTGATGGTCAAAACAACTGAGCCAACCATTAAATAAACTACTTAAAAAGACATCAAATAAACTGCAGAAGAAAAATAATATATTTTTAGACGTTAAATGACAGCTCTTTTAGTATAAGAAGAAAAAATGATAGTTGTTTAGAATGGTATAAAAAATTAAAACATAGCCAATTCAAACAATTTTGATTAAGTAAATTTATAATCAGAATCAACATCAATTAAAAGCTCTTAAATGACTTTAACTCCTCTTGTATAATATACAAGAGAATAAGAAGGCTACTTCAATGGTAGTGATTTTGATATTAATAACAGGATTAATGGAAGCTAGAGTAGTTAATAGAGTAGAAAGACAACTATGCAAGGCGTTAAAAAGAATTTAATTCAATAAATAGTAGAAAAACCTTTGAACAAAATAGAAGAAGATCCTTCAAGCTTAGACTAAGAGTACTTTTATCAAAATGCTCTATTTAAATATAAATACTTAGATATAATTATGGGAATAAACAATAATCACATTTCAAAAGATAATTAATATTAAGAAAATGTTTAGCGCTACTTAATAGATATTGTTTATCATTTTTATGAGTAATTTAAGCAATCAGTTATTGAGGAATCCTTTTAATCAAAACAAGAAGTATATTCAAATTTTTTAAATCAACTCATTTTACGTCTTGGAGAAAATCTTGTAGAAATGGGAGAAAAAAGTTCTACAGCTTTTGAACAAAATCTTTTATAAGTGATATTTTAAAAGGAATAATCAGTTTTAAACTAAAAGAACAGTATTTTAAATATATTTATAAATAAATTTTCTTACTTTAGCAACAAAACTCAGCTGCAGGTGATCTTAGAGTTTCACAAAAAAATTAATCTTATTATGAGTAGGAAAAATTACAAACGCCATGAATTTTTATATTTGCTAAATACAATCATTAACGAATTTTCAATTAAGCCAGAAATAAACACAAATAAAACTAAACATGAAATTATTTCTGCATTAATAGAAAGTTATCTTTACTACAATATAAAATATAACGAGGATCCTCGATAGATTTTAGAAGAAATGCTTGCAATACTATCTTTATTCCTCTATCAAAATGATTACTAAAAATTATATGAGTCAAAAAATACTAAACAAAAAAACGATGGTGAGAGATTTGTGAATTAGAAAGAGCTTCTATTGTAACATGGTCCTCCATATGATCATTTGTAATTTGATGAGTACTAACAAGATGAACAGCAATAATAGTTTGAATCACCAAATTTAGAAGATTATTTGATCGGATTGAAAAGTCTTATTCAGAGAATTTTAGAAAATTCTAAATCTTCAGATAAAAAATAAAATATTAAATAACATCAGCTATGCTTATTAAATGTAATTTTTATTGTCGAATACATAATTCAAACTTAAGATTTTTAAAAGCTGGATCAGAGTATAATAAAAGAGATTATTAATTTGATAGAACAATTTGTAAATTTTGGAGTTTATTCAAAATTAATTTATAACATAGATCCAATTTTAAAAGTTCTGAATTAAAACAGCTTTTTTAACCCTAGTCAAATTGATTTGATAAAATAAATGTAATAAAATTTCAAAGGAGTTGACCAAATTAATGGAGGTCCCCTCCGTTCAGTTATCAACGTTTTATTTATGTTGATATAAAAATTATAAAATATGCACTAATTAAAACATTAAGAATAAAAATAATTCATTGAAAAACTTCTCAAAATATTTTAAAGCTGTTAATTTTTAGAAAATATTTAATAAATAACATCGAATAATTCAATGTTAAATAGCTCTCTAATAAAAGAGAAGCATTATATTATAGAAGGTAATATTTTAAAAAATGTCTAGCTAGGTAATCCTATGCATTTTTTATATGAAATAGAAACAAATAAATACCCAGCACAATAATAGAATATTTATTCAGCATTAAAAGAGCACCTAACCATTTATATCCTGTTTAACCTTTTCAGAGTTTTTTATCACTAATCTAAGTAAGATTTTTTTAATTTTTTTATTTAGATTTAACTAATTAATTAACAATTAGAAAAATCCATGAGCCTTTAACCAAATAAAATTTACAAGAGCAGAAGGAAATAAAGATCACTATATAATTAATAATACAGACTTTAAATCTGATGAATAAATAAAAATGCATTGAAAGCCTTTCATAAATAAATAATGTTTGCTAAAATTTGCAGAATTAAATATAACCTAAAAAAGGAGCTAAGGAAATATCCAATACTCTTTTAGAATATTTTTTCAATAATTAACTCAATATAAATTATTAGTATTTTTGCGAGGACCTATCTAAAGATAAGGCAGATCAATAAATTGATGACCTAATTCAAATCTTCAAAGACAATTTCGAATTGTTTTATTAGAATTAAGATAGAATTTACAATAATAATAATACTGAAGATTAAGAAAATCAATTAGAAATTTAAAATATAAGAAAAAATAGCCAATTTAAATAGAATTCAAAATTAAACGAAAGTCAACCAAAAAAAAATCCTTCTTCATTAGATAAATTCGATTTTTATCAAAAAATATCTTAAATCGCCCTCAAATAATCTCAAGAATAGTCTGATGAAAATATTTACCAGTTATACTTAAAGCTTACTTAAATACAAAATTTTGAGGAATATTCAATAGACGGTCTTATAATTCCTAGCTTATACATGCCTATTGTCAATTCAATTGATTTAGTAAAAATTTTTTCAAAAATTAAATATAACTAATTTTTTAAATAAAAGGTTTCTTCATTGATGCCTCTTTTGCTTTAAAGAATGATTTTATTTGAAAAAAATAAAAACTGTTAATCAATTTAAGACACAATTGCCTCCTTAAAATCTTTGAAGATTTACAAAGTTTAATAGCTTATTGATTTGAATTAAGAATTTTATTTTATGGGTAAGATTTTTAAAAATATTTTTTAAATTTATTTTTAAAATAATTAAAAGAATCACAAGCTAATAACTATGATAAAATATTCGATAAGAAGTGGGAAAAAATTCAAAAAAACTTGGAAAGTCAAAAGGGAGTTTTTTATAGAGAATTTGATAATTATAAATCTGTTCAAACTATTTCTAAAACTATCGATATTTATGGCAGAAGAAGCTTAACTTACACAAAATCTAAGAAAAAAAATATTTATAAAAATCATCAACAATACTAGCAAGAGTATTTTAAAAATCAATAAAATAACGATGAAAAATAGGCTGAAGATAATTTTGATGATTAATCAGAATTATATAATTCTAAAGTAAGAGAATGCGAAATAAAATCAGAAAGCAGTATCAATACTATTCAAGATTAAGTAAATAGAATTCATTCAATTAAAGTCTAATATCTTTTTTAGTTTTTAAGCGAAGATGTAGACACAGTTAAGCATGACTCAGAAAAATAAATAGAAGATATTTTTGCTAAAACTCAGTAGCCTAAATTAATTTTTTAAAAGGAGGGAGAATATATTTCTTTGACAAATTCATACTTTGGTGTTATTAGAATCTTAAAACTTCAAGATGATGAATCAGAAATTATTTTCGAAAGCAATAAAGTTTTTAAAAGACCTGATTAAGATGTACTCATTTAATCAAATAAATAATTTATATCAATTAAATTTTATTTAATTTAAAAAAATAGTCATTAAACAAAGATGATTACTAGATAACCTCAATGCCTTACCAAGATAATAATTAATCAAAAGAATAAGAAAAGAATTAAATTTAAAATTACAAAAAATATTTGCTAGGATCTCTTGAACCACAATCTAAAGACCGTAAAAAAAATCTTCAAATAAAGAACATATTAGAAATATATTGTTAAACTTTTAATGCCCTAGAAAACTCAGTTGAAATATTCATGAAAAACAACAAATCTTATTTTTTTGTTTTCTTTGAAGAATAAACAAAAAAGGAGTTTTTGGATTCTCTTAAAAAAATCTAAAAATAAAATAGGACAAGCTATATTTTTTAGATTATTGATGATAGCTTAAAAAAGAAAAAATTAATCAAATATTAAAAGCAATGGTAAGATGATGAAATTACAAATTTTGAGTATTTGATGGCATTAAATTCTTTATCTAGTCGTTCACTCAATGATATAAATTAATACTATGTATTTCCATGGATAATATAAGACTATAAAAGCGATCACATTAACTTAAATAATTTACAAATATATAGAAATTTATAATATCCTCTTGGTAAAACATATTTATTTTTAATTATTAATAAACGTAAAAAATATTTATTTTTTTAATCAAACTAATTTAGGTAAGTTAAACGAAATGAGATATAGAGAATATCTTGAAAAATATGAGGTTCTTGGAGACTCTAAGTACGGATTTTACGGATCTCACTTTTCTACTGCAGTTCACATAATGTAAAATATGCCAAAAATAAAATAAATAAAAGCATAATCTAATTAAATTTTAACTGATTAAATAAATAAAGCTACTATCTAATCAGGATTGAACCTTTTTCATCTTTAGGAATTTAATTATAGAGTGGAAAGTTTGATCATCCTGATAGACTTTTCTTTAGTATAGAATAAACATGGAGATCTTGTACTGAAAACAGCTCAGATCTAAAAGAATTAATTCCTGAGTTCTTTTTTTTACCAGATTTCCTTATTAATAAAGTAAAATAAAAATTTAAAATAGAAGTTAAAATTAATCAATATTTATTTATAATAATAGTCAGAGCTTGACTTTGGAGAGAGGTAATTGAGGTAAAATTAGGTAATTAACCACTATTTTAGTGTAATAACATTCCATAATTATACATATTTTTTATTTAGAATTCAGATAATCAATAAGAAAAGAAAGATCTAAAAGTCAACCATGTAGAACTTCCTCCTTGGTCACACGGTAGCCCGCATTTATTTGTTTAGGTACAAAGAGCAGCTTTAGAAAGTAGATATGTTTCTGAAAATTTGAATTATTGGATTGATTTAATATGGGGAAGAAATTAATAAATGAGAGATAATTTGTTTAATATTAAAACTTATAAAGATAAGGTAAAAAAGCAATCAAGCAAGCTATTTATTTTTCATTTATTGAATAAATTTTTTTTTAAATATGAAAAGATGAATATGAAAGTTAAAGATCTCTATAATAAACTGGCATCATAATAGGATGTTGATAAGCTAAGATCACTTTTAACTTAAATTTAATGCTTTGGGACATTCCCTACTAAGTTGTTCACAACTTAACATCCTATGAAAAATAATTTGTAATAAATTTAATTGATATATATTTACCATTTTAAAAACCATTATCTAAAAATATTAGGGAGAATTATGATATTATTTAGAATTTCGATAGATTACCTAACAAAAAGGCTGAATAAAATTAAGGAGAAGACATACTAGTAAATGAACGAAGAAATTCATAAATACCAGCAAAGATGAGTACTGATTTAAGGTATTCTTAAAATCCTGAATAAAATAGCAAAAAATATAGGATGAATATCGAACTTGAAGAGAAAGAAGGGACCAACATTTTCTTTTAAATAATAAATTAAGATATTTACTTTGTCAAAAAAGATCAGCCTAGCAAAGATTCTAATTACATAATTGTTATAAAAAGCAAACTTTTTAAAGATAAATAAGATAGAGAAAAAAAAGGAAAGTTTGTACAAATTGAGCATAAAATAAATGAAAATTAAAATTCGATTAGATAATACTAAAACTTGCTTGCATTTTTTGATGGTGATATTTTCTTTGCCATTAACTAAAAATCTAATAATATCAATCTATACTATAATTTATAAATTGCTAGCTAAGTTAGTTTTTCGAATGTAAAATTTATTTGTAAAATAAAAATTTTTTAATTATTATCACTTATTTTTAAAAATAGTAACCTCTAACAATAGTAAAATGCATAAACAATGTTAATAGTGGTATTTTAGTCTCAGTAGCTAACTCTAAAATTTTCTTAGCAGATTTCGATATCCGTTTAATAAAAAAATCGAGCGAGCAGCTCAAATAGCTCCACATTAGAGATAATTCTGTTTTTAAGAATATTCAAATTCTTTATGGACATTATTCACCTATTACTTTAGTAGAAGTATGTGCTGAATTGGATATTATTGTCTCAGTTGACTAAGTAAATTATTAAAAACTCTCTTTCATTTATTAAAATGCTTATTAAATTTTAAAACAGTAAAGTACATTCTTAATACACAACTCAGACGGTAAATGTATTAGAAAGTATTGTCCTGATATATTACTAAGAGATATTGTTAAAATGACTTTGAGTCCTGATGGCTACATTTGCATTTTATGTAAAACTGAGAGAGGTGGATACCCAAAAACTTTACTAAGCACTCTTTATTTACTAGAGTAATTTCTATTTTTATTCAAAATAATCATTTATCTAAAACAATAATAAAAAAGTATCAACTGTTACAACTAGTTTGACCATTATTAACATGTTGTTAGTAGTCATGACGAAGAGATAATAGATATGGCTTTCATTAATTATAAATCTATGGTAAATTAATATAAATCAAGAATCTATTGTAAATTTAAAATACAAATTATATTAAAATAGGTAGTTTGCAAAAAGCAGAAATTCGAAATTTGGGATATGTTTATGTACCACTTCATAGATAGTGCTAAATAAATTAGAAAAAACTATAGAAAAGCATAAGTTTTAGATAATTGTGTTTACAGGAATATTGGTCTTTTCTATGATAGAAGTAATAAAATTATTAAGATTATTTTTATATTTATATCAAAAAAATTATCATACATTTATTTATTTTATTTACTGATTAGATACACTTATAATCTATTTCTTGCGTAGCTTCAAATCTGGAAAAAACGATTCAAGTGATTAGTTCATTTCCCTAGTAACATCAAAAAGTAAATTTAAAAAAAATAACAACAATTAAGTAAATCAATTATTTAATAAATTAAAAGAGTAAAGAATTATTAACAAACTTGATTGGGCTTGTATGTGAATTAAATAATTAATTAAAATAAAAAATTCAATAAGAATAAGCAAATAAATAAAGTCAGAACCTAAAAAATTAAATTATATTATAAAATGAATAATATATATATATAGCAAAATTTAACAAATAATTTAAAAATCTGATATGTTTAATACAATTAATGGATTGTAAATACTAATAATCTATACATATTTATTGTAATAAACTTATTCTAATTGCTTTATAATTCATCTAAATTAATTTGCATTCTAATTATAATTTGTCTTATTATGTTTTAAATTTAACTTTATTTTCTGCTGAAGAAATAATTTTATTAATTATAAATTAAGCAAACTTACTTGGCACAATAATTTGAAAATAAAAAAATTTTTCTTTCATTTTTGAAAAACAAATAAATAAATATAATCTTACTTTTTTAAAAATCTTTTTTTTTCATTCACTTCTATATTTTATATTGAATTGTCGATATATTTATTAAATCAAATAAATATATTTCTGAGATAATAACTATATTTTTTTTTAATTTGTAATGATCCAAATTTTTTTAGTATTTTAAGAATGATAAAATCTTAACTTTAAAATTATATATTTGAATAAGAAAATAGAATTATTTTTTGTTTGCAAAAAAAAGCAATAATTTTTATTTAATTTATATTTAATTTTCTAAAACTAAAACTGATATTTTCTGTTCTACTTTAAAATAATATAAAAGAAACCAATTTTATATAGATTAATTAAATATATTTTATTAAAATTAACTCCTCAAAATTTTTATTTTTTATTTCTTAAAAATATTTTTTAGACACTAAGTAACTGTAGAATTTATGAATAATTTAGAAATAATTAAATTTCTGTTATATCACTCGTTTCTTCACATAATAATATCTTATATACAAATAATGAAGAATTTTTATTTTTCTATCTATTTGCCTTTCTAACAAAAGAAGTAATTTTCAGTTTTTCTTTTTAACTTAGGCTCTTATCAAACCTTTTTATTCTAATAAAGCATACTACTTTCTTACTTGATCATAATATTTATTGAAAAATTGTTTAAAGTAATCTTAAGTCATTTAAAGCTTAAAAGAAGGCTTGATAGGAGCGTTTTAAATTTAAGATGCTATTTTTATTTTTAAATCAAAAAATGGTAAGTGATCCTTTTTATGATTTTTCTCTGACCTATTTTTTATTTTTTAAATGTTTAATTAAAGAATTTTATTTTTAAATTTAAACCTTTTGACTCCTCTGAATTTAACGTTGTCTTGCTCTTTATTCCAAATTTAATTAAGAATATTTGCAGGAGTAATTAGCATCAATCTAGCTCTTTCCATATTTATTTAATTTTAATTATCTTGCATAAATTTTTGCAATATTTTTTCATACTGTTTTATTATTCAAGAAATTTTTTTAAATAAAATTTTTGAAAAAAAATTTACTTATTAAATATTGTGTTAATGCCTGCTTCTTATTGATCTTAAAACAGAAAGTAATATTTTTTTTTTGATAACCTATTCTGCTTCTGAAGCTACTTTCATAGCTTACTCATTTGCTTTGATAATTTCTAATCTTATTGAGTAAATATTTGGTGTAACAATATCATTTGCATGTATGCTATAAGGAAGTAAACTTTTAGAAAAATCAAATTTATAATTAGTATGTTAAGACCTATGGTGACTTTTATTTTCAATAATTTATAATTTCTTCTTTTAAGGAGATTGATTTTCTTAAGAAATATTATTTGTATTGTCTTTTTAACCCATTTAAGAAATCATTTAATCATTAAGATCTTCTAAAGACTAGATTTTTGATTAGTTTTTGCTTATTTTTAAAGGGCTTGTACCTATCTTTAGTTAAACCTCTTATTATTCTACTTAAAGAATATTTCTACTTAAAACTTCCTTCAACTGTTACCCATGAGCTTTTGCTCCTACATTTCTTATAATGTTATTTTATTTAAATATTAAAATAAATGAAAAAAAAATACTTACAAGTTTGACAAAATTAATCCTAACTTCGTTTATTCTTTATTTGCTTACTCATTAATTAATTATTCAATATTTTAATTATTTGATTGTTCCTGACCATAAAAATCTGGTATTGATTATAATGTAAACACCATACTTCCCCTAAAGCTCATTTTTTTTTCTAAAAAAGTTTAATAATCTTCATATTTTGATGAAGCTACTGTAAAATCACCGCTTTAGCTCCTTTTGACACAATATTAAGAGCTGAGTCTTTCAAGTTTTTCTTTGTAAATCTCTTAATGTTTTGGATCTTGCAATCTTGTTGTGTTCCCATTTTAACAAAGCTAATGATTATTTATTTTTAATTAATAATGCAAATAAATTTATAAAGTTAATAAAAAATATTTTATTTGATAATTATCATGAAAAAAAAAAAAAATTCTATATTTGGTGAAATAAATAAAAAAATTAGATTTAAACATACATTTATTAAATGTGTATCCCATATTTTAGTGAGCTAATAAAGTTAAAAGTTTTAGCAGTTGTAGCACCACCTCATAAATGTTTGAATCCTAAAGATATTATTTCTCAAGCTAATTAGCTTTAATTAGATTTTTTAAATAGATTTTCTCTTTAAAAAATTCAAAACAATAAGATGAACTCTTCTTTGTGTGTTTTTTATTCTTAATTTATAAACTAATTTTAAGCACATAATTCTTAGAATCATTCTTTGTTTTGTAGTAAGTGTGAACATCTTTCTTAGAACCTAAAACAAACCAATAAATATAATCCTTAGTTATTATTTAAATTATTTTACCAATTTTTTTCGAAAGTGCTTCTAAATCTTCTTTAATCTCGTTACAAAAAAGAAATTTTCTTTCGCTCTTTCTAAACCTAAAATAGATTAATTTATTTTTAAATATATTTATTAAATTGATGTAAAATTAAATGTTATTTTTTTCTTTTACTAAACATTTTCAGCATATTTGATAAATATTGATTAAAAATTTAATCATAATTAATTAGGCAAAAATACTAAGAATTATAAGCTATTTTAGGTATAAAAATTAATATGAATAAACTTTTTTACCGATCTAGGATAACTATTTAAAGCTATGACAAAGCATTTCCAAATTTAAATAAATAAGCCAATTCATTCTTATGCTATTTTAGTTTTTATTTATTACAGACATTTTTTCTAAATAAATCTAATATTCTTTACTTTTCAGCAATAATTATTATCTCTATTATTCTCTATCTTCCTTTCTAAAACCAAAATTTATTTTTAAATTATATTGAATTTCCTTTAAAATTTTAAAAATTACTTTTACTATTCTAATTAACTTTTACGTTCTAAAACAGTTTAAATTCTTTCATCATGAAGTATAATTTTTTTTTACTGATTTTCATATTTCTCAATAAGATAATTTTCCTATTTGAAATTTTCAGAAAATTAAAAAATTTAAATAAAAAATAAAATAATTAATTACATTTAATTTCCATTTATCTTAAGCTAAAAAATCTTCAGATTTGTATAGCTATTTTTAAGGGCTTCCCAGATTTGAAAGAGAAGTAAAGTTACTTAGAGGAAATTAGTTTTAAATGATGCTTAATGTCTAACTTGAATTAAGTGGGGTTTTAAACGGTTCTGAATTTTAGTTTGATGTAAATTCACTTCTTGCCTGTTAAAACTTTTTAAATAGATATTTAATTTGTATTTCTTTAGGAAATTGTTAATTACTTTTTTCCTTGTTTCAGAGCTAAGTTATTATCTACTCCTCTAAAAGTCATTGCTTTTTTGTCTAACATATTTTTTCACTGCATTTTTTGGATTATGTAATATATCAGCATCTTTATATTCTTTATAAATTTATTCTATTTCTTAGTTAAAAATTGTATCACTAAGGATAATCCCTTATTTTTATTGATTCGAAATTGTCCTTCTATGCTCTGCTCTCATTTATATTTCACTAAGTCTTTCTCTTTTGGTAGAAACATCACTTTGCTTTCTTTAAATATTTGCATCTAATATATTATTAATAAATAAATAAATAAAAAAACCTGTAAATGAAATATAATAATTACAGTCGTCTTGAATTTATTTTATAGCTTAATTTTTAGGTGATTTTTGTTCCAAATTATCTTGCTAGCAAAATTCTTCATATTCTTAATCTAGCTAACCTTAAATAGTGTCAAATATAATTTGATTATCTTTGTACTCAAAGAAAGATGTTTTCTTTTTAAGATTTCTATGTCTTGATGTACTTTCTTATTTTTACAATAAATTTTTATGTGTAGCCGTGTAGTTACTTTAGCTCTTTATTCTTTAAAGCAAATCTTGATTACTGTTATAACTCCTAAAAAAGATATTAGCAAAATAATAAATATATATATATATAATAAGATTAACCTATTATTGGAAGTCAAAGGTCTTTAATTAAGAATCTATTTCTATTGTTAGTCTAGCAACATAATTTTGGTATTGATGTTTTGTTTGTATAAACTATCAGAAATAGCAAGCTAAGTATACTTTTCTTTAACTTAATTATTTATAGAAGGAGTCTATTTTTAATTTTATGAATCTTTTTAGTTAAAAAGTGTAGGCTATGAAAGAGATCTAGGCGCAGCAAATACTTAAGGATGAGTCTATTTCTAAATTAGTGTTTGCTTTTAATACTAATTTTAATGATGTTACTCATCTTCTTTGTTTTAGTGATCATTTTGTTTTATAGTGCTTATTTAAGATTGACTTTTATTTCTTCCTAGTGAAGAGTTTTTCCTAAGCTTTTTTTCAAAGTATTCTTAGATTTTAGAGATATTTTATTTTGCATTCTTAATTAAGTTTAACTTAAACTCTTTTAAATTTTTGTAAGCAAGCTCATTCGTTGCCTTTGTAGAAATTACAACAGTAAAGTGATGCCCACAAGAAACATCAACAACTTTCATCGAAGTAAATTCCTCAACTAAAATTGGATAATTATAGTCATTTGAGTTGTTATGTCCTAAGCAATTTTATTTGCTAAATTAAGAATATCGTGATAACCATTAAAAATAATGACAATAATAAATTGTACTTTTAACCCCATGTGTATAGGAATCCCTTTCGATCTATTGCAGCATTATGATAAGCACATGAGGATATTTTTACAAAAAACGCACCAGCAGATATGGCTTTATCATCATAACAAAAAAAACTTGATATCTACTTTGGTCTCAAATAATCCTAGATATTAAATATATTATATTCTTTATAAATTTGAATTTTTTCATACTAAAGGAAGTTCTTTTCTTTGTTCGTGTTTGTAGTAAACAGTTCTTCCCCATGTAAATATTTCTCCTTTAAAAGTCAATGCACAACTGTGTCTATACCCACAACTAGCCTAAATAATTCTATGCTCTTCTAAAGCTTTAATCTAATTTAATTTTGTAAAAATAAATTTAACAGTTGTTTACAGACTATTTATTTTACTTATTGAGGATCTACTATTACGTAGTTGTATTTACCTTTGACACTAGAATGTCCAAGTTTACCATCTGCTCCATCTCCCCAAGAATATATCAATCCATCTTAGTCCCACATCAGACAATGGTTTTTTCCACACGATACTCCTTTTACTTATTTTACCTAATAATAAATTAAAATCAAACTGAATTCCATAAATTTAAATAATACATTCAAAGGTAATAACACTTAAAAAGGCTTTTAAGTATACTATATGTTCTATTAACCACATCCTAATCTTCCTTTAAAGATAAATCTTTTATTCAAATATGCCAAAAATATTTATTTTACCTTTTTCTTCTTTCCCAAAAGAAAACAATTTATCATTACAAACCTATTAAAAAATAATTGTAAATAGTTTAATAATAATTCTTATGTTTTTACAATTAAAGAAAAATGTTCTCCACAAGCTATAGCATCATATACAGTTTTTCTATTTAAAAATTAAAAAAAATGTCGATCATTAAACAAATAAAATAAATTCACCTTTCAAAAGATTCGCTTTGAGACACAAACATGTTTTTCCTTAATTTTAGGAGTTAATACTAATGCATTTCTTTCATGTTTTCACCTAATATTTTTGTTATTTTTGTTTAAATCTAATTTATCACTTATTTATTATATTTTTTACCTAAACAGCCATATTAAGTACTTCCCCAACTATATAGTTTTTCTGTAGCTTTTTTATAAAAATATTAACTTAGTTAGAAATTTTAAGAAAAATGATTTTTTGAATACTAAAGATATTTATTTTAAAGAGATAAATAACAATTACTTGAAATTGCAAGTGCGTGAGTTTAGCTTATACAAGCATTCAAAAACATTTTATCATTCAATCTACTAATGTTAAAAGGTCTGTTTACAATATATTTCATTTTATAAGTTCCTAGTTATCCATTTAAACTGGAACCAAATCCCCACAACTCATTATTTTCTAAGTTAAAAATATTTAAGAAAATTATAATTCTGCTAAAGCATTTTACCATCTATTAAAAGAGTGGATTTATATCCGCATGTTACTTTTTTAAATTTTAATTTTCTGGGATCAATATGCTAAATCATCTACAAATAATCTGAATAAATTTCTCTTTCTTCTTCAGTTTCCATTTATGTAAGCTCAGAGGGATTAAAATTCACGCATTTAATCCTGAATGGCAAATTTATATAAAAAACATTTAGTATTTTCTGAAATGTTTATAAATTAATGCAATTTTAAAATGTATTTACACTTCGGACAAATTAAATTTATAATCAATTATAGGACACATTGAAGTTTAGCCAAAATAAAAAACTATATTTATAAAATTGTAAGCATAACACAAATTTGTTTTCTTTTCAATAGAAACTAGTTACCTTAAGTCATTTTTATATCACTCTATTAAAATTTATATACACTCTACTCTATAAACAGCAACTAACGATACTAAACTAAAATGATAATTAAGAATAATTAAAGTTTTGGATGATTGATTCTCTAGTAGAAAAATCTTTAAGACTATTAATTAATTAATTGCTCAAAACTTTATAATTAAAATTTTGAAAGCAACGGTTGATAGATAAACTTTCAAAGATAGTTAATAATATAGGAGTTATCTAAAATACTGAAAATTTCTTTTAATTATTTAATTAATTTACTATTTAGATTTCTTACTTATTTGGTAAAGATTATTGATAATGAATATAGTAGAATATTCAAAGAATTGTGCAAAAAATTACACTTAATTAAAATTTTAAAAAATTGATAAAAATATTTAAATCAGTTAGAATAATTAAGAACTACAATAAATAAACTGTGTAAGAATAATATTTCTAAATGTAAATTTAATAATTTATTTTTAAAAGTAAAAATATGGAAAGATAAATTAGGTTGAAGACATAATATTTAATTCTATGTAAAAAATATAGTTAAAATTAAAATAAATAAATATTTATACTATTTTATGCTAATAAATATTATAATAGTCAGTTTCATTATATTTTCTAGATAAAAAATAATGCTCAATCATAAAATTAAGCAAGCTTATCTTTAATATTTATTTTTTAAGTATTTATAAACTTATTAACTAAGCAGATCCTCTTTTATAATAATTTTTATTCTTTTATTTTGTGTCTACATTATTATTTTTTATTAAATTATGATAAATATGAGTGAGATAATGATTTATTTATTGATTGAGTGGTGAATGCTTTAGAAAGAAAGAAAGATAGATCAGTAGTTTTTATCAATTTTATGCTCTTTATTATTTTTTTGGTCATTAAATGAGCTTTTCTCGTTTTATATATTTGATTGTTTCTTTTCGTATTATGTGTTTGAAAGGTTCTTGTCATTCTATCCATTTTATATTGACATATTTTAAGATACTCGGCGATCATTTATAACTAATTATTTATAGGATTAAATAAAAATATAACAAATTAAATAGAAAATAATTTATCAAATTCAAGCTTTTATATAAATTTATTTTTAATTGTAAAATTTTTATTACCCTTCTCAGATTCTAGTTTTTTCTTTTCTTCATCTACCAATCTATGAATTTAGCTAGATTATCTTTCTTTATCTTTCCTAACGAATTCTTCTACTTTATTAAACTTAACCCATGCCTTTCCATCAATCAAATTATCTAACTGTTTATTTCATTTTCATAAATATTTTAGTATTATTTAATCTACTTTGCTAAAAAAAATGTTGTTTGTTTCTTAAAAATTTATAATTTCTTTACTTCTTCATTTATTTCTTTTTCAGTATGACCACTTCTTTTAACTATTTCCCAAAAGGCCATCCATTCATCTTCTGTTATTTGCCCACTATTATCAAAATCTACAGCTTTAAATAGCTCGTTGGTGTTAATCTTAGCAAAATTTGATTTCCTATTTTTATGAATTATGAACTTGTGAAAAAGATGCTTAATTTGTTGAGATTATTTAAATTCTTTTTTAAATTTCCCTATTTATATTAATTTTTTATAGCAAATAAATACCAATATTTTATTGTTTCATCTTTGTCTATAGACTTAGAACCATCTACATCGATTTTTCTAAATATTTGTAGAACTTTATCTCTAAGCTTTGGAGATAATCCCTAATTCAATAAAATAATTATTTTAGTAAGACTGATAAATATTGATAGTATTAGAGCTTAAATTAGAAAACAAATGCATACTTTAGAGCTTTTAGTAGAAGTGCAACCCATTTCTATTAATAAAATACTAAGTTAGATCTTTATTGATAACTCTTACTATTAATAACAATCTTTGTTTATAAAAAATAATTAAAGAATAATTAATTTTCTTATTAAGTTTAGATTAAATATTGATATTAATATTACTATTTGATAAAGAGGTAGATATATTTATATGTATTTATTGGCATATATTAAATGTTTTCATTTATTAATTTGATTATAGTAAACATAATTAATTTACTTATCAAACCTATAATACTTCAATTAATTTTTGCTGACTTTGATTTTTATTTTTTAATTCTAATCAATAATAAAAATTTGTTATGATAAGCCAAATAAAAAATTTATAAATTCTATATAAAATAACTTTCTAAGTCTTCAAAATAAAAAATTTATTTTATCAATAATTATTTTAATCTTGTTATTTTTGATATTAATGATTTTTCCAAAAAAAAAACCAAATAATAAATTACCAAATTAAATTTTTAAAAATATGCGTTTATTTTTGTTGTTTTTCTCAGAACCGTCCTTAAATTCTAATAATCATTATTTTGATTAATATAAAATTAGTGTTTATAATAATAATCTGATACAATAAAAAAATAATCTTGAGATGATTTAAAAAATAATAGAATTATCTGAAAATTGTAATTATCATCACAATTTCAAAATAATATTTTTAGCAAATAATCAAATTTGTTATTCAGATAAGGACAAAAAATAGATAGCTTTTGGTTTAATTTAATAAAATTTTAATATATTTAAAGTCGTAGCTTATTTAATACATAAATTTATAATATAATATATAGTTTATGTTCAGGCTACAGTATAATTTTAATGATAATATATATATTTTGCTACTCAATTAAAAGTGGATAAAGTAATTTACTCTAAAGAAATTATTTTTTTATCCCTCCTATTATTTAACCCAGCTAGTTTGGTATCAACTCCTACATCTCTGTCTTCAGGAACTTCATTAATTCTTTAAATCAATTAATTATCTGGATATTTAAGTTTCAAAGGAAGTAAGAGATCTAAGCCAGAGGAGGAAAATAGTATTTGCTTTGATTTCTGTTTAATGGCTTAATTCAAGAAATCTAAAAATCCATCATCATTTCTAAGAACAGCGTTTGTAGAGAAAAGACCACCTGGAATGATGATATTATCGAAAGGAATTTTTTTCTCTAAAATTTCTTCATAAGAATAATCACAAATAATTTTCTTTAAAGGTTGTGTTGGTGGGTAGCTAAAAGTAAATATTTAGGAGTTTTTATACTACTTTACCCAACCTGGACAAATTGTATAACTTAAGTTTGGAGAAAATTTTAACTTTTCAAATAGTTAATCAATTTCTCTTTAAACTACACCACTTGACATAGCAATCAATGAGATCTTTTGGCTATCAGCTAACATCTCTTAATATTCAGATCTTAAGAAACGATTTTAACTCATTAAGTGTTTAATCGAATTTGCAATAGGAAGCGAGGATAGGATAGTATTTTCTGGAATCATTTCAAATAACCCTTTAAGATAAAATTTTCCTGCTGGGTAACCATCTTTTGTTCTAAGTGGAGTAAAATCGTTTGCGGATGGTAATTTCTCATTCAAGTGAAAATGTTCATTAGACACCATAGTTACAAATTAGGTTGAAGCGTTTGGATCACGAGCTAGAATTACTCTAGGTTTATTATAAGTCTTAAGATTGATAGCTGGAATTGAAGTAAAAGTATTTAAAGGAATATTATGGGCTTTTAAGTATGTTGAGAATGTATGAACTGAAGCAGGACTGCCTGTTAAGTTTAAGCCATGATAATCACTTATGATTCCTGACTAAATAAAAACTTCTGTTCCTGAGCACATAAATATTACCAGTTTTTCTTAGTTTTGCTTATTTTCATAGAAAGATTTAAGGTTTTGTATAAATAATTGATTATTTCTCAAAGCTGATGAACTAGGTAAACCACCTGGAATGTATATGACATCGTAATCATTAAAATTTACTTTGTTAATATCCATAGTAAACTATTTAGGAATTCTGTATGAAGGCTTGTAGAAATCACTAAGAATAACATCTGATTCCAAACCGTTATAGTCAATTCCTAGAGTAATTTATTTAGTTCCTCTATCAATCAAATAGTTATAAAAGTAGTAAACTTCTTAATCTTCAACGCCATGAGAGAAAGCAAAAAGGACTTTCACATTTTCTAAGGCTCTTTTTGACGAGGCAACTGGTAGCTAAGAAGGATAGGAATCTCCACTTCCTAAAACATCTTATAATTTAGTTATAGTTTCATATTTTAAAGAACTAACTTAGCAGATAAGCAAAATTAGTATCAAAGAATATAAAACGCAATATTTTGAAGCCATTTTAAAATTATTGGGGAAATATTCAATATTTTGAATGAATTTATTTTTGATATTTACTTTTATAATAATCAATAGGGAGTGACTTATAAATTAATTTAAGAAATAATTCCAGAAATTTTAGAGAAATTTTTTTTGAAAAGAGTTGTAAGAGGATAAATTAATTAAGTAAAACTTATTATTATTAAAAAGATTCTATTTATATAAGAAAATATTAAATAAAATAGAAGAAAATCAAAAAACATTTAAAAGATTTAGTAAAACAATTAGCAAAAAATAAAAAAAATAAAAAAAGAGAGTAAATTTCACATTCTTAACAAATTTCAAGTCTTTATTCAAGTATAATAATAACTATTATCCTTGATATTATTTATTTATTCATAAATAAATAATATTTAATTAGTAAAACTAAAATTAAGATAATTAATTACAAGTAATATTTTTCTAGAAATTGTCTATAATGTTTATTACATTTATATTTTTTAATATAATTATTCAAATTTTTCTCAAACTTATCCTTAGAAATATGTAAATTCAATATTCTTTTTCTTGTATTATGAAATTCAATTTTTTATTTAAACAATTAGATAAATTTTTCACAAAAATAATTCTTCTTCTCAAAATAAATTTATTTTAGATTATGTATTTAAAAATATTCTTAAAGTAGTTTTAAAATAAGTAAATAAATAAATGAAAAATTTTTGGAATTTTATTTATGATTGAGAATCATTTATTTTAGCTTCTCAATAATACAACATTATTAATTCAAAAATAGAATAGGTTAATCAAAATTATTATATGAATATTTATATTTATTATGAAATTAATTTGATAAGTAAAGTATATTTTAATAAATCATAAAAAATACTATAAATAAGTATATATTAGTTAAAATAAAGATATAAATTAGTTTAGTGGTCTTTTTTAAATATAAATAATATATAGTATAATATTTCATTTTTATTTATTTAGTAACAAATTTTTTATATTAGTTTTTTTATTGTGGATTTAATTTTATATTTGAAATCAGTTTAATGAAAAAGGTTCTAAATATGCCACTCTGCATCTCACTCTGCACATCGGGCATGTTAATTACTCAGCTAGCCATGTTTACCAGCATGAATAACAGGCATAGTGTTAGCAAGCAGTGCTTTTATGATTGTTTTTAGGTACTTCATAGCAAATAGGACATAAATTATCTTATTCTTTTGAAGCAGATTTTATTGGAGTTTCTTCATCCTTATTTTACTTTCTTTAGTATTTAATTACATCCCCATCAAAGCTTGCTAATCCTCTTGCAGAATTTTGCAGCATTATTTTTTGATTAGGCTTAACATTCAGCTTTTACTCAGAAGGTGAGATAACTATTTAATTAGTAGTTACCTTATCGTCCTATTAGTTATCGTTTTAGTTGTATTGCTACAGTTTTGAAATAGGACTGATGCTTTTTATAGAACCTGTAGAGTTTCTTGAATTAATTATTTCTATAAATGACTTTTGTTAGCTCATTCCTTCTTCTTTTGTAGATGGAGTGAGTTTTAAAGATTTTTTTCTTTTTCTTAAGCTACTTTCAATCAAGTTTTCACTTTAAGGAGAAGAACTCTCTTTACTTTTTTATAGGCTTAAAGTTACTTTTTGATCTAAAGATGATTCTCTAATATTTTAATTTTCATTGATAAGTAATGCTTGGTGCTTTTTGAATATATCATTTAAAAAGTTCAAAGAACTTTCTTTGCTTTCTACAGATTTTATATTTAAGGATCCTCTATCATTCTAAGGACGCATAATTTCAAAACTATTAGAAGATTCATCATCTGATCCATTTCTAAAAAGATTTATCATTTCATCTCTATCTCCTTTCATTATGAGAGGTTTGTTAAGAGTAATTAAAGACTATTAACTTAATGCTCTATCTTTTTAGTTCATAATAAATGAAGGTTCTTTGGGTATTGAGCTTGATTTTAATCTTAAAATTCTAGGCTATTGTAAATCTTATTATGATTAGCTATTGCACACAATGTTTTTTTCTACGCTCATTGGAGATTTTTAAAAAACTACTGGTTCTTGAGATTCGTTAATAATAATTCTCCTTTTTTATCTAATTTATTCAAACATGCCACCTTTCTTAGAATTAATGGAAAATGAAGTGTCTTAATCTTAATATTATGACTAATTAGTCATTGAATCTTCAAATTTAATATTAATCCTTGCATCATTTGGCTTAATTGGTTAATTTTCTATTTCCATTTAACTTGTTTCTATATCTTTTAGTGTACTATTTTTTTATTAATTATTGCTAAATGCTTACTAAAAAGTTTATAAATCCGATCTCATTTTTTCGTGATCTTATGTAGTTTTATAAAAAGAATCATTTTTGCTTGGCTATTCGTATAAAAATGGATTGCTATTGCTTGACTCACATTCTTAAATTAACTAAAATATGTTTTTTGTTGATATATTTTGTGGTATTGACTGCTAAATTTTTCCTTGATTACTACTATTCGATTGAGACATCAATTTCTTTTAATTTTCCAAGAATATATTAGTAAATTGGTTATCTCCACTTTATTATTATTATTATTAAAATTTATTAGGACTAATAGAGAAATTATTAAAATTGTTTGGTGAGGCAACATTATTTAAAGGACTTTGCTAATTTTTTTTTTCTTTTTCCATAAGAATCTATTTAAATGATCCATATACCTTACGTTTACTATCCGCATTTTAGGTGATACTCTTTTCCTAAGTGAGACACGAAAGCTTACCTTCAGCTAATTCTTTTTATGCAATTTCTCTAACAGATTAAACATTGCTCTTTTTGTTATTTCCTAGCTTAAGAATTTCATCAAAAGTTGTTACACTTTAATTCTTAGAATTAAAAAAATTTTAACAATCATTCAGCAAGTATTCAAAAGTTGAGTAATTTTTTAAAGCAGGACGAACCCATCCTGAAATTTAATCTTAAAATTAATTTTATGTAAAACGATTATCGCATAAATAAACACTTCCATAATCATCCTTATGCCTTATTACTCTGCCTATGGCCTATTTTTTTAAAGTATAAATGAGCTTTAAGTTGAAATTTAAACTAAAAAAACCTGATTCAAAGCTCTAACTGTACACAAAAAATACCATTCCTTCCCATTTAAAGTCTTTAATTCAATATCGGTATTTTCTTTAGATTACTTTTTATCTAAATAATCCATTTTAGTTACAACCCAGGTATCGGCTGCTGGAGGGAAAGGAACACCTACTACCACTACAGACCTTGCTAGTTTGTCTGTGAAGTCTATACCTTCAGAAATTTTACCTCTGCAAACACAAAACATAATAGCTCCTCTATCATCTCTTTCAGCAGCATTACAATATGATTTCATAGTTGATGAGAGTTCCACATTTGATCTTGGCTCAAAGAAAACATCTTTTATCTTTATTTTACATTTTTGTTAATTAATATAAAAATAATAAATAATTTACTGCATTTAATCTCTAAATTATGTTAAGTTATGATTCTAACCAAGAATCTCTTGCTAATTACATCAATGAACCAGAGCTAAAGCAGACAAGAATTCCATTAGGTACTATGTTGCATAACTAAATTAGAAACTATCCCAATTCTTCATAAATTTTTATTCCGTTTTGTCTATTGTTAAATGAAAAATTCATCTCCATCTTGTTGGGTCCATTTTTTACAACTCCTCCCACTACACTTTTTTAGATGTTTATAATATGCGAAGTAGCTAGTTTGACATCAAACTTTATATTCAGTTCGCTTTCCCATGAGTTCATAGGATGTAGAGTACCTTATAATATATTAAAATTTTTACTATTAATATAGAAAATAAAGAACTTTAATATTACCTGAAGTTAGCATTATCGAATAGGGACCTTCATTCAATATATTTTAAAAAGCAACAGATGGATCAAGACACCATAGATTAATACTTGATTATTCATATTTAGTTGAACTTTTATGAAAATAAAATTTGTAATAATCAGATAACTTTTTAATAGTTTTTCCTTTCAAAAACAATTATTCTTATTCATACATATCACATATTCCAACAATAAAGCCTGCGAAGAAATCTATATTTTAGCATTTCATAGTCTGCATATCTTATATAATCATCGACAATTTTTTACTAATTTAAACAATTCTTTTCATACTAAGCTCTGCAGACTACTTATTACTTTTATAGCCAAAAGAGCTCAAAAATTGATTATCATTAACTTAATTGTCTTCTTAGTCAGTGTCCTTTAAATCATCACTAGTGGTTTTATCACAGACTAATTCATTACTTTACATGGCGTTTTTCTTAAAATTAAAGTTAAATAAGGTAGGTTATTATTAAGAAGATTAGGGTTTTGAACGATCATCTCTTTGTTTTTTAATATTAGTGAGCATGTCTTTGTAATCAAAAAATTATGTTCCACTTAATGAAGTTTTTTTATATTTTTCATAAGATATCTTCTTTTTGTTATTACTATAATTTAGTAACTATCCACCAATTTATTCTATTTTTTCAAACAAAGTGCTAACACTGCAAACAAAGCCATTAGTTCCATCTCTAAATTTCTCTATTTTACCTTCTTTCTCAAAATATTTTATCAAATTTCCTATAGCATTTATAAGTTATCTAGCTTCTTTTATATGATATGTATCTGTTCTCATATTAGGTGTTAAATTCTTTTCTAAATAATCTAGCTCTTTATTTGATTCTTCTATTAAATTTTAATCTACCTTATAGCTTGTTCCTAATAATTTTGATTTAGTAAATACAAATAGAATTAGCAATTTTTTATTTTTTTTAGAATTTAAATAAAATACCTTCTTCAGCAGCTGAAGGAACGTTATGAGCTTCATCAAAGATTATAATAGAATCTTTTAAAATAACTTAAAATTCCTAAAACCTGCTTTACTTTAAGAGAAAACTATACGGTAATATGATCAGATCAGCATCATCTTTTATTTCTCTTGAGTAATAATAAGGACAAAATTTTTTGCATCTCCCCCTTTCTTACAATTCTTCAATATCTAGGACTTCGTCTAATATTTTTGGTTGTTATTTACCTCCATCACCACTGTAATTATAAAATTAGCAAGTTTTCTTCTTGATCGCATCTTTGCATGATCCATTTAGCTCTAAATCTTTCAAATTTGAATATTCTTTTTTCAAACAGTACTATTCCCTTGAACCCATGATACATACTTTAGGTTTATACGCTGTAGCCTTAAGCTCTTTCATAACCTTTATTATTTATTTATGTTTAAAAATATGTAAATTGATTTCTTTGAATGCTTTAGAGTGAAAATTTGCTTATTTGGCTAAAAGGATACAGACCAAAAAAATTTAAAATTTGAAAAAAACATGCTATAATTTACTTATTTAAGCTGAGAATGAGTTCTTGAGCAAAAATATATTCTATTTACAATTCCATCGCTTTAAATTTATTAACTAGCCCTTTTTTATCTTAGCCAACCTAAGCAGGCACATAAAAGAGAAAGAGTCTTGCCTGTGCCTGTAGGAGATTGCAGTAAAGCATTACTTTTAGAATTCAAAGCTTCAACGATACTTCTCATATAGTCCTCCTAAATTTGGTATGGCTTAAAAGGAAATAAAATATCAACACCATGAAAATTTAATTGATGATGTATTAACATTTTTGCTTAATCTAACTCGATTTCTCTCTTGCTAATATGGTGCTTCTCTACTTTTATGATAGGCTCTAGCTTTGCTTTTTATCGTTGTTCAACATCTAAAATATCACTACTACTCATAAATTCAACAACCTATGCAGCTTTGAGAGGTCAATATAATTTCACACTAATATTTATTTCACTATTTAAAATCTATTAGAAAAGTTTACCCCTCCCAAGCCTTTAAATTACCTTTTTAGTGTATTTTTATATTTAATTTTCAAGATACTTAAAAGTAATACACTAAAATATAGATAGTATGTATGTTTGCAATGAATTTTCATTAGAAAAGGAAATGCTTAAAGAAATAATATTTGAATTAGATTATTCAATATTTTTTTGCGCCAACTTATATTGATTAATTCTTTTGATCAATAATTGTTTTCATTTAATTTAATTAGAAAGTATTCATCTATTATAAATAATTTATCATAAAATAAATTAATTAATTAATTAATTAATTAATATATTTTTTTTTAATTTATTAATAAATTGATGGACAAAATATTTATTTAATTTTGATAATTCAAATTTAACAGCTATATAATTTTTCACTTTTTATCTATGAGCTAAAAGAGAATTTTATTAAAATATTTGCACAAATAATTAAGTTTCGAGCATATTAAGAGTAATTTTAAGTGGTTATTATTATATCTAATCAATTATAACCTTATAGTAACTTACTCTTAATTTAATCATAAAAGTAGCTTGCTTGAACTTAGAAAATTTTAATAGTAATAGATTTTTTTAAAATTCATATAAAATTTTCAGTTTTAAATAAAATCTAATTATATGTTTATAACGTTTGATGTAATCGATAAATTTTCAAATAGAAAAGCTTATAATTAATTATCTGATTGATTTTCAAAAACATTATGTTTTTAGCATAGTGTAATATTTTCATAAAATCAATTCTAACTACTTAATTAAAAAATAACAAAAAAGATAATTAAAATTAAAAATTAAAGTTAATAAAACACATGGCATCATTTCAGCATAATAACGAATGCAGCTAATTGAATTCCTCAAATGAAGTTAATATAAACATAGAAATTATTAAAGGTGAGTTATTTATCTTTATTCAAATGACTTTTTCAATAAATCATGAAGGAGATTTAAAAACATTATTTAAAAGCTAGCAAGTAAAATATAAATTATTATTAATGATTAAAAATTTTAAAATAGGAAAATTATATTGGATAAGTAGTATGTTTCCTCCTACAGATGTCCACTATTTTAATATAGATAATAAACTTAAATATTTAAAGTACTATAAAGATTTTGGCCCAGTTTGCACTGCAAACATCGTCAACTTTTGCAGAGTTGTGAAGAGATATTTATTCTAAGATTAAAATTATAAAGATAAGCCTTTATTCTTTCATTCTAGTAATGAAAAAGAAAAGCAATCAAATGCTGCACTCTTGATAAGTGCCTTTCAAGTATAGATTAATTAGTTAATAAAAATATCTAAATTTATTTATCTAATAATAGGTTATTGTGCTTAACTAATCAGTAGAAAATGTTTGGGATAAAATCAAAGATTTAGATTTGCTATCATTTAGAGATGCAAGCTATAATGAAGTTTGCAATTATCAGTGTACTGTAACAAATAGTTAAAAATCACTTTTTATTAACAATACAATTAATTAATTAGATACTTGACTGTTTGAAAGCAATTAAGAGAGCAATAGATCTTGGATGGTTCAATGTAGAGACATTTAATATAAAAGAATATGAAAAGCTTGAAGACTAAGAGAGTGGAAACATTAGTGTCATAATACCAAACAAAATTGTGGCATTAAGAGGACCTGTTAGTGAAAAAAATAATGAATAAAATTAAATAAAAGTAAAATTAAAGTTGATTAAATTATATTAATGTATCTTATTAATTTATTATAGACTAGATATTATCGAATCAATCCAGAGCAGCTAATTCCATAATTAAAATTTATTAAGGTATAGACCATTGTCAGATGTAATTCTCCAGAGGAATATGATAAATTTATTTTTGCACCACATAACATAGATCATTTTGACATTCCTTTTCCTGATGGAAGCTGTCCAAAAGATGTAATCCATTCAATTATCATTTTAATTTTACAATATTTAAAATTATCTAAAAGGATATAATCAAATCATTTATTGAAATTGTTGATAATTCGAATGGTGTGGTTGGTGTACATTGTAAAGTAAATTTTTCAAAAAGAATTTTTATTTCAATTGGAAAAATTTGATCACTCGCTTAAAATGAGTCTATCAAAAAAAATATAATTTAAAAAAATACTATGTTTGAATTATAGTTATTAATAATAATACCTATTTACATGACTAAATATTTATTAATTTTGGTGAATTTAAAAAGGCTGGATTAGGTAGAACAGGTACTTTAATAGCCTGCTATGCAATATAAAAATATAATTTTCCTGCTAGAGAAATTATTGCATGGATCAGACTTTGTAGAAGTGGAAGTATTTTAGGAAAGTAATAATAATTCTTATTGCATTATGAATAAATTTTGAAAGAGTAAGGAATCTTTAAACAAGAAAATTCTTCAGATTCAAGTGACATAGAAAGTTAAAAAAGTGGAATAGAATAAGTTTTATCAGAGAAATAAGTAAATAACAGTGCTAATGTCTAAGAATAGTAACTTAAACAATAAAACTAGAAAGACAAAAGCCAGAACAATAAAAAAATAAATATATGGGTAAATATTAATTTATTTTAATTTTGAATACTTACCTTATTTACTCATATTACAATTCATTCAGAAAAAAACAGAAATTTAATTAATTAAATTTATTCTTACCTTTATATTAATAAATAGAGCTGCTTTGGAGGTATTTTTAAAAAGAAAAATTAAGAAAAAACCAAAATAAATATGGATAACATAGACTTCTATAAAGAGGAGCCTAATTAAGCAGAAAAATTAATCGAACTTCAAAATAAAGCTCTTTCCAAAAAAGAAAGTTAGAGAAAGAAATGATGAAACTTAATAATTAACTTGATTGTAAATATAAAGGAACTAAAATTTTAAAAATTTCAAATTATCAACAAATAAATATGAATGAACCTTCTTATACTATTATTACTTCATTTAATTTTAATACTATTTTAATTAATATTATCATCTATCTTAAAAACAAAATTTCTATTAAATGTAAATTAATTTTTTGTTAATGTTTTTATGTGTTTGTAAAAACATTTTCATTTAAAAAAATAATTTCTTATAAGCTTTTAAGATATAAAGATGTATATTTATTTGAATTAGAGATATTTTTAATTTTATTTTTTAATAATTTAATTAGTAAATTTTTTTGAAAAAGTATTATATTGTTAGTTATATATTTAATATTACTATGTTTGTAAATATTTATTTAATCTTAATTATTTTTAAATTACAATTAAAATTTGTTGCTGCATACTTAAAGTTTTAATTAAAATTAAAATGTAATCGAAAAGTAATATCTTGCTTGTATTTTATCCATAAATTTTTTCCAAAAAAATTGAAGAATATATTTTAGCTATTGTTAAAAACAAATTAAAACCATTCAAATTTCTTAACTTGCTACAAAATATGTGATAATAAATAAATATTCGTTATAAAATATTGTTTATGTTGAGCCATAGAAATTTATATTGAAATTTACATGGATTTAAAAAGGTAAAGTAAAATTCAGATATTGTATATTTATTTATTTATTTATTTTCGTTCCTTCAATAATTAATAAATTTGTAAATTTAATTCTAAAAAATTTTAATAATAAGCAAAACAATTGCTGATAAATAAAAATATTTTTTAATCAAAGCCATTATTTTATAAAATCAAAGAAAGTATATTCAAACATGAGCGAAAAAGTTTTGTAAGAATTTTCTGCTAAAATTTTAAAAGCCAAAAATTTATATGAAGCCACTAAAAACTAATGTGATGTGCTTAGAAGAGAAAAAGAAAAATTAGAAAGAGAATATAAATAGATTTATGAAGTAAGAAAAGAAGCTGAATTGCAAGAAGAAAATCTGAAGTATTAATATGAGAATTCAAAAAAATCAAATAAGGAGGAAAGTGAAAAATGTGCTCGTGAAGTTGACGAACTAAATAATTTGCGTTCTTTAAAAAAGAAGTTAAAAAGAGAAAAAGACATTTATGAAAGTGAGATGATGAAAAATTCATTAGCTTTAGAAGAATTAGTAAAATAAAGAGTATAGTTATAATAAACAGCTAAATAATATTCAGATAAATTAGAAAATATAACTGCTGAAAGGGCAGCTTTGCAAGTAAATTAAAATTTTACTTTTTTTAAAATTTAACGATGCATATTTCTGAAATTTTAAGTTAAAACTAAATCACCTATTAGACTTATTCTCTCTCTATTTAATATTTTGTGGCAGTTAAAATTTGATGTCCCAATCAAAATAATAATTGCTTATATAATATTAAGATTTTTAATTTAAAAATGTTTTTAGCCATTTGATATGAAAATAATTTTTATTTCAAAAATCATTATTTAAAATAAATAATTATAAATTAAAAAGGATGAATATGTCAAAACAAATAGTGCAATTGAAGATTATACATTAAAAATTAAAGAATTAAAAGAAGAAATGGATACTATGAAAGGTTTAATTTCATAAAGTGTATTAGCTGTAGGCAATATACCTACTTCAAATTAAAATATAAGTTAAAATTTAAACGCAACTAATTAGCATATGAATATTAATGGAGGAAATAACTGACTGATTTACTTATTACTAACAAATTAAAATAAAATTTTAATTTAAAACTTCTATAATCAATTAAGAAAATAAATATTTGTCATAAATCTTTACTTGTAAAATATTAAGATAAATATAAAATATATAAATTAATATTCAACTATTAATTTCAAAAAAATTATTTTGATTGAAAAATTTACAAAATTAATTTATATTTTAATTAATACTAAAAATAAATAAATTAAAAATAAAATATTTATTTATCATTTGAGTTTTATTTTTAAAAATTACTTTTTTTATTTTATTTTGGCAAATAACTAAAAAGCTTTTTTAAAAATAAAAAATAAAAATTTTAAAATTTACAAAATTAATTGATATCACTTATTAATACTAAAAATAGAAAACCAATTAAAAATAAAATATTATTTATTATTTGAGTTTTATTTTTAAAAAATACTTTTTTTATTTTATTTTGGCAAATAACTAAAAAGCTTTTTTAAAAATAAAAAATAAAAATTTTAAAATTTACAAAATTAATTGATATCACTTATTAATACTAAAAATAGAAAACCAATTAAAAATAAAATATTATTTATTATTTGAGTTTTATTTTTAAAAATTACTTTTTTTCTTTTCATTTAGCAAATAATTAAAAAGATTTTTTTAAAATTAATAATAAAAAAAATGTTAAATCAGAAAAATAAAAATTTGAATTTAATTTATTTGATATTTAAAATGACTTAAACATTAATTATCAACACATCAAACATAAAAAATAAATATTTTATTATATCCTTTTGGTTGGATTTGGTCAATATGAATGACATAATTGTTTAAATTTACTTAATCATATTTAAATAAAAAATAAATATCATATCCAAAATAAAATGAAGATAATTAAAATGTTTTGATTGATGGTTTGGTTGTAATCAGAATTAGTTAATAAACGAAAACATAAACAAACTGTTTCATTATAAAAATAAATATAAACAATTTGATATACCTCATTTGTAAATATAAATTAATTTTTAAGAAATCAATGAAGTAAAATACTTGAAATAACGTGTTTTCTTGATAATTAAGAAATTTTAGTTTTAAGATTTTAAGTAAATTTGAGAGAAAGAAAGAGATAAACGTGCGTGTTTATTAATAAATAGGAAATTTTTATATTTATTAGTTAGTTGGTTAGTTAGTCAATTAATCATTTAGCCTGAGATTTATTTTTTTTGGCATATAATTACTATATTTTTTCATCAATTAATGTTATTATTTAATCTGTATTAGCAGGTAATCCAACACTTTCAAGAATTTATATTCTGACTGATCTTTATTACTCATAAGACATAATTGCCTTTTTCCAATTATTTGTATATTCGTAGATATTTGCTAAATCTCCTAGTATAGCTTCTTGATCTTAAAGTCTGGTTTCATGGTTGATTGAAAAAATTTGAATGGCTTTTTCTAAACACATTATTCCATAATTAAATGTATCTTCCTTTTCAGAGGTCTTATTGCTGATCCTAAAAGATATTGAGCAGTATGCCATACCCATAATTCTCAAAGCATCACCAACTTGTTCGTCGTTTTCTCCACGAATGGTTTCAACTAAATGTTTACTCTTTTAAGCATATTCTATTGCTTTCTCAAATTATTCATTTTAGATGCATTGCATACCTCTTGAAAATAGTAAACGACAGTAGATTGGTTCTTAGCTGTTTTCTTTAAATAGACTTAAAGCCTCATTTATTGTTTCTTCTGACTCTTTATGCTTTGCTTACATAGTGAGAAGAGAGCTCTTATGTTCAAGAATTTAAGCTAGATTTATTACTGAAATTTAGAATTAACGAGCAACTTATTCTGATTCAAGGGTTAGTTCGAATGATGTTCCATACTATTACTACTTGTAATAAGATTTAGCCATATTGAGTAAAACCCACGAGTAGTTATCAGCATTTTCTATATTGGCAGAGTGCATGTATTTCTTTGCATTACTAAGCACTTACAGAGCTTTTATTGTTTAGCCGCTAGTGCTGTAAAAAGTACCAATACTATTCAGGCATCTCATATGTAATGGGTGGATATTTCTTTTTGAATTTTCTATGTTATGTTAGGTGGATTACTAAACTAACTCATCAAGAGAGTTTAAGTTGTTTTAATTCTTATTTTGTATCTTATTCTCCCATAAATTTAAAGAAGCAGTGAAAAACATTTCTGCTTATTGCATGTTACGTAAATCAAAATGCAAATTTCCTAAAGTTTCAAATAAGATAGCTTATCTTAATGTGAGATGGCGCATATTTTACTCGTTTTCTTATTCATTATGCTTAGATTACTTACTATTTTATTTTTCCTATATTTCAGAAATAAGTTATTCAAGAAGGAAAGCTGCTTTTTCTATGGATTATGCAGACTCTTTAATGTAACCTAACTTATAAAAAGTTTCACCAAGAGTTTGTTAGGCAACAACCATGTGATCACTTTCAGCTTATTTTGTCTCTTCTAGTATTTTTATAGCCTTCAAGCAGTCTTAAATTGCCTAGCTAGCTTCTTATTCGTTGTGATACATATCTTGCATCTAAGCACGCATTAGAATTGTATTTGCATATTCAATTTTTAAGTTAATAGTCTCTTACTTTTTATCCTACACACTTTTAAGATTTACTCCTGATGCTAAAGTATTTTCAACTTATGTTTCTATTTATTTTAAGATAGAGAGAGCTTAGTCTGTCTTGCGCAACGAGTAGAGAGCATTTGATTTCTTTTACAAATCTGAAATGTATCCTAAGTATTAGCTATCTTGGTGAAATTCAGTCTTTAAATTAATTAATTCAGTAATTTTATCTAACAATTCTTATGCATTCATACTATCCATATTACTCTCAATTTCCTACTCAATCAAGCTAATACGCTTTTAGATTTTGTTATTAGCAAACACAGAAGTGAAAAATGTGTTTTAACTTTTGAAGAAGAGACTGGAAAAATGTTTATCCTTTTATTAGAGAGATAATCTGAAAGAGTGTTAAGTCCTGGAGCTATTGAGTCTTAATTGCTATTATTTATTGATTATTATAGATTATTACTTATTAGACTCAAGTATCTAAGAAGTCATAGTTCCGAATTGAAATTTTGTTTATTGTGTATTTTAGTTTAATGAAAGTTATTTGTATTAATCGCAAAGAGCTTTCATGGAGAAGGCTCTTTAAACCTTTGTGGTAATATTCAACATGAGTGTTTAATAAGCAGTTTTAAATAATATTTATTGATTATTAATTGCCTTGATTTAATTAAAAATAGTTCTATTTTATACTTGCTTTTTATTTGATTTTTCTTGAAATGTTTCCTCTTTTCAAGTATATGCATCAATCAGAGTTTGTTTGTTTGTTATATTAGAATTTGTATGGTTCAGTTCTTTATGAATTTATCTATAATATATTAGGTCACTATAAAAATATAAATTTACTTACCCACTTTTTAATGATCATAAATTTGATAAGATAGTGCGTAATTTTTTCTTCTTCTCAATAGCTTTTAAGTCTCACTTTTGTCTTTTCTCCTTATATAAAATAGAAAAATAAAAATCTTTCTTTCAGCGGCTGTCTATACTATTTTTAAATTTTAAAAGTGCAAAATGCACTGAAGTTGAATAACTTTGTGTATGTTTTATTTCAACTACATATTGTTTTACACATAAGCATTTTAAATCGAATTTATAAACAAATAAACTAGTAAGCTTCTATATTTATTCTGTAAATTTGTCCACATTTAGACTTGTTTGTTTAATAGTAAAAATCATTTAATTTTTAATTAGTTGACATCATTTTGCTTAATAAATTAGATTGTTCATGCTTACCATACTGTTAATTTGATGATTAAATTTCATTAATTTGCATTAATAGGAACTATCAGTGCCTTTTAAGATTTTTCATATTTTAAAAAGTGTTAAAAAAGTTTGATCAGCTTTATAATTGATTATCAAAACAAAAAAATTAGATAACTAAATTCTAATAGAAAATATTGTTAGACGAAATTAATTCTCTTTTTATATAAACATAAAGTTATAATAAAAATTGAAGCTAAGAGTTTATTGCAAATCAAGATCAATAAAGTCACTCATAAACTTATTTAGCCTTTCTTATAAAATGACTTAAGTATGAAAACTTTATTAATAGCTGAAGTGTTTTTCATAAAATTTAATTGAAATTTTGAAAACAATATATATTAGTCCTCTTTCTTTAGTTATAATTTTTTATAAATAATATTTTTGACATTTAAGCTAAAAAATACTCTTTAAATGGATGCAACTTTTAATCAACAGTACTTTATTATCAAACAACTTACAATTTATCTAGAAATTTTTTAATTTAATATTTTAAAAAAGAGAGAATGTTAATATTACTGATTAAATTCTGAATAAAGATTAGATATTATATTTCTAAAATTTATAATTTCAATTATATTTTTAAAATGATAAAATCTTTAAATCATTTTTCAAATAATTTTAGATAAATTTAAAAATAAATAGCAACACAACGGGGAAAAAAAATTTGATTTCATAAAAATTTAGATTAATTTTAAAAATTATTTTAATAAGTACAAAAAAAAGTAGGGAATATATGTTTCCATTAGTAATAATATACATATTATTTTTTTGTAATTATAATTGAAAAAAGTAAATAAATTTAAAATAGAACGAGTTATTCAGTTTTTAATGTTTGTTTTTCAAAAGAATTTAAATCATAAATTTTTTTAATTAGAATTTTTTTAAAATTAATTTTTTTTTAAAGTGAAAATTAAAAAATATATGTATGCATGCCTTTTAATTAACTATTGTTTAAAAGTTTCTTTTTTAAACAAATTTATAGTTTATATGAAAAAATATTCATTTTTTTTAGAATCATAAATAAATATTTATACTAATTCAATATCTAATATGTTTTTAGTCATATATGTATTTATTAATTTGCTTATTTTTTGGGATAATATTTTCCAAAACCTCCTTTTTTATTAATGTATAATCTTTATGAAATAAGCTCTTCTTAACTAGAATAGTCTATATAATAAAATCAATATGCATTCAAGATTTATTAAGTTTTTATTGATATATTTGTTTGTTTGTTTATTTATTTGCTTATTTTTTTTATTTTACTTTTTATAAATTTATAATTTGTATGAAAAAAGGCTCAGTTTAATATGTAATTGAAATACATTCTATTGAAAATTTCTTTGAATTAATTTATAATTTGTGTTAGAGCAATTTAAACTTTATATAAAGAATAATATATACACATAACTTATTAATCATATACATTCAAGATTTATTAACTATTTATTTATTGATATATTTATTTTATATTTACAAGAAATATCTGTTATCATTGATTCACTTATTGAATTTGTGGAGGATTGTTTGCTTACTAAAATTATTGTAAAAGTTTATTATTTTATTCATAGAGATTTTAAATGATTAAATGTAATTAATTTATGTTGTTATTAAGTCTTTTTTCGTTTTCCTCTTTTTCTTAATAAACATCAACCAAAGTTTATTCTAGTTTCTGTATCCTTTAAGAACACTATTAATGTTCTGAGGAAACCTTTTCTAATTATTATTCTTTGAATTTTAATTAATCGTCAATTAGGTTTCTCTAAAGCTCTAAATTTTCTATTCTCCTTTTTAAGTCTTTTTCTCTTTAATCTAGTAGCTCGTCTGTAAATATTTTGTACCTCTCTTTATCTGCTGACAGTAAGATTTCCTTTGTTTTTTCATTTTCTCCTCCATTAATTCTTTCTTAGACTTGCTAGATACTTAGATGATCTTCTCTTTTTCTTATAGGAGTATTAAACGCACTAACTACCTATCTTAATGGAGTTAAGTTATATTCAACACTTTTTTGAGCTGGAATAATCTTTATCAAGCTTTGCTAACTTTACCTTGCGCTAATTAAACCATTTACATTTCCAGACTTCAAAAATTAATTTTCAACTGCTTATGGTAATTCTTTTTATTTATTTTGTATTAACTATATCCTTGAACTTTATTAAACGACTCTCTATGGACTTGTTTCATTCGAAGCAGTTATTTTTTAAGAATTTTATAATTTATTATCTTAAAATATTAGATTATTAGTACTACTATTGTTGTTGCTGTTGCTATTACTATGCTTGTTATTTGAGATGGGATATTGTTAATCTCCTTAATATTAATCAGAATTAGGTAAATAAAAGGATACATTCTTAGAGCCGGAGTCCTTTTTTATACTGTTTTTGAACGAACTGTTATTCCTTGAAGGGCTTTAAAAATTTTAATCTAAAGGTTGCTTAGAGTTTTCTTAAATTGGCTTAATTAACTATGGAACAAATGGTGGAGGGCTGGTAGTAACGTATTGCACAATAGGTATAACTCTTTAAACCTAACTAACAGGGGTACCATGCATCTATATATAGTTATTAGGTTCTCTTTATTGCTATCTACTATTAACAGAGAGGAGGCTTATTCCTCCATGTTATGACTTTAGATCTCTCTATTTCAATTCTGCTAAAATTTATTATTTGTTTGCACTCATAATTTCTACTTCAATAAATATAATCAGATTTAATTATTTTTATTTTATTTCCTTTATTTTTAAAATAAGAATTGTAATTTAAGGTTAATTAAAATATTCTTTGATAGATCTTGATAATTTTTATTTTTTATTTGCCATTCTTTTCAATTAATTATAAATATTGATCATACATTTAAAATTATTGGTTGGTTATATAATTTAAAAAGCATTTCAAAATTATTTTTAATTTTACAACAAATTTTAGCATAACTAAATTTATAAAGAAACTCAAAAGAATTTTAATATATTTTATGTAAAATATAAAATAACAGCTAAAGTTTAATTGTTAAAGTAAAAATATTTATTCTATTTTATATAAAAATAGTATATTTTTACTTGTAGATGAGCTAATAACAATTCCAAAACAACTGATGTAATTTGTAAAAAAATATTTTTATTGAAATTTCTTTCTCATATAAATATCTACTCCTTAAAAGTAAACATTTGCTAAATATCACTTAACTTAAAGCACAAAATATTGTTTTATTAAAATAAACAAATAGGAATTTAAAAATAATCAATATATTGAAAATAAATAAATAAAAATTAAAATACACAATAATTTGAATAGAACTTTGATTGTATAAAAATATCTTCTTCTTAAATATTAATTAAGTTAAAAAAAAGAAATTTTTACATTTAAATAAACAAATAAGAATATTTTATAATCAATTATAAATTAATATGTATAAAAAAATTTTTTTTATAGGGAAAATATTCTCTTCTATAAAAATAATTGCCATTAAATTATTTACCAACTTAAAAAACACAAAAGCTATTAAAAATTTTTTAGAAAATAAGAATTTAAAAGTAGTCCAATATATTAGAAGAAAATATAATGAAAGAATAACTCTTTCTATCAAAAAATATCTAAATCATTTAAAGTAAATTCTTGTTAAAATATTGGCTAACTTAATTAGCATAGATTTTTAAATAATTTTATTTTCAAAAGTAAAAAAAATTGCAAAAGATTCAATCAATTATAGGTTAAAAATAAATAATTTAAAAATGTGAATTATCATTCATTAAAAAATGTTAAAATAGATAATAAACTAATTTTAAAAAACAACATTTGGCAAATTTAAATTTTATTTATGAGCAAAATTATAAAAGTGTAAAAAACAATTAAAAGTTGATTTGTTCTAAACATGAAATAAAATTTAAGGTATATAATTACAAATAGAATTATTAGTTCTTTCATTGTTTAATAGCCTATATTAAAATATTTTTTATATGCTCAAATGTTAAAAAAATGCTTGAAAATTATTTTTTACAATATTAAAGTAGGATTTTCATAAATTTTTTGGGCTAGATTAAAAAGAAATGTAGTAAAAACAAACTTTATTTTACTTTGCACACTTTACACTTGAATTATTTTGAGCGAAATACTAAAAATTTTTAATTTAAGCTTGAATGTATTTTAGCATTATACACTATAAATTATACTTTCTTATATTTTAGGATATCGTTTGGATGATATTTGCATTAGAACAAAGTAAATTTAAATTATTTCAAATCAGAAATGAATATTTTTTATTAAATTAATTAAAAATCAATAAATATGTAATTCATTTCGTAATAGTTGATTTAGACTGTATATGTATTATTATAAATAAATCCTACTTAGTAGATTGATTAATACTCAAATATGAGTAATTAATTGTAAATAAAAATTAGGGTTATATTAGTAATTATTTTTTTTTTAAATTTGACTGATATTAAAAACAAAGGAGCTTTTCATATATTTTAAATATATAAACATAAGAACTTAATATGAAATTAATTGTAGTATATTGATTATATGTTTATCTAAATACTTGAAAAATTTGTTAGTTATATTAAAAAATTGTAAGCCAGGGAAAGGTTACTCAATTCATTTTTGGAGTTCTAAATAAATACTTCTTTCCTTGATCTTCTTTTTAAAAGAACTTAACATAAATTAAAAATGCTGAATTTAATTTATTAAGAAATTTAAGTGCTATTCTAATAATAAAGTAGATGATATCTTAAAGATATTTATAAAACCATTACTAAATTAGATTTACATAAATGTGAACCACTCATTTAGTGAATTTATAATCAAAAGTTTCTAAAAGGAATATTTTATAAATATAAATATGTAATTATTTAGAAATACAAATTAAAAGGATAAATATAAAAAAATTTTATACAAATCTCCATTTAGTTAGTTAATTTAAAAATTTTAATGAAAATATTTATTTAAAATCATAATTAAATTTATCAAATATTTAAATGTATTTATTTTTTAAATCTTGGATTTTAAATTTCAATTTTAAATGTTTTTTATTCATTCTTCCTTATTAATTTCTTCTCATTCACTATTCATTAACAAAAATAGAAATTCAAAAATTCAAAATTATTTTGGAATTTGAATATTTTTTACATCAATAAATAAATCTAAAATTGCTTATCAGTGCGAAATAAATATCTTATTATTGCTTTTCTTTTCATCTATAATAAATAATTTTTCAAAAATAAATGTCAAAAATGTTTAGCTCTTACATAATTTGAATTTTGTCAATTTTCTTCAATTAAATAAGCACAATATCTAATTTTTTAAGATGTTACCTTATAGATTATTTTATTTATAATATACTAAATAATGTTTTATTAAAGTGACAAATTTTGCGTTTTTTATATTTATCACTCTGCAATGAGTGGTGAGAAAACTTAGCAATAATAATCAAATATAAAAATACTATAATTTTTAGGAGTGGCTAATTTTGCTTTAGAGGCTAATTCTTTGATTCATATGTTTTTATTTATGGACTGAATCAGCAAAATTAATATCTAGGTATTCTTTTAAATTAATAAATAAATGAAGGTTGTGACTGTGTATTATCTTGAAATATTTAATTATTGATATCTTAAGTAATTGCTTCAGGTAGAAAAGTATTAAAATGGAATTTGATTAATTATTATGGTAAGATATAGGCTTTTATGTTTATTAAAGTTATTAATAATAAGGATTTGTGGTTTAAATGCTGCTTGACGCAAATCTGTTTAGAATAACCATTGATATTTAAATATTTATGGAAAAGAATATTTTAAAATGAATGGAATTATTTTCAGTAAGAAATAGATAGAAGCAAATTACAAAATAATCTTTTATCCAAAGATTAATTTTTAATTAATTTCCAATCGAGTTAGCTCTGATTGAACCAATAAAAAAAAAATTATAATTGGAGAACCTTGCTTGTGTTAATTACAAGATATTATTTTTAAATAATAAAAATAAGGAGTTGTCAGTGTTATTATAATTATCAAAATAAATAAACAACTACTAAACTCAAAAACTAAATAAATAAATAAAAAAAAAGCAAAAAGCTATCCACTAAATTAATTCATTTACTAACTAACTAAATACTACTTTTTCTATAAAATGTCTATTGCTTAACCAACCATGATTAAAAAAATCAAAGCTTCTCCTCGCCCCACTGCTGCTGCAGCTACTCCTCCAATCTAGGACATGAGAGCGTCTACCAGCAGCTAGGGAGATGAACCAAAAAATATAATTGAAATAATTCAAAGTAATTAAATTTATTCCTCAAAATAATCTATTTATTGAATGTATTTTTTAGGATAAAAAAAAATAAGTTTTAATTACAATTATTGATATTGTTTTTTATATTATTCAATTTATTGATTGATTGATCAATATATGGGAAAAACATTCATAAAAATTATTAGCCTCTCGCATAACTTTGAGAAAAAATACTTTTTGGTATAATAAAAATATTTTATTAAATAATAAATAGATAGGTTCTTCTTCATTTCAGCATAATCTCCTCCTAAATATGATGAAAATAGTTTCTATTTCTGCACTGACAAGGTAAAAAATAATTCGAAGATATCTTATCTATTTTATAGATTTGAAATTTTATATATGCATAATAAGATTATTACACCTCTTTATATTGATAAATATCTATCTTAACAAAAACCTTGATTAAAAGCTCAATTTCTTTTTTTAATAAATACTCAGGATTTGTATTATGAACCATTTATAAAAGAATTCGGACCTTTAAATCTTTCCTAAATCTACAGATACGTAATACATGTCGATAAAGTTTTAAAAGAAAAGCAATTTTCAAACAGTATCCTTTATCACTACACATCTTACTAAGATAATACATTGAGAACTAATGCAGTTCTCCTTATATGCTGCTACTAAATGCTCGTTTTAAAAAGAACTGCAGAATAAAGCTGGGAACCTTTTATCAATATATCTCCCCCACTCTAACCATACAAAGATGTTCATAACTATCCTTATGATATGACCGTAAGTTATTTCGTTAACATTTAAAGTTTTATTATAAATTGCCAATACAATACAATCTAATTAAAATTTCTCAAAATAAATGTAATAACCTTGAAAAGCATTAAGGTCAAATAAAAATCCTTAATTTGAATGGATAAAAAAATTAATTTTAATATTGCTTCACAAACGAATTTCACAAATTAGTTAAATAAAAATACCTGAAAATTAAGTTTAAAATTCTTTAAAATTAAAGGTTTTAGACTGTTTGAAAGGATTAGAAAAGGCCATAAGTCTTGGCTGGTTTTCTTTAGAAACCTTTAATCTAGTTTAGTACACTAATATGTATCTTTTCGAGAATGGAGATATGAACTGGATTATTCCAAATAAATTTTTAGCCTTTTCAAATCCTTACGCTACCCAATACGATAAGGCAAACAGGAGACGCTGCACTGTAGAAGATATAATTCCTAAATTTTAATAGCTTGGAATAGAAAGAATAGTTAGACTCAATTCTGAAGAATATGATGCCAACAAATTTGTAGAAAACGGTATTTCTCACACAGATTTATATTTTGCTGATGGATCTGCTCCTTCAGATGTAATAACTTTAAATTAATTAATTAATCTTCCTTGCTTCTTTTTGGGAGTAAAATACCCAATCAAAATTATGATTCTGAAAAAGATTCATGATCACTAAAAAGATAATCGATCAAATTTAATAAGATTAGAAAAAAACATTAATCAAAAACCCTGATTACAATTAAAAGAAATTGTTAAGCACTCTGTTCGATTGATCGCATGTTCATAACTCTAAACACAATTTACTTAACTTTAATTCACTTACATGCAATATTTTTAATTTATTGTAAAATCTAAAAATAGGATGTAGTTCTCAAATTCTTAAAGGTCTCAGAAGAAACTAAAGGAAAAATCGCAGTTCATTGCAAGGTAACTAACTAACTGAATATTGATATTTGAATTTAATTACTTATTTAATTTGAATCAAATCAAAGCAAGTAACAAGTTATTAACTTTTAATTTTAATATAAAGGCTGGTCTTGGAAGAACTGGAACACTTATAGCATGTTATGCTATGAAACACTTTAAATTCCCAGCCAGAGCTTTTATTGGCTGGATCCGTTTGTGCAGACCTGGATCTATTCATGGACCTTAAAACACTTTCTTGAATGTAAAAACCCTATTAACAATTTATTTATTCTACTTAAGCTGTCTCTTTTTTAAATTGATCTCCTTTTTTGCTTTTATAAGTATTAACTTAAACCAAAATATTTTGATTACTACTTTTTAAAAAATCCCCTAAATAATTAATTTTAATCTAAGCAAATTGTAAATCAATCTCAGCCACTCTTCCAATTCAAATTATCAAAATTTACATTTTTCATTTTAATAAATAAAGGAGAAATAGCCTTGGTTGTTCAGAATGAGCATAGGATCAAGACAAAGAACTTTCTCTATTGGTTAAGCAAGACCTGTAGTCAGCATAAAAAAGCAACCTAACTTTCCTAATATTTAAAACACCCCAGAACTTCCTATTAAATTTAGACCTAATCCCATAGTTGAATAATCTTTACCAGATATCCAATTTCCTAGAAAAAATTAGTTTAAAGTTGTCTCAGCAAGCTAGTCCCGCGCATCCTCTGAACAAAAAAGAACGTAAATATTAAATTTTTAAAAATTTTAATTAAAAAATGATTAATTTATAAAATAGTTTGAAATCAAAACCTATACCAAACTTTGTTTTTATCTAATAATTAATGTCAGAAAAATAAAATTAATAATGATCAGAATTACAATGAATACTTATTAAATAAAATAGCGATTTACAAAATTAAGTATATTGGCATTGATAGCTTTCAATTAATAATAACAAATTAACAAAATAAATGAATAAATTTTAATCCTATAATATTCCTTACACATAAACACAAATAAATAACACTTTCTCATTAACTTATTTTAACATTAATAAACAAAACAAAATTTTATTTACTACTAAATGATACTAAATAATAACTACTTTAAATTATCTTTAAATTTTTGCGTGTATTTATAAAATAAAAAATCCATAAATAAATAATATTGAGTCAAATGTAAGCTAACTTACACTTATTTTGCTAATTAACAAATTAAATTTGTATAATATTTTAGGCATGAATGTATATTTAAACCTTTGTAAATTATGTTTTTTTCTATAAAACAATCTAATCCATCCATCCATCATTTAATTATTTATAATTTGTTTGTTTATTTATATTTTTTTTCTGATCTTCTTAATTTTAAATTACATCATTTGATAAATTAAGTTTACTAATTAAATTTGTTTTATTCAATTACTTCATTTCTATTAATTTACATCTAAATTTGATTATTTTAATTTACTTCTTAAATTAATTGTACTTCTTTGATAACTAATTTCTTTATATTGATTTATTTACATTTCTAATTTTTTATATTTTACAATTTAAATATATCTCTTAAGTCATCCATCAATCCATATTAAATTTATTCTAATGGAAAAAATTAATGTCTTATTTTTGCTTTTAGATTTTCAAAAGTAGTTTGAAAACGCTTAAATATCTCTTTAAAATATCATATTTATTTTTTTTATCAAGGGCTAAAAAAATATATAAAAATCTTACTTATCTAAAATTATTTTGATGAAATAGATAAATTTTTTCTTCACTTTCTTTACTTACTTCAATAATAAATATAAATTGAGTTTCAGAATTTTTTTATCATTTATATTTTCTTTTTACGAATAACTAGTTAATTTACACATTTTATATATTTCTTATCTTAATAAAAATAATATTGATAAAACCTTTATTACACTAATGTAAACCATTCAGAAAAAATAATAACAACCTCAGTTTAAATTATAAATTAAAATTTGTTATTAAGATAAATTGAGACCATTGATTTAAATAGATAATTTAATTATTGCTAATCGATAATAAATAAATATTACCTAATATCTGAGTTAAGTTTTCTTGAAATTTGTTATTTGAATATTTTATAAATAATATTTATTCTTAATAATTTGCAAAATAATAAAAACTATAAAAAATACCTTGCTCGAATCTCAAGAAATAAACCCTCGAATTCAAAATACATTTAAAGATTCTGATATGAATTGCATTACTATTTTGAAAGGTAAGCATGATTTAATACACTAAAATAGTTTTACTCATACTGTATTATTAAATAGAAAAGCTATTAATATAAATATCTAAAGATTCAGGAGGTCTATCTCATATCTCAAATTTATTGCGTTTTTCGTTTGAATTAGTAAAATAAATTGTAAGATTAAATAAATTTTAAACTTTTAAATTTAAAGAATAATTTAGATACAAATAGTTAAGATAAGAATTTTTTTTAACTCAATATTGGCTCAATCATCAAATTCAATAATGAAATTATATCGATTCTGAATAAATATCCAAACAACACTATTGTTTTTTGCATTTCACACCTTGATAGTAGAATGCTTTAGTTCTTATTAATTATCGGATTTTTTTATGTAATAAAGTTTTTAAATTTATAAAATTTTACATTTAGATTAAATAAATTAGATCACGACTCTGAAAAATGATTCAAAATCCTTTATAAATTTGATAGAACAAATAATAAAGCCAAAGTGTATTATCTAAAGTGAAATTTAAAAAGTATTTACTATTATTATTTGAAAATATCTTATCAATTTAATTTCTTTTATAAAAGCTTTATCAAGCTTTGTAAAGTATTGAAAAGATCAGATAGTTATTATGGATTGATTGCAATAAATTTAATATAAAGTAATATGCAATCAATCTAATACAATATAATTTATCTGAAATAGTACCTCAAAAACTCTATTGCTTCTCCTCTCCTGTTGATGATAAATATTTAACAAAAATCTTTTAGAATTAAAATTATGACAGCACAAACTCATCACCCTAAAAAAATTAATTATAAGTATTAATTATATTTTTATCAATTCTAAAAATGAAAATAAATATTTTAAAAAGAGCCAGCTTGATCCAAGTTAATACTTAGAAGTTCTTGGAAATCTAGGAATTACTCAAATCATTAGGCTAAACTCAAAGACATATAAATCTTATAAGTTTACAAACTTTGGTTTTAAACATCATGATATATATTTTCCAAAAAATTCCTTGCCAACATTTGTAATTTTAAATGAATAATTTATATTTTATATTAAATATTAAATATACTTTAGGACCAAATAAGAGAGTTTATTTAAATTTGTAGCCAAAAAGATAAAATAGCTATTCATTGCACTGTAATAATATATTTATTTTTTAAGAAATAATTTAATTAATTTTATAATTTTAATCAGTCAGGATCTGGTAGATCTTGCTTGATGATTGCTTGCTTTTGTTTATATAAATATAAACTAGAATCATATCAAATAATAAATTGGATTAGATTAATAAGGCCTGGAAGTATAAGCTAACTATAAGAATAGTTTTTGAATGAAAACGAATAAACTATATAAAATTTATTTATATAAATTAAATGAAATTAAAAAAAAATTAAATTAAATTAAAAATGTTTTTTTTAAATTTTTTAACTAAAACATAATAAAAAATATTTTAAAAAAAGATAATAACTAAGTTTTAAAAACTTGATTTCTAATTAAATTTATTAAAATGATTGAATTCAGTTCAATATTAAAAAATAATATATCTACAATCTACTAAATCGCTATTGCTATCAAACAAACAAAGATATTTATTTCAATAAAAAAATTATATTAATTAATTATATTGTTATTCTATAATAAATTATCCTACTTAATAAAATTTTTGGAATCTAATTCTTATATTTAATATTAAGTATATGAGCAACTAATGCTTACTAAAACTACTATGGATTTTAATTCAAGTTATTTATCTTAAGCAGAAATTAATTTCTCATATTTTAATTAGAGATATATTGTTTTCAATATATTTGAATTAGAAATGCCCTAACTCCTAATAATAGGAATTATAAATTTGATAGTATTTTTATATAAAATATTCAGGCTCATCTCAAACTTTAAACCAAATAAAAAATTACAATTTAATGTATTTGAAATAGTTGTTTATATTTTAGAGAAGGAAGTAAATTGTAAGTTAAAATTATAGCAAAAAAGAATATTTAAAATTTTTAAATATAAAGGAGATTGATTATATTTTAGATAATTATAAATACTTAAAAAGAAATTTATAAATATTAACTAATTATTAATTTTTATTCATTAAAAATCTAAAAAATTCAGTTATTGTTATTATTATTGTCATTATCTTTTGTTTCATTTTTTTGTTAATTATATTTATTTTTTTCTTCTTCTTTTCTTAATTTAAAATCTTCTTCATCAGATTGATTATCATATTCTTCTCTTGGCTATTAATTTATATCTTAAAAGCATATCATTAAAAGTAGGTCCAACTCTTTACTTTAATCACTAAGCTTAGATCTAACTAATTGAGTGTTAATTTCTTAATCATAAGGACAGTTTAAGTAATCAAATATGTACCTGGTTAAAAATTCACTCATTTCTAAATAATTAAACTAATCTCCACTTATTTTGTAATCTTCTATCAATTAGCTTCTTGTTTTTTAATAAAACTAAGCAATTTTTTTTGTCTCTTATCTCTAAAAATTATTTTTTTATACTGCCTTTCCTTGCTAGATCTCACATAAGATTTATTTAAAAACTTCTCTGCTTGCATTAAAAATTTCTTCAAAAGAAAGATATCCATTTTAGTTGCTATCAATAATCTGTTTTTATTTAAAAATAAATAAATAAGAATTTCTATTAAATATATTTATTTACCCTTAAGAATAAATCGATTTTAGAATCTTCTGATTAAGACTCAAGAATAATTAATGCAGATAGAAACTATTCCCATAATAGACTTGTATTATCTGAATTTTTATTTTTATCATAAAAGAGTTTCTCTACAGCATGATCAGGAGCAATATTCAGTTTAGGTATTCCTTTCTTAAAAATATATGTGTCAAAACCATTTTTCACCGCTATTTAAAAAAATTATTTTAATTTTAGTTTAAATGTTTTTTTAATTAATTTACTCTCTTTTGCTGTTTGCATTTTATTATTATTATATAAGTATTTGTAATGTAAAAGTGATTTGAACTTTGAAAACATCAAATGCAGTTACTGTCTAGTTAACCCTGTTTTCTTTTCTATTTTAGGGATATTATGAGCAACTAAGTTAGGGAATTCATGATTAATATCCTCCAATATATTTTAATATTTATTTCTATTTTTTATAAAATAAAGTATAATTAGTAAATCAAATAATAAAATAAAATTGTAGATAAAATAAATAAAATAGTTTCTCAAAAAAATTATTTAAAACTTAAATTGTTTTTAGAAAGAAACTCTTTTTTTGAATTAAAACAAATTAAAATTGATAAAATAAAATTAAAAAAAAGCTTACTTATTCATTTCCAAATAGTTTTTTTTATTACCATCAGGAGTTTTTTAACGGTTTGAAGAATTAAACAATTAATCTAGCATATTTTTTTCTTCAGTTGATTATTTAATTTTTTAGTTAGAATTAACTTTAACTTTAAAAATTGAATTATTTTTTTATTTTTGCTAGTAGAAATTTTCATGAATTGCAAATTGGTTTGTATTTTACTTAATTTTTAATTTTAAAAGTTATTATTTATTGAAATATAATAAATTAGGTTTTTTTTTAGGGATTTCTTGTAAAACTTTATCTAACAGTTCACCTGTAATGGGAGATTTAGACATTTAGAAGTCTTCTTCTTGTTTCTTTATTTATTCATCAGTTATCAAATTTTTTTTTTTGTGTTCTTCAATAATTTTTGAGACTTCTTAATAAATTTTTTATTTTTAATTTTATAACCTTCCACTATTTTAAGCTAAATAATCTATGAGAGGATATTGTATTTCAAACTTTCTTTCAATAACCTTGTTAGCCTAGCTAAAATCTTCTTCAATCTTTTTCGAAATCATGGAATCAGCTTTAGAATTAGATCTTGATAAACTGTGCTCGAAATTCTGGGTATTTCTGTTACTATTGAAAGATAAAAAATTCACTTTAGTCTAAAACGAATATTTAACGATTTATTTTTTACCTAAAATCTTTATAATTTTTAGAATTTTAAAATATTGAGGATTTATTTGTATGACAAAATGTTTCCAGAATAGAATAAACTTTTCTTTTCTTTTCAAGTTAATAATTTTTTGGGTTTTTTAAAAAGTGAATAATTTCTTCTTCAGTTTTTAGATTATTAACAATTGAAATCACATCATCTCTAATAGTTTAAAACGATTTCTAGTTTTCTATTTTGTGTAATTATAATATCTTTTTCCAAAAAAATGGTCTTGGCTTACAAGCTAAATTTTAAAAAATAAATTTCTTTTTATCAAAAATAAAAAATTATTAAATTAAAATTAAGCAGCTTTTACATAAAATTATGCAATTAGAATGATCTGGTATTTGTTAAAGTAGACTAATTGGGCATTCATTTAAAAGGAAAGCGTACTATATTTGTTATTAAAATAAAAATGAAGCACTTTAAAACATTTCTTGCATCTATTGATAATATTTATCATCATAATCAATGGTATTTTATTCCTATTTTAATAAATTCAAAAATATATATTTGAATAAATTGATTGTCAGGCAAGTAAGTAGATTTTTAATTACATATTTTTGAATTATGTATGGCTAGACTTATATTTTATTTGATGAGCATTCAGAAAAATTTATGAGAAATATTTCTCTTTAATTTTGAGATTGCTTTTAGCTTTCTTTATTTATTATATTAGATTGATGAATGAAGTTTTTATTACGATTTTAATTAATCATACATTAAAATTATTATAGTTGGTAAATGTTATTTTCTCTAAATGTTAGATTTTATATCCCTTGTTTGTGACTATCCAACATTTTCAATTACTCTTCGTAAGGGTTTTAAGGGTTTGATATAGAACGTTTATGAAATTTAGAAGCGAGCTAAATATTTTTTTCTTTAAATCCTCCAATCTTTCTGAATTCTTAAAAAGTAAGTCTTTACTTTGCAACCTAATCTTATGCATTCGATAAGTTATTTAAGTTTTAACTATTCGCTGCTTGATTAAATGCATTCAAGTTCACAGAACATTTAGATGATTTAGAATCTGTTTGATAAAAGTTTTATTTACTATCAGTTGGAAGTAGAGGGGAGTTTAGTCTATTTATTGGTTATTTTATACTAGTTAATCTATATTATTCATTAAAAAAAAAAATATAACATAGTAAATAAAAAATGATTCTTTTAGATTAATAGTAGTAAAAAGAAAGCATACAAATGATTTAGCTTTGTCATTTATTTATTTCTAATCAAATTGCTGCTCTGGTGATTGTTTGTATCTAAGATGTATCTCTATTCATTTTATTAATTCTAAGGCTGAGCTATTTTTATTTTATTCTACTTATGTGTTTGATAATAATGTTTTATAGTTGAATTCTATAAAATCTATATGGAAGGGTTATTATTGCTATTAACAGATCTGGATTCTTCAATTTCTTAATCTATGTTTGAATTTGGGCTTTCAAATCGAGTAACTCCAATTGATCTGTAGCTTGGATTGGAAGACTAAACAAATTGATTATCTCTATTGTTGTGATAAACATTACTTCTACTTCGAAAAAAATTGAAATCACTATTTATGCTAGATCCTGTTTTATCTAACCTAGGAGTTTAAAAAGTTGTTGAAAACTTGCCTGCTGATTAAAACATAGAGTTTGTGCATGTAAAAGTGTTATTTCCTGACTGAATAATATCTATCATAGCAGCTTTTCTATCAATAGAATTATAAATTTATTGCTTGACATTAAAATTTTTGTGCATTAACTCAATAATTGATAAGACTCTAAAAAACTAATTAATTAATTAATAAATAAATAGATAAATAATTAAATGCACCTCAAATTTTTTTCTTTTTATAAAAATTTTTTATTTATTATTTTGAATTCAATTAAATATTAGCTAAATGATAATCTTAAATTTACACAAAGTTAAATTGTTAAATAGTTGTAATTTAATAAAAATTATAAAAATACTCTCACTAACACAAACACAAGCAACCATACAGTATAAAATAATAATTTATTAAGTTTCTAACATTTATTGTTTAATAAAAATAATTATTTTATACCATAATGAAAATGATAAATTTTAATAACTTAGAAAAAATGACAGATAAGAAAAAGTGTTTTATTTTTAAATTATTCTTATTAAAATATTCTAAAATAAAAAACAAAAAACATTCAATTAATTTTAATATTTTAATTTATACTTTATAAATATTTGATTCAAATTTTGATAACTTAAACACTTAGTCCGCCAATAAAACTATTTTTTTATAAAATAATTCAAAGTGAAAAGCTTTTATTAATGAAAAATTCCTCAAAAATAATAATTTTTTCAAAATTATTTTAATTATTGTTCCCTAATAAAAAGATTTATAAATAAAAATCTAATAAATAAATAAAATAATTTTTTCTTTTTAAAAAGTATTTTTTAGTCACTTTTTTTAAGATTGAAGTATGCAAAAAATAAAAATGAATTAAATATCTTGATTTAAACTATTTTAATTCCTTTCAGAATAAAACTTGAAATCCTATTTTATTATTTGATAAATTTTTGTATTTTATTAAAAATAAAATTTCAATTAAAAATAAATTTTAATTAATTTAAATAAATACATATATAAAACTGGTTATTTGATTAGTAGTTGGTATAAGAATTCTTAATATAGATAAATATATAATATATATATGTAAATATATACTTGTATGAATATTTACTTATCTTACATTAATATCATGGTAATATAAGATTGAGCTTAAAAATAAGGTATGATATATTTTTGAGATAAAAGATTGAGTATAAAATTATATTTTATTACAAACCATTTATGAATAAAGAAGAGAAGTTAAATTAGTTCTAAATTATATTTTTTTAAAGATAAAACTATTTTTAATATAATTTTAAAAGAATTATAATTTTTAAAATACCAATTTTTTAATTTTCTAAAATTTAATTAATTTTTCAAACAAAAGTAATGTAAAATGTTTTAATTATTTATCTTGAAAAATTTTTTTATAATTCTGTAAATTAAAATAAAAAGTATTGATGATAGGAAAATAGATATATGATATAAATTATCGGGTGTAACCTAAATAATTTAGCTAATGACATGAAAATGTAAAAATTTTTCAATTTGAAGTTTATTATATTTTATTTTAGTTTTTATAATTTTGTCATAAGATAAAATTGGTATTTGATTAAAAATCTGAAGATGTAATGATATATATATTATTCTAGCTTTTTTATTAGTAAATATATCTATTTGGTTTTAGTTCCTCTAATAGCAAAAATATGTTTGATTTTAATAGTATCTGATTAATTCAAAAAATTTGTACTAGCAAAAAATAAAGAATAAGTATGTTTAAATCTAATTATAGTGTTTAAGTATTAAGTTTCATTGGGTGGTAGAACTATAGAAAATATTTATTTATGACATTTTAATACTTAAACGAATATTTTGATTATGTAAACTATTTTAAGCTAAAGTAAGAAATATTATAATTTTAATATCATTTAAATTTACTTGTTAATTATCAAAATTTGTGAAAGATTTTTTATTTGTGTAACTTTTTTATCAGTAAATTTCAAGAACTAATTATAAATAAATAAATAACTGTCCGTTTTAGGATAGATTACATTGCTTGAATTTATTAGATTTGTTAAAATATTATTGAGATTATAGTTATCTATTGCTGATTCAAGCTTTAAAAAGGGTAAGATACTTTAACAAATAAATTAATTAATAAAAGTCTTTTATTTGGCAGATTAAATTAATCATCGATGCAGTTTGAATAAATACCCTTTACTAAGATTACTACTTACATATGTAAGATTATTAAATTAAATTAATTTGTAATTTATTTACTAACCTAAAATAATTAGAAAGATACTGAATTTATTATTTATTATACATAATTTGGAGTAACGAGTTGATTCCACCTTAAAAATTTTCAATTAATAAAGAGTTAAATCACATTTACTGATTTTATTCCAGTTATTTTTTGCCAAATTTCTTTTGTGAGTGCTTAAAAAGTCAACACCAAATTCCAAGGAATTTGATAAATAGCTTTTTTAAAGAATGAAAATATTTTAAGTTTATTTAAATTTTTATAATAATCTAAAAAAGTAAACAATTAAATACTTTTTTAGTTAAATCTTATTATAAGAATATACTTAAAGTAAGAGTTATTTATTAAAAGATAGAGTGACTGAAAATATGGTACAAACAAACAAAGATATTTACAAAATAATCTACAGAAACAAAATCAAAGTAAATAAATATTATGTTAATAATGGAAAACACTAAAATTGATATAAAATTTTATTTTTGAAGTAAAATTTTTTAGCTATAAAATTGTTTCATCACATATTTACATTTTGAAATAATTTACGCAAGTAAATAGATGGGTAGAATAAGAAGATATTAATTAATAAATGCATTAAATAATTTTCAGTTTACATTCATGATAAAGAAACATTTAGGTGGTTATTATATTTGAAAGGATTTTTATGGTTGTAAATTGACTTATTTATTTTTCTATTTATTAAATATTGTTTGTAGCGAGCTTCTTTTAATTAATTAATATTTATTTGCTTATACTTTTCTAATACAAGCAGCATTAAAAAAGTAAATTAATAATTTGATATTAAAAAATTTTTTATATTGAGTAATTTATCCCTTCACTAATCAAATTTCAGCTCATACCTATGAATTAATTAATGAATACAAAATCAGATAATTGCTATTCAAAATATCATCATTAAGGATTACATCATTTGAATATAAATATTTTCTTCAAAAGATGCATTCATTTCCTTCAAAATTTTTACCTTACATGATTTATCAGCTTTCAAAGTAAAAATTATTTATTTGATTTGATTGATAAAAAACATTATATTTTGTAACCATTTTCTTCTATTTTATTTAGAAAATAATAATACTTGTTTTCAAGCTTATTAAATTCTAAAACAAACGCTACATGTTTTCAGTTTTATTAAATTTCATCAAAATTAGTTTTACTACTGTTATAGTTTATCATTAACTGCAGAAAACAATTGGATCAAACACTAAAATCTACACTTTTGCAATAAAATGTAAATATTCCTGCTAGAAAAAATTAGGAGTAAATTATTGATAATTTCTGATAGAAGGAGACATTTATAACATGTTATCTTATTCATAGTAGTTTTCCTTTAATTAAATATTTGTATCAAGTAAATACTTTTCACAAACTTTGTATGCAACCGCTAGGGTTTTGCTTTACTTATAAGTAACCTGTAATCAAACAATTTTTTTAATTTGAAAAAAATATTAATAATTAATTATTTGTATGTGTGTGGGTTTGCATATCATAATATTGTAAATACAAAGGAACAGATTATATTATAATCTTATATACCAATGAAAAATATATCTAATTTGTATAAAATTTTATTTGCGATTATAATTTTTCCAGTAGTTCAATTTGTCTTTTTTATAAAAGTAATCAAGCTAAAATTTAAGATATTTTATCCCTTGTATTCACTTTCTCGAACAATTTCATTTACTGAACTTAAAAAAAGAAGGAGATCTGTTGTTTAAAAATCTAAAAAAAAGTAAAATATTATAAAAGCAAAATGAAGAAGAAGTTGATTTAGAAAAACTTGTTAATAATTATTTGCCTTCTTTCACTATGAGTTGTAATAGTGTAATTTAAAATTTATCTTTACTCGTTATTCTTATATTATTTATTTATTTATTTTTTGTTTTCTAGATGCGATTAAATAGAAATCATGACAATTATTTTAACTATTCGATAAATCCTATAAAATTTAAATTTATTTCTATTTCTGATGTGACTATCTCAAAAAATATGAAGGAGTTTAATATGATTTTTTATTTTTTGTGATCATTTGTGCTAAACATGTAGGATATTTGAAAGAAACAATACAAAAATTTCACATATTTTAAATAAGAAAGTTAGTAAGTCATAAATAAAATAGATAATAGAAAAATACTTTGATCGCAAAAGTCATGAATATAATATGTAATTTATTAACTATTTTTTAATATTAAGGTGATGCATTTAATTTTTAAGTAATTCATGAAATTTGAAAAAAAAATCAACTCTTAAGATTTACACTTATTTTTAATAAAGCTTATATTATATAATCAATTCTGTTATCAGCCTTTTGAAAAACATTACTGTCCAAAGATATATAATAAATTTAAGAGGTCAGCACTTCAAAAGAATTATGATGTATTTTTGGGCAAATAAGAGAAAAATAATTAATAAATATTAAATAACATATATTTTATTTAAATAAATGCCAAAAGAGAATTTTATAATTACCAATTAAATTACATTTTATCAGATTTTCAATAACTTAATCAATAAATCAACGAGGGAATTAAGCAGTCTTAACCTTTCATATCAAGCTAAGCTGCGCTTATGTTAACATATAAATATTTGTAACAAGTTGTTTAATAATTAGAATAGATTCACAATTTTTTTCTAAATAATCCTAAAAAATATAGCTCAAATAGAAGTTACTCTAAATATCATTGATTTCTCAATCTATTAATAGAATTAATTTTCTATTTGAGCAACTATTTTTTCAATTTAACAAATTTACAAATAAGACAATGCAGGAGTGCTATTTTGGATTATTAAATCTGGATTTAGTAGTAAATTAGAGTTTTCTATATTATCACTATTACTAAATGTATTGATCAATAATTTTTGATGATACTATGCATCGATTCATTCAATTAGTAGTACAGATCATTGAATACTAACAAATTTCGAATAAATTTATTTTAATTTCTTATCTTTAAGCTCTTGCTAGAGCTTTTCTAACTTTTATTACTCAATTCCATTTTTTAATTACATGAAAATAGCTCAATAAATAGAAATATAATTCATGAATACTGAACACCAAACAAACAAAAATTGGATTGTTTATTAAATGATTGAATAACAAATTTTTTTGTAATTAAAATAGAAATTCTATGAAAGACTAGCTTGCTTTTAAGTAAAAAAATAATAGCACGCGCGCTAGCAAAAAAAATTAAATATAATTCAAAGAAATTAAGTTTATTATGTTAAAAATAGAAATTTATTTTTCAACGCATAAAAAAATTATAAATGAAAGGAATAATTTTAATTTAGATTAAAATTAAAAGTGATTAAATTATCTAATATAAAAGAGAAGATATTAATTTAATTGATAATAAAAGTAAAACATGGACAGCGCATTTATTTTTTATTAAATCAATTACTATAAATAGCGGGAGTTAAAAACAGTCTCTGAATTCAAAAAATTAACAAATTATTTGTTAACCAGCCAGCTCATAAATATATTAGAATGAATAAATGAATGAATGAATGAATGAATGAATGTATTAATGAATGAATGAATTTTTAAAAAATGATATTTTAAGAAAATCAATATAAAGGGCATCATATAGCTTAGTTAAATTAAAAATTTGTTTCTTAATTTATTTCATCCCTCTTTTTTTTAGATTAATTAAAGAAGGAAAGAAAGATATTTAATAATTATTTTGAAATTATAATATTGATTGATTAACCTTGTGGGAGGTGAGATATTTTGAAATAATATTTATCATTGACTCTTTTTTCTTTCTTTCTTCCTTTGTTTCCTTTATTTATACATTCAAATTACATTTTTATCTTTTGACAAAATTTTATATTGACTATTTTTTATCAACTTCCTAACTAATCTAAACTGTGTATATTTAAGTATTCAGTTCTTGTTTATGAAAAAATAAATTTTTAAAGTTTGAAAGGGCTTATTATCTTTTTTTTTATTATAAAGACTAGAGAATATATATAATAAGTTAATAGTTCTACATATTATATGCGCGCGATTTTGTAGAATATTAATCTTAATCGAATTTTGTTTTCTCTAACATATATTTCTATTAATTTTTGAGCTCACCAAGAAAAGTAATGAGAGAAGAGAAATATTAAATAATACTTATTAAGTAAATGATGATAAATTTTATGATGAAATGTGATTCAATTCTATAATATGTGAGACAAATGACATGAAGAGAAATATAAATACCAATTAAAATGAACACTTATTAATTAATACATTTTTTAATGTATAAGAAACTGTTGAATATTAAGAAAGACATTATAATATAATTAATGTATGAGATGAAATATATAGTATAGGTGTGACAATATGAGATGAGATAATGAGAAAGAAATGAGGTGAAGTTATAATAATTAGTATATAGGTTTATCACTTTTTGTTTTGAAATAAAAGTGGATGAGAAAGAAAGACTAGTAGTCAGTGGATGTGTGAAAGGTGAGATTTATATATAAAAGAATAGTTCAATTTTTGTAAAGTAGTTGGTATTATATTAATTAATATGTTTAGTTATAAAGGTTTTACTCCTTTTTTTTTTTCAATATAAATTAGAGCTAGCAGCATAGTTGTTTTAAGCAAACAATTGATCAACACTGAAGTAGTTGTTAATATCAACATTATTGTAGAAGTAACCGTTGTTAGGGTTGGTAGGCAATTAATTTAATTGTTAAGCTTAAGAAGGGATATGAACTGCTTAGGCATTCATAGCTTATTCTTAGAATTAGTAAAGACCTTAATGTTAAACTTATTGTTAGTTATGGAGGTTCTAAAGTAAAGTTTATTCCAAATTCAACTATGGTTGTTGAGCAAATTAAAGAGGAGTTTAGGGAGCTTATTAGTATTAGGGAATTTAAGCTTATTGTTATAATTGAACTTCATCGATCTTATCTTAGAAGAACTAAGGATCGTCGAGGTTGATCAATTCTTATTCGTGAACTTCTTATTTGAGGGGAAGAGCTTAGCTCATTCTTCTTATGAAATCAGGAGTATTTAAGAATGAAGGATTGTATTATTGATTAATTTAAGAGTTGGAGTGAGGTCTCAATAACATTTCTTGTTGTTGTTTAAGAGTTTAGAAAGACTAAGCAGGAATGAATTAGAATTGTTGAGCTTATTGTTATTGGATATTCTATTATTGTTGTTATTAGTATTGTTAATTAATGTATTAGTTTTCATAGTTTTCTTATTTAGGTTCAATTTTGAATTTCTTGGCAACAATAGGAGCATTTTCAATTTCTTAAAAGTCGCAAGTTCTGGAACACTAAGAAGAGTTGTCATGGATTTAGTAATTTTTGGTAGCTTAAGCATATTGTTAATATCCGAGAGTAGTGCTGGAATTGATGGGGGAAGTTCCGAGGAGGATATTGGTGTTTGAGCTGTATTTCAATCTCATTTTATCATCCTTGGAGAGCTTTTTCTTGATTTAAGTTTCAGATGGGAAGATGTAATTCCACATATCGTAGAAAGAAGTTACCTTACCATCACTGTAGTCCATTAAAACGATAAGCATTAAAGCGACGAATTTCTTCTTGGCTTGCTTGGCCCATAAAGCGGAACCTCTTTCAAGCTTTTAATCGTCAATGATAATGGATATCAATGAGTTAACGAATTTTTGGGCCTTACCATATTGTTCGAGTTCAATTTTATATTGGTTAAGGAGATTCATGAACTTAAGACCATCGCATAACATTTTCTTTTCAATGTTTTATTTAACTTTCTTAACAAAGCCTTCACCTAATTCATTTTTAAGGAAGGGACTGGCATATGTTTCCAAGAAGTAGTTTTTAATAGAATCTTAAAACCATTTGTTTAAGATGTTTCTTTCAGATCCTTTTTGTTTCTTGAGTTGAGAGAGGTAGATGATATCTTCCTTTATTTATTCTTTGTAGAGGAAAGCAGCTTACATTATTATTTTTGTGTAGAACAATTATAAGGAGAGTGTTTGTTTTTTAGTTTAAGAGTTTGTTAGTTTTTAATTTTTAAGGTAAATTAGTTAGTTAAACTTTATTTACTTTGATTGATAATTTTTTTTTTTACTTTTTTTATTTAGTTATGATTTTAATTATTATAAATTTATGATGTTTTATTGGCTTATTTTTGAAATAGAGACGCTTTGATTTTCATTTATACTCTTATTTTTACTTAGATAAATCAATACACTTCCCATGCAAAACAAATCAAATTAGCAGCTTTCAAGTTATTAATAATTTGAACCAACCACTAAATTAATTTTTAACTTTCTAAAAACAAAAACAAGCAAGCAACCTGTAATTATCTAAGGGGTAGGAAATTATATTAAATGCTTGAAATTTTTTTTTTTAACTCATTCTCTTTTTCATTTATTTTAGCAAAGATAAAGAGATAGCCATCATTAATGGTCAAATTCAAACAATTAAGTAGCCTCATTTATTTTGCTTATTGTAAATCATTACTTTATTCTTATTTTGTATAATATTTTGAAGAATTTATATACTTTAGTTTTACTTTACTGAATAAAAAGAGATTATAATTTGATATTAATCAAATTTAATGAGGATTAATTATTCTGCTAACACACTGTGTAATATAAAAAGAAATGATGAGATTTAATCAATTCTAATAGATTTTAAAATATTTGTACACATAAATATTAATGATGGAAATATTTTAATAATGCAGTAAAAATGAGTTTTTATTTTTTACAAATAAAATATGCTTTTATTAAATAAATAAATAATTGTCAGGTTGAAAAATTTGTATTTAATTTCGCAAAATCCCCTATTCACTAGTATTAAATATTATTTCAATCACAAAATAGCTCAAATTTTATGACAAGCAAGTTGATGAAAAATTAAAAATGAATGGAACAATATTTTAAATATTTTACTAAAATCACAAATCATTCTACTTGCTATTTGTAAAGCGTTAACTCCAAATAGTAAGTAAATCACATATTTTAAGGAAACATAAGAAAGTTATTGTACTTATCAGAATTTAACATTAACTGGTTAATTTTAAGATAATTCAAGAAAAAATAATAAATTTCATATATAAACGATGCAGCTGACTCAGTATTTTTTTTTTTTGAAATTTCTCCTCAATACATTTGTATCCCATAAAAACCAAAGTTTTCCTTAGCAATTTATTAATTTATCAATTAACCTAAAAATATTCATATCAAAAATAGCTGTTTATTTAATTACTGTTTAATCTTTAAATAAACTCCTACTGTTTACCAAGATATTAACCTAAAAAAGAAGTATACATTTTGAATTAACCTATTTCTAATTTTGCGAAAAAGTTTATGCTTGAAAAGCAAATATTATTAATTATTTTTTTCCATTTTTATAATCATTGATAATTTCAATCAACCAATACTAAAAATATCAAATTAATTCAAATAAAATCAGAAGAGTCTGTCGCTTGGATTATGCAAAATTTAATTACATAGTAAAGAAAACTATAAACTTATTTCCCTCCCTTTTATTCTTAAAAATCCATTAAAAAGAGAAATGTAAGTCTATTAAATTTACTTAAGATGGTATAACATTGACGAAATGAGAGATTGAATTAGAAATAATTTTAAATTGCAAATTTATGAATAAATGTTATTATATTATATAAAAACTTTATAATAACTATTTTTGATTACAGTAGTCTTATAGCTGTTGATGATAACCTCAATTTAACTAGTATGGCAAATTAAATTAATGGCTAGTCTAAAACTAAAAATATTATTAATCTTACATAAAACCATTATTTTACAAATCATAAAATAGTATTAAAAGAAACATAGAGCTTTAGAATTGAATTACTTGCATTCAGAGCGTAGAAAATCAAACAGTATATTATTGTAAAAGGAATTTAATAAATTAATGGTTTGATTAATCATAGAAAAAATACAACTTTTAATCTAAAAATTGCTTTTTTATTAATTTTTTTCTTTGTACAAGCAAATTTTTAAAAAGTGATTTTGGATTCTAATATTATCGATTAATTAAGATTTCTTATAATAGCTTGAACTAAGTAAGATAAATAAATAAAAAATTAATTCAATACATCTAATTAATTAGATAGCTAGCGACGCTAAATATAACTAACCAAAAAATTCAATCAATCAATCAATCAGTCAGTATAAAATAAGATTGATTGTTTTATAGCTTAATGTGTGTTTGTATCCAAAAATTTATGTGTGGATTTTGAAAAATTCTATATACATGACTGTAAGCAAACAAGCTATTATAGATTTATAATAAATAAAAAAGGTAACTAAAAAGATCAACATTAAAAGCCTTTTATTTCAATAATACTAACATGCTTGTTTACACATTTAATATTTCAAAAGTACACTAATAAAATTTACATGCTTTTAAAATATTATGCAAATACTTCTCTAAAAAGAAGTCTTTAATAAATAATTTATGAATATGACAACTATTTAAATACTATTTATGGTTTATTATATATATTGTCGTCTGCCTTCTGATATAATAATGTTTCAATCCTATGCACAAATTTACAAAACAGTATAATAATACTTTTCACTTTGATCAAAATCTGAGCCTATTGCAATCACTTAAATTCAAATAAATTCTAATTATCACCACAACTTAATTTATGGTTTAAGTAATCTGTAATCTTTAGATTTATTTAATAACTCTCTAAAAACTTTAATTATAACAATATTTTATTTTTTGTAAACATATTTCACACTCGTTAAGAGAGATACCTACCAGTACTGTAAAATGGTAATACACTCGTTTGTTTTTCTTTAAAAATTAAATTTTACAATATTATTTTTTTTTTGTGTTTTTTGAACTAATAAAAACATTTCTTACATATTAGAGGCCCTAACGCATAAACATTAAAATATGGAATTAAAGTATTTATGAAAGAACATCTCAATAATTTTTATGGTAAAGTAACATTAATGAAATCTCTAGCTTCTTTAAGTAAGGTATGCAAAATTTTAAGGCAAGATAAGAACAGAATTTAATAAGCAGCTAGTATAATTTAGTTTTCCTAACTTTAATTCATGCAATAATTACTTTTATCTGTGTATATCTGACAAATTAGTAATACTGATTTAAAAATTATTGATATTAATTTCTTCTTAACTTTAATCGCTAGTTCAAGAAATAAATATTAATACCCATTGAATATTTTCATTCAAGTACAAACAAATAAACAAATAAATTACTAATTTTTTTTACTTCATTCATGAATTTAAATTTGTTTATTAAAACATACATACTGTTAAAAAGGAACCTACTTACTCAAAGCACAATGATGCAAAGCTTAAATTTTTATTTACTCGATAGAGATAAAAAAAAGAAATTTTATTAACCTCTAACTATCAATCTTTATAGAAAAAGATTCGGATTTGTTGGATCTCTCCTTTTATAGATTTAATATTGAAAAATTATTACTGGATTCCCATTTTAAAATCGCTATATAATTAAATAAGTTTGTATCTTTTAGTTAAGCGAAAACTTAAAAGCGTATTTATTCACCTAAATGTTTCATTTTACACTTTATTCAAATTAAAATTGTTATTTGTATTTTTTTCAAGAGAAAAAGAAAAATTCTGTTAAAAAATAGGAATGAAATTATTTTTAAATCCTGTTTGTAATATTTAAAAAAAAATAAATTCTTTTAATTTAAAGAAAACGTTTTAAAATTATTTATTTGTTACGGATCTCAGGTCAGTAAAAATTGCTATATTATAAATATTAGATAAAGTCTATAAAATTAAATACAGGAAAATAAATTATGCCATTAACATTTCTTTTAGGAATGCTGTGAAAATATAGGAATTGTAACAATCAATAATATTAAAGTAAAGGTTTACTTTTTGTATTTTATTTAATATTTTTAAGTGTTTGTATTTATTTATTTATTTGTTTGATTTGCTTTTACCATTTGTAAGCTAATAATTTATTAATACCGTGATCACTTATTCATTTAAAATCTGCTTTGATTTTTAACAAAGTAAGAGATTATCATACATAAATTAAGCTTTTAAGAGAAAATTTTAATCACAGAACATCTTATTGTATTATTTGATTATAATAAGAATCATTAAATAAACATGAATAAATAGGGTAGGAAAGAAATTTTTCTAAAAATTCTTTGAAAACTTAATTACTTTGGAAGAAAAAAATGCAGATATTTTTAAAAAATGATATTTTAAGCAATTTATAGACAAATCGTCTTTAGTTCTATAGCTAAATTTTAATTACCAAGTTATAAAAATACAGAATTCTTAACATCGATTTTATTAGAAATTTTGATTCAGCTTTATTAATATTATAACTTGATATGTAGTAAATATTTATTTTGTTTGAAGGGGGAAATTATGAAAAATAGAGCTCTCTCTACATACGAAATTTATAATTGGCTAAAATAAAAAAATTTTTAAATACTCAAATAATATAAAATTGCATAGCTAAACTAAGATATTCTATTATAATTCTTTAATATCTTTTATCTAAGAGATTTGATAAATAAAAATGTTAAGGAATAGATTAAACACAAAAATAAGCTGAGAATTAATCACTAATTTTAGAAAAAAATTAAAATTTGTAATTTTATTATCTTTTCTTGCTTACTTTTTTGATAATCTATATTTAAAAAACAAATCCTGATCAAAGATATTCACTAAGTCACTATTTAAAAAATTCAATTTACACTCAAGAAATGGACATGTAAGATCAAAAAATAAATTATGTCTACGATATTATAGTAGTTGGTCTTGGTGCTATGGGCTCAGCATCTTTTTATCACGCTTCCTAAATGGGAAAGAAAGTAAAAAACACTATTAAATAATTAATTTAGTAGTTATTCTACTCTTATAATTTATTTACTTTACTAACAAAGTAAACCATTTAATATACCTCTAATTTACTTGTCATTTAAGATAGCTTACTCAATATTTTTTATGCAAAACAGGTTCTTGGTATTGAGTAGTTTGATCTATTGCACTAAAAGGCTTCTTATCATGGTGAAACAAGAGCTCTAAGAGAGAGTTATTTTGAGGGAAGCTTTTATATTCCTTTAGTAAAATAGTCTCTTAAAATGTGGAAAGAATTAGAAATCCAATCAGGTGAAAAACTTTTTGTCAAAACAGGAGCATTGAGTATAGGTAAGGAGGGCTCTTAATTGGTTAAAGACTTACAAATTGGCTTTGAAAAACATAATATAAAATATGAAAAGCTCTCTTCAAAAGAAATAAAAGAGAAATTTCCTGAATTTTAATTATTTTCAAATGAACACGTTGGAATGTTAGAGACCGAAGCAGGTTTATTATTCCCTGAAAAATGCATAGAAAATATGATAAACCTAGGTCTTAAAAATTCAAATGATTCAAAAATATTAACAAATTTATCAGTTACTTCCTTCTCTGAAGTTGAAAAAGGTAAATAAAAACAATATATAAACTTATAATACTATTAATTTATATTCTTATAAATTAGGGCTCATTAAAGTAGATTTATCTAATAATGCATCTTATTACACTAAAAAGTTAATTATAAGTGCTGGAATGTGGGCAACAGATTTCCTTTCTAAGTACTCTCAATAATATAAAGATATGTTACAAATATAAGAAAATACTTTATTTTGGTTCTAATCTTAAAATGATAATTAGTTTTAATAAGATTAATTTCCTTTATTTTTTGTGGAATAAGAAGAATTAAAGGCATTTATTTATGGTTTTCCTAAGATTTCTTAAAAGGGTTTGGTTAAATTTGCCTTGCATAACTCAGGAAGAATATTTTCTTCGTACTCTGAATTAAAAAATGATAAATCCGAATAAAATAATGACAGTTTTTAATAAAATAAGATTTTGATTAACAAACTAATTGATAAAACATTTGATTCTTAAACTATTAAATCATTAGAAAAAGAATGTAATTGCTATTATACAACAACCCCAGACCATCATTTTATAATTGATTACTTAAATGATAATCCTGATATAGTCTTTTTGAGCCCTTGCTCTGGACATGGTTTTAAATTCGCTATTTATATTGGAAAACTTGCTGTAGAAATGACTTAAAAATATTAAATATAGCACTAGGAATTCATATTTAAAAGATTTTAGCAACACTAACAAAAATAATGAATAATTAAAATGATTAAAATTTAATGAAAAAATTTCAACAAAATTTCAGTTAAACAATTTTTAAAATGAGTGTATTATTATTTTTTATGACTTTTTATTGAAAGATGTTAGTCTATTTGTATATGTAGGAATAATGTATTTATATTTATTTTATAAGGGGCAGCATGAAACAAATTAAATTTTAATTTGTATCTTCAAAAAAAAATAAAATAAATTTTATTGATGGATTATGTAATTATGGGATGCGATGCTCATGAAATTAAATGTCATATCAATTAAAATAGAAATTTTTTTTGATTAATTGTTTTTATCATGCTACAAAGTCATAAAAATAAATATCCGCCTAAAATAAATAAATATTAATTATAATTCATAAATTTTTGAACAAAGATACAATAAATAAACTAGGCGGAATAATCATTTATATATCTATCTATTTATTTATTGTTATTTTTTTAAACAAAAGTTTTCTTTAAAGAAATTAGAAAAGAATATTAATAAAATTATATTCAATATAATCAAAAAAATTGTGTAAATATAAAAAATAGATACTGAGTATTAAAAAGCGAAGATAACTAAACAATGAATCAATAAATGGCTGAAGGTATATGATAAATTAAAGTTTAATAATATATGATAATAATGCCTATTATAAATAAATAAATTCCATTATTTCAATCAAGCAAATAAATAAATTGATACTTAATAATGATGACTTAGTTAATTAATGATCATTCATTTTAAAATATAAAGAATTTAATGATGGTTATGAAAACCAAGCTATTAATGATGAATATAAGATATGGAAAAAAAATGCTCCTTTCCTATATGATATAGCAATAACACACGAATTAGAGTGGCCTTCATTATCTGTATAGTGGCTACCTACTAAAGATATGTAACAATTTTTATAATTTAAATTAATTAGATGATTAATTAATATTTTTAGAATTCAAATAATGTTAGTTAAAAAGATAGTTAAAATTTAAAATAGAATACTTAATAACTAAAATAAATAATTAAAAAAATATTATAGCCCTTAAGAAAGTGACTATGCAATTCATAAACTGATTTTAGGAACTCATACATCTGGTTAGGATAAAGATTATTTGCTTATTGCCAAGGTAATTAGTTAATTATATAAGATAAGAAATAATTAAAAGCAATGCTAAATATGTTAGCAGACAAATAAAATTAAAAGAAAGTCTTTCAACATATCACATTACATTTGAATATAATAGCTCCTTAAATGAGATTCATTTTAAAACAATTGAATTATTTATATTTTAAATTTCCATATAAAGGTTAGATTGCCACTTGAAGAAACTGCTACAGATATTAGCGAATACCAAAATTAAGCAAAAGAAGTCGGATAAACTGGTTTGTCAGCTGGAGAAAATAGAATAGAAATAGAAACAAAAATATTGCATGATGGAGAAATTAATAGAGCTAGATACATGCCTTAAAAGTATAATGTAATTGCCACAAAAGTAACAAATGGTGAAATCCATGTTTTTGATTACACATAACATCCTACTACCCCATAAAATGACTAAGTTCGCCCTTAGCTTAGACTCGTTGGTCATTCAGCAGAAGGTTATGGTATTTCTTGGAATCCTAAAAAACAAGTAAAGATAAAAATAATTTTTAAAGAAATTTTAATTAAAAGCTTTATAGTTTTTGATATATTAAATAATTATTAAAATAGATATTTATTGCGATAAATAAAACTTATTAAAATTTTTAATTAGGGTTATATTGTTTCTGGTGGTTATGATAAAAAAATATGTATTTGGAATGTTGAAGCTGCTTCATAATTAAATTCATCTATTAGTCCTCTCCATGATATCGAATTTCATAAATCATGTGTAGAAGATGTTGCTTGGCACTAAATAAATCCTGATATATTTGGTTCAGTTAGTGATGATCGTACTGTAGCTATGTAAAAAATTAATTTTATTTTAAAATTATCTAAATGATTTTTTACTATTACTTTGATTCATAAGATGCCTTTTTTATTTTCTATTTTCTTGATAACCTTTGTTTAAATATTTTTTTTATTTAAAGATGGGATATGAGATAAAAATCAAATGCAGGATTAATCAATCCAACTCATTGTACATAAGCTCATACTGGAGATATTTATTGTTTAGATTTTAATCCTTTCAACGAATATTTATTTATTACAGGCTCAGAAGATAAAAATATTGGATTTTGGGATATGAGAAACACATCTAAAAGATTACATACTTTTGTAGGACATACTGATCAAGTAAAGATTCTTAAATTATTTAATTATTGATCAAAATTATTTAGCATAAATAAAAAATTATCATTTTTAGGATAGGATAAAATTCTAAATATCAAAATAATTGTTGGATTTATTTATTATCTTTAAATTTGAAATAACATTTTAAAACTAATTAATTGATGTGAAAATTTTAAATAGGTTTTGAGATGTGAATGGTCACCTTTCAATGTTGGTGTATTTTCTAGTTGTTCTGCTGATAGAAGAGTTATTGTTTGGGATATCAGCAAATGTGGTTAGGAAATGAAAAATGAAGATTTAGTCGATGGACCTCCAGAGCTTCTATTTATGCATGGAGGCCACAGAGCAAAAGTAAATGATATCAGTTGGAATCAAAAAGAAAATTTAATTTTAGCTTCAGTTGAAGAAAATAACATATTGCAAGTTTGGCAAATGGTAAATTTAAATATATTAAATGAATTTAAATAAATAATCTAATTAAAAAATAATAAAGGCTAGAAATATATATGATGATACTGATGATGAAGTAATGAAAGACTGATTTGATTTACTCAGTTACTTAATTAAAAATGAACTTTTTGAGTAGTATAAAAATAAAAACCAACAAAGCAAACAAAATATTACAAATTTTTAACTTTATATAAAAATATACAAAATAAATAGATAAATAAATCAATCAATTAATCATATCTAAATAAAATCAATTTAGAAATAAAATTAATAGGAAAGCTTCATATTGTGTAAAAGAAATTAATTAAAAAAGGGATCAAATAAATAAAGTTAAAAAATAAATTATAAAACTAAGTAAGTAAGTAAATAAGTATATTTGATTCATCAGTTAATTTATTTATATTTTGTTCTATTCTTTATCTCCACAACACAAAAATGCACAGCAAATAAATATCTTACTCTTTTTACATTCTTCCTCACTTTCAGTTATTATTACTAATTTGCAATAACATATTTATCTCCTTTTAGCTTTTTATATTTTGTTCTGTTAATTTTTTTATTTTCAATTCTTGCTATTATTTAAATTTAAACGCGAAAATACTTAACTTTCAGCTCTCTGATTTTATTTAATTTGATAAGAATAAATTTGTCTAAAATAAATCTTAATAGTAAAATATTCACTCATCATTTTTGAAGTAAAAAGAGCTGCTATATTTAATTACTTAAAAAATTATTCATATTTATTTATCAATAATTAAGTTAAAAGCAATTCTTTTGAAAATTAATATATGTTAGCTTAATTTTAATAAAGCAAGCTTTAAAAACAAGAAAAAATATTTTTCATAAAAATAAAAGTGCATGTATGAATGAATATACTTACTTATCTACTTTTTTACAAATATTCTTAATTAATTATTTTCGAATTTATAAGAAAAATTCAATTCTAAAAAATTCTTGATATTATTAAAAAACTTTGTTTTATGGAGATTTGTGAGTCTAAATAATTAACCTTAACTTACTTTTAATTAAATAGAGTATGAAATTATTAGGTATTTTGGAAGTTAGGCAATTAATTTTATAGTAATAGTATTATTTTAAACATGGTTTTTATTCCATTAGATAAGTTGCAATTTTAGTTAAATATTGTTTTGGTTATTTACTGGATGTATAGGTCATTGTAATAATAGATTAATTTTTATAAATTTAATTGAAATTAGGGTTTTACCTTCTTTTTTTTAAAAAAGAAACACCAGCTGTACATTGATCGTTGATTGTATAGTTTTTTTTACCTCACTTTACTTTGCGGAATTTAGGTTTTGTTATAGATTTATGGATTTTGTATATTTAATAACAAGCATAAAAATTAGCTTTTCAATCTTGTTTTGAAGGTTTAATCTCAACCTCTAATCTATTTTTTTACTTTAAGATAGTGTAAAAGTTATTGACAGATAATTATAATAATAACATACACTTTGTAAATCAAGTTTGTCAAAAAGATTATTAAAAGGAAAGTATACTAAAAAATAGAAGAAGGATTGTTATAAAAGCACCTTTATATATGAAAATGAACAAAGAATTTGGAGAAGTTGCATTCTTATAATCTCCAAAGCCACTAGAGAAGCTAAAAAAGATTATGCCAGGTAATTTTGCAACCTAAAAATTCAATAAAATTAAACAAATTTCTTACTAAACATAATAAATTATTTACCATTATGTAAAAGATAAGAAGAGCCCATACAATACGGAAGCAGTTTAATAAATAATAAAGAAGATGAGTTAGGCAAAGAACGATGTTATGGTATTGTCTTAATATTTTTTAAGTCCTATTTAAAGTTATTTTTAAGAAACAAGCAAATGAAAACTTCTTGCTTTTCATTTAAAATAAATCCTTTCAAAACTCCATTCTATTCCTTTTTTAAAATGATTAATTAATAAAGGATCAATAAATACTTCAATATTTTTGTTCATAAATTAAAGTAGGAAACCACAAACGTTGCTAAGCCTAATCATTACTCTTCTACAAAATAACTCAATTACAACTAAAGTGCTGCACTCTAAGAGGGACTAAAAAGTTTTGGGTAATCAGCAAGGAACATATAAGGCGCTTTGAAAAATAATTTGTAAACAATTTTAAGCTTTTTGAAGTGTTTTGTTTGTTAAGTGATAGGTTCAAATAGATAGATAGAAATTAATAAATAAATACATTCAATTCTTAAATATTTGATAACAAATTTATTTCTTGAAATATTTGAAATTCAAACTATTATTTAAATTCTATAGCAAATATGCAGCTTTTTTTGTTAATATGCGATTTAAAATTTGAAATAATGATTTTATTTTTAAATAATTAATCAAGTGTGAATAGGCTAAGTGGAAAGGATGAATAGCTATAAAACGAAAATGTGTAAACATAAATAAGATTAAAAAATAATTCTGCCCTATTTTAAACAGCTAAAATTGATTAAAATAATGGCCCTTCAACCTTAGAAGAACCTTAACTTTCTCACAGAGGATAAAATAATGAAGCTCCTCTTAAACTTTAATAAAAAATAAAGCAAAAACAAGAAAATTAAAATTTAGCAAATATTTCATAAGCACAAAATGCAGTCATAGAAACTATAACAAATTAAAATAACATGTCAAATTCAAATGTGCCCTCGAATTTCGTTTCCTAAAATTTTATATAAATGCTTTAAATGACAGCTTAAAGAAAGAATAGAGTTAATCAAGGCATATAAAACCCCTAGGTACTTGCAAACTCTAATTCAAATTAAGCTAAGAGTTTGATATAGACATAAAATTCTACTTTAGCTACTACTTAAGCAACTTCTCATACTTCAAATTAGTAAATATCATAAGAAATCAAATGAAATTTATTGTATTTATTATATTTTATTTTATAAATAGATTTTATACTCTAGAAGAATAGCAAAATAATAATCCAACTACCTAGATATTCGCTTCCTCTAGTGGATTTAATTCACCCAATAATAATTTTTCTAAAAAATTTAATTCTTAAATTGCATCTGTAAATAGCAGTAAAATACTACCACAAAAAAAACTATTTGAAACTAGCGGATCATTCTAATCTAATTTTTCTAATCCAGGCTAACAAAAAAAGAGCAATTCCTTGCAGAGATAAATAAATAACTAAAAAATTTAGCAGAACTAGAATCCACAAACATTCCCTATCAAGAATACATAGTCTCATGAATACTTCTCGAAAAGTGTTTAAAACAACAAAGGTAAAGAGTTTAATTAAACAGAATCCACTCCTAAATAAGACTATGAATAGTTATATTGCTTTTAAGATGGACTATTATATAATTCCTAACAAAATCAATAATAAATGTAATATAAAAAAATAATTATATCATAACAAAATTAATTGAATTTTTATAAAAGCAATAACTAGGATAAAGCAGATATTGAAAAAGAAATAGAAGAAGAATATTTAAATAACATTAAACAAATTAATAAAGATATAATTTCAAAAAAGAAAATTCCTGAGGACAAGACAAACTAATTTTTAAACTTTATACCTAAATCCACCACAATTTCTAATTAGCTTACTATAAAAAACGACTCTGCTCTTTTCAAAAAATCAACTGATAAAAAATAAATGTTTCTTACTTAGCAATAGTTTGGCAGCTCATATAATCACGAAAAGGCTTAGAAATAAATTAATGAATAACCAAGTTCAGCAAAAAAAATTAAACCATAAAAAGAAATTCCAGTTTATAATAATACTGCCAATAAAAAGAGGGAGAGTTTTGAAGTTACAATGACAAGGACAGGATCAGAATTTTACAAATCTTCTTCTCTCAATAAAAATGATAAGAAAAATTAACTAAATACTTTTTAAGCTTAAAAAAGCCTTAATTAGAAACCTGTTGCATCATAAATTAAAAAACCTGAATCACCTTTAAAGTAGAGCTAGCAAAAAGTAAATTAATTTTTAAAATAGACTTAATTTTATCAAAATTTTATTAGTAAAAAACAGGCATCAAAAATATTTTTAGCAGCAGCACAAAGGTGAGCTCTTCATTAACTAGCAGTTTAAACTCTTCTAAAAAAGCTGTGAACTAATTAAGTAAAGAAGTGAAGAACAAATAATAGCTAGAACTTAGCTTAAAAGCTCTTGCTAGTATTAACTAAACAACCTCTATACTTCAATCTAAAAAGCAAAGTGATGAAATTTAAATTCCTTAACAAATATAGCAAGATAATTAAGTATAAAATGGATTAAGCTAGTACGTTTCTTAGGTTAAGCCTTAGTAAATGTAGTAGTATCTATCCTATCCTAGAAATGATTACATAGATAAAATTGACAATGTAGACGTAGAATTAAAATTAAGTAAGAAATCCAGCTTTAACGCTGAGAATAGATCTTCTTAAAATGACAAAGCTCTTTAGCTCTCTGATTTAGATACAGTATAAAATGAGATACTTCATAGAAAGAACAGAATAGAAACTCCAATCAGTTTAGGATTTTGCTACTATAATACAAGCATGGATATGCACAACAGATACCCTAACTAAGACGATTATTTTTGCAACATATACAGAGAACATTTTGTTCAAAGCTTTAATGCTCTCAACTTCTGTAGATCATTAGAGCCTATTGACCCTCTTGTCTTGGAATCTAAATTAATTGAACTTCCACTAAATCCAAATAGTAAGATATTTTAGATAAAAATAAAGCACATACTTGAACATAATTTAATTTTAAAATTAAAGAAAAGAAAACAATAATTTTTGATTTAGACGAAACTTTAATTCATTGCAACGAAGACCCAAATGTTTACTCTGATGTTGTTATATCAGTTACATTCCCGAACGGAGAATTAGTCCAGGTAAAAAAATAAAAGTACACATTTTCAATAAATTGATATATGTTTATCAAATAAAAGGCTGGAATTAACATTAGACCATATGCTAAAGAATGCCTGAAAGAGCTCAGCAAGTATTTTGAAATTATTGTTTTTACTGCCTCACATAGTTGCTATGCTGAAAGAGTTATTGAATACTTAGACCCAAACAGGCAGTACATTAATTATGTATTGAGTAGAGATAATTGTGTAATGACAAAAGAAGGTGTCCATATAAAAGATTTAAGGATATTCAAGAACAGGGAATTAAAGAATATAGTAATTGTAGATAATGCTGCTTACTCTTTTGGCTTCTAAATTGAAAATGGAATTCCAATAATTCCTTTCTTTGAGAATAAAAAAGATATGGAGCTTAAATTTTTGACAGACTTCTTGAAAAAGTTACTTGACAAGGATGATGTTAGAGTTTTTATTCATAAAACTTTTAAGCTGAATATCTACCAAGAATGTGAGTCTGTAGAAGAGGCATTAGAGAGAGTTTATGGTATCAAATAAAACGATTAAATTTAAGAAATGGAAAATAATTAATATTAATAAATGGATGAAGATATGTATTACTAATAATAAAACTAACAGTATAATAACTAAAAAAATAATAGCAGCTAAGGTGAAGATAATCCTAATGAGGAAGACGAAGATGACGATTTAGAAAGAGATGAAGCTGATGTGTTTGAAGATTCAAACTAAGATATCCAGCCTGTTTTATACTAGTAAACTTAATAAATGTCTAAAAATTGTTTGTAAGACAATAATAATAACCAAATAGTTTAAATAAGTGAGCTAGAACTTATCAAAGATAGCAACAATTGAATAAAAGTATAGATAGATAGAAATATAAATAGATCTTTTTTAATTTAAAATATATATTAAATTAATGAAAAAGCAAGATAGATAGAAATAAATTACATTTCATTTCATTCTTAATTAAAATAAAAAATTTCATTATAAATATTTATGTAAAATAATTATTTTATTTAAAATATCATTAAAAATGTACCATAAATTTATATTAAAAATTTGCTCTTAGTTTACTAAATAAATAATTGATTGAATTTTATTAAATTTTAAACTGCAAATAGCAGGCAGAGAGAGCTTTTCTAATTTATAAATGTTTTAAATTTAAAAATAAATTAAATTTTATTTTCTAAATGAAAAGCAAGAATTTTAAGACAAATAATAATCTTTAAAAAGATATACTTACTTTGATTACATTATAAAATACATAGAGATCAATTAATATATATTTGAGATAATAATAGAGAACAAAATCCTCAAAGCTATCTGATTTTTTACAATTACTAATCTTAATTTGATTGATTAACTTAATAATATTTTTAGATTAAAAAAATAATTAATTTCACCCATTTTTGTATTTTAGGAATTAAAAATGAAAAATCTAAAATGGCAAAGAACTTACACAAGCCTAGAATATTTAACTACAGATTCTCAAAATGAAAATAATTTTTAATTATTTTTTTTATTTAGATATTTTTACAATATAATTTATTTTTCTTAACATTATTCCAATATATTCAAAAAAAAAAATTTACAAAAAAATATAATGTGCCTGCTATTTTAATCTCATCAGCTTTACTGTTTCCAAATATAAGAAAAACAAATATGTCCAAAAAGTCTAATAGAAAAATGATAATGTTTTATTTGGCTACAAGCTTCAAGTGCTTATATAGTTTAAATATCATCAATATTAACTTATCTCGTTAATTGTGCGCGCATCTAGTTTGAAGCATCAATCAGATTTTGTCATAAAAGAATAAAGGTTTGTGACAATTAATTTGTTTTTCTTTTTTGGTAATATATTATGAAATAAATTTTTAGTGATTAAATTAAAACAAACCAATAAAAATTAACAATTTCAATTTATTATCTTCACAAATATTTATTATATTTAAGGGTATCCTTTTCTTAATTATTATTTTATAAATTGAAGAATTTTATTAAATATAAAATTTTTAAAGAACGAAGTAATAACAAATAATTACCATAAATTAAATAGATCAGATATCTAAATTAAATTGATAATTATTATATTTTTTTTTATAATATAAGCTTTAATTTACAAAAATGTGGATTGTGATTAACAAATATGCGGATGGTAATTAAAAAAAGTGGGTGTTTTCATAGTTATATAATTTTAGGATTTGATAGTGCACTTAATATAAAGTTATTTCCATAAAAATGATCTATTTTGTTTCCTTTCCCTTTTAGAATTATTTTATGATATTCATATAAGCAAAATCTTTACATAAATATCCTATTAGATTTATTAAACATGTTCAATCTAATTATTTCAGCATTAAATTTCTCGAGTATGTTGGGATAATTAAGTAAATCTTCCCATGTTATATTGATTACTTGAATCTGCTTATCATCATTGTTCTCAGTGTTTTATTCTAAAAGATATTAGCTGTATTAGCTTATCATTTGTTTTTGATAATCGAAAAATTAATTATATTTGAATTAAGCCTTTTAATTATCTAATGATATTATATTTTGAATATTTTATATTGTGTAAGGAGCTTAAGGAGAAACTAGAGCCTGTAAATCACTTTTATTATAAGCTAAGTGAAAGTACTTAAGTATTTTTTTTTATCGGTTAACATCTTCAGGATCATCATATGCAATATTATCTGCAACATATCTGATTGAATACATTATAAAATTCTTCATTTGGTTGTGGAGCTATAGCTTTTTCGAGAGTTTTCTTTCATCTTGGTGCCTCTTTATAAGGTAATTTTCAAGCTTTTGAATCTCTCTCTTCTTTTAGGGATTCTCTTTTTTCATTTCGAATTTCTTTTTAGAAATGTCTAAAAGAAGTTATTTATTTTAATACAACAAAGGCTTATTTTTTTCAATCTCATCTTGAATTTATTTCTGCTTTTCTTTTGAGCCTTTTTCTCTTGTGTACTTGTATTCTTTTGGCCAAAAATTCACTTTAAATAACTCATCCAATCTTTCTAAACATTCATCTTGTTTTTAAATGAGACATTTTTTGATCTACTTGAGTCTCAAAATGGCAAAAATGTAAATATTATTTATGTTTTTAAATAACCTCTTTGACTGCTACATACTTTTTTCTATAACTTTTTTAGAATCAACAACAAAGACAGCGTATGATTTACCATTAATTTTAATTTTTTTTGAGCATGTGTATTTTTTTATATCTTCAATATATTACTAAAAAATAGTTTTCAATTTAAATATTTAATCTTCAGATCTAGTTATATTTTATTATTTTTTATTGATGAAACTAGTTTAGTTAATATCTAATTAGCTTAAATAGGCATTTTTATTAGTTAAATTAATGCTAGACTAATCAAATATTTTAATATTCTTTAAACATTGATCAGATTACAGTAAGGATATGTAGTTCAATTATTTTTGATTTTTATTAAAATCATGTGAAATAATTTAATCCTAAGAAAAATCCCTATCACTTGAATGATCTTATTATTAAATTAAGCCACTTAAAGTTTATTGCTTTTCATCAAATTCTTAATTATTACTCATTTCTTATTCTTATTATTTTGATATACCATTAAATAATAAAGAGTCTTCATCTTCTATATCTAAAATATCATTTATAGCTTCATTATTTAAAAGAAAAGTGTAATTTTGAGCCAATTCTAATAATTACTACTCCATTTTACTTAATTGAGTTTGATAATAGTGCAGAATTTTCTAATATTTCAACTTTTCTTTTTTAACTTGCTTTTTGTCAAGCTCACAAAATTTTTTTTTCTCTTCAAGTTGCTAATATTCTTTAAGCTTACTATTTTAGAGTTATTGAAAGTCTAAATAAATTATTTCTGTATTTTTTTATGCTTTTGTTTAATCATTATTTTGAATATGTGTATTCTGTTTTTCTTATTATTTTACAAACAAGACTTCTTTTTCCTTTTTTAAAAAATAAAACTGAGATTTAATCCAACAAATGAAAAAAAAAGCAAGTAAAAAATTATTATTTTATGTTTTTGTGCAAAAAAAAAATATGTGTTTGAGTTTTTTTAAACATTTTCGATTTTTTAGAAAGAAAAATTAAAAAGAATTAAGGGGTTATATTTACATAGACTTTATTTTTAAAAATTAGTAAAATTGTAGATTTAGAATATTAAAAATTAAAATTAATAGATAAACTTATAAAAATGAAGGAATTTACTTTTTATTTGGATTTATAAGCGCACTTATTTATAATGGTGTCTTAATAAAAGGAATTTTATTTTTGTTGAACTTCATCATTCAATCCTTTGTTTTCTTATACTTTAGTTTCTTAAATTTGATTCTTTTATTCCATTGCATTTGATTAATCATTATTTTATTCTTTATGCATTTCATATTATATTATATCTAGATTCTTAGCAACCTAAAAATCTTAACTATGATTTTGCTAACTTTATAAATTTGTTATACATTTGTTTGGTTTTTGTAAGATCATTTCTGCTTTTTTCATCTTTTCGGGTTCTCTTGTACTTAAGCTTATATTAGCATTGTAGAATTTATCAATGACATGACTTACAATTCCACTAGGATTGAGATAATTAGAGTCTTAGAGCCTCTTTATCCATTTAACATAATCAGCAGAAAATTCATTTTTTGTATTATTAATCATGAATTTATTGCGCAAAATCGAATTTTATAAAATGTTTATTTTGAATCTAAGTCCAATTTTCCTATTCTAAAATAATCTAAACTAGAATAATGGGATTTAAAAGAAATTATGTTATTTTTTTAAGTTTTTTGCTATGTTTAATTCGCTTTCCTTATTCTCTTGAATGTATTTAGAATATTACCTATTGATTTTTATAGCGAATTTTTTAATTAATAACTAAAGACAAACAAATAAAGAATAGTTGATATAATATTAATCAATCTTATTTTTTCTTATTCAAAAAAAATAATAATAATTCTAAACAATAAATTAATTAATCAATAAGTAGTGGTATTTGTTGTTTAATGAGCATTTAATTTGTCATAATATTATAGTAAGAATAAAAATAAATAATTTTTTTTGAGAATTTTCCTTCTAAATTATTTTTTTTTATAAAATATATTTTAATGTATTCACATCATAAAATTTTTAAAAATTAAAAAAAATATTTAGTTAATTAGCTAGTTAAATAAATTTTTTTTGCTTTTAAGTAAAATATATATAAATATAAACATAACATAATAACAATCTATCTATCTATCTATCTATCTATCTATCTATCTTTGAAACAATTTTTTTTCAATTTTTTATTTCTTAAATTATTTTTTAATGATCTTCGATCAATTAAACATCACTTTCACTTGATTCTGTAATTCTAATTTCTTCTCTTTATGAATTATTTATTTATTTTTTTATATCAGATAGGTTTTTTAACTACATAGTTTCTTTAGAGCTCAGTAGTCCTTAACTGTTTTACAATTTATTCGACTAATATTCATTATCAATATTAGGTTGCTAATGCAATTATTACTTCTATATTTGCTATTACTTATTGTAATTCTATAATTATATATTTTCATTTTACAAACCATTATATTAATACTATGGATACTATTGCATAACTTAAGGAGGGTACATATTACTGCTATAATTTAACTTATAAGGAGGTATTTATTATTAATGTGGAATTATGTATGGGGGAGGTTATTGCTATTATGGTTTTATCTAAGATTAGCTATTATGAGGCTGCTAAGGAATGTGATTAGTAGGAGGTTAATATGCATGCTAGTAGTAATGTGATTTTTCATAAGAAGTGTATGGTGGAGGAGGCTGATGATGAGGATAATTTGGGTGATGCGTATATTATTACGATTCATAAATAAATGGATTGTATTTATTATATGGCATTTTATGAGGTTGATTTTAGTATCCTAAACTGTTAATTTAAAGTTACAAGGTATTTTAAAGCTGATTGAAATTTTTATTAGATATTTTATTTTATTGGCTAAAATCATTTTTTCCATTTTATTTTTAACTTGCCTTTTCTTTTGTTATTGCTTCATTTTTTTATCCAGAGAATATTTTGGATTCTTTATTCGAAGAATCAGAATAAGTTTATTCATTTTGGGAGTAATTCATTTTTTGCAATTATTGCTGTTAATAGTTATCTTCTAAGCTATTTCCCTCATATAACTTTTACTTTTTCGATAAATTACCTTTTTAATTTTGTTAAGGTTGTTATCCAGCAGTTATTATGGCTTACCTTTTTTCATAAATACCTGTTGGAGATTCTTTGTTATTATTTGAATGCTTGCTATTAGAAATAATTTTTTATTCTTTTAACTCTTTACTATCATTCCTGATGTTTTGGATTTGAGAATCTTCTTTATTTTTATTTAAAGCATTTTCTTGATCATAATTTACAATTTTTTAAGCTTCATACTCAGAATAATTCTATCTTTATTAAAATGGCTTCAATCTTTCTTCCAACATATTTTTTCTTGAAAGGTATTGTTAAATTTTTTCATCCATATTTAATCCATCAGAATTATAATTTTTATTCATAATATCATCAATTAATTTTTTTTGCAAATTTTCACAAAATATGAATTCTTAGTACAAATCTTGAGGTAAGCTTTGAGGATCAAATAACAATTAATTTTAATCTTATTGCCATATTTATTATTGAGGATATTGCTAGTAATATTGATTATCATAGTAAGAATGTTAATAATACTCCTAGCTATATTCGTTTTAATTTTATGTTGTTACTTAATTTTAATTATTTTGCATATTATGCTTAATAGTTTATTTATCAGCACCTTTTAAAGGATTTTTATCAATTATTTTATTGTTTTATTAACTATTTGATTCTAAATCTTTATGGATTTAATCTGCCTCATTTTGCTAATTATTACCAATTATCTGATTCTCTCTTGATTTTTTTTATACATCCCTTTGCTTTTTTATTTTAAAAGGTAAATTATTCCCTTTTATCATTTATTTCCCCCCTTAAATTTATGAATAATCTTAATTTATATTTTTAGTATCAATTTGCTGCACAGATTGAGAGTTTTCTTATGTATAAATTGAAAGAGGTTCCATAACTTAAATTTAGTTATTTTAAAAGTAATCTTATCCTATTTTAATAAAAAATATATAGTCTATAAATATTTGCCTACAATTTCTAAGATTTAATATAGATTTTATCAGGAAGTATATCAAAAAGTCACTTTAAAAATTATAGAAAGATATTTGTTAGCTTTGTGTTTCGAAATATTAAAGAATACCAAATTAAAAAAAAAATTGGTTAGTTTTTAATGGAATATTGTATATTCGCATAATTTATTATTAACTAATTTTTATGATGATATTTACCTTTTAAATTTTATGAATCTTTTCTGTCATTTTAAGATTGTGTTTACTGAGCACTCTAAATTGATTAACTTTAATTCAAATTTTGTATTGCTTTTTAAATGATTTCCTTATCCCTTTAAGAAGCTATATCTTACTACTATATATATGTTTATAGAGCCTACTATTTTTACTCTACACCATTATTAATATTTGTTTCTTTTTGATGATTTGAGTTTTGCTTATTTCCGTTTTTGCCAATAACTTCTTCATCAATCCTTTTTTACTTCTTTCTAATAGTTTCATTTAAGTATTACTCAAATTCGCTCTTATAACTTTAGTTATTCTATAATAAACTTTAATACCTTGAATAATATTAATCTATGCTCTTAGCTGTTTCTTTTATATCAAACTTCTAAATAAACTTTTGGAAACATTTCGAATTATTTTTATTTTTAAATTTAAGATAATCTTCGTCCTCCTCATGATCGATTTAAGCCTTATAATTTTTATGGAAATGCTGAATTAAAAGTAATGTAGGCTTTTTAATGTATCCTTTTTCTTCAGCTTTTTAAACTTTTGACAATAAATATGGCGAATCTGCATCAGAGAGGTTCTTCATTATCTATAAAACTGAATTCTACATACGAAATCAAAAATCTATATTAATTTAAAACTATATATTTTTCTTTAATTTCATCAAATTAAAAATTAAGTAAATATTAATCGAGATTGATTATAAATTTCTTTATCTATACAAACTTTTTAATAAATAAGCAAATAAATAAATAAATAATCTGCTGAATTTCTTTTTTCTATCTAAAATACATATGGTTTTAGTAACATTAAAATATCTCAAAGTTTTAAATATCTATCTATTTATCAATCTATATATTTTCTTTTATATGCAAACTAACAAATACCACAAAGTAATTAGAATTTACGCACAAGCATATAAATTTATGTTAAAATTAAAAAATTTATGTTAATTTTTTTTAAAAAGAATCACATCGCATAAAATTCAAAGAATATTTTTTGTGTATAATTAGTAAATTTATATTTCACGGTTGGTAATGACTAGCTTTTACCAAATTTAATTTTCAATAAGAAATAAAAATATTTGTAAAAAAATTAGTCTTGATTAATTTTTTGTAAATTTATTATTATTTTTCTACCATGTTTAGCAAACTCAATAAAATAACTTTCATTAATAAATTATTACAATATAAGATTAAAATCAACAAATATTTTTGTATTGCAATTTATTTATTAATAAAAAATTAACTTGAAACAATAATTAAAAAAAGCTCAAGACAATTTAATCATATGTATTTATTTATTTATTTTGATAAAAAAAGCTACCTTAATAATTAATAACTTACTATTTGATAAAATTATATAAAAAACAAAAATATTAAAAATTATTTCTAATTTTATTTTAAAATTTATTTTTTAAGTTCTATTATAAACTAAAATATTTAAATAACAAAAATAATTAAAACATTGATTATTCTTAAACTTTACTTGGAAAAAATTAAAAAATTATTCTGAATTATTTATAATAAATCAGTATGTTAATGACATTATCTTGTATTAAATAAATATATATTTCTTAATTTTGACCTTAAATTTATTTCAAATAAAACTATAATTTGAAGAGAATAATTTTATTTTTTAATATTCAACAGAAATACATCATAACTAATTTAAATTGATTGATTGTAGTATGATTTAACTATTCTTTAGAATTGATAAATTTTAATATAAATATAATAACTAACATTTTATAAAGCTTATTTTCAAAGGAATTAATTATTGATTGAATATATTTAATTAAAAAGTAAATTTTTAATAATTTTTACCAGATGGAGGATTCAGTAGAAGTATCAAAGCAAGGCACACAAAAAAATATTAAAAATAAAGGGTTTTAATTATAAATTATAAAATCGCCTAAATTAAGGCTAATCAATTAGAACGATGAGAAAGGAGAATCTATTTTACCATTAAATTTACCTAAAAATATATTAAAAGCACAAGAAAATTAGGAGTAATAAATTCAGTACTATTATGATGATGATGGCGACTCATAAAGACAAGTAAACTAAAAACATGAAGAAATAAAAGATAAAAAAATAAGCTTTTTAAACAAATAAAATCTAAAGTATAATTCAGAACTTATAAATTACTCATCTCCAAAAAATGATAATGTACTTGAAAGCGATTTAGCTACTTCTGATCTCTTTTTCAAAGAGAATTGTGAGTTTCCATAAGCTATAAAAACTGATAAAGATGAATTTGGTGGTATTTAAAATTAGTCAAGCCATAATATAAAATAGAATATTCAGTCGCCTTAACTAAATTTTTATTCACCGAAAAATATAAAATAGAATGAAAGTGCCCTAAGGAAAAATAGAAATCATCAACTAGCTGCTGTTTAGAGGATGGAGTAAAAAATAACATCAAGTTAGATTTAATAATCTGAATAAAAGTATCCCGAAATAAATAGCTCTTTATTGAAAAAGCTAAAGCTAAAAAGACAGTTTAATAGACAAGCTACGACTGATAAAACAAATAGTCCTTAATTTACTTTTATGGGATAGCTTAAATAAATAAATATCATCAAGAGATTTAACAATAAAATGAAAAGTAGTATAACAAAATCAGATGTTGATTCATTAACAACTTTTTAGTTACAATTACTAAATGATTAAAGTCATATTGTAAAAAATTTAACAAATGGATTTTCTTAGTTTAATATCAAGAAGAAAATAAAAAAGCTGTTATCTTATTTAACTACAAAGAGTAGTTTCTCACCAGATTCATCCTTTTTCATAGTTTGGAAGGCTATTTTAGTAGTAATTAATATTGCTTATTTTAATATTTTATCCACAAATAAGAATTTATTTAATCATTTTCTTTAAAATTTAAAACTTCTACTGAAAGTTTTGTTTGCAATTTAACGTGCATTAATAATTTTAGTTAAAAATGTTTATTGATTAATTAAAAATTTATTTTAAATGAAATGGTTTATTAAATTTTTCATTTTACTTTAACAAAAAATAAATAGATAACATATTTGATAACAATTTTTGATGTTCCATTATAGTTTTTAAATTAATACTAAGAAATGGGATCTGTTGGATCATCTCTCGCTTTTTATTATTTACCTATATGCGTATTAGTATGTGAAATAGGATTAAATTTTAACACAGGATTCTATAGAGAAGGATAAATTGTAGAAGACAAATAAGAAATAATAGAAAATTATTTGAAACTTTAATTTTGGTTGGATTCAATAACAGTATGTGGATTCGCATTATCTCAATATTTCCCTTATGCAAAAGTGTTGTTTCTTATTCGCATTTACAATTTTTTTATTTAACTGAGGTAGTTTGAGGATAGAGCTCAGTTTATATAATAATTTCCTTCAGTGTGGACACTTCTTAAATTGTTTTCTCTTATTTTTTTTGTAGCTCATTACTGTGGTTGTGGGTTTACAATAATTGCTTACCTTGAGCGAATAAATGATTCCAGTAGCATTACTTGGTTAGTTAAATATGGTATATAAGATGATACATGGCAAGTCTAATATATTTATTGTTTGTATTTCAGCTTTATCACTATGATCACTGTTGGATATGGAGATGTAGTACCTTAAACAAATATTGAGAGAGTGTATGTAATATTAATGACTTTGATATCAGCTGCCGTTTTTGGTTACTCTATCAATACTATCGGAGCAATATTCTAAGACATAGCATCTAAATCTATTAGCTACAGGTATATTTCCAAATAAATTATTTAAGAAAACAAAAATAAATTTTATTAAAGAAAAAATTAAAAAAATTTTTTTTAATGCGTTTTTTTTTAATTAAAATTAATTTAAATTGCAGAATATTAAAAAGAGATATTGGCTACTATATGAGAGCACGTGATATAGATTCCTAACTCTAAGCAAAAGTATATTAATACATTAGCTATTATCATCTAGAAGCTGCTTAAGAATATTAATAAACAGAAGAAATTTTAGGTAAACTTTCCCAAGATTTAAGGTTATAGATTTAAAAAAATTATTTCGGGAAAGCACTTTCTTCTTCATATTTTTTATCTTCTAACTTTTCTCCTTAATTTATAACTGAACTTACATTTAAAGCTAAAGAAGCTTTTTACAGATAAGGTGATTATGTATTTACAAAAAATGATCTAGATTAAAGACTTCTCATTATTACTAAGGGAATTTGTTAACTAACATTTCACCATCCAATTTTGAAAGATATTACTTTAGTCAAAATAGATGTAATATTAAATGAATATTAATCTTAAATAACATTTTATTTTAATTAGAAAGGCGATATTGGATCTAAAGGATTCATCACAGGTTAACCAAGAGAAGTTTCTTTAAAAACAATGAGCCATTGTACATTTGCCTATATAACAATAAGTGATTTTTTGCTAACAATAAAATAGTATCCTGCTGACTATGTTGATATTTTTATTTACTAAAATAAAGAAATTAATTATATTTATTTCTATTTAAATAGGAAAAATTTTGTATGCTGAAAGATACGATGTCTTTATATGAAAATGAAAATGACTAAAAGCTTCATTGCTTTTCCTGCAAAAAATATGGACATGGAATTATGAATTGCCCATTTATTCATTTAAAAAAATCAAAAGAGATTGCCATATAAAAATATTTATTCTCTCCTTGTTAATCTAGAGAAATAAAATAAAGAGGAAGGTTTAAATGGAAAAATATATAAGATATTGATATAATAAAGCATGACTTAAAAAGTTTTAGAATTAATGCTATCCAGTCAACTTTAAAAGAAGAAGATCAACATTTAATTGAATTGATTGATAAAAAAGATAAAGAATTTTTCCTCAATATTGAATGTTTTGCTTACGATCAAAATACAAAAAAATTTATAATAGATCCAAAATAACCATATCTATATCCTGATGATGATGATGAAGAAGAAGAAGATCTAGAAGAGTTAGAAGAAGAATCTGAGGAGAGCTTAAGTTCTCTAAGTGATTATAAAGGATCAATAATTTTAGAAGACTCAAAATTAACTTAGAGATAAGATCATCATAGATATATGAGTAAATTTAATTTTAAATACAGATTTTATAAATAAATCCTTAAAAAAGATCTAAATTATTTTTTTAAAATTAAATGAAATTATTAATCAAAATAAACTAAATTATACTCTCCAAATCAAATAAAAATTAAAATTAAATATGAAGACTCCATTTAACTTAAAAATTAATTTAAAAAAATTATACATTTAAAAAATACAATTGAATACAATGAATAGCTCATCAATTTAATTTACTCAATATATTGTATATTATCTGCGGTGGAATTTCATAAAAAAAAATATTCAAAACTGCTGAAGAATTTTTGATTCCATATTTTTAAATTTTTGTAAGGCATTAATTAATTAGCTATAACTTAGAGTTTAAAGTATTCTTTATTTGAAATACTATGAAGCAAATATTTTAAGGAAGTTGGAATAACTTAAAATATTAAAAATAAATAAATATTAATTTATAATTATTACTATTATTTTATTTTTTAAATAAAAAATTAATTTAAAAATAATAGATAAATCTAGTATTAAAGCACAGAAAAATGCCAGTCTTAAAAACATACAAATTTATGATGAAAATTAAAAAACCCCAAAAATAAGTAACTAAAATGAATTAAACTTATTTTAAAATAAGAAAATATCTGATAGAAAGAGTAGCAAAGATTTACAAAAAAATGAACACATTATGATAGAAAAAAATGAAAGAAATTAATAGAAGCAACTTTCTTTTAAAAAGCAATTAACATAAAAACCTTTAAGAGATTATAAAAGCAACTAATAACTTTTTATAAAATCTAAGACTATATTAGGAAATCAAGCTGCTAATTTCTAATTGAATTATGAAATTTCTTAAAATAACCAAAGTAGCAACAATAATAGAAACGGTAATTCACCTTCTAATAAAAAAAATAGTTTAAGTTAATAGTAAGATATTTATAAGATGAATTAAGTTAGCTACAATAATAATCAAAATAATTTTAATTAGACATCTAATTATTATAATAAGTATAGAGGTGCTTTTGAATCCTCTCCAATAAATATTAAATAGGAATTATCTAATATATCTAATTAATAAATTTAAATGCATTATTAGTAATTATAAAAATAACAGCAACAGCAATAACCTTTGAGTAAGTAGAGGAATTCTATTTTCATTTTAAATCCTAATACTGCAATAATTCAAGCTGATACAAACCTATAATCTTTTAGTATGTTAGATAGCTTATAAAACAACCGTTTAAGTATAAATAACTTGAACTAAAATCAATTAATCGATCCTCTGATTTATTAATTTGCTTTTAATAATAATCTAAAAGTTACAGAACAGATGTATTATACAGAATTTGATACAGCAAGAGAGTATTTAATTTATTTTCCAAATAGTAACTACACAATCGTAATCAAATAAATAAAAACTAAACATAGAATTAAATAAATTTAAAATCTAAAAATTAGTAAACTTCAAACTTTCACAAGATTAAAGCAATCTTAAACATAAACTAATATTGGAATAAATTGATTAACTGACTGATATTTATTTTGGTATTTATTAATAACTTTATAATAAAAAATAAATTAATTACAATTAAATGCATTTAATTTAAATTACTAATAAAACCTTAATTTTCTCATTAGTTTTATATATTGTTAAAGAAAATGCAAGAAATAAAAATATTATTATATCTTTTTAAATCATACAGTTAATTTATTTATTTTCTTAAATATTTCAAGAAATATTTTTATTGATTTTAAAAAGTTATTTTATTTTTGGATTTAAATTGAAATAAAAAGTGTTAATAACTTAAATTATGGTAGATTACTAATTCCATTTCTTTTTTAATCTATAATTATATTATTAATTAATTTATATTTAAAATGCATGTAAATATTTATCACAAATTTTCATCATGAGACATGAGATGGCTAATTTTTTAAAAATTTTGGTTTTTGATTTTTTATAAGGATTGAAACCAATTGCTTTAAAAAAATTTAGCTCACTCCCAACTATTATTTTCTATCATGCTATTTAACATTTATAAATAAAAATAAAGAATAAAATAAAATTGATTAAAAAATTAAATCGATTGAGAATATATTTTTTAATTATAGCTGATAAATTATTTTAATTTAATCATTTAATTTAAATTAAGAATTTTTATATAAGAAACATTTTATTACAAATAAATTCATATAATGAATTATTTGTAAATTTTGAATTAAATCAATAATTATTTAGTTACTACTACCTTTCTTGCTTTAGTGCTTCTTAAAGTTTAGCTAATAGCAAGACATTTAGAACACCATACCATTTACTAATTTTTTTTTTAATCCAAACTTAAAATTTTTTAAGTTTTGTTAGTTTTTTTATTTCTAATCTGCTTCTTTTTGTTTCTAAATAATCTGTTACAAAATTCATAGTATTATCAAATCTATTTAAAAGTAATTCCATCATTTCACTTTCTCCTACATTGACTCCTGTTTAGAAAGTTTGATACATTTATATTTCTGCTACTTAAATAGACTTAGAGATCAGCTAACTAAAGTAAAGAGGGAGATTTTTTCCTTGAATTGTTGTAGAATCTAAATTAAAGTTTTTTAAATCAGCTACATATCCAATTAATTCATTTACTTTCATGTAATTTTATTCTAATCCTTAATTCATTGAATAATCTTTTAAGTATTTTAAGCATCCCTTAAGTTTTATTTTACAATCTTCAAAAAATTTAGTAATCATTTTGGATCTAAAATCAAAATCAGGTTCAAATTTTAGAGTATTTTTATCGAACTCTGGTAGCTCAGAAAGCATTTTTAATCTAAGGTTTTTCATAAAAAAATTTCTTTCTGTTGCTACAACGTAAAATATATCAGAAGTAACAATACCGTTACCTATAGTCATACAATCTCTATAAAGTTAAGCCTTTTCTAAATTTGTTGTACCTTTATTAATAAATATAAAAAATAGATGAGATTGATATTTTTTATCATTAAATAATTGATAAATACCTTTATAATTATCATTAAAGATTTTACAAAAAGAATCAAAGTTAATAGCAAACTATCCATTTATTTCATATCCTTATTATGAAAAGAATAACTCTTTGATAAGTCTAAATCTTTGAACTCTTTCTGCCCTGTAATATTCAAGTAGAAGTCTTAAAACAAGAGAGGAATCTATTAAATATTAGCCTTTTTTCTTAGTTGATTTTCTAAACAGAGTGCCTATCATAAATTCAATGTTAGCTTGATCATATCTGCACATAACCATCTCCACAATTGTTTTAGCATGAGAAAATTTAATAAAATGTATTGGCTAAAAGGTAGATTCCATATAATCTAACTATGGACCTTTAAAGATTAAATTCCTGCAGTGAAGATAAAAATAAATCTCATCATTTGAAGTATTTGAGCTTAAAAATTCTCTGAATGTTATAACCTTATTAAAATGAATAATCAGAATAAATATCTTTATGTTCTAAAATTTTATTTTACTTCCCATAGCTTGTTGAGAATAGGATTATATAAATCAACATAAAAATTAGCTATATAAACTTCTTTTAAGGTTTGATCCATTTCATTGTATTCTTGATTTAAAACAATTTTTCTTGAAAGCTTATCCACACAGAACGTAGTCAACCAACTATAAGTAAAATCACAAAAATCTGAAAACGATTGGTAGTTTTCAATACTAACAGCTTCATTCCACTTTGAATCTAAGATGCCTCTAAGCTAACCCATAAAGAGATTTGTGACTTTTCTAAACTAATAATAAAATAAAAAATAAAACCATTCAATAAATATTAAATAAATAATATTTTAAATAATTGAATCTAAAATGTAAAATTTTAATTTATTGTTTATCATTTTTGTTGCAGAAAAATATTAAATATCTAAATAGCTAGGTTCAACCTCATAAACCTTTTTATAAGTATTAGTTAATTGAATATTAATCAATCAAGAAAAATTGTTTTATCATGTCAAAATTATTTATAAAAAAAACATAACTTTATTTTTCTTGGAATTTTATTTCTTTTCATTATAAAAATTTTTGTTTCCAACTCTAACCAAATTAAAAATGAATGTTTGTTTACCTTGTAGATTTGAGTATTGTTTTTAATAATAGATTCATATCTATGCTAGCAGAAGGTAAAAAAAGAAAATTTATAGAATCTATAATGGTTGATATTAAAATTAGGTTCATTACTGTTAATATTGATTGATACCTAATTTTGAAATACCCTTGGTTTTTCATCATTTTATTTTACTTTTTTATCTACTTCAATTATATTAAGTCCTGCATATTCATTTTTTATTCTTTTAGTAAACAAAGGATTGTTTTTATACACTGCTCTTACAGTCTCAAAAAACCTAACCTCTTCCTCAAAATCAGGCTTTATTTTCAGTTAAAAATAAGTTAAAAAAATTATTGAGAATAAATATTATTTACATTATCAGGAGGATCTATGTTAAGACTTTTTTCTAAGGTTATTCTATCAACTTTTTCTTACAGTTTTTTGTAAGCATTTTAAAATTTTTTCAATAACTCTTTAGTTTCCTAAGCTCTAAGATTTTTTCCGTAGATATCTTCTTAGAGCATATAGAGCCTTTCTCTGAATTAATTATTTTCTTCAGTAAGCTATTCATTTTCAGCACAAAGTGTATTAATTTGAATAGTATGCTTTTAGAATGCATCTCTTAGTATGGCTATTTCCTTTTCAAGTTTCTGATTTGTAATTTTCAAACTTCCAGCAGTTATCTATGCTACTGAAATTTATTTGTCTTTCAATGTTGTTTATTCTTTAAAATGTTAAGTTTAGTCTTCTATTAGTCTTTTCAAACTATCGATTTCTTTCTTTAATGCTTCAATGTCAATAGTACTTTCCATTTCTTATATTTTCTTTACTAAACTATCTACCTAATTTTATCAGCATAAATTGTTAATAGCAATACTCTAATTAAAATAAATAAAATAAAGTTACTTAGCTCTAAAGTTTGGTATTCTAAAAATTTAAACTTATAGCAGATTATTCAAATTACTTTTCCTTTTAGATAAATTAATTAGCTTCTACATCAATCAATTTGTATTCATTTATCTATTGTATAAATTTTTCATTTGTTTTTTAAAAAACTCCTAAATTCTAGACAAGATTTTATATATATTAATCCTTGCCTCCTATAGTTTTAGCATTCTTTTAAAATACTGACACTAAATCTTTTATATGTTTAATGAATAATCTTTGGATGTCTACTATTCTTTGTAGACTCGAACGCTCTGTTGATGGCAGCAAAATATATTTACTTTCTAACTCTTCTTAGAAGCACTTAAACATTGAAATTAAGAGTTATAAATTGTTTGATTCTAATAGTGCTGCCATACTTTCTCCATCTGAAATTGACCAATTCCTTAAAGTTTCATAGATTTGCTCTCTTTTTTCTTTAATATATTGAGAGTCTTTAATCAAAATATCATCTTTTTACAATTCAATAGTGCTTTAGTTAATGCTTAGTTATCTATTACCTGCCTAGTTTGAGGCTTAAAAAGACTTTTATGTATTTGATAATGAACCAACGTTAAAGTTAATACTATTAGTTGAGTTGTTTCTTTTACCAATATTTTATGATAATTCTCCTCCTTTAGTGGCAGAAGCTTACACTGAATTTAATTTCTTATAATTAGAATCTTGTAAGGAACTCATAGAACCTATTTTAACTGGACTGCTAGGTAGAGTATTTTATTAAATTATCCCTATTTTAATTCCCGATGCTGATTGTGAATTATTATGTCGTACTTAATTAGTAATACTTAGATTCTAAACTTGCTTTTGACTCTGTTATAAATTCAATTATTATCTAGAAAAATTGATGCTACTTGAGAGTTAATTCTATTAAAGGTTCTGTTATTATTATGATTAAGAAGTTTGTGGATTGAAGGCCTATTGAGTAGAATTATTTTTTGTATTTAAAGTAGGGACAGTTTCAGCAGTAGTTTTGTAATTATTCGGAATGTAAAAGCTATTTTAACTCAAATTTAGTTGATTTTATTTAGGAGTTTAGTATGACTACTGTATTAAACTTTACTTATTTTGGTTGCTGGAGTTTGAAGACTATTTTATAAGAGGCATCTTTTGATTATCTAACTTTTACTTATTAGGATCATTATTATTTGATAAAGATTATTATGTTATAAGTTCATTCCCTATAGGATTAAATGAAAATGTTTGATTCTTTATTTAATTATTTTTAGGGCTTTATATATTATTCTAATTCTTAGACATTTTTTAATAATTGATAGAGTCTTTAAAATTGTAAATGAATCTTCAATAAAGCTACTAAAATATTTAGCGAATAGCCAATCTTTGCTTATAAAAATTAATATTTTTTTTATACTTGATTATGATAATTACAAAATTACAAGTTTGTTAATATTAAAATTTCTTTATGCACTAATTTAATAAAAATATCAGTTGTATTTAAAAGTTAACAAAATTTACAAAATAATTATAAATCAGATAATCCAGTAACTTAGAATAATTTGAAAACCTTTAAATAAGATATTTCTAAGCAAAAGAAAAAGCTTAATAAATGTTTGTAAATTATAAAACATTTAATACAAAATGAATAATGAACCAATTAAAAAATTATCAAAACTTTTTATTTCTTCATTTTTAAGTAATTCTAAAATTTACAAGTTTTACAAATATTAATTTACTTGAAATATATAATAATAAGTATTAATTATAATTGTTCTTTTAAATCTTTTTCATCTCAGTTAAAGATTTTACACAAAATTTTAAAATAATTTTTATATGAAAAAAAGAATTTATCTTTTACAAAAGCTTTTAAAATAGGCCTAACTCAATATTTCTCAAGTTTTTAGATAATTTACCTTAATTCTAATTTTAATCTTAAATCTAATTAAACAACTATTTACTAAATTTAGTTTATTTGAAATATATTTTATCAATATATAGAAATTAATTATATCATAGTTCTCCTAACTCTTTCTCTTCAGAGTCAAAGATTTTACATAAATTTTTAGATAATTTTTGGTATTAATGATAAAATTTGATTTATTTTTTTGCAAATGCCTTTTAAAAAAGATCTGACCAAGTTGGATCTATAGAATAAAGATCTATATCACCTATAAATATAAACTTTTGAGTTGTGTGTTAAAGCATACTACTAAGTATAGAAGGATTTCTAGCTACACCAATATCCTCTCTCTCATTACTTTTGACTGCAGAGAATAACACATATTCATATGTTTAATTGATAGGCTCTTAGATTGTCTGAGCATTGACAACAAACTAAATTAAATAATTAAAAATTAATTTTTAATAAAATTTAAATAAATGAATTACTTTTAATTTTTAGGAGGAGATAATTTGCAATTGAGTTTTTTGAGCAATAGTTGGAGTAATAACTCTAATTTAAGAGAGGTTGATTCTATCTATGTTTACTAGATTATTTACTATAGCTAAGATCATATAAATCTCATCAGTGTTATAAATACTTCCTGTATCGCTGATTGTTCTGTTGCTTGTTGGATTAGAAACTTCTTCTTTTCCTTTAAGTGCGATAATTAATATTTCAGAAGATTCAGAATCATTCAAAGCTTCTGGGTTAATTTATGAAGGTGAATTATTATCATTGTTAAATAAAATCAATTAATTATCAAAGAATAAGTTATTATGAAGAGAAGCAATATTATAAGTATTAGTAGGAATATTTTAACTTTTAATAACCACTTTTTAATTATTTACTAATGACTATTTGAATAAATATCTTTTTCTGAGTACAATTGGTTTGAATCCACTCAGTATTAAATTTTCAAAAATACTTCTATCACCAAACCTACTTTTTGTGAAAAGGTTTCTTGTTTGTTCTCTTTAGAATGCAGTTAAGTCACCAATCATCACACATTAATTACAATTTTTTACCAAATATTCCCAAGTATTTGATTCTTGTATTTATTCAGAATTGTAAAATATTACCCTATTAAAAGAACAATCTCTAAGAGCACTAAAAGCAGATAGTAGTTGGCAATTACTATTGTTGGCTATTTGTACAGAATTAACTATATTGCATTAACTATTGCTTTAGTGGAGAGAAGATGAACCAAGAATAATTATTTTGCTTTCATCAATTGATCTTTTTACTTTTGCACTCATTTTAGAAGTCATAAATTGTCTAGATGTTGAGTTAAAAAATTCTATTGAACTATCTTCTAAAACAAAGCAAATATTTGCTTAAAAAGCACTATTTTTTAGTAATTTTGATGAACTTTCAGATGAAAAGTTAGATTACGAGTTAACCGATACACTTTATTACATACTAACTAAGCTATTGTAAAATAACCTAGCTTTATAATCAGTATCGCATTTTACAAGAATTTTTAAATTTGATTATATTAACCATTCTTGAATTATACTGATAGCTACCCTAAATCTACCAGTATGTTTTACTCCCTGAATAAGAGTAAGAGAGTTAACACTCCCACTGTACAAGGCATCTACCTAATCCTAATTTAAATTATTTTCCATAGCTATTTCTTACAAATTTACTTCAGTTGCAACTATAGTTGATTACCTCATTTGCTCCTCTCTCTAACTCTGCTGAGGACTAGTTTTATTTTGCTCGATAACTTAAATCTGCTACTAATTAGTACTGAAATTATTGCATAAAACGATAGAATTAAAAATTGAATGAAGCATTGATACTTTTGTACACATATTATCAAGTGATTTACTTTTTTCTCTTAATGAATTTGTTGAAGCTATTTTATACAGAGAATAAACTTGAGAGTAATCGGCTATCAGCTTGCTTCTTTACTTGCAGTTTGTCAAGACAATGCTTAATTTAAATGTCTGATAAGTAGTGTTAGCAAGATTATTAATTTTAGTTTAGTTCTACCCCTAATTAATATTATTTTGCAATCCATTTTCTTCACCTAATTCTTTAACTAAGCAAATATATCTATTATTTTAATTTATCATAGTTGAGTAGCTTTATAATGCAGGTAAATTTTTTGGTTATAACACACATAGATCTCCTTCTTGTATTTAATAGCATCCTTATGGTAAAATTTCTCCATTTTCACCTAAAACTCTAAAACTGAATTGATCATACTCATAATTACTTCCCAGGTACTATATGAATCCTTAACATACAAACTTTTCACCCTTTCTTATTACATTACTTTGCTATTGTTACTATTAAATTTGCTATGAATTTTAGGATTCTTAGCTATTATTTTTTTGCAATTAATTACTTTTATTAATTTTAGCCAGTAAACTTTCAAAAAAGTCTTCATAAAGAATTACTTTTCTGTTTACAAAATAGTTCAAAGATCCATTGATAAGAAGATCTTGATCTATTTTTGTTTATGTATAAATTAACTCGCAGGCTTATAAAGCAAATATAGGATCGTCTATATATAAAAGGCTGGAGTACATTTGATTCAAGTCTTCCCAGCTAAGATACTGCAAGTAAGGATCTTTTCTTATAATTTGGCTTTATTAGGCAATATTAAAATTACTAACTCTCTACTAATTGATTAAGTTTTTGAAGAATAAAGCAGAGGACCTGACAAATGATGCATTCCTTAGGTCTATATCTTCTTTTTATCCACTTCCGCCTACACCAGATAAAATAGTTTTTTTCTTACCAGCTGATATATATAATTTTTACTTATTAGATGAGCTTGAATTCTCTTAACTCTTATTGCCACTCTTCTAAAAACGATTTCTAGCAAATCTTAGATGTTAGACTGTTTCTAGGTTGTTTTCAACAGAGAAATTATCAAAGTCGATTGCCTGATATATCGACTAAGTATCACTTTAACTAGCAAAGCTTTAATTTTAAAACTATTTATTAAAATTAAATTATGAGAAGAAATGAGCATTAGGATTTTCTCTCATAGTAAACCACTCATCATCTACTAAATAAGAAATATTAGTATTAAATTATTCAAATTAATTATTAATAACAGGAATTCTTTGGGTTGAAACAAACTTTTGAAGAGTAAAATTAATTTAAGTTAATTATTCACTTTACAAAATAGGATTAAACAATTATTTTGCTGTATCTGCAGACGATTAGAATTAAATTGTCTCTGTCATTTGGCTTGACATCTTACGGTAATGTATAACATCAAGGCATATTTTAAGAACAGTTAAATTCCTAGATTGTATAGCATAATTCCAAATATAACAAAAATCTCTATATTTTAATTCATTCTTTAAGCTTCCAACTAACGCTAATTTTTCTAAAGCTTCTATAATTTTATCTTCCTGTAAGCAACTTTAAATTCTCTTCAAATACTTTTAAACTTTTAGCTTACTCTTGCATCCACTTAAGTCATCATTCAATTTATCAACTTCCTTAATATCACTTTTAGGTGATTTATTTTATGATATTTTTTATTTTTTTAGCTATTTAAGCTAATTTTTTGCTTTTGCTTAATTATTTCCATTTATATTATTATTTTAATTTAAGTTATCAGTATCATTTAAATTTGAATTTTTTTAAGATTGAAGATTTTGCTAATTTAGTTATTCAATTTCCATATTTTAATCAATATATGTTTTTGGTTCATCATCATCAATAAAGTTTGTAAATTGTTTTATTTATTTAAGAATAGTTTAACCCTCCTATGTATTAACTATTGAATTATACTCTTAAAGAACACTTTCTAGATACTATCTTCCAGTTATTCCCACCCAAAAAATTTAATCATTTAATATTACATAAATAGCTAGTTATTCCATAGCATTCTTTTTTGACTCTTTTTTGTTAGATCCCAATCCAAAAGCACATAAGCACTTAATGCCATCCATAGGGATGTTTAGCTTTGCTTCACACTTGAATTATCCTTTTTCTTCAATAAAGTTAAAATCTAAAATGCTTTTTGATTTTTAAATCCAATAATTAAAATCTTAAAGATTTTTCTTCATCCAAACAATAAATAAAACCTTTTTTTCATGCTAGCTAAGAAGTCTCTTTTACAAGTTTTAAGTTTATATCTATTAAAATTCAATTTGAGCTTTTTTAATTTCAGCCAATGTACCCTATGGTATGGAGCAGGTTATTTAATCAGGGATTTTTAAGCTTGCTTGAGAGGTTGACTAAGGAATTTATAATTATTAAATATTATTAAGCTATTATTTTTATTACTAAGCTTAAGTTAAATGAATATTATTTTGTCCATTTTATGAGAATATTCCTTCTTTATTTTAAATTACAATTTCTGGTTTTTAACTAACTTATTAATTTGCTTGATTATCAGCAATTTAAGAATTAAAATTAAGTAGATGCTTTGGATTTAGTAAATCTAAAATATTTTCTTAATTTTATAAAAAATTTTAATTATTTTATTTTTGGCAATCTTCTTGTTTTTTAAATTATTAGTATATGTTTTGCTCTTTGTTAAGTTAAGAGTTATTAACTGAGGTATTGTTAAACTAATTATTATAATTCATTTAAATTAAATGCTAAGTTTAATAAGCTTGTGGTTATTACTAATTAATTTTAACAAAATTATTTTATGTGGTTTATTGATTATTGCTTGGCATATTTGAAATTTAAATATTATTATTTTATAAATTAGAAGTAATTTAATGCTGAATTTAGAAATTTTATTAAATCTTTATGTTTTCATTTAACATACTCTATCCACTTTAATTTAGGTTTATTCTTTGGCTTTCATCTATTTTTTATTAAAGTTAATCATTTCTATAAACCTACTTTTCTTAAAATTTAGTATCATTTTTGCTTTGCTTGTTGAAATTCTATAATTATTGAAATGTTCTTTGCTATTGAATAGGATCGTTTACATGTTATTGTTTGATTTTATTTAGATTATTCATAGTTGCTTCTGGTTTTTATTCTTAATTTTATTATTTTGCTTTTAACTATTCTTCTGTTTTTTTATTTTTTTCTTTTTCTATAAGCATAAGAATTACATCTTTAACTTAGTTCATAATTTAGTCTTTTTAATCTATTAATTATTAATTTTAATTTTATTATATACTTAAAAGTTGTTTAATGGCATTTTATTCACCTTAATTTTCTTATTTTGAATTTTAACTAATTAAAGATGACTAAAGCTAAATTTAACTTAAAGTATGATTATTGTTGAAATTAAATTACTAAGAATTTTTGTTATTATTTTAATTTTCTTAAAATAAACTATCATCTTTATTTTATTAAGGATATACTTTTTATTATAAGGTCAGTCTAGGGTCTTAAGAGTTAAAATTGCTATTTGATTAATCTTTAGAGCTATTATATTATTGAGTACTTTAATTTTGTATACTCTTTTGCAAACAATTTTAAAAAGATGGTTTTTAATTTATATCTTCAGCCCTAAAACCTAATATTTGTTTTCCTTATTTCAAATTAATATTTTTATTTTAATTATTAAATTCGATTTAATTGTTTTGTTATTCTTTCTATTTATTTTGATCATTATTAATTTACTTTTAACTTATATTTCTGTTTTCTTAATCGCTTTTTCTAAAGTTTTAATTTAGCCAAAGAGATTTACTGTCATTAGTCTGTGGCTTTACATTTTCTTTTACATATTCTATCTCTCTTTCTAACTTTTTTTACTTAGCAACTGAGTCAGGCATAGGTAAACCAACTTTTTAATAATATTCAGGTTTATAAAGAATACTTTTTTCTGCAGTATTTAAACCTTAGCTGTTTTTAACTGTTAAACTAGATGTGTTATCTAAATTTTATAAATTCAAATTTGTATTATTTTAATTAATTAAATTTTCTTCTTGTTTAATCTTTTTTAGAGGAATTTAGTATTGCCTAATGTGCTCATTAATTTTCTTTTATCTCACTATTTCTTTCAAATTGGCGAGTTAGTTAATTGTTTGAATTTTTTAATTGCTTTATAATAGATTAAATTACTTAGATTTCTGTTAATTTTCTTCCTTGGTAATAGGTAGAGGCTATTTAAACAGTGGTTTTTATTATGAAAATTCTTCATTAATTGCATATTCTGAAGAAGGGACTCTTACGCTAGCTTGAGGATTAGATGAATAGCTAGAAATACTATAAAAACTAGTAGCCCCACTATGATTATAAATATTTTCATTGTTTAATTAATTTGATGGTGCTGAAGAAAGAGCCTATATTTCTAGTTACTTTTACATTTTCATGGCTCTTTCATAATTTTGGTTATATTCTACTATTGGTGTTTAATTTCCGCTCACATGAAAAGATGTGTTTTAGCTTTTAAGTCTTGCAGGATTATATGATCTATCTACTATCATAGCTTCAACAGATTTTCCATTTGAGTTTAAAATGCTTTATAATTTACTGTCTAGCTCTGTAGCTTTATAAACTCCAGATCTAATACTATCATTTTAGCTTTTGTTGCTATTCGCAAGTAGAGATTCATCGAACTATTGTTTTAGAGATTTAGGTGTTATAATAATAGCTTTTTATCTATCTGATAGCTTATTTTTAATTTCATTTTATTAGATAAGGTTTTACAATTAAGGCTACATTTAGCAGTATTTTTTTTCTAACTCGCTTTTAGTTATCATTTTCTTTTCAAATTTAATTGCAAATTAAAAAAATATTATAATTAAATTTTTGCTCAGAAATCTTCTTAATACACTTAGAGTTAACAAGATAAAATTACTAAATACTGAATAAAATATTTTCAATATTTAAAAAAAAAAATCCATTTTTAATAGCAAAAACACTACAAAAAAAATATAATAATAAATCATTTTAGCCAATTGTTTTAATTCTGCTTTTTTTATTGGGTTTTTTAAAGTTATTGATCAGATTTTAAAAATTTAAATTTATAGGATTCAAAATTTGAAAAGATATAATTAAAAAACCAAATAAAATTTATTTATAAAATAGAAAACGCGCTAATAATTAATTAATTAATTATAAACCTGCCTTATATTTTTTAGTAAATTGAATTTTAATTTATTCTATTAGGATGTTTACTGAAATTTAATATAAATTTTACTAATTGAAAATAACGAATACATTAATTATAATCCATAATTTTTATGTTGAGCTCACAAGGATTTAAATTTTACTTTATATAAAGATTTTATTTCAAATTTAATAATAAGTTTATGAGCTAGTAAGCTATCTAATAGAAATAATTGATTATCTCTCATGTTAAAAATATTTTTTAAATTAAAAAAATAAATAAAATAAAATAAATATCGCATATAATAATATTTGGATTATACAATATAAAAATCATGATAAAAACAATGGTAAAATTATTTATTTTTATATAAGTTACTTCAATGGTATTAATTTGCTTATGGTCATTAGAATAATTTTTATTTAAATAAAATTATTAAGATATTAATTTTAATAGTACATACATACAGTTAGCAGCAGCATATGATTAACTCACTTTTTCTGTTGCTTCTATCCAATAACTTAATCTAAATATTTTATTTTTTAGTAAATATTTTTAAATTGTTAGAATTAATATAAATTACCTCTTATCTTTCTAGCCTTTTCTCTGATTGCAGATTTATTTTTATTTTTACTTTATGCTTTAATTCTTTTGAACATAGGGGCATTTTTAAAGAAGTCAGGAATAACAATAAATCTAATTTAAGCTCCTCTCAAGTAAACCTATATAAATTATTATTATAATAGTTAATTTCTATTTTAAAAGCAATACTAAAAGCTTTAATGTTCAAAAAACAATCTGAAAAAACTGTTTTATTTTAAATAATTTGATTCTGTTTGCTCTTTAGTGTATCATAATTATAATTAACTCTATCAAAAGTAAAAAAAAGTTATTAAATATTACGGACTACAATTAGCTTTGCTTGCCATTTCTATTAATCATTGTAACATTATCTAATCTAACATTCATAGTATCCTAAATTAAATTTTAAAAATGAAATGTTTAATAAATTCATTTGTAGTAGCACCAATAATTGATAAATATAATCTAAATTAAATATTTCTTTAGGAATAAACCATATAATTCCAATTAACAAGAAAGAATTTTACTTCTGATTCAGCTAAGTAACCTCTAAATTAATCTCCAGTTTTTAATTCAATAGTAACAACATGAGATTCACTTTCTCTTAATATTTTAACGGGTAAACCAATTGACATTTTATAAGCTAATTTACTTTATTTATATGTATCTATTATATATTGTTCTTTGAAAATATTACTTTAATTTTCTAAATTTGATTCCTTTTTATTTTTTATTTAATAAAATATCACACTAACTAAACAAAACAAAAAAATTCATTCATTTATATATAAATATATAATGAATATATAACAAACAAACAAACAAACAAACTAACTAAATTTTTTACAAATTGTTTTTATAAGATTGTACAGTATTAAAAAGACATATCTTTTAAATAAATAATTCATTCAATCAATCACTAATCATCTAGACACTAATTTCAAAATGCTATTATTAATAACAATATTTTAATATAAACTACTATTAAAGCACATAAGAAATATTTAATAGCTAAAAATTCTATTTTATCAAATTTTAAAATAATTATTTTATTTTTTATGATCAAATAAATTAAAATATTTCATAAACGAAATTATCAATAATTAAATTAATAAATTAAATATAAAAATTAATATAAAATATTTTTTTTTAGTTTTGTTTTAAAGATAAAAAATATGGAATTGTATTAATAAAGACACAAATATTTTTTTACCATGCTAATAATAATTTTTGACTCTAATTTTTGATAATGATGTTTTTAAAACCATTTTAAGATTAAAATATATTTTTATCATTTACTATTTATAAATTCTTGAAACTGAAATAGAATATAAAATATTTGTAAAAAAAATTATTGAAAAAATATTAACGCTAAATCTAAAATATGTAGATATATTTTCAAATTATGAGAATTTATTATTTTGATTTGAAAAGATTGAATATTAAATTAGTAGTTATTGAAACAAATTAAAAATTTCAATATTTGGTTGATTAATACAAATATCACAAATTTATGCTTGGTTTTTATTATTATTATTAAAAATTAGAATTTTGATTGATGAGTAGCTAAAATTAATTTATTATCAATAGTATTAGATAAGGTCTAAATAGCAGCTTAAGAGACCATAATAACAGTAAATCTGTATCTAATTAAACTTAATAGCATAAAAGTGGAAAATCTAGACATTTTGGTGTTTTACAATAGCTCAAAAAAAGAGTAAAAAATTAATGTTTTTGATAATAACTATCATTTATTGCATGATTTAATATCATAATGATATTTACAAAAATTTAGGAAGAAGATTGGAATGATAGGTTTTACGTGTAATAGATTCCTATTTTCAAGCAATAAAGTGCAAAAAGCAACCTAAGAGTATAATCAAGTATGAATAATAAATTTATTTTACTAAAATTTTTAATTTTTTATTCTTTAGTTGATAATTTTTAATTGCATAAATTAGCTAAAGTTTCAGTTAAAAATTCAAATAATGCCAGCAAGTTATAAGAAAATAATTACGAATCAATTAGAATTAGAAGAATAACTTAAGATTCAGTTGTATCCATTTAGAGGCCTTCAACATCACAGTTTTAATGTAAATAAAATTTGATAATTTTTTAAGTGAATATTAAAATTTTGAATGGCTTTAATATATATAAATAAATAGACCAAGTTAAATAAAATGAAAACAATAACGGTGTTGTCAATAAATATATTAAGGAACTTTAAAATTAAGGAGTAAGGCCTCCTAGCGTTAATTATTCAACTACTCATCCTCATGGTTAACTTAAACAAGCTGTCTTCCATGAGAATGCATCTTCAATACAATAAAGCTAAATAATATCTGAAGAAACAATAAAAAATTTAAAGATATAAATAAATAATTTATGGGAGGAAAACAACATACCTGATTTTCATAGAGTTTTATACGTTGAATGCACAAAACAATTTAAAAAAAAGTAATTTACAACAATTATTTAGTAGGAGATTCAATCATTAAAAGAGAGGAAGTCTTTCATATAAGTAAGTTAATTTAAGTTAAGTTTTATACAGTAAATTATTTGTTCTTTTAACTATAGATATGCTTGAGGGCATTAAGAGCTCGCCAATAATGCTTAAAAACAATTAGAGAATACATATTGTAGGAATAAGAAAATTAATAGAATTTAAGTGAATAAAGCCAACATAAATTTGGGGAATTAATTGTGCATTTAAGAATATTGACTTTAAACATAGTTGAATCTATTCTGAGGTGGAGAGATTACCTCTCTTAGTTATCATCTATAAGCAGCAAGTAAAAAATGTAGAATCTTAAATTTTTGTTTTAAGGAGAAAACTATTTACTTACTTTATAAAACGACTATTCATTCATTTGTGATTCTTACCTCAAAAATTATTTTTCTTTTTGGTCTTCAACTTCTGATCCTTTCTTTCTTGCTACTTAGTCTTCCAATAATTCCTTCATTTGCAACAATCCTATTAAAAGTGATGTCTTATAGAGAATTAGGGCAAGTGAATTAATTTTATTAGAGGAAAAAATTTTTGCAAAATTAGAGATAAAATAAAATGAATTGTTGATTTCTCCTCTTGGGTTGTTTGAAGATGAAGCCGAAGATTTTCTCAGCAATTATTTGAAAGAAATTCCATTGTAAATTAAATGTTATTGTTAAAATATAAATAAATATAAATAAACTTTTGATTTAGAATTATAAAAAATAGCTTTGTTAGTGATGCAAAATAAATTTTTGAGAATGTTAAATACGAATAAGAATTAAATTGGGTAAAGATCTCCACTAATTTTGGAAAATTAATGCAAGGATTATGTATTTTTTATGTCGATAAAAATTGCTTTACTCAAAGAAGAATAGTTATCTCTCATGTCTCTAGCATAAATCAGGAAAACTTTTAAAGTGTTCTCTAGAAATTTATAGAATATATCTGGAGCAATGATTATACGGATGAAATAAGAATAACACTACATTACTAATATGATGAAAACAAAGACTACAAGATAAATGCTGAAATTTAGAATAGTCTTAAAAGTATAGGTTTCAAGTGGAAATAAATGTAGAGTGAAAAAGATACAGGATTAAAAAGTACAATCTTTGGATTAAATAGACCACAGACTATTTAGAAAGGATCTATAAAACTTTAAAATTAAGAGCCAATTAGCTATAAGCAACTCTCTATACTTCAAGATAAAAGCTCATAAGAATTTCCAAATCTAGAGTTTCAATCTTATGATTAATCTCTCCTTATCCTTGGACTACTATAAAAATCTAAATGTTCATCTGAGATTCTAAAAGCCGTTTTATAAAGCTCTCCAAAAAAGGTAATATAGTTTATTGATTAATGCCATAAAGCTCAAAAATAAAAATAATCAAATAGAAATAGCAATAATTTGTGCCTCCTGGGACCAAAGAAGAAAAAATAAAATTAAATGATAGGATTAGAGAAGTTTATGATTAAATTTTTGACCAAAGCGAATCAAGTAATGCTATAGGCTTATTACAATAAAATACGCTTAGTGATATTTGTTTTAGCAAGCTATGTTATAGATGGTTAAATTTTCATACATTCTAGCTTGAAAACTACAATCACTCATATATTAGAATAAAAATTGTAAAATTTGTTTTATTTAAATTGCTAGCTAAATAATTTATTTCATTAAATAGGATGAATAGAATAAGCAATATTATATTATGGCAACTTCTCCTCTAATTTCATCACCTATTTACTTAATTCCAACAGATGATAAATCTATAGTTGCCTTTATTATAAACCTTAAAGGATAAGATGTTGAATAAATAAAATAAGGGAAACTTTGTAAATTTGTGAATGAAATTATTAATAGCTCTAATAAGGATTAAGTTAAAAATGATGAATTATGGATACCAACCTTTAAAAAATCATTAGATTTTCACAATTACTCAGTAGATGTTTAAGAAGAGTCTGACACTGCACCATAAGTAGAAAATAATTAATAAAATATTGATTAATAAAAACATTTTTTTTTAAATAGATAATTTCAAAGATATTAGTCTCTACTTCCTATATTTAACCAATACAAGCTTCACTTCAAATTAAATAGCCTTCTTAAGAAGCTTATATTTTCTAAGCACCCTTCCTATTTGGTAATATATAAATCTGTTAGATTTTATTTTAATTATGTTTTAAGGATTAATAAAAGCTGATGATGTCGATATACCACTTTTTTCTTCCTATATTGAAGAATGTGATCTCATATGAATTATATATAATTTAAATATAAAGTAAATTTACTAATTAAAAAAGAGTTTTATATGAATTATTACTGTAAATATTCCATTTATATTACATTTTATTATTTTATTTTAGTATTAAATTTATTAATTTTGTTGTTTAAATTTAAAAAATTTCATCCATATTTCCTCAACTAATTTTTATATTTTGATAAATTTAATTCCTTGTTTTAATAATATAAATTTTATTTTCATAATTTTAAGCTTGATTGATTATGAATGAAGTATCAATTACTTTAACATAATAAATGCAAAAAATACATACATATCTCTATTAAATTAATTAATTTTGTAGTTTAAATTTTAAAAATCCATATTTGCTCAACTAATTTTTATATTTTCCTTTGTTTTTAATAATATAAATTTTATTATCAAAATTTTAAGCTTGATTGAATATAAATGAAGTATCAATTACTTTAACAAGTTAAGTATTTTAATTAAATCAAAAATTTAAAAATTGGTGCTAATTTATATTGAACTGATAAATATTTATGATTGAAATAGCTTTATTTTAGATGATTTATAATAATATTTTGAACAAATACTAATTTTTAGTTTGGATAATGAACAAAATAGTAATTACTTTTATAAAGAGAAATGCAAAAAATACACACATGTCGAAAGTTAAGTAATTTAATTTAACTAAAATTTTCAAACTTATGCTTTCTAATTTTGACCTATCGTTACAAGTTCAGTAACAATTTGATTGCTGTTTTTTAATTTATTCGTTTCATCATCATTTAAAAAGTTTTACATTTATTAATTTATTTTTTTATTTTCATTTAATTTTATAGCATGAGAAGAATTAGATTTTTGCTTTTGAAATAATTTATTATTCAAATCTAAGTTCAGAGTTTCAAGCTGCTCTGTTTGAACGGTATTTGTTGATTAAGCATTTCTTTTCTTAGACTAAAATGATTTATGTTCATTAAGTAGTTTTTTAAATGAAGTATTTTCTTGTTCTTAATCATTATCATGGCTTTTATTATCACCTGTTATCGTTGTTACTATCTTCATTTCTGAGGAATCTCTTGAATCTGTTTTTTGAAGTTTTAAGTTGGTTGTTACTAACTTGGTATCCTTTTCAATCTAATCAAATCTCTTTATTTCATCTTCATTACATAATTATTATTTGCTATCAAAATAAATATTAGACTTTATCTTTTATTTAATCCCATAATCATCATCTTCTTTTGGTTTAATATCAACTGTTTCTTTGTCATATTCTGCATTAAAATCTTCTTCTTTTTCATCTTTAGTCGAAGAAGAGTCTTTTCTGAATATTTCTTCTACTAACTTGGTCTTTTAAAAAATAAAAGAAAACATCAAATAAAAATTATGAAGAAAGAAAGTAATAAACATACTAAACTCTCAGCAAACGCTTCATCAACAAGAGGATTTTCCTCTTTAATAGCTGTTATATAATTTTAAAGCTGCTAGTAAAGTTACTTGTAATATTTATAAATAAATTCATTTTTTATAAATTGTGCTATGTAGAATTCCTTTTTTTCTGAGTATTCTTAATACATAGTTTCAATATTCTTCAAAATTTCTTATTTTATAATAATCTCATAGAAAATGAGTATCCAATCAAGCATTTATTTTAATATCTACTGATGTTTTTAATACTATTTTTAATTTTTTATTGATTCTAAAATTGTACGCCTGCTTGTCCACACCTCTTAAAGTTTTATCAATTCTATTGAGCCTGTATCCATAAAATTAATATTCAAATCTATAGTATTTTATTTCATTAAGTATCCCTTAGCATTTTCAAAGTTATTCTCCTTACCAGTTTGAATATAAACGAATACTTCTACAATTTTACCAGCATCTTCTTTTAAATGTTTAAGTTCTGGTATCTTCGATTTTAAAAATTGGGCATTTATTTCTTACAATTTCGCTTGCAGTTCCTCTAAATCTTTATCAATCACACCTAAATTATGATAATATTTTAGTAGCTTAAATGTTAAAAAAAGTTATACCATATTGTTAAGTATATATATCAACGTGTTTCTAGATTTTTGCTTTATATAATTTATATTTTTAGAGCTTTTCAGCTTGGGCATCTATTTTCTTGCGTATCTATTTATATTTAAAATTAGTTATTGAAAATTAGTTTTTTAATGATGAAAACTTTGTATTTAATGAAAAATAATTATTTTCTATTATACTTTTTTTTTGCATATGTCTAGCTAAGGAATAAACTATTGAATTTGCTATAAGAACTCATTTTTTTCGCTTTTTTAACTTTGGTTATTTTCTGGGGAGTCTTTCTTTTTTTTCAAGTATTCGAGCATGTCTAATATGAATCTTTAAGCTAACCTTATTAAATTTGTGCTTTGATTTTTATTTTTTGTTTACTAATAAATATTAATATTTTTAAAAACTTTAATTATAGTAAATTAGTGAAAAATTATAAAGTCTTTAAAATTCAATAACAAAATCAAATTTTTGTTAGGTTTTTAATATAATAATAATAAAATAGAGTTAACTTAAATGGTTTATGTTGTTTAGTTTAATAAAAATAATATATTTGAATATGGTAAATATTTTCTTTTACATTTTGTAATCAGCTAGTATATGTTTACTTAGTTAACTAACAAAAAATGCATATTTTTTATTTCTAATTGTCATAAAATATCTGATACAAATAATGAATACTGCTTTTTTTATTGGAATTATGACTTCATTAAAATTTGCTGGCAAAAATTTTTTATAATAAACTTTTTTTAGGAATTCTAAAAATATAAATTCATATAATAAAGAATAATGTTGCTTGAATAATAATTCAGTACAAATAATTTCTTTAAGATAATAAAGAAAAATTTAATGAATTTTATCTACTGTGCTAATTTTAAGAATATTTTTCATTTTTTCTATAATTTTTAAAAACTACTATTAAAAATTCAACAAAATTTTAATATTTATTTGAAAAAGTAAAATAATATTTTATCCATCACAAAATTAGTATGATCAAATATCCCTAAATATTTATTTTAAATTGAAGTATATTTATTTATAATAAAAATAAAAGCATAATAATAACTAGATCTTTAAGAGATATGTGTAATGTGTGAGGATAATATTGATAAATTAATTATAAATTAAATTATTTTTTATAAAAAGTCAATTACTTAAATTAAATTTATTAGTTTATATTTAAATAAATAAAAAAATACAAAAATCTAAATAAATTTTATAATAAATAAACTTTTTGATTAGATTGAATAATCAAGAAAAAAGCAAATATTTTATATTTGTTGTTTATAGTTAAATGGAAAATATTTAGCATATAATTTTCTCACTTAAATATAGTGAGGATATTTGAATTGAGGATCATTTTATTTATGTCATTTAAAGTATTCAAAGGACAATATTTCAAAAAAAATTTTATTTAGTTCATATTTTAGAAATTTAATGAAAGTCAATAATTTAGACAAATTCGTACAAACAAATAGGATTTGTTAAATATAAAACTTTTACATTTAAATTTAATAGTGATTTATTATGGATATAAATTAATAAAGATTTTTATTTTTAAATACAATTTTTCATATTTTTTTTGATAAAAATTGCTACTAATTTCAGAAGCTAGGATAATCTTCAGTTTCACCTAAGAGAGTTCCATGCTTGGTACCATCAGTAGAGTACATAAATTTAGATACACAGGAAGTCATACAACTGTGGACAGGGAGCATACCTAATTTTTTTTAATTTAATTTTTTATTAGATGAAACATTTGAATAAAATTAAAAATTAATTTACCAATAACGTCACCAATCTTATATTGATCCAAATCAGAAGCATTTTCAAAAGTAATAATACCATGTTCTTATGAAAGAGTTGTAACAAGAGCATTAGGTAAATGAGTCCAAGTACCATCTTTGTTGTATTTGACAACCCATCCACAGATCTTTTATCCTTATTCAGAAACTAAATATTCTTTAGATAAATGAGTACCACCTCCATAGACAACTATTTACTTTCTTTCAGGGTGAAGACCTATTTTTAATTATAATAATTTCTATAAATATTCTGGAAAAAAACTTTACAAAATTAAAAATCGAATTAAAAAGCAAAAGTAAAGTTCTAGTTTAAAAAAATTACTTATAATTGGGCAAGCTACTGTAATACTAATGTTTTTAGCTTCGCAATTGTTCATTCTTGCTTACATAACATCGAAGAAAACATAGTTTCCTGGTCTGACCTCATCAATACCTTCAAGGTTTTTAGCTGCAGAGATTCCTGGAGTATCACCAACTGAAATAATAATTTTAGGGAACTTAGTAATATATCTAGCTCTTAAAGCAATCATTGCTTCTCTTGCTCCTTCTAATATTTCTTATCTCTCTTCACAAGTAGTTTTCTAGTAAGTATGACCACAGTGAGTCAAAAAACCTTTAAAGGTAAGATTATTATTTTAACCAATAATAGAAAGTAGCTTATCAACAGCTTCATATTCTTAAGGTTAAACACCACATCTCTTATATCCAGTATCAATTTTAAAGAAAATTCCTAACTTAGCGTCTTATACATGTTCAGCAACATATTGAGCTGTTTATTCGTGGTCAATCATGATATTTAAGACATCGATTTTTTAAGCTAATTAAAGAAGAGGTTTAAGTTCTCTAATATTAAAAGGAATAGCTAAGGTGATATCCTTCCAGCCATTCTTGGCGAAATAAAAAGCCATAGAAACGCTAGAAACTGCAATTTAGTTTACTCCGCATTCTCTGACAATGGTGCCAACATAAGCACATTAATGTCTATTTAATAAATATTAAAATGTTTATTTAATAAAAATATTCTATATAGCTTTTAAGTAGCTAACAAAGGCTTATTTAATTTTTTTTTTACGTTTTGAAATGAGGTCTGAAATTAGCATTAAAACTCTCGATTTTTTTCTTCATTCTCATAACATTCTCACGAATGATATTGGGGTTGACAACAGGACTAGGAATAGTGATTGTATCCAAAAAGTTTCCTAACATTTTCTATTTCCTTTTTTGATAAAGATTTGATTGATTTTATTTATTATTTTCTAATTTTATGAATTATATATTTACTTCTAAATTTATTATCGAAGGATATATATATTAATCAGAATCATATATAAAAAGTAAGTAACATCTTAAATTCTTTTATCTATTTTTCTTTTATTAACATCAAAAATTGCCTGTAAATAAACCACACAATACTAATTGTATCCATAAACTAGTAAACGAGAATTCATATTTTCTAGAAAAAAACTAATAAGTTTCTAAAAAGGAAAACTGACTTTTGTATGGAGATTAGAGTCAATAAATATTGAAAAATTTAAAAGTTTATTTAACTTAGAAGAGGAGAATTTCATGCTAAAAGAAAAAACAACTAGCCAAATTCAAAAATAAGCTAATTTTAGTTAGTTTTTCTTCATTAGAAAAATAAAAGAATAAATAATTGTCAAATTACTTTTTCAAAATGATTAATAAGATATTTATTAATTTCTTTTGGACAATTTTTGATATAATTATCTAAAAGAAAGATAAAAGAATATTTGAAGAAAGTAATGATGATTTCTGTCTAAACATGCGATATATAAAATTAAAAATTGCAATTTTTAATCTTAATTAAATAAATTAAAACAAGTGGTTTCCATGTGTTTAAGAGTAATAAGATCATCTAAACGTATTTTCAAATCAATAAAATATTAATTTGCACGTCAAAGGTGCTTATATCTTCTATTGTAAACTATTTATATCAACAAGTTAACATTTTTATAAAATATAAGTAATATTATTTGAAGAAGGTTATAATCAATTACTAAAGTAAGAGTAAATACTAAAATTATTATATCAATTTTTAAGCCATACTGTTAATAGCTGTTATAAAATCATTTCATGGATAGAATTATGATTTTAATTCATTTAAGAAATTTAATTAATATTCTTAAATCAAATATTGGTGAATATCTTAAAATAAAATTAAAAAAATACATTCAAAAAATCTTTCACAATTTTTACTCTTACTTTATTTGTATGTTTTTTTGTTAAATAAATATGGTGTTGTTTGAATCTTAATTTATATCAAAATCAAAAATAATTTTTTAAGATATTATTTTTTAACTTTCAATAAATTTTTAGTTTGATTAATTTTTCTTTAAAAGTTAAATATAAAGAGTTTAATACTTTTAGAAAATAATATTAAATTTTTTAATATCTCAAAACTATTCTTTACATCTTAAAATATTTTTTTCTAATTAATTTTAGTGAATTTTATTATAATTTTGTTTTTTTTAAATAATATTTTCAAAGATAGTTTTAAGTTATAGATAAATTTTCTACCACTAATAAATATAAACCCAAATTTAAATATTTATTTTGTAACAAAATTTAAAAAAATCCATTTTTAAATAAATAAAATATATTCAAGTCTACGATTACACTTAAAATTTTTCTAATTATCTTTTATTATTATTTTCCACTAAAAAAAAATACTTTACTATACTTTAATTTCATTTATTAAATTTAATTGTAGTAGCTATCTATGAGAAACTGTGTTAATATTTTAGTCAACTCAATTTCTATTAATAATTTTTAAATTTATATTAACTCATTTATTATTCAAAATATTTGAATGCTAAGAAACAATTCAAAAATAAATTAAAATATTTAACTATTTTATAATTTAATTATTACCTATCTTCAGTTTATAATTAAACAAAGCTTAAATTCATAATACCCAAATATAAAACTATTCTGCACTTTTAAAATGTTTTTAATTGATTCAATAAAAAATTTATTTATTTATTATCCAGGTTTTTAGTCTTTTTTTAATTTAAAGATATTATTAAATGAAATAAATTAATTCAATATAAATTTTATATTTAATAAATATTTTTTCTAAATTAAGCATTTAAAATTTATTTAAGGAATATTTTGTTTTTATAAATGAAGGAATGACCAAATCATGAATAAATTGAAAAAAAGAGAACCAGCAAAAAATAAATAAAAAATAAAAAAGAAATAAAATATATGACTGAATCAAGAGATACTAATTAATATCTTAAATACATAAATCGATCAAATTCAATTTCATAGGATTAATTATTCTTATTATCTATTTAGCTGTTGCGGATAAGAATATATAAATTTTAAATTTACAAAAACGATACATGTTAGTGAATAGTTTTGCTACTATATACTGGTTTTGTGGGTAATTAAATAAAAGTGTTGTGTGTGATATATCTAAATCTAGCACTCTACATTTAGTTAAATTGCCTACAAGTAATCTTAATAGTAGATTCTCTATCCATATTTATAAACTCTTTCAATCAAAAAATTAAAGTTAATTGAGTCAAGAAATGATGATAATGAAGATTATTTTATATAAAGTTCTTTTTTTAAATTAAAAAATGCTTCTTTTCTTTTCAAACTTGAGCAGTTGCACATAGCTTATTAGCAGCATCTTCAAGGAGACTAACTAAAGTTTCTTGAGATTGTTCACGATCCTTTCTTTCCTCATCAATCTCTGATTTGATTCTATTTACGAGTTCCTTAAGCATTTCGAAAATGGTTGACTCAGTTTCTTCACGAGTTCTCTTTTAGGTAGCGAGGAAGTCATGGATTTTCTTAATTTCATCAGCAGCCTTCTTAAGAGTAATAGAGTCACAGCTTTCTCTTTCAACTCCTTCAGATTTAACTATTTCATATAGCTTGGGAAGATCAGCTTCTAAGGTTGCATTAAGAGAGCTAAGTATTTCTGAACGAATCTTAGTTTCAGTTGAAATATCAGCGCGGAGGAAGTTGATCTTTTCTTCTAAGTATCTCACTTACTTTGATTCGGAATCACGACGGCTAGCTATTTCGTTTTCTAATTTTTATGCAAGTTTGTTGTCTAAGTTGGTAATTTCCTTATTACGAGTTTCAAGCTATAATTCGAAACTCTTTGAGTTATCTTCAACCAACTTTTAAAGCTTGAATACTTCTTCTTTTAATCCAGCAATTTTCTTATTGTATTATTCAATTGATGTATTAAACTTTTCATCAAGTTAACGGACACGCTATTCAAAATTATCGATTCTGTTTGCTCTAGATCCTTCTTAAGAAAGAGGAATTTAGGAAAGCTTTTCACTGATTTTATTGAAACGTTCAGCGTAGGGACTTGAGTAGATACCGCTTTTTTGCATTTTATTTTATTTGTTTAATTGTTGCTTTACTTTTTTATAAAGGTAATTCTGAAGAATTTTTTAGATATTTTTTAGTTATCAAAATATTAATGGATTTTGATTATAAGTTTTTATAACTTTTATTTTATTCAATTTTTATTTTCAAAAAAATAAATAAATAAACAATTAAACAAACAAACAAACAAATTATTTGTAATTTTTTGTAAAAATCATTCATCTTCATTCATGCATTTATATAAATATGTGTGTTTGTGTTTATATTTTTCTTTCTTCTTCATTTTTATTTTAAAATAAAAAATCTTTCTTTATAAAGTTTTTCAAGATAAATCTTATTTTAATTTTTTTATTAATTTCTTTCATATTTGATTTCTAAATAAGTACTGACTTATTCATTCATTGATAAAATTAACTACAAGAAACTATATTAATTTCTAACCTTCTTGTCATAATAAATTTATAATAAGTTAAAAAATAAAGTGAGCTCAAATATTTCATAAACAACTAGTTAATTAATATCTGTGAAATTCATTAAAAATATACTTAGTATTTTTAATTTTCATAAAGAGTTTATATATTTAGTCCAAAATAAAAATCTAATTTTATATTTAAATTATTTTAAAAACATTCCAAATATTAATGTTAATATATTGAAATTTAATAATTCAAAATAATTTATTAATATTTAATTTAATTTGTTTAGTTTTAAATTAAAATTCATCATTTTAAAAGATTTAAAAATGAATGATAAAATATTTATAAATATTAATTTATTTTTTCAATCTTCATTTTAGTCACTAAATCTTAATTTATTATTTTAGACTGCTTTAATTGCCCATTTAGCCAGCAGATAAGAATCTTCCCATCTATCTTCTACTGTATAGCAGTCAAGCAAGATTATAATAATTTATTTTTTTATACCTGTTTCAGAATCCTTTATTTTTATGAAGCTAGCAAGACAAGGTCCTGCTGATTGAGTAATTCCTGTTTTGATTCCACAAAAACCGTTATTTAGTAGCTTGTTAGTATTAAACCATATTTTATCAGATTTTTCACTCTAATTATCATATACGTCAGCAATATGCTCTTGTTTTCTTACAATTTATCTAAATACTGGAATTTACATACATTCTATACACAAAAGCCCTATTATTTTATTTAGGCAATTTAAACAAACAAAAAATTTTTAAATAATTTATTTACCTATGTCATAGGCTGTAGAAACATTATTGCTGTCTGGTAACCCAGTAACATTTGAAAAAAATGTAGAATGCATTCCAATATCTTTACAAAATTCGTTCATTTTAACTATAAAGATCATTTTGGCTTGAGAAGCTCGCTTATCAAGCTCACTGTTTAACTAATACATATCCATTTAAGGATTTAATTACTTATTTTAATCCATATCTAACATGGCTCCAATTTTTATTGCTATTAATTCTGCACAGTCATTTCCACTGGGTAAAAGTAAACCATGAAATAAATCTAAAACACTTAGCCATGTATCTTTTACTAGTTTTCCACTTGTACCTTCTATTTAGGTACAACATTCAGTTACTTACAGTAAAATTAGCTTTATATCAAGCTATAGGCTCTCAAATAATTTATAAGCAACATAAAACGTCATTAATTTTGTAAGTGAAGCTACTTCTCTTTAAACATAGCACTGTTTCCCATCTATTAAAGAATTGCTCTCAAAATCAAAAACAGACCAGCTTTAAGCAGTAACTTCTTTTGGAGGAACTATTTATTTGTTTATATCTCTATATCTAGGACTTTTTGATCTCTGTTTTTTAGTTTATAATAAAGGAGGATTAAATTCTATTTTTTTATTTTTAGGACTTTATTAGGATTATAAAAAGCTTTCTTAATTTTTTTTTTTTTGTTCAGAGTTTAATTAAAATTCTATAATCTAGCTATCAAATAAATTTTCGTTTATTTCATAATTATTTGCGTTATCAAAGCTCCTATCTTTTTTATTTTGCTGTTTTTAGTTTTAGAAATACTATTTTGAAAATTTATTTTTAATTATTGAAGATCTATGAGGTGTAGTTGAAATCTATGTACAGCTATTTAAACCATTAAAACCTAAATTTTTTTATTACGAATGTTAAACATTTAATTATGTCGGAAATGTAAAATCATTTATTTCCTGTTAATCATAAAATTATGGATCAATATTTAAATTGATTTCTTACCTATGATTTTTTTGTTTTGATTTAGAATTAATATTATTTTCTTCAAGACTTTAATTATTTGCTTACTATTTAACAAGTTTTTCATATTATTTTTATGTTTAAGAAGTTAGTTTTGGTAGATCAATTTTTTTTTAGTGGTTCTTTACACTGTTATGAATATTTTATTAGTACTTAGTTGGAAGTTTTATACTTTCAGCTTCAATAATAGCTTTAGAATACAAAAATATTTAAGTTAAAATATATTTCTTTTAAAAACATTTAAATTATGAGCTCAATTATTAAAAAAATAAATAAATATTACTGGATTCGTTAGCTTAGCTGAGAGAAAATTCATCTAAACTTCTTTACATATCTATGCATTTCCCATTCTGGTTGGGTGAAAATAAAAATGATTCATTATGATTTTAAGGTTTCTGAATATGCGTTTTGTTTAAATCTAACAATGCTTTATTAGATTCTTTACGGAATTTTGTTGAAATCATTGCAGTTGATGGAAAAATATAGTTTTTATCAATCGATGTCTTTAGAAATTAGACAACATTTTCTTTTAATGAAAAAGTATTTTCCTATTTTTAATTTTATAGAATTCCTTTAGGAGATGAAGGAGAGGAGCACTTATTATTTAAGCTATATTAAGTGATATATATAGGAGGGCTTGCATATTTTTTATCTTTAGGACAAGAAGAAAAACCTTTCTATCTAGTTTTGCACAAAGGCAATTAAAATATTCTTTTTGTTTTATTTGAAGGAGATTCTTGCTAATTTTAAATATTATTAATGGGAGAATTCCTCAATTCTGATTCAGCTATTTTTCTTGAAACCTTAGCTAAAAGATCATTAAATGTGAGGTCTCTTTTCGGTGTTTGAATTTTATCAATTTTTTTAAAATCTAATTTTTAATCCTAAACTAAGCTTATTTATCTATTATTATAGCAATAAGCCTAGGATTTTTATAGAGCATCAGGAGATTTAATACTTTATTGTTAAGTAATTTCAGCAGAGTTCTATGAAATAGATCTTCTACAATTATTTTTATTTTGGGTGCTTGAGCTTAAATGTTTACTCATCACATTTTCTATTTTAGGAAATACATCTATGTGCTAAGTCTCCAAGAATTATTTTACTAACTTAGATGGTTTTTAGGTTTCTTTGTTATTTATTGGCGAAAACAGAACATTCTTTTTATATCTTATTGAAGTAGGGGCAGACACCCTTTCTAAGTTGGATTTGACAAAAATTTAAGAATAGATATCATCATTATTTTATATTTTATAATGGTCCACTAAAAACATTTCTAAATTGTAAATTAAAGAAAAGTAAAAACATTCAATTTAATTAAATTAAACTAAATATTGTGTAATGTAATAATAAATTGTTTACCACTAAATACTTATCTAATTTAGATCAAATTTAACACCAATGAATTTTTATCAAAAATAATAATATAATCATTTATTTATTTATCATCTTCATAAAATCAAATTGTAAGGTTATATTTTTATTTAAATACTTAATCCTTGTTAATTGAAAAATCAATGTTAAGCTCAAATTTTTAATCATGTTAAAATATTTTTTATAAATATTTTACTTATAAATACATATAAATATAAAAAACAGGCTAAATATCTTGGCAAAAATATTAAATTGAATTTTCTATTTACAAAAAATTATTTTTTATTTAAGATATAAAATTTAACAGAATTCTTTAATTTAAAAATTCTATGAAATAAAAAGTAATTTTATTTTGTTTTCTAATTTTTAATCAAATAATTTATAATATTATTATTAAGTCCTGAAGTTAATCATCGAATATTGTATTATTTATTTTATCTATTTAAATAAAAATATTAGAAAAATTATATTAAGAATTTTAAACTTAAAATAAAATCAAATAAATTACTATTGATATATTAAAAATTAATAAACTTTTCTTTAAATTACTTATTTATTATCATATTTATAATAAATTAGAATTTATATACCATTATTTATTGTATTAAATCAAAAAATAGCATATATTTTCCTATTTAAATAATCAATATTTTTCTATTGAGTAAGAAGGAATTTTATCTCAAGTAAAGCATTATAAACTATTTAAACATGAAATAAATTTATTTTTTTTTTAAGAATTAATTAATTAATTTTAAAAGGATACACTTTATAAAATTTAGTACTTTTTAACTATTTCTTAAATGAAAAATAAATAAATGATATTTAAATTTATAAAGATTAAATCAAAACAATTATCAATTTTCTTCATCTGATTTTTCTAAATTGTCAAGATAGTCATCTATTTCTTAATGATTAAGATCTTAATCTTCGTCAATATCATCAAACAAAAGCTTGTTTACTTTCTCCTTACTTTTTAATTTATCTTCATCCTCAGCTTCTTCTGCATGGCTATCACTTTTCTTATCATCAATTACTTCCTCTTCCTCCTCACTATTCTTTTTCTTTTATTTTTCAGCAGAACCAAACTCTGGTACTCCGATCGAAAAGGAAGCAGCAGGTACTTCCTAAATATTAGAAGCAAGTGTACTTTTCTACAAAATTCTTTAAATTTCTTTATCATGTTCATCATCTTCTTCTTCTTATTAATTTGTTTAGCTTTATTCATTATTTAATTTTCTAAGGCACTCGCTGACAATAATTTCTAAATTGGTCTTTTTCTCTTCTTCTTCTTAATCTTTGATCTAATTATTTTGCTATTTATTTTCATTTTAATTTGGTTTATTTGCTCCGATTTCTTCAAATAGAAGATCAATAAAGAATCCATCAGAAACATAAACATTAGATGTAAAATCTATATCTGTTTTCAATAATCTTAAAACATTGTCGTGAGTAAATCCAGTATGTATTAACATTCTAAATATTGGATATCTAAGCTAATTTGAATGATAGTGCTTGCACCTAAAAAGAATATCTTCATATACCTTGTTATTAACAAATTTAAGTTTAATTAAAGTGTAAAAAAATTAAACTAAAAATAGTCAGTTACTTCAACACCATTTAAATCAAACCATAACGATAAATCATTTTAGCTATATGAAGCAACTCTGCCTTATCCTAGGGAATTATAAATAATTTGAGAATCTTTAAACAGTTGTAGATAAGGTCTAAATGAAATATCTTCATTTCCTTTTTCGTCTTTTCTCATTATTTTTGGTACTTCACTAAATATTATTTTTTTAAGCTTTAGAGGCTTGTTGTTAAGCTATATTTGTAAATTTAATTAATATAAAAACAAATTTTAAAATAATTTATTCATACTTTTACTCCACTAAGTATATTAGCAAAATAGTTTAAATATAATTGCTATGAAGGAAATAGAATCTTTAAATCTTTGGTTTTAGTTTATTTGCAAAAGAAAGTTAGTGCTTCTCCTGGATGATTAAACGTTTTATTTAAGCATAGTAAGCAGCTTATTATAAGTGCACTTCTACCACGTGTATTTTAGCAATGAATGATAGCTACATTTTCTGGATCACTATTTAACCATGAAATCACACTTTTGCAAATCATAAATATCTCTTACAAGGAAGGATTAGGATAACCAGGCATATTGTGATCAGCTACCTTTTAATTTAATTTTAAAATGAATGATTTATAAAATAAAACTAAATTTTTTATTAAATAAATGCTTAAATTTTAAAAATATAGATTTATATCAATTTACTATTTTTTTGTAAATGATTAATAATCAATTTATTAGAAATAGCATAATTTTAAAGCATTTTTACGTTTTATCTTCATAAAAAATATGATAAATTTAAGGAGTAAGAAAATATAAATAATTGTTCTTTAAAAGTTTTAGTTTTATATTTTGAATCTATAAATAATATATACCTGCTCATTGAAAGGGAAGACTTCATATTTATGTTCAGAAACATTCCAAATATAATATTATTGCTTGAATCTTTCATTTAAATATTTTGAGAGACCTACTATTTTATCTTATGTAGGGAAATTCATCCAATAAATACGATCTATAATTTAGATTACATCCTTTTCATATTAGTGTTTGCTATCTACTTTTTCTTAAATTTTTTATTCTATCTTCTCTATTGTTTGTTTTCCTTTTTACTATATTACTTTAAGTTCTTGCTAAACTTAGTTAATTGCTTTTTTTAAGAAGTTCATTTTCTATCCTCACAAAATAATCAAAAAAGGTTTTTATTTAATTTATTTTTTGTTTAGCAAATTTTGTTTCTAATCAGTCAAATTTTATTTCATTCGCTTTTCTTCTTATTTCTTATATAAAACCTTAAAAGAATATCTATATCTAATAATTTATAATAATATTTATAATTCCCCTATTTGATACTAATCTTTTTATAGTATTATAGAGTTAGAATAAATTTGAAAACAATCAAAATATTTAAAATCAATTTTAAGGCTATTACTATTTTATTAAAAAACAAAATTTATTGATACTTTAATGAAAATTAAATATAAAATTTTGAAGTACTAATTTTAAATTTTTATCTTTTCAATAAAATAATCAAGCTATCATCAATACATACTTTAAAAATTAATGAAATTAATTTTATTATAGCTATCTGACTTTTTATTTATATAGAAAATATTAATATAATTTAAATAAATCAAGCTATTTACCACTATGAAATATTTTTTTAGAAAATAATTCTTCTATTAATTCTTATAAAAGTAATCGACAGAAATATATAATAATTAATATTTCTGTTCCTTAATATAAAATATAATAAAAAATTTTGCTATTGATTGATAAAGCAAACAATAAAATAATTTAGATAAATATTAATATCTATGAAATTCTCTAAGGTGGTTATTTTTTAACATTAATAATTAACTATAGATAGGTATTTATACAAATTTCTTCTTTTTCATAAAACATAAATTAATTATCTCTTAATTAACAAAACACATGATAATATTATTTAGATAAATATAGATGTCTATGAAATTATCTTAGGTGGTATTCTATTATTAAAAATAAAAGCAATTAATCACAAATAGGTATTTACAGATAGCAATATAAAAATTTTTATCTGTTAATTTAACAAAGCAGCAAATAATATAATTTAGATCTATATTTATATATGTTGCTTGACTTAAATGAGAATAAAATTGTTTAAAATATTTATCTGTTGATAAATAATGCAAATAATTGAATAATTTAGATAAAATAATAAATTAATTAAGATTTACCATTAATTTTAAGTTAATCAATAATTAAATTGATATTCTTAATTTTTATTTTAATATTTCGTGTAACTAAATTAATTAATAATTGCACATAAATCAAAATAACTTCAAAGTAATATATACCTTACTCACTAAATTACTTAAAAAAAGATGAAATCCAATATACTCTAAGGTATAGGATCAAATACTTACTATCAGAATTGGAAAGAAGATAAAGATTATGAGGCTCATATTAAAAGACTTAAATAAATTAATGATAAATAAATTGATGTTGCAAGAAAATATTCAAATTTAGATAAACTTATAGATTATTCTCATAAAAAAAGAGAGCTAATCAAAGATTTTAACAGGAGAGAGTACATCTTCAACTTGGGATAAGAAAATAATAGAATTAAGAAACGACTAGAGGAAATATCTACAAGCTAAAGTAAGGATAATAAGCATGCCTAAGACCATAATAAATTTTCTTAAACTCTATATAATAATAATAAAATAATAATTTAAAGATAAAAAAATGATCACAACAAGCAGCTAGAAGTAGAAAATTTTTAACTTGCTTCTAGGATAATGAACTTGAAAAGTTAGTACACCTCCGAATAGCATAATACGCATTTTTAATTTCATTTATAATATAAAAAGAATGTATAAAAGTTTAGGAAAAGAGATAGGAGCTTGATTCTTAGTGTATAATCAAATTAACTTGATGAGTATTCACCAAATAATAGTGTTTTTGAGCTCGTTAGGCATACTGCAACTAACTCCACTCACTTATCATAAGTAAATAGCCCTTTAGGAATGAGTACTCCTAATAACAATTCTTCTTTTGTTCTATCATAAAAATAAACACCAATGAAAAAACGAGAAAATAAATTTAACTATTAAGTTTTCTTAAGCAGGCCTAAATATATCAACAGTACTTAGCCATTAGATAGTTAAAATTAATAAAAATCTATTGATCAAATCAGTGAACCATCTAAAGATTTTACAATAGAAAAAAGCATAGATTCATCAGTTTTAGATGACAAGTAGTAATAGCCATAAAGAATTCAGAATAATCAAGAGTCAAATAAAAGTGCAAGCAATAATCATAAATAAAAGGAAATCATAGATGAAGAAACTAAAAAATATGTATTAGGAGGGAGAGATATATTTATAACTGCTAGGATGAAAAAAATTAATTTTAAAACATTCATCCCAAGCGAAGCAGATGATGATCTATTTTATTTTATCATAAACGCAGGGGATAATAAACCTAACAGGACTTAACTTAAATCATTTAAAAAAATACAGAGCAGTAACTATCACCTTGCTTTCATATCTGAGAAGTTTTAGTAAAATGAATAAAAAGTTACTTTTTAACTTTGGCAAAATAGAAATAACACTAACATATTTTTAGGAGAATTTACAATAGATGTTTCTTAGTAAGTGGAAAATATTGATCTGGATTTAGAAGTAAAAAAATCAGTTCCAAGAACTTTTATTTCAGGAAGAGTAACTTTAAACCTTTCTGTAACAAAACTATAAAAACCATAAAATGATTAAAATATTTAGCTAAACAATCAATCCTAAAATAATTAATCTATAGATAAAGGCATAAATAAAGTTTCTAACATTGAAGAAAGAAAAAATTCATCTTAAATTTAAGTAAATACTATAAAAAATAACAATTAAAAATAACCTGCTCATTCTTCTCTACACTGAATTCCAAATCATAGCATTAAAGTTTTATTAAATTGTAAATATGTAATGAAATATTTAATTAAAATTTGTTCTATTAATATGTAAATTTATTGTCTATCTATTTTTTAAGCATAAAAAAATATATTCAATTCATAGAAAATTTTTTTTAATTTGATTCAGAATCAAATAATATAATTGTATAAAATCAACAAATTTAATTAAATCAGATATCTCTGATTGTAAATTGGTTATTACTATTATTATTAAATGATAAGCAATATGACTAATAATTAACAAAAAATACTTGAGGCCTCTGTTATATTTCTTAAATTTTAAGACTTCTATTTAATTTCATATTAAAGTTATACTCCTTTATTTTCTATTTTATTTACAATAAAAAGATCACATATTTAAAAATAAATTACTATCAGCCATTTTAAAAACTAAAGATTTTAGTTGAGATAATAAGTATTTCTATTAACTAAATAAAAATAAGATTTACTTGTTCTAAATTAATTATATATATTAAGTAATCTATCAGATGAGCTCTAGTAATTAGCAAAAGTAACCAACTGTAGAAGATATTCTATAGGCTCATTAAAAAATAAAACCTTATATCCACTAAACTCCAATTATCACATGCACTTCATTGAATCAGTTAGTTGGAGCTGATTTATATTTTAAATGTGAAAACTTCTAAAAAGGAGGCTCGTTTAAATCAAGAGGAGCTGCTAATGCAATATTGTCATTAAGCAAAGAATAAAAAAAGAATGGTAAAGATTTTATGTTAAAATTATAGAATTTAAATTAAAACTGTTGATTTTTATTTTTAAGGAGTAGGCACTCACTCTTCAGGAAATCATGGAGGAGCGTTAGCCAGAATGGCTTAAATTTTTTAGATACCCTCCTACATTATCATGCCTTTTGATGCACCTAATAGTAAAAAAAGATCTGTTTAAAATTATGGAGGTAAAATCATAGAATGTGGTGCAACTATTGCTGATAGAGAAGGTACTTTAGAAAAAACTAGAAAAGAAACTGGATGTGAAATTGTGCATCCATACAATGATTATAGAGTAATCAAAGGTTAGGGAACTATAGCTTTAGAGATTTATTAATAAATTTAAAAACCTTTAGATTTTATCATTACTCCGGTTGGAGGAGGTGGCTTATTAAGTGGTATTTTGATTGCTTCAAAAGCTATTTCACCATCAACTAAGGTTATTGCAGCTGAGCCTTTTTTGGCTAGAGATGCATATTTATCTTTGATTAGCGGCAAGGTTGAACCTCAATTTCCTCCTAAAACAATAGCTGATGGAATAAGAGCAAATTTAGGAGATAAAACTTTTGATATAATTAAGGACAAATGTGATGGAATTTTACTTGTAGAAGAACAAGAAATAGTTGATGCAACAAATTTAATTTGGTAGAGGATGAAAATAATAGTTGAACCTACTTCTGCAACTGTACTAGCAGCTGTAATTAAAAACAAAGAATTATTTAAGGGCAAAAGCATAGCTTTAGTTTTAACAGGAGGTAACACAGATATTGAATATAAACCAAAGCTTTGAATAATGAATATGTATGTAAAGCAATAAAATATGATTACTTAAGTAAAACCGTACTTTATTGATTATTCTTAATAGTAATCAATTTGAATTTAGAAATAATCCCCTAAATATCAAATTAAATTAATAAATATAATTTATCAACGTGTTGAAAGAAATGTGTCAAATATATTTAACTAATTTATGGTATTTAGTATATTATTAACTTTACTTACAATTACTTTTATATCCACTTAAAGATCTATAATTACTAAATTTTTTTTTTAAGAAATTTAAGCATGTAAATTCCATTTTATGTGCAGAAGTTTAATCTATTTCATTTTGTTTATGACTTGAATGAATACACCATTTGCTAATCTATTAAATAATCTTTTGGCGCTTAAAGGCTGGAAAACATATTCATTTAAATGAGATAAATGATGCAAGATATCAATTGTCAAATTTACATAATCTTGCATTCAAATTTTCTCAAAGAATTTCATGTTTTGCGTTAGTAATTAATTTAAATTAAGAAAGTCTTTTAATGGTATATGAATAAGTAAAAGAGTGAGTGAATATGCGAATATTTGGGTTGTTATGAATCAATTTATAATTATATATTTCACAAAAAAAAAAAATAAATAATTTAAAAAAAATTTTTTAAATTAATAAGTTTTGATAAATCTTTAAAATAAATATCTTATAGTTAAATACGCATAAAATTAATTAATATTATTGAGTAGAACAAACTTTTAAGGAAAGAAGATCAATGTTTTCATATAAATATATACCAGTTTAAAACGAATAGAATTTAAAGCTTTATAAATACACTGGATGTGATAACTCCCTACTTTACAACTATATTCTTGGCCCTATTGCAGAGCTTATTTTAAAGTAAATATATTTTTGATCTCAATTATTCTTCTGTATTAACTTTATTTTACTAATTAAATGTTAACCTTTCCATATGAAGAATCACTCCAGCTTGGATTGCGTAAGATAATTATTTTAAAAATACTATTTATCAATTACTTTCTTTATTTATATAATAGACCTAACACAGTAAACACTTTAGCAACTTTAAGAATTATTATAAATATAGTTATTCAAAAAAACCAAATAGAAAATTTTTAAAAATGTAAAATTGAATTTATTAATTAAACAAATAGCTCACTCTTATGGGATTTCTATGTGTTTTAATTCCTCACTTGATATTATGGTACATGTTCCCTGATAAACTTGAAGGTGATGTCCCTCGTTGGTATTGTCTTTTTGTAAGCTTAATGCATTTAGTTTACATGGTAAAATAGTTTTTTAGAGTTAGTTTATATATATTCAGATAACTCCTGGGTTAATTTTTTAAAAAATATAAATCAAAAATTAGAATTTTGACAACCTTGATGGCAAGCAAGCAAGAAAAACTGGTAATTATAATAAATATTAACATTTTGTGCAGGTTGGTATTTGATTATTGATATCTATATCAAAAGGAAATTCATCACCAATGGGATTGTTATTTGATCACGGTTGTGATGCTATGATAGTTTTTGTACAAGGCATTACTTTAGCAACATGCATGGGTTTTGGAAACAATTACCTTGCTTATCTAGTTTATGCATCAGGAGCTATTCCTTTTTACATTACTACCTTAGAAGAAGTAATTAATTAATTTCAAATATTATCAAAGCAAAATTTTTGAAATTTAATCATATAGTATTATACAGATATTATGTATCTTCCTTTAATAAATGGAGCTGCTGAAGGATGTTTTGCTGTTGGTTTCTTTATATTTGTTTCTGGTTTATATGGTAATACAGATTTTTAAATTTATTGTTATATTTTATTAATTAATTAATTTACTAAAAGGTCCTGAATTCTGGGGTGTTGACTTTTTGATGGGAATGAATAGAAGAGAATTTACTTTATTTGTAATTTTAGTTGCAGGTTTTGTTACATGTTTAAACATGTAAGAATAAATAAACATTAATGAATTATTTTTTTCAAAAATTAGTTTTTAATTAATATAGATAACATTTAATTTGAAATAATTATTTTATTTTTGATATTTTTTGATTATATGTTTACTTTTTTCTGAATGGATAAACGTTATCTTTTTTATTTTTAAAAGATTTTATAGAATTTATCTTAAGAAAGGATGGAATACTTTAGTTGAGGCTGTTTAAAATACAGGCTTCAGTTTCTTCATTCATGGAGCTATCACTTATATTTTCTTCTTTTCTCCAGCTAATATTGGATACACTCATACTAGACTTTTAATGTATGTTAGCGGTTTGCATTGGTGCAAGAGTTGTGTAATAGTTTAATTTTTTTTATTTTATTTTAAGTATAATAAAATAATGTCTTAAATTTATCAATAAAATATTTATAAAAAACAGTCAATTTTATAGATGTGTCATGTCTCAAGATCTGATTACTTTTAGTTTAGAAAAGCTTCATTCCTTTTATTCGTACCTCTCTTAGGTAATACTATTGCAGGATAAATTTTAGGAAGTGCTCCAGTTTGTGAAGTTCTTATGTTGAAGATTGTTTTGGTTCTTTCTTTAATAGGTAATATAAATAAATAAATAATAGTATAATTTTTATATAAATATAATTTATTAAAAAAGTATATTTCCATATGGTAATTAGTTCCATTAATTAATTCTGTGCCGCACTCAATATCAGAACATTCTATGTTAAACCTGTTGATACTAAAAAGACAAGCTGAAAGAATTAATAAAAATCTACTTTTGATTAATATATAATAGCAAGAATAATATTTAAATAATTTTAATCTCAATTTTGTATAATATATTTGTGTGAATCATGAATTATATATACTGAATAAAAATGTTAAAAATATACTTTTTTTCTTATGTTTTTAAAAATTAATTACCTACCTATGTAATTGGCTATAATTTATTTAATCATAAATTATTTTACTTTAATTTATTTAAATCAAGTATTTATTTATTTTTCTAGTAATACTTTTTGAATTTTCTAAAAGGGGGAAAAAAATATATTGCAACGAAAGTGTTATCGTTAGCTAACGATTGTGTTCTGTTGATTAAAATAAAATTATGAAAGTTAATCCTAATTGCTTTCTAAAAAGTGGTGAATGCTTTTTATGAAATAAGAAATAAATAAAAAATAATTACAATGTTCATAAGATAAGATGAGATTATTGGAAGAAACCCAAATTGCATGAAAAGTTTTATTTATTTTTCATATTTTTTTTGAAAATTATAATACTAAAGTTGTAAATAAATACACACATATATGTTTATTTCCTTGCATTTGTAAAATAAAAAATATGATCCTATCATTTAGAAAGGGAACCACCAAATTAAAATTAATTTTCAAAACTGAATTCCTCAAAATAGATTGAAAAGATATATAAACAAAAAATTAGTAAAATAAAATTTATATTGGTCTTATAAGTTACGGATAAAAAGGAAGGAAGACAAAGCTTTTAAAACTAGGTAGTAGTATAAGAACACTATAAAAATTTACATAATTAGTTCCATACATATTAATGAGTAGTAAAAGAGCTAGTATCTAATCTTCGTTTGGCATTGAAAATGCTTAGCTCTAAAGACTTTTTGAGCCAGATAATGTTCGTGATCACGACAGTATTAAGATTATAAATAAAGATTATGCTGGTATTGATAGTGTTATGAAAATGCTAAGGACCGATGCCTAAAGAGGTATTTTAGGTACCCCTTAGGATATATAAGAAAGATAAAACAGTTTCGGTGCTAATATACCTCCTTAAAGAGAGTCAAGTTCTCTTTTAGAAATGGTCTTAGAATGCTTTGAAGATTTCATGCTTTAAATTCTTTGCGTTGCTGCTTTGGTAAGTACTGTAATAGGTATAATAGATGAAGGTTGGGCTTCTGGTTGGATGGAAGGTGCAGCTATTATGGTTGCTATTATCTTAATTGTATCAGTCACTGCTGGTAATAACTATGCAAAGGAAAAGTAATTTTAGAAGCTTAACGCAAAGAGAGAGGAGATGAGTGTTCACGTAACTCGTAATGATAAGATAGTTTATATCGATGTCAAATAACTTGTTGTAGGAGATATTCTTCATATTCAAATAGGTGATCTCCTTCCTGTAGATGGTATTTTAGTAGAAGGCTCAGAAATTTACATGGATGAGTCTAGTGTTACAGGTGAATCTGATCTTATTCCTAAGATTTCAATCTTTAATATGACTTAAGCTAATTTGAAGCAATAACCTTTTATGATCAGTGGATCTAAAGTTATGGATGGTAAAATATTTATTCGCTTATCTACTTATTTTATTTATTATTATTTTTCAAACTACTTAAAATGCATCACATTATTTTCAAAATCCAACTTCATTATCTAAGCTCCTTTGATTTCTGGATTCATATTTTTTGCTAAGATTTTAACATGAAGAAATAATTTTTATTCCATTTAATTATTTAGTTAGATTATGAGAAATAAATTCTAAATAAAATTAAATTTAAAAATCTTAGGTAGTGGAAAAATGTTGATTTGTTCAGTAGGAGTTCATACACAATTAGGATAACTAAGAGAAAGACTTTAAGAAGAACAACCTCCCACACCTCTCTAGCTAAAGCTTGAAACTATTGCAGAATAAATCGGTAAATTTTTGAAAAATAAAAATGAAAATATATGTTTTTATTTTAAGATATTTAAAATTTCTTATTGAAATCATATGAAAGTTATAATTTCACTTTGAATTGGTTTTAATTAACTTTTAAGTTTACAATTTTTTTAGTTATTTATTTGTTTGTTAATATAATATAAATTCTTAAATTAATTTTTAAGTAACAAATCAATTTTGTATTTCAACAAATTAATTTTTAACACTTTAATTTAAATTTATTATATATTGAAAACAAATAGGTGAGGTAGGTACAATTTTTGCTGGTCTTACCCTTTTGGCTATGATCGTAAATCTTGGTATTGATATCTACCTTGGTCATCACTGTTTCACATGCATTGAAACAGTCTCTTACATTATAAAAGCCTTTATGACTTCTATTACAATTATTGTCGTAGCTGTCCCAGAAGGTCTTCCTTTAGCTGTTTCTATTGCTCTTGCTTACAGTGTCAACAAAATGAAGGATGAAAACAACTTGGTTAAATAGTTGCAAAGTTGTGAAATTATGGGTGGTGCTACAACTATTTGCTCTGACAAAACTGGTACTCTTACTCAAAATATAATGTCTGTTCAAAGATTATATATTGACAATTAAAATTACAAGCCTCCTCATATTACTCCTGAGTTTATCCCTGCTTAACTTGCATAGCTTTTCTCAGAATGTGCCTGCTTAAACTCTTCAGCTAATCCTACTAAAAACTCTTTCGGAAAGTTTGAATAAATTGGTAATAAAACTGAATGTGCCTTATTAGAATTAGCAGATAATTTGGGATACAATTATGTAAAAGTACGTTAATAAAATTAGATTCTCCGTACCATTCCTTTCAGCTCTTCAAGAAAGAAAATGACTGTTCTTATTAGACTCCCTAACAATAGAATACGTATTTATGTCAAAGGAGCTAGTGAAACTATTTTGGATAAATGCTCAAATTAAATCCTAAAATCTGAACCATATTTTAAACCTATTGAAGATTCCAGTAAGATTAAATAACAAATTATTTTGAAATATTCTAATGAAGCTTTCCGTACACTTGCTTTAGCTTACAAGGATATTGATTATAATCCTAATTATGATTAATTGACAGAAAATGTACTTGAATCTGATTTGACATTAATTGCTATTACAGGTATTAAAGATCCTTTGAGAAATGAAATTCCTGAAGCTGTCAGAAAATGTAAATCAGCTGGTATAACAGTTAGAATGGTCACTGGTGATAATGTAATAACTTTATAATTCAATTGATTATTTCATTTCTGCTATTACTTATCAATAACAGTTTAAATAAAGAGAAGATTGATAAACATTCATCCATCTTCACCTAATTTATATTTCTAATCCCATATAATTTTAATAATAAAATTTTATTCACTCAAATAAAGGTAAATACAGCTGTTGCAATTGCTAAAGAAGCTGGCATTATCTCTGAATCCACCAAAACAAATACATTCCAAAACTAATCTGGAAACACTGGAGGATTTGAAGTTATGGAAGGTAAGAAATTCAGAGAAATTGTTGGAGGTATCGTTTATGAAAATCCTTAAGGAAAGAGTGTTGCTGAAAAAGGTGCTTCTAGAGTATAAAATCTTGAAATGTTCAAAGCAATTGCAAGAGAATTAAAAGTATTAGCCAGAAGTACTCCCGATGATAAATACACTTTAGTTACTGGTTTAATCTAAATTGGTCATGTAGTAGCCGTTACAGGAGATGGTACTAATGATGCCCCAGCACTTAAAAAGGCAGATGTTGGTTTCGCTATGGGTATTGCAGGTACTGAAGTTTCTAAGGATGCTGCCGACATTATTTTATTGGATGATAATTTTGCAAGTATCGTTACTGCATGCAAATGGGGAAGAAACATTTATGATTCAATCAGAAAGTTTATTTAATTCTAATTAACTGCTAACATTGTTGCCCTTTTCATGTCATTCACTGGTGCTGTTATTCTCAAAAGAAGTCCTCTCAATTCTATTGAAATGCTTTGGTAAAAATCCTATTTTAATTTTAATAATTTTAATTAAATAAATAAAAACTAGGGTAAACATTATTATTGATACCTTCGCATCATTGGCTCTTGCAACTGAACCTCCAAATGATAAATTACTCGAAAGAAAACCATATGCTAGAGACGAAAGTATTATTACTCCTAATATGTGGCGTAATATCTTTGGTTAATCACTTTATTAAATAATTATGCTTACTTTGCTCCTCTTCAAGGGCCCTGAATGGTTTAATGTTCCTAATTCTTTCAAAATGGAAAAGTATGATCCTGTTTAAGCCTAACATTTTACAATTTTCTTCTAATCATTTGTTTTCATGCAAGTCTTTAATGAATTCAATGCTAGAAAATTAGAAAAGAGTGATATTAATATATTCGCAGGATTATTCAATAATGCTCTCTTCTGGGTAGTTATCATCATCACATTTATAGTATAATTCCTCTTAGTTGATCTTGGTGGTAGATATGTTGGTGTTACTCCTTTAACTTGGGAATAAAATTTAATCTGTCTTGGTATTGGAGCTGGTTCATTAGTTGTAGGTGTTGTCATTAAAATATTCCCTAATTTCTTATTCAATAAAATTAAGCTTTTTAGAGAGGAAGAAATGGATCAAGCTAAGTTGGATCGTTCTTTCACTTCTATGATGCGTAGAAAGAGTTCAGTTCGTATGGGTACCCATATGAGCGGCAAAGGAAACTCTAGAGAATTTTCCCATTAAGGTTGATATTTAAACCCTTTCATGTAATCTTATCTTTTAGCATAAATAAATAAATAAGACTTACTCATTAATTTTTTAATTTATTTAAAAAAGATAAAAAATTAAAAGCGTGAGCTGCTAAGAAGCCTCTTAAATGATATGATAAAATGTAGGAAATATATTTAAAATATTTTCGCTTTTTCTCAAATAAAGTGGTGTAGATAACCTAAAAACTATTTTTAATTAAAAGTTGTTTCATGCTATCTATCTATAACTTTTGTATTTTGTTTTAATATTTTTCTTTGATACAAGATAATAAGTTTAATTCAATCAATCTTTTAGAAATTTATAATCAAATAAATTACTCCTTGTTTTAAAAATAAAATTTTAACTTTGATTCTCATGTATTTAAAACGTTAAGATAAATTTGATACAAGTAATAAATAAATAAATAAAATATATTTGTTACAATTATAATTATAAATTAAAATCAATTTCGTACCTTAAAATTTAAATCAATTTTATACTATTTAAAATTATAATAAGAGAATTTTAGGTTTTTAGAATTTTATGTCATTTTAGGTTAATTGTCTATTGATTGACTAGCTCTATATCTCCTAAGGATAAATCGATTTATGAATTTGCTTATTAAAATATGTCTATTTTTTTTGACATTTATTTTGAAACTTTAGGGCTTTTATATATCTTTTTACCTATTGAAATTATATTTCTTTTTTTATTATGGAGAGGTATTCCTACTTATTTAATTTCTAATCCTTTTTAATTCGATTTTTTTGAATTTGATTTTTTTACCACATTAATTATCAATGTCAAACCTTTTGAAAGTTTACAAATTTTTATGAGTTTCTCAAAAGGTACATTTTACAGAATAAATATCAAGAAATATATCACATTGTATATGAAAATGAGTACTCCAGTAACAAGACCTATATTCATGTAAAGGTTAAAATAATATTATGGAATCGTTTCGAGAGTTCTTAAGTAGATGAATAAATAGTGATTTATAGCTATTAAAAACCATGACACAATTAGGATACTATCTCCAATAATCTTGTATATTTTAAGTTTCTAATTTTTGAATGACTTCAAATAGATCTATGAAATAAAAAAGCAAATTTTAATTATAGGTACAGCAGCAACAACAATATTAGGATAATTTATAAGCTAAACAACTACGAAGCATAAGATTGTTTTCTTTAGATATCCTATAAAATGATAGCTACGTGAAAAAAAATCATATTAAATAAATATTTCTAAGGCTAAGTTTCCTTTTTCATGATTTTCGTTAATCAACCTTTTGAAATTTCTATCTCTCAGTGCAATAAACAAGCTTACTCCATAATATAATAGAAATAAAGCAAAAATAATAGAAAGATAAAGTCCAAATCTAGTAAAAGTAGACTAATCATACTCTTCAAGTGAGCATTAGATTTAGAGATATATTCCAAAAACTAACAATAAATAGCTCTAATCTAACAGTCCAAAAATTTGCTATATTACTAAACACTTTAACTTCATCACAATTTAAATAATATTATCTACATATTTTGCTTCTTTGAAATTTATCAAAGTATATGTGTTATCTAAAGATTATAGTAGGTAAAATCTTTTTTTGTTGAGATAATGAAAAACTATAAACATAATGCACATTAATACAAAAATAATTGCATATTATAGTATAGCATCTTAAGCTACATATAAAAAATTTTTGAGAAGTCCATAATTTATTAGGATTTGATTTGAAGGTAAAATAATTTCGTTCTCATTAAGACTAAATAAAGAATACCAAAAATTATATTTTTGTTTAGACATGTTTTATTGTGACAAGTTTTATTCTTCAGGTACATTTTTAAAAAGAAATGAGCCAAATATCCTTAAAAAGCTATATAAACTAGGAGGAAATTGAGTATTGATAAGTAAAATCAAGCAGATAGGTTAAATTGTGTTTAGAATCTAAAATATTATGAAAAACCTTTTCATGAAAGTGAAAATAACATTCAAAATCTAATTATTATTATTCTAAAAAAACTAAGAGATTTCGTTCATTTTAGCAATAGCTTCCTTTTAATCTTAACTTGTCTTTAATATCAAAGGACCTACTTTAAAATAGTAACTTTTAAGTTTATATTTAGGCTTTAACTATTTTGTTTTTTACTCATTTCTAATAATTGTGTTATCTTTTATTATAACATATAAGTATTCAGATGTGACACTTTAAAATACTTTTACTTTCATAATTATTTAATTTTTAGAAGCAGAAACTATTTCTTGATTGAAATTTGTACTACTCACTTGTGTTAAGTAAAGCTTAATTCCTTAATTTAAAAGAGATAAATCTTAAACATTAATTTCTTCTGAAAAAGTAAAAGTAACTTGAAGATCACTCTATAAAGTTACATCATTAATATCAAAACCTTCCTCACATAAGCCATTTTAATTTATAAAGTTATTCTAGTCTTAGCATTAGCATTATTTTTAGGAGTTTAACTCTTATTTATAACTACAGGATAAACATTCATTATTTTAACCTCCACTGCATGTTAAGCATGAAGGATCACAATTAGAACATACCATTTACTTACTATCAAAATACTAATTTGACTAACATTAGATACAATATATAGAGCTTTTATACTTGTTTTTATCTTAGCATAAACATTGAGTTCCAGATTATTCTGAGCTTTTACATTGAATACATATACTAGGAGTAACTGAGTCACATATTTCGCAATCTTCATTACAGCCTATTTAATTTGGAACACATTCACCTAGTAAATTTTCTTTATATCCTACTTGACATTAACATTTAGGATAATTAATTCGGTTTATAGCACACTCTATGCAATTACTTGAATAATTTATACATTTGCTACATTCACTATTACATTCTTTAAAAAAAATAAAAAATTTAAAAATTAAAAAAAGGAAACAATTACTTTAACAACTTTATGTTATTTAATCATAGAAAAATCCATCGTAGCATTAACAAGTCGGAATCTCATTCATATAATTATTTATGCATGAAAGACAATTATTTGAAGAGTATTTACATGTTTTACATTTTGGATCACAAGCTTTTATTTTTGTAGATAAATATATTTTTATAATTGATAAATAAAATAAATAATACGTAAACATTTTGAGGATAAATTATCTTCATAAAAACCATCTTTGCATTAACAATTTTTAGAAACATCTCTTGTTGGTTCCCAGCATTCAGTGCAGTTGTTTGGATTGTATTTACATTACTTGCAAACAGAGTTACAATCTATAAATTAAAAAAATTTTAAATAAATTTTGCAATATATTTAAAATACTCTTTACCTATTGGTTTACAATCCTATTAATTAGATTCATAGTATTAAGGGTAGCATTAACATTGATTATTTGGGTCTCTTGTTGTAGAAACGCATACTTCACATTAATTTAAATATGTAGAATTCAGTTAAGCACAATATTTAATTGGGTTGTTTACTTAGATACATTGATTAAATTACTTGTAATAAAAGTAATAACTTTATGGGTTTTATGAATTTTAGCATATATCATTTTTATCATAAGGGATACATTCATAATTTTTTTAAACATAGTTTGGCTTGCATAATAAACAATTTTTAGTCTTGCTTTATGGGCTAACCTAAACAAAGCAGTTATCATCAAAGTAACCATAATCTGTTGCTATTGCAATGTAATTATTAGAATATATTTCTATCCTATACAGGTTAAATACAGATTGGCTAAATTAAAATATTTAAAATTAATTTTATTAAAGTTAAAATAATGATTACATATCAGCAGGACCTGTGAAACGGTGGGAGGAAATATTTGATAGAGAAAAAGATGATTAGACTTCTTAAATATTAAAAGATTAACAAGCATAGTTTAAACATATTTTTAGAGTCAAAATTATTGATTAATTATATGAATATGTTTTTTATACAGTAAATACTATATGATACCATTAATCAAGAAGTATTTTAACAAAATTAACATTTTAGCAGCTGCTTGAAAAACAAAACCTAAAGTAATATTCGCCAAAATTAAATAGAGAACTTTATTATAATTGTAGGGACATTAAAGAGTTTGAAGATTACAAAGCAGAGTAAAGTGTCCACCCATTAGAATTAATAATAGTATTAGTGTCTTTAATATTCATTTGAAAATGAAAGTTGATAATCAAGATTTAATTATCTGACAATGGTTATTAAGCAAAACTTATCTATTAGTTTTAATAAACTTCGAATATGCCGAAAATAGAAATTTTAGATGTATATTAAATAGCTTGATTATTTACTAAATTATTGATTGATTTGTCACTGCTCTCATATTAAATAATAGATAAATACTTATATATATCTGAGATAAACCATTATTTAAAACTATCCTAATACAGTGTCATTAATTAGCTTTTATCTATTATACTAGAGGTAGAGAAGTTAATGTAAACAAAATATCTAGATAAGTATTAGCTACAATAATTCCCTACTGTTTGTGTCCCTCCAAATTTAAGCTAAACCTACTAAAAAGTTAATAAGTTCGACAAACCAGTAGTTGCTTGGCTGGAAATTATTTTCGTACTAGAGTTTAGGAAAATATAAATTTAAATTTGCTATAACTCTAAATCAACTGAAACATAAAATAGCTAAATGCCTAATCCTGAAAATAGCGAAAACTTCATATTTTTAAATTAAATTAAATTAACATTAATTAATTATTAAAATTAAATTACTTTGTATTAAGAATTGAAAAAAACTTTTATTTCAATTAAATTTTAGTTTGATCTGTAAAAAATTACTAACTCTAAATTGATTGCTAAATTAACTAAATCTTAAAGCTAAAATAAAGGAAAACTAGTGTTATTTATACTTCCATTAACTAAGCTTGATGTGAATTGTAAAGTTATTGCTTTTGAATTATTTAATTAAGTTTAACTAACAATTGCCAAATTATTATTCTATGAACAAAGATCAGTATTGCTGATAAAGTTAGCAGTTTCTTAAAATTAATAATTTTCAACTAAGTCAACACATTAAAACCCATTATCAAACTTACTGCAAGTTCCATCTTATTTATTTAAAAATTAAATTGAAATAAAATTTGAAATATATAAATTTACCTGAATTATATCCTTTGTTATATTTTAAACACTGATTTGCTGACACTCCACACTTCTCACAGTTATTACTACATCTTTAACATTCTTAACTCGAAAGAGTATTATATATATATAATTTATAAGATGAGCATTAGCAAGTATTATCAGAAACCTAAATTTATCTATTTAAGCTTTAACTAACACAAAGTAAATCTCTGCTAACTTACCTTAATTATTAATTATACAGTTGTTAGTCTGGTATTAAAATATTTATATCTAAGCATTGGCTTATTCCATCAAAATAAAAACCTTAAAAACATAATAAGCAATATCCATCTCCATTTTCTATTTGAGTACCTATTAATTATTTGCAATTTTATCCTTAAATATCTTAAAATCTCATTAATGAGCCTTTGAACAAAATTATATCTCTAATATTCCATATTACTTAAGGAATTAAAGTTGATCTTTGAAAAAATAGTAGATCATAGCTATCTCCTCCTAAGCAATTCATAAAAGATGTTTGGTATTGCAAATCATCTTAGACTCTTAATATAATTCTTTTTTTTATTAAAAAATACTTTATTATTCTTTAAAAGTAAATTGAGTGATAATAAAGTTTTAAGTTACAGATTTTTCTTTTTTAATTGAAATAAAAAAGCTAAGTAACCTTAATTAATTAGTTTGTTAATAAAAAAAAATTTTTTTTGTGTGGTAAAAAAAATATAAATTTGATAAATAAAATATGAGTTTAATCTATTTAATGCTTATTAAAAATTTATGAAATTTTTTTCAATTCTATACTAGTATTTATTGCTTTCGAAGTAACAATAATAGGATATAGTAACACGATTCCATTAATTTATGTTAAGCTATATCCCTGTAGAGATCTATGAATTTTAGATATTAATATTCAAATTTTGTGTAGGTTGACTAGAATCCCCTGTAAGATATAACTGTAAAAGAGCATTTTGCTTATTTAGAAAGCTCAAAATATTTGGGCCATTACTTGATGAATTCCAATTAATACTGTTTTATTGTATTTTTATGTAAAAAGATAATATGAACTCCTATGAATTAAATAGATTTATAGTTTAAGGAATTTAAATATAGCTATCTTTACTAAAATCTAATGTCTTTGTATTTGCTTCAGCATTATAATTTGTAGATGTGAAATTAATAATTTTTGCATTATTTTCATTGTTTGAGGAATCCATTAAAATTTCAGATTATATTGGTGAGTTAATTAAATAGTGCGCTAAAATTTGTGGCTCATTTCTCATATATTATTAAATATCTTGTAGAATTTATTATCCAGAATAAAAGTAAAGATTCCTAACATACGCACAGCTTGATGGATATAAATAGCTTGAATCAAATGGATAGTAGTCTAGAAATAATCCAAAATTAGCACTATTCTACAACGAAAATGAGGGAAGCATTATTGTTTGTGTAATAAAAATTGATTTTTCGTTTTATAAAATTACAGAAAGATTACCATCGTCATTTCTTTTTTAATAATAAAAAATATTAATATGTATTTATTAAATACGTATTAAGATAAAATATAAATGAATAATGAACTAAGTTCTATGATGTAATTAAATCTCGTATGCAAAATAAATTAATGCAAAATTTTGAAATGTATTGTATTAATTTATTTTTTCACATCTTTGAATAGCTCTCTCTTAATGTAAAAATATTTCTTACCTGGTGATTGACAGGAATATGAAGTTCCATTAACTTTATAAATTTAAAGAAGAAATCGAACTTTAAAAAGAGTAATTCTAAAGGATGGTTATTTCAAATTATTAGTTTTTGTTTAACTTTAAAACTATAAGTTAATTACTTATATTACTACTTAATTAGTCAGCAGAAAAAGTAAGTATTACCCTACTAGGAGAACTATCAATATAGAATTACCACCAACCGTATAAAGAAAAACTTTTATCAGCACTTTGTATACCTAATTAAGCACTTGAAAAAATTAAGAGATTATTAGATTATTCTTTAAATTAACAATTTAGTTAGCTCCTATCTCTGATTAAATTTGTCCATTTAGCATCAACTAATAATATATTACTAATGAAATAACATATTAATAATGAATAAAGACTAATTTATATTTTCATTAACTTTTCTTAAGAAGTTTTAATATGTTTTAGGTATTTTTTCGTAACTATTTTTAATAATTAATTTAAAATCAATATTTTTTATCCTTTTTATTAATTGATAAAGTCTTTTTTAATTATTAATTAATTATCAAAATTTTTCATAAAAATTTACTTAATAGATTTTAAAATAGCATGAAAAAATAATAACCAATAAGCTTAAGGGTTAACAAAGGAGTAATTAAAACATAAAAATATGTAAATTATTAAAAAGAGACTGCCATTAATTATTAAAATAAAAATAATTAATTTAGTTTACTGTGTAAGCTAAAATTAATTAAAATTGAAATAAATTTTATCTAATTTTTCTAATTCATTGTGCTCTTGCAAAAAGTTTACGAAATCATCTAATTTATATTGAGCAAAATACTTAACATAGAGTTTTATTTCATAAACTATTTAAAGTATTTTTAATCTTTTATTCCTTTAATTAGTTAGTAAGAATCAAATACAACTTTTAACTTTATTAATACTTTTAAATACATTCAAATAATTATTTAGTTTAATTTTTTAAACTCAGGAAGATTAATTTATTTTAACAAAATAATGAAAATAATTCAAAATTAATCTACCTGAAAGAATAAATAGTAAATTTTTGTAATAATAGTAAATAATAAAAATTAATAAATTAATGTTTAGAAATAACTTTGCTGTAGAGTATTTATCATCTATTAATAAAGTATAATATATTTTATATTAATTTAATTATACTTCTACAGCAAAAATTTATTTTTAGACATTTTTACTAGAGTTCTAATTAATTTATCAAGTTAGAAAGTGTTTTAATTTTTATTTAATAAAATTTAAGTTTATAAATTATATTGATTTGAGCACATTTTTCTAAATTTTATATAATTTATTCTTAATATGTAGCGAATTTATTTCTAAAAAAGATATTTTTTTTCATTTAATTTTATTATAATTCTAATAAAAAAATATTTAATAAATAATACAAATACTAAAGTAAAAAATAATTTAATTAAAAAAATTTTATGATAGATTGTAAAATGAAATCTGTTTAAATTAACTGAAAGTTTTTTAACATTAAATATGCTAATAATATTAATTAAATTTATATTTAAAATTAAAAGTGTCTTTAAAAATTAAAACAAACTTTAGGGTAAAAAATTTTAATTTCTAACTATTTGCAGAACTAAATTTTACTTTCAAAAATTATTTAAAACAATTTTTAACCATATTAATAAATTTAATGATTTTTTTGAAATTATTAATAACATAGGATATTTTTGATTTGATTAAATTTTTTTTCAACATATTATAAATAAAATTTTAAATTTAATAAATAAATATCCCTAAAAGAAAAACAAAATATATTTAAATAGTTTTTAAATATTTTAAAGTATATGTAAGGATACAATATAATATTTCATTAATTTTAAAAATAATATTTTATTTAGATACTTTTTAATACTAATTTTAAGAAGATAATGTAGATGAAAAATAGGAATATTTATTTGAAGCGAATAAAAAATGTTTATTTCAAAAAATTTGAAAATTATAAAATTCTCACATTTAGAAAATTGATTGTAAGTTATTTTTATTTTGATTGTAATATTATTTAAATCAAAGCAGCTTATTTTCACTTCTTGATCTATTATCATTATTAAAATATTATTTTTAATTCTTCTAATTTTACATTCTTAAGTCATGCAAATTTTATTATTCATTATATTTATTTTAAACAATTTTAAATTTTAGCAACTAAGAATTTCCTATTGAGCTATTTTTTACAATTAAGTTGCTTGATTTTGTATCAGTTTTTAAACTAGTCTTTGTATTAATAAAACTTGTTTATAATTCTGCTTATTATTGCTAAATAGTGCTTGTATTTTGACTTAGATTAAACTAACTCATTGAAGAATTATTTTAGCCAATAGCATCTTTGTCTAAATTTGACATACTTTTAATCTTATTATTTCCTTAGTATAAAATATGTTTTCCAAATTTATTCAGTGAAGCAGAAGATGTTTATGAACCAGAATATAATTCTTTATTTAAATGCTAAGCAGAGACAGATACATTATTGTTTATTAAAACAGAATTAGAAGCAGTTGATGCTCCAGAATTATAAAATTTTATAGGAGTCTATTCTCTCTGCAATTTTAATTTTTCCTCTTTATTTGGAGTTTATGCTACTATTGTTCTTTAATTTGAATGGCTAGTTTAATTACTTCTATTTGTATGAAGCTATAATTTATACATATCTGGTTATTATACAAGAGAGAAATGATTACTTTTTCTTTTATCAAGTGTGTTTATATCAATACTTAGATGATCTTAATAAGGACTTTTAATACTGAAATATAAAATTTAGAATAATGTTGTCTTAATAAAATTTACTTTAAAATAGTCCCTCTCAGTAAATTCCATGAACTCAAATTTTTAATACAATTCAAAAATTGTTAAAGATCTTATTGCCTTATCTATTTAAATTATAAATTATTTATTAAAAATATTTAGAAAAAATAAATTATTTTTGTTACAGCAGTCATTTCATTTAGCTAGTTTACAACTTATTTTATAAAAATGAAAAAATTATGTAAACCAAATGCAGGATTAAATTTGTTGTTTAGCAAAATAACCTCTAATTACTAATTAAAAAAATCAAAGACATTCAGTTTAACCCATAAATTAATCATCCCCTAAGAGCTTAAGCAGAAGTTCCCATATTTAATTATTTCAAAAACTTCTTTTTAAATAGGACAGTTAAATCTGTTCTCAAAGCATAATTATAAAATAGCACTCCAGGTAGATTCATAAATCTATTAAACGAATTTCTTTCTTTTATCAGGACTAACAAGATCAAGAAATAATCTTAGGTTTTTAATAATGTCTATCTTGAATATGTTGATGCAGTTTATCTTAAAATAAAAAAAATATTAAATAAAAAATTAAAAAGTATAAAAAAATTAAATGTTATAATTCAGGTATATATTTATAATTCAAATTAAAATAATCAATAAATTTTTTTAAAAAATGAGAACTTAGTTAATTAAAATTAAATTACATCTATACTTCCAATTCTTATTTAGTTTTATTACCATTTACAAGTCCAAGCATATGAGTTCATAATTATTTTTAGTTATAAATTAAAATAGTTTTCCATAATATTTATCATACTAAATTTATACTCTTCATTAGGTAGGTATTCACTAATTTTTATTAAAAATATATCAAGTTTAATTTTATCACAAGTAAATTTTACACATTGGATAATAAGTAGTTTATCAATTTTAGAGATGTATGTGCACTGTTGGTTATATTTGATTATGACAGCTTTATTTTGTAAAAATAATTTTAGCAAATATCTAAGAATATTTTATCAGATAACGATGCTTAAATTAAATTAGAGTAATCAATTCTAACAACCTTTAATAGGCTATAGAAAGCATCTTGTTTTTCTTATTCAATAATGTTTTTATATATTTCAAAGAATAGACATATTATAGATTCGCTATATCTATCATTTGCTTAAACATCTTTAGTATTAAAATTTTTTGCTTCTGCTTCAATCTCAGAATAATCTATTTAGTTTAAACTCATAGGATAAAGGAAATTTATTCTCTATAATACTTCCTTTTTATTCCCTTGATCATTACTAGTTAAAAGTACTTTTCCATTGTAAATTTAGTTGCTCGATTTTTAGATTGTTTGATTATTTTTGTTAAATGGGGATGCACCATATCTACCATTAGTTATTTATTTATTTTATTCAAGTTTATCTGATGTCATGAACCTTGTTCTAATATCACTAGATGCCAATCTTTAATTGATTATTTCTTTTAGGTTTGTCATATCACTACTTAAGTAATTTTGACTATTCTTAACAGATATAGGACTTATTGGGTAACTTTTCTTATATGGTATAGATACTTGAGATTTCGTTTTTTATCCATTATAAGGTGTATCTGAATCTTATACTATTTTTAGTAAATAAATTAATCTTTAGAATAAATAAGAATATTTATTTATTTATTTTTTACTTTAAGAGATTGGAATTCTTAAATTTTCTTGAATTTATTTTGGCTATTCTTACTTCTATGCTAATAAAATTTTACTCTAGACTTAGTTTAATTTATTATTACTTTTATTTACTTAGATTTAAGGAAGCTCATTTACATTATTTTTTAATAAATTTATTCTTTCCATGAAAGAAATTCTAGAATTTTAATCTTGATTAGCTTATTTCATTGAATTTATCTCTGTGTTAATTTGAATAAATTTCTCATGATCACTATTACGATGCTTAAAATCTATCTATTTGTTAAAAGGTACTTCTTTGGTTTCTTCATTTTTGGCTTTAATAGAACCTTTTCTTAATGAAGGTAGGATATCTTATAGCACTAGTGAGCCAAATTTTTCAGAACCTTTTTTCTAGGAATCGATGGCTTTTTTTAATTTCTTTAAAAATTAACTTTAATATTATAAAAAAATGAATAATTAATATTTATATGTACACAACTTATTTATCTAGTTTTGTAAACCCTAATTTTGTCAATGTCTACTCTAAACATATGATCATCTTCAGGCCAGTAAGGGACATACTTGTTAAAGGTAAAATTAACTTTGTTAACATCTACTTTATTTATTGATTTTTAAAGGTCATACAACTCTTACGACTTATACATGTTTTCACATTTAAACATATTTAATTTGCTTTAATCACAATATAACATCATTTTTGATAGCTCTTCAAAGAATTAAGTATATTTTGCATATAACCAAAACTTCTCGTACGTTTCGATACTTACATCAGACTTACTTACGAAATTCACACAAAAGATTTTCTAAAGAAAATTATTAATGCTAGGTATATCTACATATGGAATTATATTAAATAAAATATTATATTCTATGATCATCTTCAAAGTTGTTTCATTATTTTGTATTAAAAAGAAGTTCATCAAGTTCCCTATATGTTCCATATTAGCTGAAATATTTTATTCTTTAAATATTTGTTTATCAAAAATTCAAAATTTAAAGTATGTTAAATGAAATTACAATTGTTTTAAAATAAGCAATATAATTCAGAAAAAAATATTTCTATGATGTTAATAGCTCCACTCATCAAAAATTTATAATTATTTATATTTTTAATCAGTTAAACAGTTCTATAGCTCCTATAGAAATAGCTATTATAAATTTTTGGTTTCCCATCATATAGCTCCTTTAAATCTTATCTGAAAGTTGGTGTATAGAAAATAGGGTGATCAATATGATAATGCAGATTAGCAATACTTTTAGCCCATTTTCTTGAAACTTGGTATTGTTTTGGCTCTAAAATAAACGAGAGGAGTATTTACACATTTTCATACATTCTTAGTGATTCCATGATAAAATCATTCTTTTATATCATCAATTTATCTGAATTTCCTTTTCATAAAAATCTTTACCTTTAATATTTTAAAAAAATATTATTAAATACCTTCATATAGCCAATACTCAAGTTATCTTGGAAATTAACTAACTAAATCTGATATGCTTGAAGATCTCTAAAGTTTTCCATCTCCTGCTTCGTCATCGCTATCTTAGTTAAGAAATTTATTCACTCCAGATTTTTCTAAAAGCACGAGTGGCATACCAGTTTATTTTTTTGAGCTATTCCTAGTATATTTTTTTTAATCTAAAAATTCTTTGACATCTTTCCTTACTTCTATTTCAACATCAATCCTCTTAACCTCAGGTATTTTACAATACTTAGAGCTTTTCTCCATAAATACTAATTATTTTATATGTTTATTTAAGTTTTTAAGATTTTTAAAGTAAAAATTTTGAAGTATGAGCAGTTTTCTTCTAAGGTAGCTATAAAAATTCAAAAAAAAGTAACAGAAAACCAATTTAGTTAACTACCACTAAAAAATATGTGTTTCAATTCAACATAAATTTGAAAAGCTTATTAAAAATATTTTTTTTATTATCTTTCTTCAATCTTTATATATTTAAATAAAGTAAATAGTGTATATAAAATCTTAATTACTTTCTTAAATTCTTTCATCTACCTCTTTGTGATGCCACAGAAATGGGTACTTACTCTTAATTTATTCAAGTGCTAAGCAAGTATTTTATAATATTTCTTAATCTTCTGAGTTTTATATCAAATGCATAAAAAGAATAAGAGGATCATTTCTATTTAAGAAGATGGCATCTTTCTTTTATTATATATAAAAAAATGCATATTAATTATTTTATTAATTAAAATTGAATACAATAATTGTTTCAAATATTAATAAAGCATATTCTAAGGTCCATTTTTTGAATATATAAGCACATTGAGTGTCAAGTATTTTTATAGAGAGAACTTTAGATTCGTATTACGATAAATCTATTCTCTTCTTTGAATCTTCAATATTCGTGGTAGGTAATTCTGCGAAATACTCTAAACTTCCCCAACAATTTTCTAAAAATTAAGCATTTTATCCAAATTTGTTATATAAAGAATCTAACAGCATCTCCATCTTTTTTTAAGAATTATTTTTAATAAAAATTTAAAGTATTATAAATACTTGGTCAGGAATTATAATTCTAGTATAAAATAAAAATCTTATTAGCTCTTTTTCTCTAAGAATCAATTCAAGTTTATTTTCAAAAGGCAGAATATCTGTAATTTTTTCAATTGCCTATCCTAATTTCTTCAATCTTATAAACGCATCGTATTCACTAAACTGTTTTAATATCAAATTATTAAAATCTAATTCAGTAAATAAGCAATTATCTTATTTTACTGCTTCTTTAAATAGTGTCGTAGGTGTTATTTCAATTAAAACTTAAGATTCATCGTAGTCTGTTATCATATTAACTTTGTACTTATGCAAAATTTGAATGATTTTTGACCAATATTAAATTGTAGTATTTATGTTTAATGATTATAATTTACGGCTAATAATTTTTTTACTAATTTAATAAATTAAAAAACAAGTAGTTAAATATTAGACCTTATCTAGCTAAGCTAAGTAATCAATCAAAGATAGATATATATTTATTGTATTAATTAGTGAATAAAGAAAAAGATTAAAATTTAAAACTCGTCAATATAAGTTGAGATTATTCTTTTAGTTAATAATAAATTAAACAAAAATCATGCCAATTTCTATTAGCTCTTTCAATTATTTAATAATTGATTAATATATTTTATTGTCCTGGATATTAATTTAATAAATATATAAAATTTAACTTGAAATTTTATTTTTTGTTCATTATAAAATATAAAATTTTTAACTAATCAAATATATAAATCTTAATATATCCATTTTGGATTAAAAAGTACTGAAGGAGACATTATTTATTATATAACATTTATTTTCATTAATTCATACTAAAAGCAAGCAAAGATCAAATTTATGATGTCTAATATAGGATTAGAAGCTCTTTTTAATAAAAATCAAGTTTTTAAATAATTTTATGTGTTTTTAAAAATTAATTATTACGAAGTTAGAATGCAGAAATCAGATAATCTCAAGTTTAAAAAAATATGATAAAGCTAAAGGGAAATTTTACTGTTAAAATTTATTATATTTTATGTGAGATCTATAAATATTTTTTGAAGAGAGTTTCCTATTATTGATAGCTGTTCTAATAAGTTAGATAATCCTTTACTATTTATTTTATTTTAGCTAATAGAAAAATTCAAATTTTGTGAAGTTTAATTGAAATAAAATTTACCTCATAAATAGCTATATCTATTAAAGATTTGGGTTAATATTGAGCTCTTAAAAGTGTTCTTTTAATTTATTATATCTACAAAATATTTGAGATAATATAAACTCTATTTAAATTTTTAATTTTACTCTAATTTAATTTTTAATATTTTCAGATTTGGACAATCGTAAATGTTTTAAAATAGTAGCACTAAATCGAAATCATTTATATCATTCTTTCTTTTAATTATTTATTAAAATCAATTAATTGTTTGGTTTACTCAGAATAGAAGATACTATAAATTTAGTGACAGTCTTCTTAAATTTACCAAATTTTTAAAATGATAAGTTAGCCAGTTGAAGTCTTAATTTAAGCAGTCTAAGTAGCTTTAAAAAGAAAACAATTAGCTGTAGTTTGGTTCAACTTTTAATCAATATTTACTTAATAGAAATATACAAATCTTACAAATTATAAAACTAACTTATTGCCTAAGAAAGGTCTTTGAGAATATTTCCAACTTATATGTTATACCTTTTAAATAAATATAAAAGCTGTTATTTGACTATTAACAAAAAGCATTACTAAAATTTCATTTTTAAGTCAATTAGTTCTTCATTTAGATTTATTTCTGAAATGAATCTTTTATATTCTTAATGTATAGTTTCTCTGCCTTTGCATTTATATCTTTGTTTATTATAAACGATATTTATTTATTATCTTAAAAAATTATAAGGAATACATCAATAAAGTTGGAAGAGATTTCTGCTTCTATAAATTTTTTAATATTTGTTGTAATGTTTAAATTTCATTATCTTAATACTCACCAATGATACCATTTTAAAATAAAGTTATCATCTCTTTTGAAGTTGATTTTTGTATCATCATTAACTCAAAATAAGTAGAAATTTCTTAGTTTATGATCAAAAATTATTAAATATTATGCTTTTTTTTTTGCTAACAAAAAGATTAAATATAAAAATTATTTTTGAACTTTAATTATTTTCTATTATTTTTTTATGTCATATTCTCATCTAAAAAATGAATTTATCTCATTTATTATTCTTTACTCAGATAATCCTAATACTTTTTTTAAATAAAAATATATTTAAAATTATAATAAATCTATTTAAATTTAAATTAATTAAAAAAGTAAGTGTTTTAATTGATTTTTAAATATTTAATAAAATCAATAAGTTAATATATAATATTGTGATAAGAAAAAAGAATATCAAAAATAATTATTCAAAACTCAACATTTAAATTTCAAAAAATGAAAAAAATAAAATAAATATTATTAATAAAATAAACTTTAAATTATCTTTAAAACAAAAAATTATATCCAAATAATAAAAAATAAAAAAATAATTTCAAAAAAGTAAATGATAAATTTTCTAAATTAATTTTAATAAAATAAATAAATATTCTTAAATCTTTTTAATATTTATAAAAGACAAATATTTTGTATAAATTTGCACAATTTTGATTGAGTATATTTGAGTTATTTTTAAGTTTTTATTATTTAATCAGAAATCTACATTGAGAACCAAGCAAACACCTTGAAGTACCCAATGAGAAGGATGCTCTTCAGTTCTAAGATTTGCAGTAAAGACTAAACCTACACCCATTGCATTTCTTCTATTTTAAGTAACATAGACAGGTGTGTTCAAGGAGTCCTTAAGCTTGAGTTTATTAGCTTCTACTGGAATAATCTAAATAAGTGGCATTTCAAAGATGAGTTCTTTAGGACTTTATTATTAAAAACAGAATATTATTAATATGAAATAAATAATCTAAAATTAAATAAAAATATTGTTAATTACTTTTAACGTTTAAGACAGTTTTTAGATAAATCCCATTAAGCTCCTTCTAAATAGAAACCACGAACATAACAGCCATGCTCAGGTTTCTTTTTGATTTGCTCTGCTGATTTTTGGTTTGTTACAACTGTGTATAGAGTACTCTTATCAAGAGCCCATTATTTAGCTCTACAGGTTGTCTAGACTAAAGCAGTTAAGTAAGATTCAGGAATATGGATACCAGAAAGCCATATAACTGCAGGTTCACCGTTTGTAGTCCATTCTCTATACTATTTAACACGATTCAAGAAATGTTCCATCCAAGAACCTAATTTCTTTTCTGTTTAAGGAGCAAGCTTAGCCCAAATTGAAGGTAAGAAACCATTGTAAAGTGAAATAGCAAGCTCATCCAATTCAGAACTCATACCGATTTCACCCTTAAGTGCTCTTTTTAAGTTATAAAGAGAGCTCTAAATCTTTAATATCAACATATTGAAACGTTCTAACTCTTAGAACAACACAACTGTAGTTGGTTGCAAGACCTCTCCAGCTTCTTTTCTGAGGAGGAAGACATCCCATATTGAAGGTAATTTACTTAATATATCTGAAGCAATATTATCTATGTATTCATCCTAAATTAAAAAAAATTTAATTAGTTTATAGATAAATTTAAATATAATTAATTACTTTGTTATCACTTGAACTGCTATGACTTCCCTATACTTGAAGAGTAAGCATATTATCCCATAGATCTTTAGCAGCATTTGTGTAATACATAATTTCTGCATTTGGATGTAAACCAAAAACTGCAGGAGAGTTAATAATAGGAATTTCATTAACTGTATTAATGTAACCTTCAAGATTCATTTACTTGGGTAGGGAGTAGGTGACATCATCTACTTTAGCAAAGAAAAATTCTCTATTCTTATCAAATAAGAAGTCTCCCATATATTCATCCAAGTAACAAACAAGAACTCTTCTATCGAAATCATCAGTAACTCTACCACCATACATTGCTTCACCAATTAAATATTTAAGAGAGTTCCAAGGGATAGATTCATCTTTATTAACATAAGCCTTTGTCAAATAAAGATTAAGCAAGTGGAAAGATATTCTAAAGTCAGATTCGTTAAAGTCATAAGAAACATTCCAACCAATCTTACCATACTTTCTTCTATCTTGGACAATAGCGTGGAAGAATGAAACCACATAAACGAGGGGTCTATTTTATAAAATTAATAGTATAAATAAAAATTAAATGAATGAATTCGAATATTAATTACTTAAATGCTTCATGAGTACATGAATCTAAATCTTTTTCGTTGATCTTAGAAAGAGTACCCTTCATATTAGGTCTTAAACCATCTGGTGGTTCTGTTACAATTTTAAGTGATTTTTGAAGGATACCAAGTGGGAATCTGTCGGTGGGTTATGTGGTAAGCCAAAGTCTGAAATCTTTATGAGGTTTATGCATATTTTCTAATTGCTTTTCGAGAGTGTCTTTTTCAATAAAATATTTTTAGTAAATTAGTAAAAAGAATAAATAAACGTTTTACTTTTAAGCCAGTTTGGAAGTAAATGGCAATTCATAAGCATTAACCAATGACCTCTTTATGAACTTGTTTCTACGAACTGTGTTGCCTCTTGTTCCATACCTTAACCAAGAGAAAGGAATCTGAATTTATTACCAGTAAAACCTAGTTAGTCACCAAGCTTCTAGACATCACTCAATGGATCAGCACCTGGAGAAAGAATAAAGACTATAGGAGAACGCTCGTGAGATTAGTCGAATATTTTATTGAAATTAGCAGTTGGAGGTTGTACGAAATGGTTATTGTTGTTATAATAGTCAATAATGAATCTCTTAACACCATTAATGACTCTGTCTGAACGGAAAACTCTTAAGAACAAAAGAGTCTAGAAGGGTTCTAACTTACGATAATTGCTTGGAAGCTCTGACTCAGGTTTTTCTAAATCATACCACTTCTTCCAAATTTGCTAATATTTTAAATTTTAGTTGAAATATAAAATTTAATAAAGATAAAAAAATTTACTTCATTTTATTCCAAATCATTGATCAAGTTTGCATATTCTTTATCAATAGTAATTAACTTTTGCATGTCCTTCCAACCTTGATCTGGTATCCATTTATATGGTTTTGGTCTAGTAACTTATTCAAGAGAAGTGTTACCCTTTAAGAAGAAGTTAAGCTCTTCACGGTTAAGTAAATTTCTTTCTTCTTTGATCATAAGTGTCATTTACAATGCAAAAATAAGAATATGACGACCGAAAATACCAAGACAGGTATAGTCGTAAACATTTAATGTTAAACGATCCATGATATTACGAAGTCTGTTTTCAAGGATATTATCTTTACGTGCATCACGAAGGGATTAGTTGAAAACTTATAGATATGAAGCCAGTGAGTATTCATACATTTCAGAGATAGCAGAAAGAGAGCTCATTGCAAAGAAAAGAATTGCACCTCTCATAGCAGCTGGTTCATACTATTTACAAGCTGTTTCGATTTCTATCTTTGTTTGCTCACCAATCTTAATTGCTTCTGCAATTTCAATAGATTTAGTTTTTGTCTGTTCAAGAGTTTGAATGAGTTCATCATCATCTAACAAAGAACCTTTAGCTTCAGATAAACGTTGAAGCAATTCATCTTCTGCTTCTTTCAATTTCTTTTTATTTTCACTCATGGATTAAACAAGCTCTAATCTTTACTTTTCTTTATCGGGACGTTCAAATCCTACAACGACATTCAAAAGTTAATCACGAAGACCGTCACGAGTAACTGTATAGTTGATGACCATTGTCTTACCCATAATTTCAGGAGTATATTTGGGATTAGCTAACTTAGTAGTAAAGTATAATCTGAATTCCTCATTGTAATCGAATTCGTTTTCACCAAGTTTAATAAGCTTTAAACCAGCTTTAATAATAAAGTTTCTTTCTAGAATGGGGTCAATAGTAGGATCCAATTCTTCATCAACATTTTCGAAAAGACAAGGTTTACCAAAACGAATACAATTTTCTAAGGGTTTCAAGAAAACATTTGCACCATCATTTAAGTTCAAAACCTAATAAAGAAATAAATAGAAATTAACTAATTTTTTTTTGATATAAAAATTACTCTGAAACCAGTGTCCTTTTCTTCTCTTCTCTTAATCCAAGTTACAGCCTATAACTAAGGATCTATACACAAAGGCCATCTTGAAGCTCTTGTTGTTAAAATACCATTCTAAATAGAAAGTTCATCACCAGGTAAACTTTCACTTGCCCATTGAGATTTTTCTACCTCACTTGTTAAGAGATCTTCTAAGATGAATTCGTCTGAACAAGGAATTTATTTCTCTCCAACATCTTTTCTCCAATGTTCAAATACCATTTTTTGACGGAAAGTATAATCGAATGGACCTGCATAAGAGAGGAAACTTGAACAAGATAAACAGTCTCCAATAAGCTTAACAACCTTAATTTTTAAATCTTCTTTATCTTATGTCCATCTTTCCTTTTCTCTTCCTAAACCATTAATAAGTTTTTCAGCAGCATCTTTTCTTCTTCTCATAATATTTGCTTCCTGAGTTAAATCATCTAAAATCACCTTTAATAAATTAAAAATTATAATTCGCTTATTTATCTGTTTATTGAAATTTATTATAAATTACTTGTTTCTTTTCTCTGTTTGATTCTAAATCAGTCAATTAAGCATCTAATTCACTCAAAAGTTATTCTGTCTTTTGTAAATCTTCTTAAAGTTATACTTGCTTGATTGTCATTTCTTCGACTCTCTTTTTGAGAGGATTAACTTTTTTGTGGACTTCATACAAGTTTACTGTACTTCTGACCCAACCATACAAACCTGCTGCAGCAGAAGAAATACTTGCGATTTCAGCAAATCTGTTTTAAGGATCTGAAGTAATCTTATTGATCTTACTGATGTGTTAATCTTTCACTTTATGGATTTGCTTATCATACCCTTAAAGATTTGATATAAGTCTACCAGGATCGTTCATCATAATTTTAGCACCAGGCCATCCATCAGCTTCGTTTTCATTTCCATTAGGACGCAAAATTTACAAACATTATGCAACAGCCTTGACTGGAGCAGGAGGATTAGCTAAGGCTTTCATATTAACTAATTCTTCTTTCTTTATTTTATTTAAACTTGCTTGAGCTTCTTCTAAGATAGGAATAGCTTCTTACAAAATTCTATCAGCTTCTTTCTTACTTTCATTAATCTAAACAGTTTCGATATCTAATTCTTTCTTTTTTTCAGTTGCAACATTTTAAGCCTTTTCTGCAATTTCTTTCTTTTCTTTAATAATGTCAAGCAATTGTTTAACTTCATTAAACTCATGAGTGACCTCAACTTCTTTCTTTTGGAGTTCTACTTATAATTTTTTAACTTGTTAAGCAGCTTATTCAAGCTTATCAAGACCAACCTCATAACGCTTTATCATATCATTGAATTTTTTACGATTGTTGGCAAGCATTTTTTTGTAGTTACTCAAGAAATCAAGATAGTTTTTAGGGGTAGAGAAATTCTTACGTTTAAGCTATAATTCAAAATCAACTGAATATTTTTGAACACTTGTGTGTACTAAGACGATGTGGTTAGTAATATTTTCTTTGAATTGGCCAATGTCCTCAACTTCTTCGAGGTAATTTACAGCGACAGCATGAAGAGCCTCATCTGGCCAAGGGAAGAACCAATTTATACTTGTGTTTGAAACTAAACCTGGGAAATTTCTGCAACGGATTCTCAAAGTATCACCTGCAGGTGACATACACATAATAATATGCAAGTTATCTCTTACTTTTTCTAAGAAGTAATTCCATAAATCATCCTTGCTTTCATTGACACCTTTCTTTTTAGCTTCTTCTCTAACTAAATCACCCATTTACTTTTTGCCTTCATCATCGAACAAAGCGGGTACCATACCAATTGAAAGCATATTATTTAGTAATTCCAAGAAACCTATAATTTTAATTTATTATAAATATATAATTTACAAATATGAAAATACCTTCTTCAATAACATGAGAATCTGTAAATAGGAAAGTGCAAGGTCCATGACAAAGAATTTCATAAAGCTTTTTAAGATCATCTCTAAATTCTCTTTCACGGTAACCACGAGTAAGAGTGATAGTAAATATTTAATAACCAGCAGTGAATGAAGCCAACTTTGTTAGTGATTACTTACCTGAACCACCATAACCAACTAATAAAGCATGTCCACGAGGGATTTTGACTATACGATGTATTTTTGTAATGTGGAAAAGGGCATCATTAAAGAGAACCAAGTTCATTTCTTTGTTTCCTTCAGTTTCGTTATAGTCTAATAACATACTTTCTAATTTAGTTTTAACTCTTTCATAATCTCCTAGTTCTTCATATAATTAAGGATCAACAGCTTCAGGATCAGCAGGAGCAGCTAATAAGTAATCACCAATTAAGAGTGGTTCACTTAGAATTTATTCTTATGATTCTGCAAAGTTTTCACTAACTATTTGTTAGAATAGTCTAGAAACTAAATTTCTATCATCTTCAGTTAAAAGACGATCTTAGAAGACACGCATGGATTCATTTCTCCATAAACGGAGGAATGCTTCTTTTACGCTAAATTTATCTATAGTAGAGCGACATAGACCTTCATAAACACGAGACAAATCACGAAGATTGAAAATATAATGGAATTTCACAGGAGTACGAGGAAGTTAATCAACAATAGATCTATAAAGGAAAAGAGTTCCAGAAGTTATTTTTTTAACCAAGGCTTTGATTTCTTCTGGGAAGGATTCAACATGAGCTTTTAGGATACTTGAGTAAATGACTTCCAGGGTTTCAGTTGAAGGGAAGATAAGAGTGAAAGTTGAATAAAGGGATAAGAAACGAGGGTCAACAGAATTAGTACCACCACCAGGAGGGAGCATGGCAGAAACAAATAGAATATCTTTAATAATTTTTTAATCGAGATTTCCTTCACGCTCGTAAATATAGCCTTTTTCAACAAGGAATTTCAGGAGAGCGATAGGTTGCTAAGTACCATAAATATCGATTGTTGGCATGTGCAAATCATCAATAAATACAACCAATTATTTACCAGGGTTCTTTGGACCAAAAATACGACCTGTACGTTTATCGATGTTATCATCTATGTTACGTTAGAGATCCTAACTAGTAGTACGAGATGAGAAATTTATATTCAATTTCATATAAGAGTCTGTACTCAAAGAGTTGTTCAAAAAGTTTTAAATGATAACAGTCTTAGCAGTACCTGATTCACCAACGAATAAGCAAGGCTTTTTACTGTTAATATGTTATCCAAGGATGAAAGAAAAACGCTAAGTATCAACTGTAGGTACTAAAATCTTTGAGAATTTACCATCAATAGGAGGTTGATATCCTTAAACAAGCTTTTCCCATGTAATAAAGTTCTTAGATTTTTCATAGTCAAAGTAGTTATCGTAAAGAGATGTAGCAGGAAGAGCACGACCACTAATGCCACGAAGGAAATCTTCGAAACGCTTTCTTCCTTCTACTTTTAAGCATGCACCTAGGGACCATACTATTGAGAAAATGTACATAAGTTCAATAATATCTACTTCTTGTTAAGGTTCATCTTCATTAAGCATAGAATCCATAATACGAGTCATTTGCTCAACTAAGTTGAGGTTTGTACGAGGAATTAAGAAGGGAATGGGAGTAGTAACTTCATCGTTTTCTATACCTTCAAATATGAGATTAATCAAGGGAGGAATATATTTCTAGAAGAAATCTACTAATGCTTCATGCAAAGCCTCAAATTTACTCCATTTATTGAGCCATTTGTCATAGTAAGGAGCATATCCTAAATCTTTTGGATCTACATAGACCATACCGCAACGAGAAATAGTAGCAGGAGAAGCATACTGTAGATCGTAGACTTCAAAAAGAAGCTTGCAATAACGCTCTAAACGAATACGATCACCATTAATAAGTGTTAGCAATTTGTTGTCATCCATGACTGAGTTCATATTTTCTACCCAAACAGCATCAACATCACCATCAAAAAGAATCCAGCGCATCTCATTTCCTGGTCCAGCGTTAGCAATACGGAAAATCTTTGAAAGCAAACCATCTTTCCATTCTCTTGTTTGCATATCCATAGTTCCGTAAAGCTCATTTACAGTGATAGCCTTTGGATTCATGCAGTAAATAGTAACACTTTCAACCTTTTTTAATATTTCTATGATAGTAGATTTACCTGATCCAGTTGGACCTACAACCATAGTTGTATGACGTGTTAACATTGTTTCAAAAAGCTAAACTACCTTATCAATCTGCTTAGGTAATTCTTTTTATAATCCAAGACTTTCCATAACTTCAATGATTTTATCTTTCTTTTCATAAGGTTTTCTCTTAATATCCATATTAGGGAAAAGATCTGAAATCAAACCCATGAAAAGTGGAACATCTTCGAAAATAAATTTAGGCATATTCATATCTCTTAAAGCTCTCATCAAAGTGAGTTCTTCAGCCATGTCTTAAGCTTCTCTCTTCAGAGCACCTGCCATGACCAAGACTGATTTTAGAGCTCTTAGACCAAAATCATAATGGTACTATTTTGAAAGTTGTTCTTTTGCAAGCTTATATAAGACATTCATTTTTTTAGCTAAAATTCTATTAAAAAAGTAAAGTTTAATAATCCTTAACATAAAATATCAAAATTAATTACCTAGCTTCATTAAAACCTTCAGACATAAGCATAATTTCACAAATAATATTGGTATCGGGAACAACCATTGTTACTGGTCTGAAAAGTGCCTTAAGGTTATCTGGAAGTTCGGTACGACCTGCATAACCAGGATTCATTGTAACGAAAATACCAATAGTAGTTTTAAGATTGAGTTCTTTTTTCATGAGTTCAAGAGTGCTCTTACCTTAAACCAAAGCAGTTTAGATAGTTTTAATTTAGACTGCAACAACTGAAAGCACATCAGCATTGATTCTATTGAATTCATCGAAGCAACCCCAGAAACCTGTTTGACAAAGACCTGAAAAGATGAAACCCATAGCCTTGTAATCCAAACCATCACCACAGTTAGTAACACAACATCTGATGGCCAGAGACTTTGCAAGATCTTTTACAGTTTCAGTTTTACCTGTACCTGCTGGACCAGCAGGAGCACCACCCATCTTAAATGAAAGAGCAGTAGTTAAAGTCATAACACATCTATCTGTAAGAGGAGTGATAACCAAACGTCCATTCAAACCCTAATATTCATAACCATAAGTAAACTGACCAGTGCATTAACGAATTCTAATATCATTTTCATTTTGTATCCAATAGAATCTTAATTAAGACTCCCATTCAAATTCTCTAGCATCCAAAATGGAATCTCTGACGAAATTTGAAACGATATCTCTAGCATGGACATCAACAATAATAAGGGTGTTAACTTTTTTTCTATCTTGATCATTCAAGTCAGTTCTAACTAAATCAATTAAATCATTCAAGTCTTTTGTTTGTTTTGAATTTTCTTATTTCATAGCATGCTTTAATTAAAATTATTTAAAAGTTAAAATCACAAGTCTAAGAATAAATAAATAAAATGTATACCTTGTTGCCTTCTCTTACTTTACGGAAAACATCTTCTACACGCCATGTCCACCAAATTTAAGCACCTACAATAGCTATCATTCCCAAGTTTTCAAGTACCCATTGAATACGCTCTTTTTGAGCATAAGTAAATACTCCTTCTTTAGTCTTTTTATGGAGAGTAGATTGCATTTCTTCATCAACACGCTTCATCCAAATTTCTACTGCTCCTTCAGGTTTTTAAGGTTCAAACAAGTCAAACTTTTCTTGTTCTTCAGATTCCAAACCAGTAATTAATTTACCACTCTTACCAAACTTCAATTCTTTACAATTATCAAAAAGTTTAAGCATATGTGGTTAAACACCAGCAGGCTCAGAGTTACCAAGGATAGAAAGAAGATCATCATCTGACAATAAGTAAAAACGAGGGAAGATACCTCTTTTTGTATCTAAATAATCTGATAATGACTTTTGACGCTTATCAAGCTCGTCAGAAAGAGTTTTAAGTTCCATAAGACGATTTTCATTTGTAACACAACAAGTGTAAATATTTGGATTTTTATAAGTTTATTCCATAATTTTGATGAATGTTTTGTCGTTTTTATCAAATTTTTTAGCTTCTTCACGAAGTTATTGACGGATATCTTCAGAACCAATAAAAATACTTTCAAGATATTACCATTTCTTTTGCACAATAAGCCAAACATCAATAATTTCACTAATTCTGTTTAATGCTTGCTCCCAATGACGAATTTATTTAACAAAAGCAGCTACATAACGAGATGAAGCAACAGTTTAGAGATTTGCTTGTTGATCTTCTAAAATTAGCTTAATCTAATCAGTATTCTTTAACATGTAGCAACGGCCTTTCTTTTGCATAGCAAGTTCGAATGATTCTGTCTTCCAAGCTTGCTCAATCTTCATAATTTCTTCTTCATTTTTATGTTCTTGATTTGCTTCGTTGACGATTTCGCTAACTTTTTCTGGGAAATTTTATAGATTTAAGGCAAATACTTGTTCAAGAGTAAGAGTTTTAATGTTAGTTTCAATTTTTGTTCCAGTTTCTTTCATCAATTTATTCCAATGTCTATCAGTAATAGCACCACTCTTAAGCTACTGAATAAGTGGAATAGAATTTTTGAAATCTGTAATTTTTTGAGACAACTTTTAGAAAACACAGTTGTCTTCATATTATCTATTTAATTTCTTTCTCTTTTTTTCATATTCTTCAGAGCCTTATCTGAGCATTTCTGCATCTAATTTGGCCCAAAGCATTGTAGACCATTCTTTAATGTTTGATCTCAATTCTCTGTAGGTCTCATATAAAATATTTAACTTTTTATTTTCTTCTTCAATCATAACTAGTTCTTTGAAAGTAGATATAGGTAAGTTGAAAAGTTTTTCAGCAAGAACGAGTTCATCTTTTCTCTTGTTGAATTCAATAACCTTTTCTTTGTATTTTTGAAGACTCTCCAAGCCATCATCTAAGTTAGTTTCTTAAGCTCCAGGACCAGAGGACTTGTACTCTTAAAATAGTTCCTTTAAGGTTTCTTTAAACTGAGCAACATCATCCTTTGTAACGTTAGCAAAAGTTTCTTTTGTTTCTTTTAATTTTTTATCTTTTTTCTTAGCTTCTTTAACTAAATCATCCCACTATTTGAATTTAAAAATATTTTAATATTCTCTATAATATTACTTTTTTATTAATATACCTTCTTGCCAAGAGTAAAAGCTTCTTCCATTAATTCAGGATCGACATTTTATTCATATTGCTTTAAGGTTCTGAACTTTTCAGTCACATCTGAAATCTTAAATTCCATAATCATAGATTGGTTTAAGATTTCTGTAATTTCATTAAGCATTCTTTTTAATTCTTCAATATGACTAGGTTCGCTATCAAGCTTCTTATGATATTCTTCAATTTCTAAGTTTAAAAAAAATGTATATTTTAAATAAATAATAATATCTTCATTTTTATTTATACCTTTCTTTATTTCTTGAAGTTCTCTTTCACCAATGACTCTCATTACATTACCATGTTTATCAAGCCATTCCTTAGCTTAGTTCTTAAACGAATTGATTACATTTCCAAAATGCACACTAATGAAAAGAGCATTTCTTTCTTTGAGCATTTCGTCGAATTCTAAAACTAAATTTTTGTAAAGCATCATCTTTCTTTCAAGCTAAACAGTAGATGGTTTTTTCTCAACTAATTTTTCAATATTTAGTTTGGCTTTATGATCCCAAAGGGATTTTCTTTTATCTTCTTCCCACATTTCTTTAAATGAAGTAGCTTTGTTGAAAGCCTTCTTTTGTATGTCTGCAATTTAGAAACAAACTTAAGTAATAACGTGATTCTCATTTACTTAATCGAGGAAAGTGTATCTTTAAACTTTTTCATCATTATTGCCAATCAAAGGCTCACAAAAGATTCTTCTTCCATCTTTCCATCTCCAGAATTAACTAGCAGTTGAGAGAATGTTAGTTTTAATTTTATTTAAATAGCTTTCTACTTCAGGAGTTGGAGGATTAGTACTAGGAGTAGGGTGATCGTACTCTTAGGTAATTTAGAATAGAGGTAGAGATTTTGTTCCTGGTTATTGCATAAGGTTTTTTAAGGAAAGTAAAGCCCTTAAAATCATCTTAATGAGGGCATTGTAAACTCTACGTTCCCAGTAGTAATAATATTCTTTCATTTTTTATGAGCTATATCCTTGTAAGACATTTTAAGTTCCAATAATTGTTTCTTCAATATTCTTTAAAAATTAGTCTCCAATCATATTATACTTTTCAACACATTCACTAACAACTTTATTCATGTTTTCATCAAAATAAGTCATAAATTCATTAGCAGTTGGAATATTGATAGTATTAGAGTTAGGATCTTTTCTGCTTTCAAAGTCATAGTCTTTGAAAATTTTAGCTTCTTCGATATTTCTAACGAATTCTTCAATGTGGCTAGCACTTTTTTCTACTTTCTTTTTAGTTTCTTTGAATTCATTGATAGCTTTAGTACACTTATCAATAAAATCTGGAATACCAAGTGAAGAAAGATTCAAACTTTCAATACCTGGATCTAATTCCCTTTTTTTTAAATATAAATATTAATATAAACAATAAAAATTTATCAAAAAAATTTTTACTTATTAAGCTTTTAAATGGGCTGATCGAGCAATATTTTTTCAATTTCAGAAAGTGAGTCTACAACATCATAATATTCATTAAGCATGCTGTGTAATTTATCGATATAAATATAATATTCTTTTTCTTAGAGAGATATATTAATAATTGTTTTAGAGATTGGGTATCCCATTTTTTCTAAATGTTTGGCTTCTTTAATGAGAACTCTAAATTCTTGAGAAAAGTTGACCTCAAATCTTTCATTTTTTACTAGAATTTTTTATTTCAGGAAACCCATAGCTTTTTCTCTTATTTTTTCATTCCACTCTTTGAAGTTTGCCAATTAATATTCGTCTATTGCCTTGGCTAATTTCAAGTAATCTTTTTTTACATTATCATAGCTGTCTTTGTCTAATTCTCCTTCTTTCTTCTTGAATTTCATAATAGGTCTCTAAACTCTATAGTAAATTGACAAAGCCCAAGCAATAGAACCTGCTACAGGTGGTTTATTCTTACTAATAACTAAGAATCCTTTACTATTTTTAAGCAAAGCTTTACCATTTTCAAAGAGTTATCTGTTTTGATCTACTTCTCTTTCGTATCTATACAAAACTTCTGAGTATTTCTTTTGTAATTACTCTTGGATTTCTATAATTTAGATAAAGAAATATTTTATTAAATATGAATTTAAATTAAATGGGTTTAAAATTTACCTTTAATTGTATGAACGTCCTTAAATTTAAGGAGTAAATCGAAAGCACCTTCTGCAGATCTAAGATCACGGAAAGTTTCATTAATTAATTTAATAGTTTTTTCACTAATCTAGCCTTTATCAGCTTTAAACTTTGCAGAGAGCTGATTCCATTAGTGAGATTGTTATTTTTGGAATAAATTGACTTTAGGGTTTTGATAGGGAATAACTAGCTTTTTAACTTCTGTAACAAGGTTATCAATACCTTCAGAATTACCTGTGACAGCCTTTAGATTGGGACCTAAGAATACTAAGAAGCTCTTTATAATATCAGTGTTTGCTTCAAGCTCAGTTAAAACACCAACCATGTGTTCGATACGGTTATTTAAAGCAGGAACAGTGAAATCCCATCTATCAAGACCTTCTTCTTCAATTTTTTGTTTAGTTTTTTTGTAAAGTGTCTTCCAAGTTGTTAGGATACGTCTACCTTAAGCAATTAATTCAATTGATTGCTGCAATTAAGTTTCATAAGAAGAAAATTCATCAGATAACTTGAAGAGTTCAGTAATTTTAATTTCACTCTCTACCTTATCTGCAATTTCATCTGAAATTAAAGAAAGTAAATTCTACATTTTATCTTCTGATTGATAATGTCTTGAGATAATCCAAATAGTTCTAAGACCAGTCATTAAGGAAGGTAGAGTTTCCTCTACACCAACAAGCCCTTCAGATGCCAAAATCTTAAATTATCTTTCAAGAGTATTTAAGAATTTAACGTTATCTTTGGCTTCATTGTATAATTGAGTCAAATCTTTCATTTGAGCTTCAAAATCCATAACAATAGTAGTGTTACCACTGTCAGACTAGAAATCGCGGTATCTTATTAAAAAAAAATATTATTAAAAATTTTGTATAAAGCATTATTTTAAGTTACAAAAATCTCATAATTTATGTTTTAAATTATATTAATTAAATTATTTTTATAGATGCTCTAAGATTTAAAAATTGGTAGATATTTTTTTAAATGAATACCTTTATTTTACTATTTGAACTTTAGGATCATTCAATTTTTGGTGCAAAGTTGAAAGGATAGCACTCTTAGATCTTTAAAGTTCAATTTCTGCTAAGGCGTGAGAGTTTTCAGGCTTTTATTCCTTAACTTTCTTAATAGTATCTTTAATTGTTTAAGACCATTATTCCTAATTTAATATAAAAATAAGTTTCATGAGATCAAACCAACATTATTCAAAAAAAAATTATATGATTCTTTTAATAAAAACTTCACAAATTTTAAATAATTACCAATAAAGTTTCATATTTGAGCATAAGGTCAACATTTTTAATTGCTTCTGAATCGCTAATATCATCTTTATGAGAAGGGAGTTCAATATCTATTGTCCCTGATACTTACTATGCTGAATGATTGATTTATGATGTAAATTTTACTAAGGTTGACTTGAGATCGTTTGATTTAGTCTCAAGAGGAATAAAAACACTTCTAATCACTGCTGAAAGTGAGTTTAGAACTTTTTAGTTTTAATATTTTGATTTATCTTTCTCCATTTTGAATGTTGCTAATAAAATTATGATTTAATTTTAGTGATAGCTATTTCAAAGAGGATTATTAGAGTAAACAAAAAATGGTGATTTTTAGTTAATGCCTCTATAAATTCTATAATAATAAAATATAAAATTGTTTTCTTTTTATAATCTGCAATTTTATATCAAAAACCCTTTGATATTCTTCTTTTTATTCTTATATTTTATTTATAGAGTCTAAAACTCAATATTCTTTTAAAATACAATTAATTATAAATCAATATATTTTTCAATTTTCTATATTCACAGTTCAAATCAAATTAATTATTTATTTATTTATGCACAAATCAATATTTACTTCAATTTTATTTCAAATTTTTTTTGAAACAGATATTCCCTGCACTCTCTCAAAGCTTGCAGTATTTGATTTATAAAACATATGCAATTTTATTTTAAATATTTAAGAATATATATTTATTTGATAATTTATATACATTTTCACCTAACTTAGAAAGTATTTTTTATCTTTATTGCTTATAAAAATATAAATACAAGTCATAATGAAGTTTAATGAATAAAAATAATTCAAATTATTTTTTTATAAATCTAATTCTTATTATGACCTTGAATATATTCAAAAATAAAAACAATTTAAAATATTTTTTTTCTATTTTAGTTTTCTTTTAATTCTTAAGAAAGTTTGAATGTTTTAATTTTAGAAATTATATTTCAAAATATTAATATTGTAATAAAAATTTTATTTACATATTAAATAAATTTATTTTGTAAAATTAAAAAAAATCAAAAATATTTTACTCAAATTTTAAATGGTTAGCATTTTAACTTTAATTAATTTAAATTTTAATAAAAAAAAAGATATGTGAGTTATTGGCAAATAAAATCTTATCAAAAATAGGCTCATAATATAAGAAGTTAATTTCTTATGCGTGTCTTGGTATCATAAAATTAAAGCTTATCCGATAAAATTTTTGAGGTGCCAATCAAAGAAATTTTTTTGGTATTTTGATAATAGGAAGAATTTTTTTTGAAGACGAGAATATTTTTAGTATAATTTGATATAATTTTTTATCTAAATCCTAAAGTTTTTGAATAAAAAGAAAGTTAACAATTAAGTTAAATAGAGTAAAATATGGAGGACAAAAGTAGCCATTAAGCAAATGACAACGGAGAAGCTAAAAATAGCATCGATGAACATTCAAACTAAATAATTGAACAACTAAAAAGTAATAAAGTTGAGCTTCAATAAACCGCTGTTAGAGTTAGATAAAAAACCTGCACATTCAATGAAGTGAAAAAAGATGAAGTTAATCTAAAATTATTATGAATGTTTAATTATTAACTTAAATACTTCTTTAAAATAAATTTGAGAAGCTAGTCATGTTTTTAGCATTCTTATTTTATATTTAATAAAATAGCTTCCTTCTTTTGCACCTGGTTGGAAAGTATAAAGAAGAATGACATTGCATTAAATGAAAAATAGAGTATTTTAAATTATAAAAATGATGTTTTGAATTTTCATAAAATAAATAAAAACAAAAGGATTAATAAGATCCATCACTACAAAAATACAAGAAAGATCTAATTGGTGAAGTTGATGATGAAGAAGTAGCCTAATAGAAGAGTATAATAATTGATAAAAATATTATTTTATTAATGGTATTGTATAAATAGCTACTGAGGTTGAAATAATTAAAATAGAGATTGTTTGCAAAGATAGACCAGAAGGAAATATTATTCTTGATTTTACTGTAAACTAATTATTTATATCAACTTATAATTTAAAATATCAATACTTAATTTATAATTTTATTAAAAAAAAGAATTAGAATGTAAATGAAAAAGAAACATTCATTATTAAAGAAGGGTCTGTTTATTTCATGAGAGTTTATTTCAGAGTAAGATATGATATTGTGTTTGGCCTTAAGTTTGTGAATAATGTATATAGACACTTCATGAAAGGTAAGTTAATATTTGTAAACATAATTATTTTATCAAAAATTGATGTTTATTATAGTTGATAAATACGAAGAAAAGATGGGTTGTTTTCCTCCTAAAAAAGAAATTTAGTAAATTGATTTAGATCCTGAAGAGGCTCCTTCTGGATTTTTAGGTAGAGGTTCATATAAGGGGAAAATTATGGTAATTTTTTTAATTAAAATTATGAACTTTAAAATATCATTTATTCAAATATTATTTATCCTTAGTTTGTTGATAATGATGGTATTGTTCACATGCAATTCGAATACTTGCTTAAAATTTGCAAGAAGTGGACTGATTGATATATTTATTATTATTTATGGAATGTTCTACATATTAAAAAAATATATGTTTTTTAATTCAATAAATCTTCAATTTTATTAAGTTATTTAAGTTTGTTACTTTTGAAATTTTTTATTGTGTTTTATATGATTTTAGTGCTATTTAATTCTTTATCTTATGCTTTGATAATTTGAATACAATTCATATGTCTTCTTTGAAACTTATTGCTTATTTTCTGATGAGCAATATTTGTCTGAGCTCCTTTATTTCATTTTGTTGAAAAAACTTTATCTTAATTAAATATTAGTTGCAATTTAATTAAAAAACAAATTAATTATATTATTTTAAATGAATAATTTATATGAGATAGTTTTCAAAATTTATTGAAAATCTTGAAAAAGAGCAGTATAAAAAGTAAATTTTATTAAACTTTAGCAAATTTTTACTTATTTTGTTTTTAGAAAATATGCTGTGAGTGAAGTAAGGCTTGTTGGTTTACCAGATGACCATTATCCAAATACTATTAAGACAGTTATTTATGTCTTAGGAATAATAGCATTAGCACTTGGTTTATAAATTGTTGCTTTTGTTTTGCTATAAAAACTTTATAATGAACAAATAGATAGTTATTATAAAATTTGGTTGTTTGTTCTTTTTATAGGAATAGGGATATTTATAATTATGCATTATTTCGCTGTGAAAACTGAACTCAAAGATGAATAAATTACTTATAGAGATCATATTTTGTAGTAAAGATAGATTTTTATAAAAAATGCGATATTTTATTAAAAACAAGAGAAGCTATTTAGTAAAAAACCAGATTCTGCTCAAGAAATAAAATAAAAAAAGAATACATTCGATGATTTTTTGAGAGCAAAAAAACAAGAAATAGAATTAAATAAGTAAGGTCAATAAGTAAATCATTCAAAAAAAAAGAAAAAGAAGAAGCTTAAAGTGAAAAAAGATAAGGAATTAACAGAATAAATAGAAACAATTTAGTGAAATATTAGATGCAGTTTTATTAACCTTTTACAATATATTTACTTTTAACTTATAAATAAGCATATTTACAAAGTAGAAATGTGTATAAATTTTAATATAAGGCTTAATAAACGCTTTTTTAATATATTATATATACCATTAAAATGTTTAATCTGACTAATTTTGTGCTCTCCGACTTATTAGTCATAAATGCAGCAGCTTATTCAGCTTAGAATATTTAATTAATTTTTTTGAAATTATTTGATATTTTCATAGAATTTATGAAATTATTTTATTATTCTAAAAGTATTACAATTTTAATTAGTTAATTAATTATCATTTTCATGTTAAGAATAGGTTAGAGTAGTTTTTTAAGTATATGTATTTTTGTTTGTATGAAGGTTGGTAGGTTGTTCTTATATTTTTATTTTAATAGTTTAAACACTCAATTAATGCTGATTTTCAATTTAATTAATTATTTTCATCAAATATATTTTTGTTGTGATTAATTTACTCAATTACTTTATTGATTATTATATGAAAGATAAGAATTATCTATTGAATGGAAAAGATAGTTAGGGTTTCTATTTTATGATGATGAAGAACGTGAGTTTGGTCTAGAGTTGCTTTAAAGATTGTCATGCTCAAAAAATATGAGGATAAATGTAATATCATCGACAACACTGTCGTCATCAACTGTCCATCTTGCATGACTTTCTTTCAATAAATGATCACATGCTCCTTCTAAATCATTATTATCATAATATGGTGAAATCATGCTAATTATTTCTTCATTTTCAATAAATTCCCAAACTCCATCACTAGCTACTATCATAAACTTATCATCTTTATCTATATCAAATTCAAAAATTTCTGGTTCCCAAGTCACACCAACAGATGTTGCTAAATTATCACCTATACTTCTAGACATAGCAAGCCCAGGAATATTTTCTGTTTTTAGCCACACTCTCAAAGGACCTAAATGATTACCTTCTTAATCTCTAAAAGTATCAATGCGTCCTCCACATTATATAATTCTCTCTGCTTCGGTTTAAATATTTGGTTTATGATCACGTGTTAGCGCACGAGGAACATATTTAGCCACTGGTCCACGTTAATCTAGACGACCTATTGTTGCTCTAGAATCTCCCACATTAGCACTATATAATTTTGTCCCTTAGAGTAAAACTGATACCAATGTAGTACCTGAAAACATACAATCAATATCAGTTAAAGAAAGTTTATGATTAGCAAAACCAATAGCATTATAAAGAGCAGCCTTAGGATTATTTGAAAGTAATTACCAATCATTTTAGAGTAGTACTGGAAGTTGTTATTTAATAAATTAAGAAACATGATGTCCATAAGTTCCATGACCATCACAAACAGCATAGAAATGTTGGTTATTTTTATTCATTAAGTTCTATTAAATTATGTATGAATCCTAATTAGTTTTATTTGGGTTTGAAGCAAGCACTCCTTGTTTTGTGCGATAAGATATGTTAAGCTTAAATGTTGGTTTAACATATTCCAACATAGAATTATCAATTGTTGATATATTGAGAGAGCGACGCATGGTGTTTTCATTTCTTTCTTTCGCTTCTAAAATTTATTTATAATTATCTAAGCTTGAATGAGCTCCACTATGACTTTTAACATGCGAATTTTCATTAGAAGCCCCTCTTCCGTATTTTCCTTAAGAAGATTTTAATCTCCTTTAGTATGAAACGTTGCTATTTTTATTTTAATTTTCAAAAGAATTTCTCTTTTAATTTAATATATTTAATTATGTATTTTATATATTTTAATTAGGACGCGAGTTCTCTTTAGAGTTAGTATTAGCAGAAAGAGATCCATCTTTATTTACATGTTCAATGGAGTTTTCTTATAAATATTCTTGCATATTTCTAGGAGCTTAATTTAATTATTGCATTTGTTATTACTAAGCTTACATTTTTTAAATATTGTATCCAATACCGTTAAGTTGCGGTTATTGTTTAGCTAACTTTTGTTAATTCTGATATTCTTGATTTTCGACTTTATTTAATTATTTTTTTTATCCTTGCTCCATTTATTGCTGTTAATTTTTTATTAGCTGCTGAATGAAAGCTTTGCTTGATGCATTCTTTGAAGTAGAATTATTTTTCGCTTAACTGCTAAGACTATTTGTGTTCGTGCTAGGAGTAGCTATTTATATCCTTGTGTTTAATATATTATTTCCATTTTCTGTTGTATTTTTGGAGTTTCCCATATTAAGATAGTTAGTAAAAGTGTAATTGTGCTTTGAATTTTATCTATTCTTCATGAGTATCTACTTTTAATTCATATTTAGGCCAGCACGCTAGCCATTTCTCGAGTTTAATCCACTTTATCCATGAGGAATTTATATTTATATATTATTGAGGTTATTTATTTATATTCCGTTGCTTTTTGGTGAATTAGTTCTCTTTTATCTATTTTAACTGTTGTTATTCATTCCATTTACATTTAGTTTCCTTAATACATTGTTTTCTCTAGGAGTTAAGGAGCTCATTTTGTTAGGGGTAACACTGTTGGTAACATTATTAGGAATGGCTTACTACTACTCTTCTATTCCTATTAAGTAGATTAAAAACAAGAATAAATTTAAAATTATTAAAATAAGTTAGGCTAGTGAACTAGTAGTTAAATTCAAATTATAATACTTTATTAGTATAGAACCAATAACTAACTACTTTGTTAAATTTAATGAACTAGAAAATTAAATTAAGCATTTTAATAATTTTATTACCTCTAGTACCATTTCTACTCGGATTCAGTGAGTGAGATTTGGTATTTTGAGTATTTGACTAAATAATACCGTTAACAAATAAACTATGATTCTAATTATTTCCTAAAGGTGCAGGATGACTATTATCCATTGAACTTTAAGATTACCTCTATCCATACACACTTTTTAATCTTTCTTGCTTTTCATTATAATTGTTTGTACTGCTATAGCTCCTAATGTGTCCTGCTTACTTTCTAACATCTCTATCAACATTTATAGTATTATTTAAATAATTATTAAAAATAACATTCGTTCCACTATTTCCATCTTACTCATAGCTAATAGTATTGTTTTAATTTGGTATTTAATACTAAGGAGATTAATTTAAAGAACCATTTTGAGAGTTTCCCCCTCTATTTACTAAGCCATTATAACTTTTATTTACATTATTTGTAACTTGTCTTTTTTAGTTTACTCTTCTCTCTTTATATTAAAAAAATAATTATTAAGCATTTTTTAGCTTCTACAGTCAAAATAGTATTTATTTCGTTCATTAATTATCTAAGATGAATATATTACCTTAAGAATTAATTCCATAGTTAGCGCTCTATTTGTATCTGTTGCTTGATTAAGCATTACTCTATTGATTATTTTAATGACTATAGCTATTATTAAGATTTATACCAAAGTAATTGTTGGCGAATGATTGTTGGTTAAAGCTATTATTTTAATTTACAAAGTTATGATTTTACTAATTTTAATCATTATGGACATCAAGAGATCTACTAACATTATCTCTTATACCACTAATATACTAACGATATGGTTTCATTTATCTAGAAGTAAAAGTAATATTTATAATTTAAAGTAAATAATATCTCTTTCAATCTTGAAATTACTCAAATATTTATTAATATTAATTACGTTGTCTAATTTCTAATCTTTGTTATTATTTTACCAGATTAAGCAGATTGTATGTTTATTACTATTGATTAATCTTTAATCAATTAGTGCAAAATACACCAAACACAAAATACCCAATCAATCAATCAATCGTTGGTCATTTATTAATTTCGTTAACGAGAGAGATAGATCATACTTTTTCTTCAAATTTGTCAAATATTTACACAAATACATTGGTAAACTGAAATTTATCTTAATTATTTTCAATTATCAAATTAAATATTTACAGAAAACTAATTCGAAACCCATTTTGTAAAATTAATTCAACTTGGTATAACTCACACAAGTTGTTTTTTAATATAATACTGAATAAAAATAAACAATTAGTTAATATAGATCATTTAATTACATTTTTTTTTCATTGATAATTTAAGAAATTTAAATAATATTAATAAATTTTTTATCTACCAAAAGTCTCAAATAACTATATTTAGTTATTCCTTTTTATTTAAAATTTAATAATCAATTAAAGAGATCTTATTAGATAAAAATGACATCATTGACTAAGCCTTATAATTCTTCAAAAATATTATTGAATTTAAAAGTAAGTAAAGTAGAGTTTTAAAAAATATGAATGTAATGGGTTGAAGGATGAATGGTTATAAACTGATTATTACATATATTTATCTTAAAACATAGTGAAAAAATATTTCTTATGATTTAAAAATTTAAGAAAAATCATTTATAACTATATTTTAGTCTAATGCATATCTGAGAAGAAATCATAAATTTAATAATGCCTCTTGTAGTCCTAAGTCTCAAAACTCTTATATATATAATAATTATCTTTTAATACACTACTATTTTACAATTGATAATATAGCTTTACTAATATTCTTGAAGATAAGCATTTTATGATTAAAATAATAATTAACCAATATTAGGTTTATTAAAGGATAATATAGTAATTATAACGACATTTAGTAGATCTAAATAACAAAGTGTGCTTTAGTAATTTAAATAACTGATATAAAAAATGATTTTTAAAAATATGATGTTAATTATATGGTATAGCATTATTTAAAAATAACCCTAAAAGACATTCAATACCTCTAAAGAGCTTAAACCAAAAATTTGTTGAGAATATTTGCAGAAATATATTATATTTATGTATCTAGTTCTACTTCAAATTTGTCACAAAGAATTCCTTTTTATTTGAATTCAAATATAATTCGACAATCAGTAATATCAATTAATGATTCATGATTTTCTGTTTATGAATTAATATCGAAAACTAATTTATTTAAATTATTTGGTTTACAAAATACGATAAAAAGTTTTAATTTTTTTTATTGAACCCACCAAGCAAATAGCAATATTAAAGATAAGCAGAATTTTATTGACTAATTTATTTATAAATTAGACATAATCATTTAAATAACGGATTTAAAACATAAAATTTAACCTTTGTGATGCTACTAAAAGTTATTAGTTTTGCATTTGCTTTCATGTAAATTATTTTTTCAGTAAGTTAAGATAACCCGTAATTCAAAATAGTAATGTCGAAAAAAAGTATTAAACTAGAAGAAAAGTTGTCTAACCTTATTGACTAAAATATAATCTTTTTAATTAGTCACTTAGCTCAATTTTTATATTTTACCTCTTGATTATTTTGTATACTATCTTTGATCTTTTAAATTTATTTCTTTAAGATCTTGCTTTTATTAAAAATTTTTTTAAACTTATTTTAACTGTGATTTATCTTCAACATCAAATTAAGTATCTATTTGCGGATAATATTTTTGTTTTAAAATATTTAGTTTTAATTAAAATTTTTTATCTGATTTAAATCTTATAATTTTTTGATATATATTTGATAATTGTTTCTATTGCTTTTTTTTAGTTTGTTATTTTGCTATTTTAAAAATATTTGATAGGAGGAAATTTATTTTGAATATTTTATTGATGAATATATATATTGTAAGATATAATTATTTGATTAACTTGTTTAGATATTAAATTAAATCTATATAATTTATTTTTTTCGTTGATAATAAGAAAATCATAATTTAAATTTGAAAAAAAATAAGAAATGTGTGATTTGAAATTTTTAAAATCTTAATTATTAAAGTATTTATTTTATTTTTAAATATTATTTATTACAAATAAAAAATTAATTGTACTAAAGAAGAGTAAGACTAAGTTTTTTTTCTAATAAATTGATTAAATATATTTTTTTGCCATTTTGAATTTAAATTTGATTTATTTTAGCTGTTTATTAAATTATAATTAGATTTTATAACTAAATAAAAATGTAACTTCAATAAATATTTTTATCACGGTTCGTAATAAAAATTAAATAATAGATAATCTTAATGTAGTTTTAGATGATTTAAATAATCAAGTTATTTAGTTTTATTTATTTTTATTTTTAAATATTTGATTTATATTTTTTTCACTTTTGTAAGTAATTTTATTCAAAACTTATTTATTTCTTTTTAATTTTAAATTTTCTTTTTAAATTTTAAAAATTTCTTTCTTATTAATTTTCTTTTTTTTCAATCGCTCAAGTGCAGGACATCTTCTTCTTTTTCTTCTCAACTAATTTTTAGATTTTTTTAAACAATACTTTTTATATATTTTTTATACTAAGAGAGATCACATACATGTATTTGAGTATGATTTTTTTTAATTTTCTTAAAATATTTTTGACAATCTATGATACTTTTTTTTTGTTTTACGAAAAAGTTTAAACGCAAAAGCATGTGACAGAAAGAGATTCTTAATTTATTTGTTAAAAAATTATATTAAATAATATGAATCTCTTATTCTAGTTGTGGATTAAAAACTTAAAGATTAAAAACTTTCTGGATATCGAATGACACCTTTACTAGAGTTTAAAGATTATACATTTAATATTTTTGGGGTGAAGGATGATTATTTTTCCAAATGTTGTATTATTAAAAACTTCCTGGATAGAAAACCTTCTTTCTTTTTGCTTTTGTTATTTTTTTTTTATTAATTTTCTTTTAATTATTTCTTTTATATTTATTAATTTAAATTTCAAAAATAAGATACGAATTTTTCTGATTTTAGAAAAATTTCTTTGTGAATTTAATATTGAAAAAATCCAATTATCTCCCATATTATTTTTAATTTTCTTTAAAATTAATTTTGTTTTATTGTTTAGAAGTATTTGACTAAATCTAATAATTTAAAATAAATAAAAATATTGATTTTAATACATTACTATAAAAATAAATAAAATATAAATTACAAAACTTTCTTAATATGAAATAATAATTTTAAATTTAAAGCAAAAATATTTAGTTATAAAATAATAAAAATATTAATTTTAATCTATTGTTAAAATCTATTAATTATATGAAGTATAATATAAAATTTTCTGATTTTCGACTTTTCATTTCAGCTTTTGTTGAAAAATAAGATATTTTAAGATTTTAAAAATAGACAAATAAGCACTCCTACTAAAAAGTAAACGATCATCATTAAAGAATTGAGATTTCCTTTTTAATTTTCCAAACAGATATTAATTTAATTAAGAAAAATATTAATTAATTTATTTACTTTTAGTGTTTGTAGTTTAATCTTAAACTTCTTTTTATTTTTACTCATAAAATTATATTTCTTTTTCAATTTTTACCTGTTTTATTTTATCAATATATTTATAATTCTTTAAAATCTAATATATTACTTAAATTGCTTCTTATTCTTCTAATTTCTATTTTAAAATACTATACTTATACTCCATATCTGATGCTTATCTACCATAATATTCTCTTTTAGTTGGTAATTGAATTGGCTCAGTTTAAAGCTCAGTTTATCTTTTTTCTACAGCTTCCTAGCCTAGATCTTACTATAATTTGGTTATATTTTAATATTAAAGGCTTCCTCTAGCGCTTTCTAACTATATTTATTTATTAAAATCGAATTTATTTAAAAATGAGTAAACAAATATAATTTTACTTAATCATTCACTTCAGCAACTTCTTAAATTTGAGACATATCTAATTTATCTATTTAAGCTATGTGGATATCTAGTACTTTCTTTTGCAATTTATTTGCATTCTCACCTTTAAAATAATTATCTATAGAATTAGCATCAATAGGTTTCTATTTATAAAAGTACATAAAAAAATTTTTTTTTTTAAAGAACTGATAAATGGAATAAAATAACATCGCAAAATGTAAAATCAACTTATTTATCTTGGTCTTCAAGAATGTATGCCAAAATTTAAATTTTATGTTAACCAAAGTTCGATTTTAAAGCCTTTAGATATCAAAAGAGTAAATTATTCATCTTTTTACTAGTATTATTAGAATATATTTACGTTTATATGCATTTATACACTTAATTATATCTTTTCATTGGGATGTAAAATAGCAGTAGAAGGTTTAACTGAATAGAAAGCTGTATAATTGCACTTAACCTATTTATTATATTTTATTTATTAATATTGAAACTAAGTTTTGATATTAAAGATCTATCTAAATTACCTTAAAAGCAACTTCTGATGAGTGCTTATTTTTGATTTCTATTTTTCCTGAATATGATTTTCCATTCTAATCATTTGAAAGATCAACCCTTTTTTCTTTTATTTCTAACGCTGCAATTTTCTAAGATCTATTTTAAATTAATTTTTTTAGGAAAATTGAATAACTGACTACATTTATTTTAAGTTAATAGTTACAATTTATTATACAAACTCATTTTATCCTATTTTGTTGATTTTTACTATATAATTTTTTTGAGAAAAAAAGTAGATTCTGATAAAAATTTTTGCTCAAACTTTTTTCAATTAAAAAATCAATCAATCAATCAAGCAAAAAATAAATAAATATCTATTTTGCTTGATATCAATCATACATTAGGTAATATTAGTTTTCACAAGAAAATTTTGATAATAAAAGTAATAATATAATACAATTCTTTATTTAGAAAATCAAAGTTTTGTTAGTGGTAATTATTCCATATTTATTAGAAGATATATTTAGTATTAGTTCTAAACAAAAATATAAAATCTAGTCCAAAAATCCTTTAATTTTGCAATTGTAAATTATTAGCCAGATAGCGATTGATATTGTTAAAAAATAATTGAATTTTAAATGATATATATTTTTAAACAAATTTAAATTTTTATACTTTTTAGAAAGATTGGGCGGGAATTTAGCAGTAATTATAAAAAAATAAATTGTGTTATTAAAAATGTTAATTAAGTTTATCTGTTTTATCTGAATTATAAATATTTTCATATGATTTTAATTTATTTTTATTTATTTGTGTTTGTTTATTTATGATTTTTATTTTAATTATTTAATTATTTAATTTTTTATTAATTTATGTTTATTTATTTAATTTTTATTTATTTTTTTATTTTTGTTTTAAATTTTATTTCTTTTATTAATTAATTTATTTTTTCTTTTTTTTTCCTTTTCAGCTCAACAAGTATCGCTCAATGCTCCATGTCTAAAAAATTTGCTCAATCTAATCTATTTTAAACAATATTTAAAAAAATAAAAACTGGGTCGGATGGGTCGGGATTGGGTCAAAATATTCCAGCATTTTTATTTGTTTTTGGATTCCTGGTAAACGAATAAGCGTATTTATTACTTATTAATCATAAAATTATAGATTATCTCTATAACCAAGATTAAAAAACTAGATTAATAAGTACTTAAAAACTTAATAATAGTTAAAATTATATTCCATTTCAAATATAATTTTATCATAGTTATCAATTTAAGGAGGCCAAAGGAATTAGATTTAAGAAAAAAATTTTTAGTTTATAGACAATCAATCAATCATATTTTATTTATCTAATTTCTTTTTTCTCCTCAAGCTGATGAAAGTTTTTTTTTCAAAAATTTTAATTAAATAATTATAAATTTCCAAGGCAATCAAACAAATAAGATTTCTCAAAAAAATTATAATTTTTTAAATCAAATTGTTCAAAAATTAGTAAAAATTCTTTTATAAAAGGAAAATTAATAATACAATACCAATATTATGAATCAGAAAGAATTAATGATTAATTGCTTTTACTTTTTGATTAACTCAAATTTAATCTGATTCTTTTATTTTGATTAAAATACATTTTTAATTAATTAAAAATTATAGTATAATTTGGTTAAATAATATTTTAATATTTCCAAAACCTTACTAATTATTTGTCTATTATTTATAATTTATAAAAATTATATCTGCGCAAAGCTTGATTAGCTCTACATTCATTATATTTTTAATTAATAATATTATAAAATAGAAAACTGTATTTCAAGAGTAATTTTATTTAGGAGAAAGAAATTATAAACTTTTTGAAATTTATTTTTATTTTTTACATAGAAAATAAATTTTTAAAATTCAATTTTATAATTTAAAATTAATAAATTTATATTAGAATTTAGCTTAATCAGTAATAAAAATTTGATAAATGCATTTTGGTATCTTAAAATATTTTTTTATTTATTTTGAATTCAAAATTATCTATAACATTTAAGTATATAAATATGTTCAGATATTTTCATATTATGATTAATCTTGGCTGATTTAATATTAGTTTTAGAAAAAAGATATTTCTTAAATATGTCTTCAATTTTAATATTATTTTTAGGCAATTCAATATTGATATTTGTATAGTTAACAAAAGAGTAACATACTAGATTTAGAGAATAAATTTATTAAATATTACTTTATTATAAATATTTAATTCCTGATTAAACCCATTTTTTAGATAGAAATTATTTTTTTAAATTTTAAATCACACTTAATACAAATACACACGAAAGGCAGGTCTGAAAAAAAATAAGTGCTTAATTAATTATCAATTGTATATAAATTTTAATTAATAATTGTATTCGGAGCCATAAATATAAATATAAATAATAAATTATTTAATTATTAACTTATTAAAATTAAATTAATATCTCTTATAATTCTATTTATCTATTTCTTTTTATCTTATCTAATGAGGATTATGTAATAATTAAAAATAGTGATTTAAGCTTTTTAGTAAAGTAAAAAATGTCATTAAAGATAAATATAATTTTGAAAATTTAATAGTAAAATTTCATGTATTATATGTTTTTAATATTTTTTTATTAAAAATTTTTATGATTTAAATGAATGTTTAAATATATTATTTTGTGTTTTTAGTTTTTTAAGTAATACTTTTATTTTTTTAATTTATTTTTATCAATATTTGATTTTATTTGTTTAATTTATTTATTTAAGTTTTATTTATTTATTTTATTTTTATGTTTCATATTTTATTTATATTTTGTTTTATTTATTTTAAAGGGCTGATTTTATTTTTTAAAAAAGAGAAGGGCTGATTTTATTTATTTATTTATTTTTTTAATAATATCTTAATTTTAATCTTATTTATTAATATTTTATCTTAGATTTAGCAATTCTTAATTCATAGATTTATTCTTATACTTAATTTATATCTCTAATCTTTAGCTTAGTATTTAGTAGTCTATCTATCTTTCTTCATCGTTTTACCTATGGGGAATAAGAGGTTTAAAAAATATTTTTATATATAATTAGGAAAGAGATGAACCTGGGGATGAAAGCATTACAGTTGGTTTAAAGTAATCCGAATATTTAATACTTAGAGCGATTTACTTTGAGCTACGAAATCTACTTGATTTTTATTTTTGGAGCAATACATTTTTAACCGAAATGTATAATATCTTTTCATTAAGAAGGCGATGAGCATTTACGAAAGTTTGTAAGACTTCCTGTGATGATAAAGGGAATTAAAAACTTGTTTGGATCATCACGTGTAATACCCCCTAAAATGAAACACCATGTAAAAACTGATAGGATGGCAGGAATTTTTGGATGGATTAAAAATTTAATCTTTTGATTTCGCTCTCAATTTGATAAAAAGCAATAAGTATGTCTATGATCTTCATCCTTAAACCGCTCATAAAGTCATCTTGTCCAGGTTACGTGGCTATCGCAATGCTAAGCTTCTGTTTTTATCTTTTAGCACTAGCATTTTTCCTTTTCAAAAACTTCTCCCTTTATAAAAGCTAAGCTAAACTTGGTGGATTTAGCTAAGGATTGCTTTGTGAAAAACTATTTGTGTTAGGGAGTAAAAGCACTTCCAATAGATCCCCTGTATTGGAAATAAATTGTGCTTTTAATTAATTATAAAATATTTGATGGATAATTTACTGTATTTATTTCAAATTTAATTTTCAGAAAAGCTGTTAATTAATTTTTGATTTCAACGATAGCAAAAATTAAATTTAACAAATAAAAGATCTATTTAATGATGAAATATTTTAATCAAATAAGTTAAAAACATCATAAGCAATTAAAAATAAACATTTCCAAAAAAAACAAGTTAAAAAAAGCTAAATTACCAAATTAGTTTTTATTTAATTATTTTACATAATAAAACTATAAAAATGTTATTATTTTATTTAATCAAATTTTTGCAATATTTAAATTAAGCAGTAAACTTAAAACTGAAATTATTTATTTATTATTATAATTATTTCTTTAAAAAAATGAAATGTTGAAATTTTCATTAAACAATCAAGAATAATAAAAAAAATCATTTAATTTTTTTCTACTTTTTTTAATGATTTATTTCTACGCAATGCTAATTATTGTGAAACTTAACAAATTTAAATGCTGCTTTGTCAATATAAATCACTTATTCCCACTGATTATATAAAATATTAATAAGCCTTTTTTGTTTATTAAATAACCTTCTCTTTCTAACTAAAGTTTATTAAAATTTATCGATTATTAGTTGAAAATACTATCATAAGCAAATGGGAGATGATATTATGAAATGTAATCAATCATTTAGCTATCAAAAATTTAATGTCTAATTTATTGTTTGTTATATATAGAGGGAATAGGAAATTATAAGGGTCTTATGATATGTACAAGGCCTAATGATAAAATATAATAAGCTGTAGATAGGTCAGAATTTATTTTACCAAAGTGATTATATTCATTATTTATTTTAATTAGACCATTTGTCTCAAGAGTTGAGGCTTAAGAGTAGCTTGGCTTAAACCCAGCTCCTAGAATATAAATGAACAAGCCAATTAAAAGTTGTTAAAAGTTTAAGATAAAGCTATTATTAATATTAAATATTTTATATTTAATACAGGAGTTCATTATGTATTATCAAAGCATAAGCAATGGCTTGAAGGATATAAAAGAACTATTAGGGATTAAATTCAATCTAAAAATTAATAATTTTTAGATAAAATAGATAGATAGGATAGAGTAATTTTTTTTTTTCATTAAATAAGCTCCTACTTATACTTTTTTATACTTTAAACGATAATTAGCTGAGATAATAATCTATTAACTTGATAAACAGAAGAAGAGAACAACATTTATAGTAGAGTCAATAAGCAGACTTCTAAACTTAAAGCTAAGCTAATTAGCATCAATTTGAAAACTAGTCATAAAATTAATATAATAATAATCAAAGCTATAATGATAATAGCATAGATATCAATCCAGATTAGTTAGAAAAAATACTAAGTGAACCAGTTTAACAGAAATATGAGCATGAATAATAATAATAGTAATATAATCATATATAAAAAGCAAGACCATAAACTAGTGCCTTAAAGAAAAATGTAAAAATGTATTATAAGAAAATAAATATATTAAAATTAATACTATTTAAAGAAAAAAGAAAAACCTGCATGGGCAAAAACTGAAAAGTAGCTTGAAGAAGAAGATAATTAAGAGTGTGATGATCTACTTAATTTTGCTAGTAACTTAGATTATGACAAATATATAAATGATCTTGAGGTATAAAGTATGGTAAAAGCGATAAAAGATAGAGTTAGTGAATTAAAAACAAATCCTTCAATTTACGATTCATAAGTTAAAACTGATAAAGAATAATAAGCTTAAAAAATGAAAGAATATATGGATTTAGTTGACGAAAAAAGAACTAATAAAGGAGAAAATAATGTTAATAATGAAGGCAAAAGTAATGCTTCTGCTAAATCCAGATGTAAACTTTAATAAGTATATCTTAATATTTAAAAATAAATATTTTAAAAATAGTAACAATGCAAAGCATAAAAGAAACAGTAGAAAAAATTAAAAACGAAAGTAAAGAAGAATGGGATAAATCAGTAACTAAATTATTAATTGTGTTTTGGAATTGTTTAAAATTATTTTATTTATTTTTTTAAGACTACAGTAGGAGAGTAAAAATATAAATCTAACATAGAAGAAAAGTTAGTTAAACATTTGGCAGACGACATCCTTAAGAACAATAAATATTTAAGAGGAATTCATTCTACTAATTCAATCAAATAAATTCTAATAGGAGAAGCTAAAAAACATTTTGAAGATAATAAATCTCCAAATGCTCAGCTGGTTTGATCTTTAACATATTTATAAATTTCTGAATTTTTATTTGATATTATTTGATTAAAAATTGATGTAACTACTTTCTGTTTATCTTTTTAACCTAATCAATATTTTTAACTAAAATATGATAAAAAGTAAATTCAAGAAATAATTTCATATTACTTAAAGTTAAATTTAGTTATTTATTTATAACTATCTATTTATTACCTTTATAAAAAATTATTTCAACAAATTAAATTTTTTAGTGAATTATTTCTATTTAAAGTGAAAAAATATTTCAATTTTTTTTAATAGTTACATTTAGTATTTCTTAATAAATATTTAGATTGATTTTCGTATTTAAAATTGAGTATTTTATAGTCAATAATAATTGTAAATATCCAAGTATGTACAACATAAATTCTTATTGAAATTAATTTTTAAATGACTCATCAATCAATCAATACTTATTATTAAATAGATATGAATATTTACATATTAGGATTCATAATTTTAAAGATTACATAATTATATAAACTAGTTAAAAAATCTAAAGGTTTTGGAGAAATATTAAATGAAGAAAGAAAAAATTTGAAAATATTTAAATAAAAGAATTAATATAAATGATAGAGATATAATAAAAATGTGAAAAATGTAATTTTTATTATTAAGTATTAAGTGTTTCTTAATAAATATTTAAATATATTTTCATTGTTAATCTCAATTTTTCCTTAAGCTAAAAATAAAATATTTTTACCAAATTAAATTTTCTAATAAATTATTTATAAATTTTTATAAGTAAATAAATACTTATGCTTATTTTCATATTTAGCTACAATGATTTCTTAATAAATATTTACAATAACTTTTAGATTTACATTATGTAATTCTTAATCATTAATATTTATAAATTACTCAAAAATTTCTAAAATAAAATACTTATGAAACTTATTTATTGGATGATTTATCAATCGTTAAAAATAAAATCTTATTTAGATATTTAATTTATTGTTTTAAGGATTAAATAAAGCCAAATAAAATAAATTCAAAAATAAATCTAAAAGTTTTGCAGAAAATTCTTTTAATAAAAAAAGTAATAATTGAAAATATTTAGATAATAAAATTAAAATTGCTAAATATATATATCAAAAATGCATATAAAATTTCATTTAAATAAGCATTTTTTATTACTTATTTAAATATATTTTCATAATAAAAATCAGTTTTTTCTCAATAAAATATCCAAAAAACACAAAAAAAATATTTTTATAAAACAAAGCTTTGACTAAATATTTTATCAATTTTTATAGTTATATAACTAAATATTTATGTTTATTTTTATATTATCATGAAGAAATTTTTTAATTAAATTCATTTTTCATGTTTAACATTCAGTTTTTCTTCATCATTAAAGTTAATTAACTCAAAAAAAACTAAAAATTTTTACTTAAAGTTATTTTTTAATTTAACTCTAGGTATTTATAAAATTTTCTAAAAATATTCACAGCATTTAGATCAAAATAATCTCTAACCTGAAGAATATGTAAGCATTATTATGGGTAATAGTATAATCCATAGTGTATGCTAGTAGTAAATATTTTATATCAATTAAATTATTGTTTTCAACTATAATTTTGTTTTTTAAATAAATCTCCATAGTAAATTTCTTATTCGTCTTCAAATTTATTATCTTTATCATCATTTTTTAATTTTTGCATTGAATTAATTGATTGATACTCATTTAGCGGTGTACTGCTTGATATTGAAGCATATTTCTAATTTATAATGTCAGCTATAGAATGTACACTTTTTTTATTATGATTTAAGCTTGATGTTTGTTTTGAGTTTTATTAGTTTAAGAAGCTATAATTAGGAGTTTAATTTTCTATTTCACTCTGACTATCTTATTAGCTGCCATTTTAAGACTCTGGAAGTAACTCAGGAAGAGGATCTTTTAAAAAGACCTCCCAAAGCTTTTATTCATCATAATTATATGGTAATAAGATCATGAAATGGACAACTCTAGCTATCTCAAATATTTATCTCATTTCTTCATCCATTTGTATTTCTGAATATTTGATAATTTATCTACTCCATGGACTGGCTCTGTAAAAGAATAAGTACTATATTTTTTTTAAAAATTAAATAAAAAATATTTTAAAACAAATTTATTTACTCTGACTAATTGATGGTTTTTATTTTTCAAAGCATAGTATAAGGCAGTCTTATTTGTTGAGTCTATGATATCTGGATCAGAAAAATATTTTAATAAAACCAAGCATGCTTCTAAGTTATTGTGATAAGCTGCTATTATAAGTCCAGTTTAGTTAAGCTTTTTATTATTTTGAATTTAGATTTTATTATTTTAAATATTTAACAAAAATTTTACTTCATTAAAATCATTAACATGGTATTAATTTTATTTTAATACTTCTTCTATTTATATAGATGTGCCATTTTTACAAAGATTTAAAAAAATATAAGCACCTGGTCTTTCGTATGGATTGAGAGGAAATATCTTCTTTTCTACAATCTTTTATAATTGAATAATTTATATTTTTAAATATTTTTTGTTTATAAATTACTTCGTAAATATTTATATTAAGGTGTTTCACTTTTTAAAGGTATTTTACTAAGTTTAGACGTATTTTCATTAATTTAGATGATTTAAATTTTAAAAATGGATTTCTACCAAAAACTATCCCTTAATCATCAAATATCTTTTTAGGAAGCTTTTATGAAATACCTTTTTACTTTCTTCTTTCTTTTTTCAAGTTAACTTTTGTGATTTTTTCACTAGGAACTAAATATTTATATTTATCTAATAACACGGATTACTGTTCTCTTTCTAACTAGGGGTCATTTTTTGTTGGGAATAAACTATTTAATAATTCTTAGCTTTTCTTTAGGTGTTAAATTATAATAGTTTTTGATCTCTATCCTAAACTTTATTGGCTTATTTAGTTCATAGTAGTTGTTTCTGGGATATGGGCCAGAGAACTATTAGGATAAGCATAGTTTCTTGTTGTTTGCGAACCTTATATATGCTATTTTATTTTTATCTATTTTCTACTTGTATTTGTTAAACTGCCACTTGCTAAACGAATCTAGGGCTCTGAAGATATATTCTAATTTTTTGAATTAGACTTGCTTCTTAAAAATCCTATAAAAGCTTAATTTTCTTCTAATTCTTATTACCTCATTTTTAAGAAATATGTAAAGTTAGCATTTTTTGAAGGTGATTAGTTAGTTTCTGATTTAGATTGTAAATCTTATAAATTACCTTCGATAATTTAATTATAAGAAGAAAATTTTATAGTTGATTCACCACGATTTTTTATAGGGCTAATACTTTTCATACCACCAATAATAGGTGAAGGATCTGTAATAGAATTAAAAGAATTTTTTTCTTAAATAGTTTGCATTGCTTAGTTAGCATACTCGCTATTAAGAGGAATATACATGTTGGATTATGGTGAGCTTACATTATTCTATGATGAGCTCTGCTGCTTTACAAAAGATATTTATTTCATTTCCAATAAATTTTGAGTTTGTTAATTTATTAACGAGTTTATTTTTTTAGCTTTTAAAACCGAAGAAGACTCTTAGCTTTTTTACGAATTAAATTAACCAGTTTATTCATTTTATTTTAAAAACTCGTTTATAGAGATAAATTAATTTTTGCTCATTTTAGATACTAAATTAGTAATTGTTCCAGGTGTACGAGGTGTTTGATCTTTTGAAGAACACCGACTTGAGGGTAACTGGCTTTCTTATAAATGATTACTAGGGGAATTATATGCCTTATTATTAGATTTATTCCATAAAAAATTAGAAGTATTATTATTTGCCAATATCATACTAGGAGTAGCTTCATCAGTGTATAAATGCTTATTTTGCAATTCTTAATTTATTTTTTGTTATTCCCTTTTAATTTAGCTATCTAACATTTGTTGATTAAACTTATCACGAATCTGTTAATTAATTTAATTTTATTGATTTAATTTTTGTAAATGCTTTTGAAGATGCCCATTAGGTTCTACATCGAATTTTCTACTATATAAAAGTACATTCAGATTTTTATCAGCTAAAAAACTAGCAAACATTTTTCTTTCATTTTCTGTGACACCCAACGTTCTTTTACCTGTGTTCACATCAAAATAAACAGGTCTATCTTCAGGGTCTATTTTTTAATGGTTTAAATTTTAAAGATTGTTTGCATTTTATTCATTTTGGTTATTTTCTTATTGTGTAATGTTTATTTTTCCAATATTTTCTTAATCTAGCATCGTATTTATACTAAACTAGCTTTTTTACTATTAGCATGCACTATTTGATCTTTTTTAGTATAATTATTTATTTATTTCCTTAACCTAGTTAATCATATTTTATCTTGAGAACGTGCTATATACCCAAGGACTTTCGTCCTGCATATTTTTTTTCAGTTGTTCTATTCCTTAATTTTTAAAAGATGGTTTATTGAAATGAATAGAATTACTTCCAGATTAAGTAAATAAACGACTTAAAGTAGATTTTTCATTTTCTTCTAAATTAACAGTATTTTTGTGTTATTAGCTCTATTAAATTTCAGAGCCGTTTATTCCCTTGGAAACAATTGTAACTGCTTTATCCATTTCATCTTAATCTTAAAATTCCTTTAATTAAACTAAGGCACTTGTTAATTGCTATTTTAAAGCTTTAGGTTGGCTTTTACTGGATATCATTTTAAAACTATTATTATTCTTCTATTTTTTTTGCTCAATTGCTTTATCATATTCTTAAAACATAACCATTCTATATTTGAGACACTCAAAATTACGAGCTGATCCTTTGGTTGTGAATTATGCTCCCATATTTTTATTCAAAAACTTTGGTTAAATGTTTAGATTATCTTATTATATTTTTGATGTGTTCGTTACCTAAAGCTTAATATTTTAAACAGTGTTGGATTAGTCTAAATGATGCACATTTGTTTACCTGGACACATTATTAATATTAGAGCAAGATTGAGATTTTGTTTTACAAGTATCATCACTAGAAAAATTTCGTTTTTAATCTGAGCGAAATGTAGTTCTGTTCATAAAATTATTCTCATCTCTTTAAAAACTGTTTTACTTAGCTTCTTATCTACGAATTTCCCTCATAAAGAGCTAAGCAGTAGGATCGAATGGGTTTTTTTTCACAGTCTTTTTTAATTTTGTGAGCTCTTTATTTGTATAGAGTTGATTAATGTTCAATTGTGGTTCTTTTTAAATTTATTCTGCTGATGTAGACCTCACTGGAATATTTTTTATTTTGTTTGCAGAGGAAACTCTGCTAAATATGCCTATTTTTGATTCTAATTTGGATTCTGAATTAGAAATTTTAGCATTTTTAAATAGTTCCATTTAGAGATTTGAGATTTTTTATAAAAATACAGAAAGAATTAAGAAAACTATCTAAAAATAATTTGAATTTACACTTTTAACAAGTTATTTGTTTTTATAACTTTAGAACCTTACATTAGCTTCGAATTAGTGATATTTAAGATAAGCTCATACTTATATTTAAATAGCATCTGTAAAGATCAAATACCGAAATTCACAGAGTTCTCTTTAACCAATAATGAGAAAGTAATTAAAAAATGCATTAATTATATTTTATAAAAATCTAAGCTCTATCTAAATAAATAAATTAATAATATTATTAATATTTTTTCAAAATACAAAAATTATTTTTATTTTCATGGATTAGAATTATTTTTTTATTTCAGATTGTCTAATTATATAATTGGTTTATCCGAAATTATGATATGCTAAAAATTTATGCTTTTAAATTTCCAAATATTTCAAAAATATTTATGAATTTTATCAAAATCATAAAAGTAAAATATAATTTTTTGTAGTCATTTTTGAAATATAATAAAAGAATTTTGCTTACTTTGATGATTATGTTTAAAAGATAAATTTGATTATATAAGATTTATGTACTTTAAAGATTTTATTGCAAAATCAGTCTTATATTATTTACTAGATTAAAAATCTTAAATACTTTTTACTGATTAAAAATAAATATAAATGAGCAGATTAGTAGAAAAAACAATTAAAACTGCAATGGTGACTGGTGCCAGTAGTGGAATTGGACTAAGCACAGCTAAATACTTTTGTGAAAAAGGAATAAGAGTAGTTGCTAATGGATTAGATAAAAACATTTAGGGCTTTAAGCATGATTTACTTCAATATAATCAAATTGATCTCGCAAATGAGAAGGAGAGAATAGACTATCTTAAAATGGTTTCTAGTTAACATTAAGGAGTTGATATATTAGTAAATAACGCTGGAAGATTTGATTACCTTTCCATAGAAGATACTTCAATGGAAATATTTTAATCCCAAATTGAAATCAATTTAAAGGCTCCTCTTGCTTTAATACAACACTTTCTACCTTACATGAAAAAATAAAAATATGGAAGAATAATTAATGTCGCATCTTAGAAAGGTATTTAAATATTATTAAAAGCAATATATTTTAATTTCAATTAAATATAAAAGGTATAAAAGGTGGTGCTTACCATTCTGCTTACTGTTCTACAAAGCATGGAATAGTTGGTTTAACAAAAGCTGTTGCTTTAGAGCTAGCATAAGAAGGAATAACTTGTAATGCAATATGTCCTGGATGGGTATCAACTCCTCCTGTTATGGGAGAAATATAAAAATTAGCATAATAAAATAAAATTTCTTTAGAAGAGTAAGTCATCTTATTTTTAAAAGACAGGAAGGCTGCTAATACAATTCTAACAAAGCCTGAAGATATTGCTGCCTCTATTTACTTTTTAACAACAGATTCTGCCTCTTAAATTACAGGAACAACTTTATCCCACGATTCAGCAAATTCAGCAGATTGAAGCTTATATGTAAGCGACACTAATTTGACATAAAATTTTTTAATTAAAATTAATTAAGATATGTCTTATTTATAAAAATAATTAGAATATAAATATAAATTAAAATTAAAATAATTGAGTTAAAATAAGTATTATTTAGTTTCAGCTATTTATATTTCAGTATAAATAAATAATTTATAATTTAAGAAATTAAAAATATTAAAATATAAATGAAATAATAATGCAATAAATTTAATTTAAATAAAATTTTTAACAATTTAATTAAAAAAGTATTCAATAGTTTAATTTTTTGATATTAAAATGTTGAAAAATAGAGTATAAATTAGTTTGTTATTATATAAATAAATAATAAAACAGTACAAATAAATATAATTTATTAAAGTAGCTCCAGCTATTTATATTTGAAAATTTTTTTAAATTGAAAATATTATAAGATTTTATATTTATTTAAACAATAAATTTTTAATTTTATTTATTTCAAACAAAACAATTAAAAATTATAAAAAGAAATTTCAAAAAATATTTTTTTAAATAAATAAATAATAAAATAATAAATTTAATTTATTTTATAAATTTATCTATGTCAGATAATTAGAATTACTTAGGGCAAGAATTATTAACTAACATGTTTAATAAAATTACTAAAGTAAATCTAGTTTTTATTTTTAAATTTGAATTAAATAGAGTTATTTTGATTATAGAAATTTAAAAAATAAAAAAGCATCATAAAATAAAAAAACGATACAATTTAATATTTATTTGAAATTTTAATCAAATTAAATTGATATTTTCTAAGTTACATAACTTAAAAATAATTTATTAGTATTTAAATGAATGAATGAAATATAGTACACTTGTTTATCTTAAAATTAATTAAATTTTATTTTATTTTAAATATTTGATTGTTTTAAAATTTTATGTTTTAAAAAGTGGAAGATTTTATTTAAAGCACAGCAGATTAAATTGGGAAATTAGAATTAACCATGTAGATTATTATAATTATTTATTTGAAAAATAATTAGGAATTAAAATTGATGAAATACATATAAAATTACTATTTAAAAATTAATTAATTAAATATTTTTAATATTAATGGTAAAATTTAAAATTAAATTCATTCCATTTATATTGTTTCTACATAATTGCAAGGGAAGTATCCAGTTTAGTTTTTACAAATACCATACCACCATCCTTTCTTTTTATTTTTTTATATTACTTATATTTGATCTCCTTGGCTAAAAGAGAGTTCATTTTCCTTTTATATATTTTAATAATTTAAAATTAAAAAAAGTTTTATATCAAATAATTTATTTTATACATTTCTTCTTTTGTACTCGTACTTTGCAACAACTAGATTTGTCGAAGGTTTACTTGTGAACAGACTATGTTCAGAATAATTAAATTCATAATCTTCGTCTAAGTTAGCTTAATCATCAGCTTCTGTTTTTACTCTTCTCATTGCATCATAGCTTATGTTAGGATGCTTATCATCATTTTAGAACAGAATCTATGACATTCTTTCTTTTCCATGAATTTATTTATTAATTTTCTTTAAACTATTATGAGCGTTAGATTAGTAAAGACTTCTTTTAGAGTTTTCTTATGAACTATTAAAACAAGGAGAAAGCTTACTTATTTCTATCTCTTTGTCGACCTTTTAGTTAGAATCTATATTTTCATTTTTACTGTATTCTTATTAATATTATTGTATATTTATACTTTATTTTTTATTAATATTTTAATTATAATTAAAGGAATTCAAAGTTGGCGGATTTGAATGATGTCTGTTATTGTTTATTTTAGCTTCTTACTTGAAAATATTAGTATTTTTATCATTTTCTTTCATTTCTTAAATTTAGAAGAATTATTAGCTTTGACATTTCTGGTGAGGATTGCTACTGTTAAGCTGTAGTTTTTATTAATTTTATTAGTGAATTTAAATAATTTCTTGCAAATTTTAGTTTAATGGCTAGTTATTAGAAATTATTTAGTTATTCATTTAGATAAAGTTTCCACCATGCATATTTTATTTGTTAAGGTTGTCGTAATAATTTTATGTTGGTTACTAATTATTCTATTAAACCAAAGAAAAATTATTGAAATTATCTCCTGATAATTATTACTGATAAAATCCACCCTAGTTTTATGGTTGTATTGCTGACAGAGTTTCGAAATTTTAAAATTACTAATTTTGCTGTTGATTTGTCACTTGTTATTCGATATGAGTTGGCTTAGCTTAAATTTAAAAGCTGAAACTACTTTAATTATTTTTAAATTTATTTTAATCTTCTTCTTAAAATTAAGGAGGAGATAAATATTATAAAAACTATCCATTAGTATTTGCAATGTTACTATTATTATTTTACTCGAAATCTTATTAAGAAAACGTTTATTATCCAATAGGTAGAAGGTTACACAAATTTTAATTGTTTTCTTTTTCTAATCCAGAAGCAGATTCCATAGAAAGATAGTTTTTAGCTCCATAATCGTTAGAATTACTATTTGCACTAATATGTCTACTGTGAGCTTTTCCAAAGTTAACTATTTTAACAAATTTTATTTTATTTTAAGAATAAATAAATAATTGAAGTACAAGAATTTGAATTATTTGTTGTGTCTAGGCTAGAATTCTTCTTTTGATGAATTGAAGAAAGAGCTTTTAAGACTCCTTTTGGGCTAATTAACTAATCACTGTTCCTTAAAATATTACTAGTCTTCATCTTCATAATATGCAGATCAAGTTCAGTTCTAATTTAATTTCCATGCTAAAAAGAAATAAATTAATTACAATTTAAACATATTTTATAAGCTTAAATTTACTTCTGTTAACAAATTTTGCATGTTCATATTAACAACAAAAGGATTAATTTTTTGCATTAAATCTTTCAGCTTTGCCTAAAGCAGATTAAAGAATATGTTTTATGCTTTTAAGATATAATAATATTTCATTATTATTTTCAAAAAAATAGAGAAAAATACTTTCGAATAGAGGCTGTTGTTATTCTTTAGTTTCATATGATTTTGAAATAAAAGCAACCTCAAAAATATTGACGATTAGTTACCTTTTAGTTATTAATTAAATAGTAATTACACATTTTAATAGGCAAAATACAAATTTTAAATTACTTTAACTCATCTTCCATTTAGTAAGAGTTAGTTTGCATTTAAATCAGTTATTAAAAGTTTCTCATTTCATTTATTTTTTCCTTTAATTATTGTTTGCTCTCTTCCCTTTCTTATATTATTGTTTCTTTTAGCTTTTCTATTTCTTTTTCATATTATTACACCTTGTTAGATAGATTCTGTATCTCTGCTCCAAGGGCCTACTGAGTTGCTTTATTTAAAAAAAAAGAAAATTCAAATTATGCAAATGTTAATTAATACGTTTAAAATTACCTAATAAATTTTTGTTTTACTCAATTAAATTTTGAATTTGCTAGCTTTCAGTTTATTAAAAAAGTATTGTATCTATTATATCTTCAACAACTTTAATATTTTGATTTGACTTATTTTCACCATCTTTACTACTTCCGCTGCTATTTCTTGGTAAAGTTAAACTCATTAAATTGATAGATGTGTTATTTTAAATTGTTGATTGCATGTTATTTTAACTATTTTGCTAATTTGTATTCCTGTTTGAGGCATCTTTATTTATGAGATGTATATTTTATTAAAGTAATTATTACTGCTACTTGACTTAGTTAAAACTATTGTTATTACTCCCTTAATTACCATTCCCATTTGATGGTGTCAGGTGAAATGAACTCCTGTCGAAACTTTAATTTTGCTTGTTATAGCTAATTCTTGTTTCAATAGATTACCTTAGTGTAGCGTTGCTATTGTTTCCCAGATTTAAAGATTATCTATTGAATATTTTCGATGGCATTATCTTTACTGGAGAGGGGGAATCATTATTAGTATGAACAACAATGCTATTATCATGCTGATTGCTAGATTAAAAGTTATTACTTATTAACTAAGAAGACTAATTAAAGAACTAATGAGTATTAATAGTGTTATTTGGTTTTTAAGGTAATCCATGCTACTTAGATGAAGTAGTACTTGTTGGATATTAGTCAGCGATTTAAATATTTTATGAGTTCTGAGTGAGATAAGCTTTAAATGAAGTTGGGAGATTTTTTGTAGAAAGATTTGAGTTTTCTTAATTTTAAGAGATATCATTAATAATATTTCCATTACTATTGATATTAAAGCTTGTTGTATCAATTGAATTTTTTACATTTATATATTTTGGTTTTTTATTTCCATCATGACTTGTATTAACAGCATTATAGGCATTGTTAGTACCTAGTATTGAACTACTTTATTTTTTTTTCTTGGCTTGCTACTCTAAATAATTCTAGTTTGTAAACTAAGGCTAATATTTTTAACTATACCCTAGTCCTACGCTCCTATTGTTAACAGAGCCAGATCTATTAACTACAGTGTTTAATTTTTATCTTGTTTGATTCATATCTAATATATGATAATATTCAAAAATTAAGATAATTTTTTAAATGAATGAATGATATCAATAAAATCTTATTTGCTTATTATTACGAATGGGATTTTTTTCTAAACACTCTTTTTCTTGCTTATTAGTGATGAGTATGCAAATTTAATTATTATTTCAATTCAAATTTAATTCAATAGACTGGTTTATATTAATTTTTTAATGATATTTATTAAATAAATAATTTTGAATATATCAAACATATTTTGAATTACTTTTAAACAGACACTCACTCATATAATCAACCACTCAATCACTTAAATATTTATTTACTCAGTCATTCTTGATATTTTGAATTTTTTAACATCTGAGTACAAACATGTTTAATCTTATTGAATAAATACTATAATAAACCATATAATAAAATTATTTACAAAATATTTTAACAAAAAATTCAACAAACTTATTATAAATTTAGATCTGAAATTTAATTAAAAATTTTACCAAAATTTATTTTAATTTTCATTACAATAATATGGAATTAAATTTTAAACTATTTTTTAAATAAATAACAAATTTACTAAATAAATTTATTTTAACAATAAAAATCACTGATATTTTATTTTCCATAAGCTTTTTTTTAAAAAAAAGGTAGATTCTTTATCAAGATATTGTGATTATATTCTCATGATATTTTATAAAATAGATTTATCAGAGCTTTAAATTCAAAACTCTTAAGAAATATTATTATAGCTTTTTATTTTTTATTAAGCTTTACTTTATTTTTATTCTTATTATTCAAACTCAGCCTTTGTCTCTTCATTTTACCATTTAATTATGTATTTAAAATCTTAAAATCCAACTTATCCATCATCATCTTTATCTGCTCTTTCAAGCATTTCAATTAAATCTTCATCTTCTACATCTTCTCCAATTTCTTTAGCAATGTTTCTCAACATTTAAATTGTAATTTTACTCTTTAATAAATTTTATTCCTTTTTTTACTATTTCTATTATTATTTTTTATTTGAAGATCTGACTGTTACTATTTCATCGTCGTCGTCATCTTATAAAAACTTCGAATTTCCTAAATCTATGAAATATGAAAACGCTTTTTATAAATCTGTATCAGAATCGTTTTCTGCAATGTTAGCAAACATCAAATTCATAAACTCTTCAAACTGTTTTAAATGATAAATAAAAATAAATGAAAATTTAATGACCGATGAATAAATTATTGAACTAATTCTATCAATAAATAATTACTCCTAACTAACCATCTCCGTTTACATCTATTGCTTCAATGATTCTATCTAAAGCGGTATCATCTTCTTAAACAAAACCTAAAATCTGCATAGCTTCTTTAAGTTCATCATAAGACAAAGTGCCACCTTTATCTTTATCAAACATATCAAACGTTTGCTTCATTTCTACAATCTGATCAATAGTGAATCCAGATCTTTCATATTTTCTTGGATTAAAAATCACTTTTGAAGAATTTTGTAATACAGAAGATTTTGGTTAATTCTAAGATTATTAGAATTAAGATGAATAAACTTATGATAGTCCTTTAGGCTAAGCAGTAGGAGTATCTCTAAAAGTAAAAAACTCATTTCCGTTATTATTATTCATGATCTCTAAAGAAATAAGCAGTTAACTCTTCTACTTAAATATGATAATAATTATAAATTGTTTATAGAATTGAAAATACTAAATATAATTAATTACACATAATTATATAATAAAGACTGACTGGTAAATTCACATAGATAAAGATATTTGATTAACAAAATTTTTGAGTAAACAAATGCGTTTTTAAAAATTAATTGAAAATACTCTTGCTCAATATGTTTGAATATTATATATTCTGAATACTTAATTATTATTAATTAACTTTTGATACTTTTGATTAATTGTTTGAAGTGTTAAATTATCATAGTGATATAATTGTAAATTATTATTAATGTTAAAAGATTTTTTAAATTCTAAATGAAAGTCTTTATTTTTAAATAAAAGAAACTAAATTTTTTAATAATTGATAAACATAGATAGTGACGTAACAAAGGAGTATTATTTAAATTAATTGATTAATTAATTAATTATAAATTTAATAGTTGTTATAAATAGCATATAGAAAAGAGGGAGAATTCCTCAATCGTTTGAAATAAATAAAAATAGCTTAACACTATTTTTAATCGAAATATATCTAATTGTAATTTTTAAATTTTAGGAAAATTTATAATTTTAGTTAGAAAGTGAGTCTGTCTGTCAAATTTATTAATAGCTGATTTATTATTGATAGCTATTTGAATAAATTTATTGTTTTTTATTAACATAAAATTTATTTTTACTTTTTATGTCAACCTAAACCATTCCAAATTCAAATATTGTTACTATTGTTGATACTACTAAATTGTTATTATACTTGAATTTGCTACTGGTAATTTTGGTTGTACATTTTTTTTCTTAAAATAGATACTTCTTCACATTAAAGCTTGGCTAGTTGGACTACTTTTTCAAATGAAGAGGCTTTAAAAATATCTTTTAAAGAATTTATTATTTAAGAATTAATTAATTCTTATTTCTTCATGTTCACATATTCTTCAGTCATAGTCTTAACAAATTTCCATATTTGTTTTTCACTAGGTTTTTATTGATCTTTGAACATGATGCTGGGAGAACACTTGATAACTAAATCTTCAAGGAATTTAAGTAGCTTTTCGGTTTGTCTATACTTTAATTCATACTCAGTAGTTGATTTACTCAGAGGGTTGGAGTTACTGATTTGATTCACGCTTTGAGAGATTTTTTCTTTTTTTTGATTCTATTTTTGCTATCCTTAACCCTAAGAAAGAGGAATAGCTTCTTAAATGTATAAGAAATTATTAGATTGCAATTTTTGCTTTGAATTTTAACTAGAAAATATAAATTATTTCTCATCATTTGATTTCTATTTATTTAATTAAGTTGGATTACTTATACTAGAACTATAGCTTTGAACTAAATTAACACTTCCGAAGTTATTTATTTAATCTTGTTAAAGCTGCTATTGTAAATTTGAAAAGGTTTAATTAAAAGCACTATTTATAGGAGATTGTATTCTTTTCAAGCCTGAATCTGCGCAGCTTTAACAAATTCTTTCAATTTATTCAGATTTGCATGAATTAAAGATGTTGGGATTAACAGATTGAGAATGCTTGTGATTTTAGAGGTTTTTATTGTTGTTGTTTAAGCTTTAATATTCTTTTTCTTGATTTTGTATTATTTCTCTTTACAACTACAAAATTTCAGACTTTAATTTTTCAGTATCTCTTGTATAGGCTTTAAGTAGATTATGATTTTTTTTCTTTTCTTCTATTAACATTTGGATCAGTGAAAATCTATCTAATTATTAATATTACTAAATCATTTTTTCCTTAAGAGTGTCAACTTAGTACAGGTTTTAGATAGGATCATTTTGGGATGGTAAAGTTGGCACATTTTTTAAATCTTTATCAGCTATATTTTATTTTTCTTGTGAATCAATATTTTTATAGAAGTTGCCAACCAGTTGAAGTGTTTGAGTTGATGATGAAGTTGATGGACTATCTTCAGTTTTAGCTTCAAAGTTATCAGTTTGGCTTTTTTGAGACAAGGTTGTAGAATTCGTGCCCTATGACTATGGAGTAGTTGGTTGCTGTGAAGGTACTTACTTTGAAAGGTAGTCAGAACTAATTTAAATCAGATCACACATTTTTACCAGATACAGTTTAAGGTTGATATGTATTTATTTTTTGTATTTTAAAATCTATGTTGTTTATGATCTGTTTATTTTAGCGTCTAAGTTCTTAAATCTCAAGTAAGATCCAAAAATAAGCCTTAAAAGGTATCTAGATTTTTTATTATAGTTATGTTAGTAAGAGCTTGAAAATTTTGGCTGCGCTTTAGAGTTTCAGTAATAAATTGGAGGAGGCGTCAAGTGAAGATACTAACTTTATTAATTTTTGAAATGATATTTATTATATTTATTTTTATCAACGTTTAGTTTTTAAAGATATATCTATAAAAATTTCTTTTTATCTTGATTTAAGTAAGAATTCTAAATTTTATTGTAATGATAACGAATGGAATTAAATTTCTTCTTTGTTGTATTTAAATAAACTTTATTAATAGGCTTTTACTTGTTTATTTCCCAAAGTTGTTAATATATTTAATTCAGTACAAATAATCTTATTTTAAATATATATATATATATCTCTCAATATAAGATTCATTATTTAAATTAATTATGTTGTTAGATATTTATTTTTTACTGAAAGCAATAAAAAAGCTGATTAGCATTTTCGTGGAATAATTTATTAAGAAGGTTTTTAACTTTTAATAAAAATAATGAACTTATATCAAAAAATGATTTCATAGAAAACTGTTTTAGTTATTTTTAATTTGACTAAGCGCGATAGAAGAATATAAAATAATAAACAAGATCATTTTTAATTAATTTTATAAAAAAATTAACATCATATTATTCCAGTTATAATTTTGTTAAATACATTTTGTGCTAAGCATTTGTTTAATAAATTGGTGTAACAAATACATTTAGGAATTAGTATATCATATAAAAAAATAAATATTCAAAATATAAAATTAAATAAATATTGATTTTATAAAAATAAATATAATACCTAATATAGAAGCAATTTTTTAAATAAATTCAATTTTTGATTTTAACTGAAAAAAAATATAAATCCATTAAATTATTTGGAAAATTTATTGAAATAAGTTTATTTTATAGAAGGAAAAATATATAATAATAACGAACACATTTTAAAAAGCACAAATTTAAAATATTTGATTAATCATAATAAACTAAATATGAGAAAATATCTAAACATTTTATTCTTCCATAATTTAGAAACAATTGAAATAATAAAAAAAAAAGAAAAATTCTATCTTTAAAATCAAAATAAATTTTAATATTTCAAAAAAATTCTTATTCTAAAGTAAGGCTTTAATTTTCTTCCTTTATTGGGCTCAACTGTTTTTGATTTTAACTAAATGTGTTTGGTGATTTATTTTCAAGTTGCATTTTATATTTAATTATAAATATCTGTTAGGAGCTTATGGTTATTAAAAATATTTAGTCATTGAAATTGTGAGCAAAAAAATGAATTTTAAAAAATTTCTAACCATTTAAATTTCTGCAAAAGTAATAAATTTAACTAATATAAAATATAATATTGCCTAACTATTTATTTTTTGCTTTCTTAGATCAAATTAGATTTTCTTAATAGCACATTTTTTAGAAAATCATTTAAGAAATATGTAAATCGATATTAGATTACATTCACTAATTAAATAAATATCTCTAAAAAATAAGTTCTTAAATGAATGGATATTATAAATAAATAAAAACTCAATTCAAATTTAGATTTTTTAGATTTCTATTTTATCTTTTATAAAATATTAATTTGTTTAATAAAAATAATTTAATTTTAAATAATTAAATTTGCTTTTTTGTCAGAAATTAATTGATCTTTATCTTAATATAGATAAATTTATTGATTTTTTTCTTAAAATTCTTAAGTTGTATAGAAATTATTTTTCAAAATAAAATAAATCTTATGATAATTTTTTTGTAAATTTATTTTAACTACCAATAAAATTTCAATTAAAAATTATTAAATCTTTCATGCAGCCTTTTTGATAAAATAATTTATTTAAATTTTTAAATTGCAATACTTCCTTTTATATGATCCAATATTTAGTTTGTCAGAAATCAATCTATATCTTTGCATAGATAAGTTTGATTAGTTTCTATTCCTCATTAAATTTAATTAATACTTTTAATATATTAGGACAAGTCTTTAACAAAATAAAATAAAATAAACCTAAAGATATAATATTTATATAAAAGTCATTAATTCATTATGAATTCTTAATAATAGTAGATAGATAATAGAACTCGTAATAGGTACTCTAGAGTTAAGATACTTACATACGATAGATTAAGCTATTTAATTTAGTTTTCAGAAGAGAAACTTATATTTTTTAGTTCTGAGTTGCTTGAATAAATTCAAGTATTTTAGATTTTAGTGTTGATTAATTTGTCATATTAGTCATTAATATATTTATCTACACATACGCAATTTAATGAAACAATAAAGAAATAAATATTCTTATTTTAAATTAGACTGTTAGGTAATTCCATGGAGAAATTTTGACAGTTGCTACAAGTAGTTCATAGGGTTTAGTATTTGTTTTTTGTAAGGAAGAGTTTAGCATATTATAGCCTTTTTATGATTCAGATAACTTTTCAATAAAGTAATTAACTCATTTATGCAAAAAAAATTGTTAAAATTGATCCTTAATTCAATTTATTCAATAACATTTTATTTACAAATAAGATGGGAAAAAGTGTATAATCAAAGAGTAAAGGAATCCATAAAGGACGGCTATTCCTCTTTTGATGGTAAATTACGAATTAAATAAATTAACAGGCAAAATAAGATAATTTTTAATAACTTCAGATTAATACTTGATCACATGTTCAGATCACTCAATTAAAATATGGAATGTACTGTTTGATATTCAAAATGTAATATATTAAATGTTCTAACAATGCAATTAATTTTTAAGAATTTTTCTTCAAAAAATTTAAGAATGTAAATACTGTATCTAAGATCTAGCCAATATTCAATTTGAACGTAAGGGAGGATATCAAAAATGTTAAATTCTCTCCAGGTAATTCAATAGTTTTGCAAATACAAATATTGCTTATTGGTTAATTCAAAACTTAATTAATTTTTTATTCAATCTATATAGATTCAAGATATTTTACTACAATGTCTGAAGTCTCTTCGATTATTTTTGTATGGGATTTTATAAAAATATTGGATAATCATACAGGCTATTTAGATGAAGGGTATACAAAGAAAGAGATGTTTAGATTATATTGAATTATGTTTTTTAAAATATCAAAAAGATAACAAACGCCAAGTGACAACATAACAAACTATGTTCTAAAACATGAAAATGATATAAAAACTTATAAATTTAGAGGTATATATATATATATTTTAGTTTAGTTAAATATATTACAAATTTAACAAATGTATTTAGATAGCATCAAATCTCCTTAGCAACCATATGGGCCTAACACTATTGTTTCTATAGATGTATAAGGTATCCTTAAAGTTTGGTAAGAATCTCCTGAAGATGAAGCCATGTTTTTCCATATTCATACAGTTTAATTGGAAAACATTAACAACATTAGCTCTCTTTCATTTAGCTTTGTCTACTTCAGCTCAAACTATGCCAAAAAAGATTTAGGATATCTTTATTAATCAATAAGTAACCAAACAAACAGCTATGGGTTATATGAAAAGGATGACTTTACTTCCTTAGATTGGATCATAGTTTTGAAAGATACTTCTATGGATCTTTATTGTATTTCACATTTAAGAAATATTTCAAAAACTTCAAAGATAGAAAGATTTTCTAGTTTAAATGTAAATAATTTTATTTTATTTTAAACTTATTTCTAATCATTTTTAAAATAAATAAAATAAGAATCCTAGATTACTCAAGTATATTAGGTTTTTGCTCTATGCTTAAGAAAAAAAGCGTAAAGATAGCGAATATATTCACTTTTATGGGTTAGACTACCTTGGAAATTTAGTAAAGGTTTAGCAAAATATTGTAAGCTGATATTATTTAATAAATGATGTTGTTTTTAATAGACATATAATTATAATAAAAGAATTAGCCAAATGATATCAAAACTTACATTACTAATAAGAGGCTGTATGGTAAGATTTAGAATTTTTCTTACGATGATAGTTCAGACTCGATTATTACTTTAGACAGTAATTAAAATCTATGCTATTAAGCTTCTCCTTATCAAGTAACTATTTTTAAAAATGAATTTGATAAATTAACCATATTTTTTTAATCTTAAGCAAATATTCCCACAAAGGTATGACTTTCTCTCAGAAGACAGTAATTGGCAGTGGTCCTTTAATAGTAAAATATAAGTTAGTAAGAAATTTAAAAGCCAAAATATATCAATTATATTAATTTTTAAAATATTTTTAAATGAATTAGTTAAATTAGTTGAACACTATAAGAATAATGTTTTTATATTTGATGATAAGCTGAAGGTTTTAGAGATAATTCAGTTAGTACATTAAGAAAATAAGTTATTGCAACAGTAATTAGATATAGAAGATTAAGCTAAAGATATAGTTGGTTTAGCTTACTAGAAGAGTTAATTTGAATATCAAATCAAGACACTCTCCAAATACTAAAATGAGAATGGAGAAATATTATTAGAATTCTTAATTTATCCTCTTAACACAAATAAATTGATTGCAGTGAGATTTAAATTGAATTAAGAAGCTTTTAATGATAAGAAGAGCTTTTAGATAGAGGTTTTGTTTAGATATGAAATTGCTGATTATTTCTAAAAATTTAAGCTTTACAACTACAATTCAAGAGAAGTAAGCTTTAAACTTTTAACTAGAGAAGAGAAACAAATTTGTTTTTATGAAGTCAAAGGCCCTGAAATTAAAAAAATTTAAAATATTTCTCGTAAACCAGATACAAAAAGAGTTGATTTTATTAAATATTCAGGTTGGGTAAACTCTAAGCCATAGCTTTTTTATATTATAACTTTTAATAATGAAATTGAATTCTACAATGAAGACAAAGAAATTTTGACTAAATTTAATTTAAAAAACCTTCTTTATGGTGTTGACACTAAGCTCTACGACATTAGTTAGGTTAGTATATTGGTTAAACATTTCTACGATAACAATTTTATTCTTGCTGTTGAAAATTATTTAATGCTATTCAATCTTTAATTCGATAAACGTAAATAGAGTTATGTAATTAACCTAGTAAAATAAAATAAAAAATCTAATGATCTTTACTACAAAAGATTCTCTCGCTTTACTTAGCCTTCAAACTATGAAATTATAGTTACCAAAGATCTAAAAATGATTATCAAAACTAATGAAACGATCATGCGTTTTAATGGATTTTTTAACGAATAAGTTATCGATATTAATCAACTTGATACCTCTTAAGATTAGCACACGTTGCTACCAGAAAATTTTTATCGCAAAATTGTGTCTTCATTAAGTAAAAAAGTTAAAGCTTTTTTTATTAAATTTAATTTTCAATTCTAATAAAATAAGAAATTTTACCTCATCACCACCCTGAATTCATATATGAGCTTCTCACTATAGGTAATTTTGAAGTTGCTTAAATTATCTTGTACAAATGCTTGCTCAGCTTGATAAAAAATAGATACGTTAGCTCTAAGTTTTCATTTAGCATCACTAAGCTTTATCACCTGTTCTTACAAAAAAAAATTGGAACACTAAAAGTAAAGAATGAATTCGAAGATGTTGATCTACCTAATTAATCTTTAGTATCTAAACTCTCTATAATTGGAAATACTCTTTCTGTAATATATTTATTTTAATTGAAAACAAAATCAAATAAAAGTAACTTTTTTGTTGTTTTACTAATAGGAAGACATCTTTGAATAAAAGGATTATGCCACAAATAGATCTGATTAATTTTTGTATGACATCTTAAAAGTTCTGCAAGAAGAAAAAGATGTATTTAGACTTGAGGGTAATCAAACAGCTTTCTTAGAAACTTTAGTCAAATTTTTGATAGATTTAAAAGAAAAATATGATTTTGATATATTCGGCAAGTTGTTTATGTTCCACGTTTCTATATTTAACAACTAGAAGTTTATAAGTGGAGCTTAATATAAACCAAGGTCATTATTCACAAAAGAAATAGTGTGGGCATGCCATTCTGAAGCTAAAGATTTTATATCAAATGAGCTTTTTGGTAAATACTTAGAGGCTAGATCTCTTAAATGGGATATTCTAAGAAGATATTGTTATCCACTTTGGTAAGCTTTATTTAATGAATGTATAGATAAATAAGTTGTTTATGAAATTTAAATAACAGGTAAACTGATACTTTGCAAATAACGAAATACTTAAACGAAATAGCTACTATCACGTTCTTTAATAGAGAATAAGCGTTAAAAGATAGTGCTTAAGTAGAAAATCAAGGTGAAATTAATCTGAATAATGCAAGTTTATGGTATGTATTAGGAGGATAGTTAAATATATTGATAAATAAATTGGATGAGCTATTTCAAACAACTTCTGATCCAATCAGAAGGAGAGCTCTAGGTTAAAGAGATTTATTACAAAAAGCAAAATAGTATATTCATACAAAGGTAGATTTAGACTTCATGAGTATGTAAGAAAAGGAGGATTTCTTAAGTGAGCAATCAAAAATTAAATAAAAACTTGAAAATAATGCTTTTGAACTTCAAAAGAGAGGATAATATGAAAAATGTGCAGCTTTCTATCTTATAGCAGGTAAATTAGATGATGCAGTAAACATTATGATTGAAAAATTAGAAGATATTTAGTTAGCTATTTTAACTCTTAAGCTATTTGAAACAGGAGATAAGCCTATTTTAAAGCGAGTAGTATAATAACATTTTATAGATGTAGGTAAATAAATGAATGACGTTTTCCTTTAAAATATTGGTTATTATATTCTTGGTAAATATGTTTAATCTGTGAATGCTCTCTATGAATTAGATTATGAAGAAGGCTAAAAAACTGAGTATTTTAATTTATAAATATTCAAATAAATTTAATTTATTTTTTAATCTTTAGATTCGCTGAAGCTGGTAAGAAAACATGCATGGATTGGAAACCAAAATTTGAGCCTGATTTGAGCAGTTTTCATCCAAGTGCAATTCTACTAGCTGAAATGCTTAAAAACTCTCATAAGGTTAAGTATCAGCTTCAAGAATGCAGCGCTAGCTAGAAGAAATTCTTAAAATAAATGGATGATTGTAGTATCTTTGATGACTTTTTAGGCTCACCCTAAAATTCAAGCAATAGCCTTGAGGAACATTAAGAGGAAGAAGAAACTCTTGAATTAAATTAAAACTTAGCTCTTCATCTAAAGTTGTCTTTGCAATTTTACAACCTCATAAAACTTCCTCTACTAGGTTTAGTTTTCTATAAAACTAATTAAGAAGAGACTTAAATGGATTAAAGTATGAATTTATTCGTTTGATAATTTTTTTAAATAATTTTTATAAAAAAGGTGTTAAAAACTGTATTTAGAAATTGGTTTCAAGCCATATTGACTTTTTAATTGAGAGGAGCTTGTGTAAATATTTAATAATATTATATCTTTTGTCTTAATTATACATACGATTTAAATAAAAAAGCTGATAAAGACTAGGATAACTACTTTATGAAACTTAGAAAAAATATAAGTGAACTTGCTGATTATTTTAAGATTAACACCATAGATCCATATATTTAATAAAAATTTGATGAAAAAACTCTAATCCATATGGCAGACAAAAAAATTCAAAAAATGAAGTCACTCTCACATTCTGTTTCAATGAAAATCGCTCTCGGAGAAATAGAAAATGCTATTTCATTATTGCTTAAATTTTGCACTTAATCACAACACTTGTTCTATAGCTTAACTTTTGATAACAATCTAAAGCTGAAATAATAGCATTTTTGGATGAATTGCATTTATATCACAGAATAACTTAAGAAAACAATTGTTTACATTTAGCAGTCGAAGTATATGAGTGAATAAAATATCATGATAGAAATAAATTCTTTTAAACTTTATAAGTTATTTTGCTATTTTATTCTTAATTTAGGTAAATTATCCATTTAGTCAGTCTTGAATTTAAAATTTAAATTAATTATTATTTTAAACAGGTTTAGAATAATTTTTGGAGGTCAATGAAATATTAAAGGAAGTAAGCGATTTCAGTGAAAAGTCCATCTTAAAGTAGTAGTCATTTGAAATGAAGTATAGTTTCAAAATTAATAAACTCATCGAAAAGGCTAACTAAACAAGAGAATTAAAGTTTAAAAACGCTAAAGCTACAAGATACCAAGATATGTTTGCAGAAGCTTTCCCTACTTCGCCCTATCAACACCTAGAAGATAAAAAGGAATAAATTTCTTCAAAATAAAATCTTAACAATGATGATTAAGAAAATAATTAAAATAATAAATACAAAATGATCCTATTTTCGATGATAAGATATATGTCAATTAAAAACTTGGAAATTATTCTTTCAAAGAACTTCAAAGGATATGAAAAGATGGATTGCTAATTAGACAAATTTAATTACATCAACATTATTAAATAAGTTGAATTTTATGCTAAGAATTAAAAGAAAATATTTAAAGCATTGATGAAACACTTTTCTGCCTCTGACTAAAATAGGATTTTAGATTAGATATTGGGTATATTTGAAGATTCTAGCTATTTTTAGCATGCATCTTATTATAAGAATCTCCCTTCTTATGCTGATCCAGATGAGATTTATTAATTTAAATAAAACCTTAAATAATTTGATAAATTTGAAAATCTTTATCACCATCTTAAGGCAAAAATACTTGTTTAGTAGTATCGCCATCCAAACTATGAATGGTCACTTTTATAAGAAAAGGAGAAATAGGAAATATTTAAAGGTGGTATAGAAGTAATCAAAGTAAAGTAAGAATAATTAAGAGGGTTCTGCATTAATAATTATTAGAGTACAAATCGTGAAATAATTTGTCTGACAAATAAAACTTTCAGAAAAGTTGATTTGATAGAACAAATTGTGAATAAGACTCGTTTTTAAGATGGTTTATCTTTGTGTGAAGAAGTAATTAATTAATTAATACAATATATTTTAGTATAATCTGAATATTTGAATACAATTTTAGGAAACATTCTCAATCGATCCAGCAACTGAAGATAGGAGAACTGTTCAAAAAGTAACAAATCAGCAGTTAGATCAAAAACCTTTAGTTATAAAATTGGCTGCAAAGCTTCTTAATAGTAGATAAATAAGGAGAGATTTGCTTAATCAAGAAGTGAAACTTAACAAATTTAGATATACATATTTTGATTAATACACTGAATAAGAAGTAGCAGATTTGATTAAAGTAAAATTAATTTATTTGTTTTAGAAATTTTTATATAATATTTAATCAAATTTTTTTAAAAAGTATGGAAATATCAAAAATATAAACGAAATTGATTCTCTTTGCATAGTTTCCCACCCAAATCTACCAATTTTCTTTACAGGTATAAATTTTGTTTTAAATTGATTAAAGCAAATGAATGAATAAATAAATAAATAAATAAAAAGGTGGCAGAGGTATTGTTGAGATTTGGTCATGCAATAAATTTACTAAGATTAATGATTTCAATTACCAAAGCAAAGACCCTATTGTAACACTAAAAATATCTAAATTTGGTGAAAAAATAGGAGGTATTGACTCATCTGGAAGTTTGTATTTGTGGAAATTCCATAAAAAGTAAATAATTTATTTAATCTTAAAAACAAAAATAATTCTTAAATTTAAAAAAAAGCACAAAACTTTTCAGTCCATTTTTCTCAGCTCTTTCGAATAAATAAAGATAAATTAATGATTTTTGCTTTATAAATCATGGGTCTATGATAGCTGCTATAACTAATTATCAGTTGCTTATTTTTGACACATTGATGCCTTTGAATTTAGTATTTTTCTTTATTAAGAGTATGATATTTATTCATTTATTTTAACAAATAACAGAGCTAAAGCGAAATAAAAAATATACCAGGCAACTTCCTTAATTATTCTAGCAACAAAAATATAATATTAATTACAAATAGTAAGAAATGCTTGATATCAATATATGATACTAAGAAAAATGACATAAAAAGATATATTGAGGTATTTTTCATTTAAATAGATATTAAGTTAATTTTCATTTTTTTTTAGAATAAGGATTAGACCTTTGGCTAAGAATACAGATGTACTTTCCTAAATAAAAGAGAAAATGCTTTTGTAGTAGGAACAAGTGACGGCTTCATTAAGATTTTTGAACTTGAAACGTTTTCACTTGTCATATAATATTAAGTTTTCAAATAAAGTAAAATATTTAAAAATTATTTATTTAAAAATTTAAAAATAATGCTAATTTTATTAGTTGAAAAGAGGCCTCCAGTTTCAGTTGCTTAAATTTTGTAAATTAATGATAGTTTGTTTGCTTCTAGCTCAGATGGAGTTATATAAATGATTCATCCAGCCATTTTATGAGTTGGTAGTCAATCAGTCAGTCTATTTACTGTAAAAAATAACATAAAAATAAATAAATAATTAATGTATCAAAAAAATTATGTAATTTGTTTGTATTATACAATTAATGTAGTAAATTTTTTAAGAATGTGACAAGTAATAAATTAAAATTAAATAGTCTTTTTATATTCTAAATCCAATTGAAATAATCTAAATTGACATTAATAGATTAATTTCAATTAAATTAAGTTATAAAATTTATAATTTTTTTTAATTTTAAATTCAGCTCAAAGTCTTTCAAAAATACTAAATTTAGAAAAGATATCATATTTATAAAGTATTTTATAACTATTCACCTTCTTTTCATCTAAAATATTAGTTAACATATTACATTCAAAGGAATTTAGATATTTAGTTTAACAATATTTATTTTATGGTTAAAACTTTTTTTTTAATTAATTTTTAACTTTCCTAAGAATTTTTTTTGATTAATTTTTATTAAAATATAGAGTTATTTTTTAAAATTATTTTAAGCTAATTTAAATTGCTCAAAAAAATTTATAGATTAAATAATATTTAATAAGATAGTATGGATAAAATGATATTTAAAGCATTAAATTAACAAGATTTTTACAACTGTAGATTAAATTTTCTTTTTTTAATTTAGTACGATATAAAAATATGGCTTTGTTGTTAAATAAAAAATAATATTGTATGTAAAAGAATTTTAGATAAATGAAACAGTATTTGATTTTTAAATATTCAAAAGGGCAATTTAATTTTGATTTAAATACTTTTTGTAAATTTAATTAAATCAGTAAAAAAACTTTACAAGAAAATTAATTTGAAAAATATTTTAAACATTACTTAAAATATATAACAAACATTACAAATCCAGTAAGAATTTTAGTGCATTTTGAAGCTATTATTAAATTTTATAAAATATACAAAAATTTCAAGTTATTTTTAGTATTTATGTATGTGTGTGTGTATGATTTTATACTGGTTCAAACAAGGGCAGCAGCATTTAATTTGTTGCAAGTGTCTTCTAATAAACCAAGAAGAGTTTCTTCTGTCATTTCTCTTTTAATTTAGAAATATAATTAAATTATTTATTTGCTATTTAATTAGTAAGATTTACCTATTCTTCTTTTCATTTTCGATTTCAGTCTTTACACGGTGTACTACTTCTTTCAACATATCAAATATAGATTACTCGCTTTCTTCTCTATCCTTCTTTTCTTACTATATTATGTTAGTGAGTTTTACAAGTTCTTCAGTGGTCTTCTTCATAATATTTTAATCCATTTCCTCTCTTTGAACTTTTTCGTTATTAACTTCATCTCTGAGCTTGGGCAATTCAATCTTTAGTTGAAAAAATATATTTAAATATTTCTATCAAAATTCTAAGTAAATTATATGTATGTTTATAAGATATCTCCGATTATCAAATTTTTATTTTAAATCTTTGAACTATTTGTTTGTATTAACAATCTTTGTTTCAATAAATTTAATGGCTATCTAACTAAGGAGTATAAGAAAGTAAGCAAAAAATAAGGAAATAAATGATTACTTCTAACTTGCGGTTGATTTCTTCAATAGTTTCATTTCTGATTTTAGATTCTCTTGAAATTTCATCTCTAATAACACTTGTCTTTTCATCTATGGCTCTAGTAATTTTATTTTCACCTTCTTTTCTTGACTTTATTTAATTCATAATAATAAATGTTAGAATAGCTAATCATTTTTGCACTAAAAGTATAATCAAACAGAATTATAATCGAAATCCATTTTTATAAAATTATTGATTATGTGTTGTTGCTTTATTAATCTTATGCTAAAATTCTAATTTAAAATTATTTAAATTTTTAGTTTACTGCAATTTCACTTTCGATGGCAGAGCTAAGCTTTTGATCAAGAGAAGCAATTTCTTTTTGTTTTTGCTCGAAATGATGTTCTCTGTTCAACTTATCTTCTTAAACAAGCTTGGAGAGTTTTTAAATAGTTTCTCTAATAGTTGTGACTTTTTTTTCAAGCTTTTCTTCGAATTCAGTGTATGAATCTTCTAACAATTTAATTCTTTATTCGCCTTAATCTAATTTTGCAGAACGATCATTATTAGCATTGGATTGTACTTGGCTCAATTTTTCGCTAATTTTAGCTATTCTTTCGTTGTGGGGAGAAGAGACTGTTAATTTAATGGTTAAAATATTTTAAGATAAAGGTTTTTATAAATTTGTAAGCTCAAAGCTAAAATATTCTTTTGGATAAAAAAAATATCTAACCTCTGAATGACATATCTTGGTATTTTATTTATTTTATTGCTATCTTTCGTCTGTTATAATTTCAAAAATTTATTAGTATCAATGAATTATTTATAAATAAAAAATTTATTTCTTCCTTTGAAATAGGACTGGAAATAATATTCATGCATTCATTCATTCATTCGTTCATACACACATAAATACATGAATATATTTAAAACCAATTTTTATTAAAATTTCATAAATAAATCTTTTCTTAATTGATACATTTCTTTTTGTTTGTTTGTTTATTTGTTTATTTAGTTATTTGTTTTTTTTTTCCAGTTATCTTTATCAGCTCAAAAAATGATGTGATTGTAGATAATATCTTGGATATTTTTTTGTTTAATAAAATTTATTAATTTGTGTCTTTTTTATTATTAAAATTAATAAATTTGAAAATATTTTAAAAATTTAAATGTCATTTTTATTTGAAAAAATTATTCATTATTTTTAAAATAAAATTTAAATATTTTTATAAAATAGAGTTGTTTGAAAAATATTTATATTTGCTTATAGATATATTATTTAGGTTTAATTAAATTAATAATGCTTTTCATCTGTTTTGTATAAAATAAATACAAATAGGCATCAATTGTTTGTTTCCTTTCCCCAATTAATTTAAATTATACTTCGAAGCTTTTAATGTTAATAATTAATATATTTATGTGATTTTACTTTAATTAAGTATTTTATTAGTTTTCTAAATATTTATTTTATAAAATGTTGCTATTTGATAATTTTAGTAATTAAATTATCAAAACAAAAGTTTGTTATTTGTAATTATTTGCAAAATTGGTATTTACTAAAATAAAAATTTAATTTTGCTTCCATTAAAAAAATTGATATATACTCGTTTAAATTTTTATGATATTTTTTAGATAGCGCAAATCTAATTAAAATTCATAAAATTTAATTGTTTCTTTTATGAAATTAAAATATTTAGTTTCCTACATTTTAAAATATAAGCTAAAATTATTATATTATATTTTATTTTAAATAAATAAATAAATTCGAGCATTTTTTTAAATTTAAATAATTTTATTGGATATATTTATAAGAAATACAAAGCATTTAAACTATTCATATATCATAGCATTATCTATAGAATAATAAATAATATAAATATGTATATTATAAAAATTTTATAAAGAATCAAATATTCATTTAATAGAAATAGTTTATAAGAATCTATTTTTTATGACATATTAATATTTGTTTAAAACATTCAAAAAAAATAATTACTTAAGCTTTTATGTGACTTATTTATTTCGTTGAGTTATGCAAGATAGTTTATTTCTTTACATTTTTGTATTTTCCATAAGCTTGAAAATTATTAACTTAATATAAAACAAAGGAATAGTTAAGATGCTTTTTATTTAACAAAAATTGAGCTTTTTTTATGATTAAGAAACCAAAATTTTGGTATTCATTCAAAAAAAAAACTCTGTTAAAAACAAATTTACTCGCATCATGGAACTTTTATATTGGATTAATCTTAAGTAGAATTAAACATGTATTCTACTATATAACATACTCAATACAAATTTTTTTAAAAATCATTACCGCGAAAATGAAAATAAGTTATTTAACTAATTTATTGTTGAATATATTATGCTTGTTGATCATATTACTGAAAATATAAACTTGTTTTTGTATCTAGTTTTCTTCCTAATTTTAGTGTATATATTCATTTTTATTAAGATGATTTTTAAATATTACTTAATTAAAGAAAGAGAATATGCAAAGAACAAATTAAAATTTTATGAATCAATCAATCATACTAAAAAATAATTAATTTACTAAGAAAATAAAAAATTATACAATAGAATTGATTAAAATTATTTTATGCTAGTATGAAATAAGATTAAAATAAATAATTTACTAAGCCTAATCATAGTATAAATTGATAACAAAAAATATTTAGTTAACCCAATTATGGTTTAATGATTAAATATATATAAACAAATAATCTGTCTGACAAAAATATTATTTTTATCACCAAAATAACTTTAAGACTGTTTATTAAAATAAAATTCATAGAAAAATATAGCATAAAATGTTTACTCTCAGGAATATTTATAGTAGATTTTTAAATAAAAGATAACGTATAATAAATAAATATGTTTAATAAACTAACCAAAATATAGAGTGGTATAAAATTTGAATAAGCTAACACACAAAAACTTACATAATATTATTTCAAGCAATTTAATTAATTATATATTGAAAATAAATTGTTTATTTGACTTTCTAAATTTTGTTAATTCTATTAAAGGATTGAATGAAATTTATTTGTTATGTTTTTTATTTAAATAAATTGGCCTATCAATCGAATATAAGCTCACACAAAAAAAACTAATAGTTAAAGCAAAAAGAAATTAAGATTAATAAATAAATAATAAATATAGAAGAAGAACAAAAAAAATTTCATTCAAATGAAGCATTAAAATGTTGATAACAAAATAGTATAAACTACTTCAGAAAATGTTTAAAAATAACTATGCTGCATTAAAGAAAGAGTTATAAGGTATAATGCTACTACATTAAACATACCAAAAAGCGAAGAAAGTTTAAATTGGGGGAAAGTGGAGAAGCTACCCTTTTAAATTGAAGTATTTTTCTCTCGCCCAATGAAAAATATTGAGTATGAAAAGATTGATGAGAATGCAGGCTATTGGTCTGCTTATTATAATGTTCAGCTTCCAACAATAGTAATAGAAAACTCTAACTAAGGATTTGATCATGGGATTCTTTTAAAAGTAGTGCAAGTAACTTAGCTCAAAGGTGAAGTGATAAAAGTTACAGAGTTAGTAGGCGAGGATTCCCAGTTTATTTAATCTTTACAAAGAACTGAATTAAAAGGCTTGAAGTTGAATACTCCTCAAAAATTACAAAATAAAAAAGTAATAAATAAATAAGCTAAAATATTAACATTTTGAAGAAACCGTATTATTAAATAAAAATTTACTAGTTTTCTATTTTATTTACCCAGCTTATTCATTCATTTATTTGATTGATTGAATTCATTAACTGACTATGTTTATAAAAATATAATTTATAAATCATAATTTTTAAACTGTTAGGCGAATCAAATATAAATTATGAAGAATTTTATCAAAGCTGCTTTTTCCATCAAAATAAACACATTAATGCAAATATTCACATTTATTTTATGATATTAGAGTCTCTAATAATCAAGTCTCTAAATTATGCTAAAAACAAAAATAAAAAAATATTATTTCATTTATAAATCGCTTATAAATTTTATGAATTTATAATCCATTTTTGGTGTAATGGTTTCAAAATTTAAATAAATTATTTATAAGAAACAGTTTACCAAACACATTAATACATTCTTATAATTTTAAATAAAATAGAGATGTATCCATCATATTGCAATATGTGCTTTTAAGTAAGTAGAAGAAAGTTCCTGTAATAACTTAGAACTAATAGGTCTTTCCATTTGTGGTGGATTCTCTCTTAAATCTAGGAAAAAAAGTCATCAAGAAAAAGTAATATTATAGCTTTTAATTAAAAACTGTAATTAATTTAATCAAATATATAAATTGACAATTCAAAAAAGAATAATTGTAAGTTAATATAATAAAAGAGTATCGATATTTACAAACAGTGTTCTCATTACTGACTGATAAATAAATAAACAAAAAAAACATAAATTGAAAATGGTTATTAATTTACTCTTAATCTATTTTTTGAGTTCTGAAAAAATTTTTTATTTTTTCACGCTGATTACAATTTTTATTAAATTAAGCTAATCACAAAAATTCATTAATGACAAATCAATCAAAGAGGTTATTATAATAAAATTTTTTTTTTTATTTAGAGTAATTTTATCCTACAAATACCAAAGCAAATAATTTATCATATATTACAATTTAAGAAATGATTGAGCTTCTTTAACTTTTAAAAAATATTGTTTTATTCTCTTTGATGCTTGTTTGAGATAGTGCTAACTATCTAAATCATTCTTTTAAATCTTAAAAATTTTCAAATTTTTTAAATAATTCAAGGGATTAGATACTAGCTATTTCAAACCTATAGAGCTAACTTAGAGTCTTCTTTAAAGAAAGTGCAAATAGCAACCTATTATGATATCAAATAATATTGAAGGGTTATTACTTTATTTTACATCTCCTAATATTAGGCATAAAGTACGAAGATTATAAATTTAATTAATAACTTCCTTTGATTTTAAAAAATGAGTACAAAAAACTAACAAGCTCATTTACTTGTTAATATCAAATAATTAAGAAAATTTTAATGATAACTAGATAATTCACCCATTGTTTCTTTCTGTAAGATTCTCATAAGCAGTCAAATTGTATTTATGCAGCAAGACATTTCCAGCAGAAAGTGATGTAAAGTCTTATCATCAGATTTGATCAAAACATAACATTCATTAATTTATTAATAATAAGATATGAAAAACACTATTTACAAAAATTTTAAATATGTAAAAAAAGGTTCAAAACAAAGTTAAAAAAATATGCACTGAATTCAGCAAATGCCAAACTGGAAATGAAATATAAAAAAACCACACAATGGAAATTATGATTGATGACACAAGCTATGTTCAAGGTGCAACAGATAAGGAAGATTAAGTAAGTTTCAAATTTCCAAGTTTTTTCCATTAATCATTTGTATAGAGGTGCGTACAAAGAAAGCATTTGTAAAACAGGTGCTTGAAAATTTTTTCTGATTTTTCAAAAGTAAGAGTGAAATCTAAATCAAAACTCTATTTATGGAAAATAGGAATAGATATTTAAATATGGTTTTTTTAATTTTGATTTATTAATAAGATCATAAAAGATAATTGTGCATTTTTCTTTAATATCTCTTACATGCACAATCTAAATATCTATCAAAGTAACAAATGACCGTCAAGCGATCTATCAAAGAAGAGAATAAACATTTAAAAAAACAAGGATAAATAAGTAATAAAAAATATTGGAAATTAATAACTAATTTCCCTTAATGCTTTTTTGAAGAATAGATCATCTTATTTATAATTAAGTTAGTGATTTAAAACAGGGTGGGAAACTCAAAAAATACCTTCCACTATAATTGAAAACTTTTTTTAATAGTTTTAAATTTAGTTTATGCCTCTAATTTTTAAGGGAAAAAAATAACAAAATTTGTCAACTTCAGTTTGGCTTTTATAAATATTTCTATAAAAACTAACAAATTTTTTTTGGTATTTATTGTAAAAATATACTTTTTTTATAGACTTTTTCTAAGCATAAATAAAATACTACCTATAATTTTTAGTATTCTTATCATCATATAATATAACATTAGGTGCAGCGTAAGAAAAAAATATAAAAAGTTTTAAAGGCTCTTGAATGTACAAAAGATTCGAAATGTCTTTATTATCTTAAAAGTGATTAGGAAGAAACAAAAGAGCGTTTGAGTTATTATCACTTTGAAACTCAAAGCATAAAGGTAATAGCTTTTAAAATTCAATTAAAGAGTATCTAAAATGACTCATATTTTGTATATTTATTAAATATAATTTTATTATACTCTAAATATAAATTTTCTAGATTTGCACTTTAAGATAAGAAAAAATTTGTTTTTGTTATTTATTTATTTTCTTTTCACATAAAACTGAAATAGATTTTGAAAAATAAAAGAACAAATATTTCGTATAAATCCCAAACAAAACTATTGAATTTTATTTTTTTACCCTTGGATAAGTTAAAAAAGGTCATTCATTTTATTATATCAAATTAGGACAATCTTATCTCAATCTACAAATCAATTTATTAACTCCACTCAGGCGTAAATGAAAAAGATTGGTATATTTAAGATTCTTAACGCACTTAAAATACTAGCCCCAGCACTCCTTAAATAGGTTAAAGTAAGTTAAACAGAAAAAGAAAAGTTAGCTCTGTAATAGATGTTAACGAGTATAGAAAAGCGAATTCAAGCTTAAAAAAAATTTTGTACAAAATCTAAGTGCAATATAGAGAAGAAACTTAAATGTCTACGCTAAACTAAGAAAGTTTTAAACACATGATGCAGTAAAACGATGAACAATAAAATAGTAACTATGAGGTAATATCCCAAATCATCTCAACGCCAACGCCTGCGATTTAAGGTAATTAAGACATAAACTTGGAGCCTTAAATTAATATTAAATATGAAGCTGAATGTCATTAAAAGGCTGACCAACTCAATAAAATAAGATACCAAAATTTTGTAAAGCAAGAAGAAAACGAATTGTTCTAAACCTCTACTGTCCAAGATTAATAAGTAATTAACTTTTGTAAATTATTAAATTTATTTATACTACTGATTTATTTTATATATAAATAAAGCCATTAAATATTTGTACTCATATTGAGAATTCTGAATAAAAAATGCGCCAGCCATAAATAAAAAAAGAGTCATAAGATTTGGAATAATAATCGTGCAATTATTAGTTCAATCTTCCTTAGTAAGCCCATCCTTTTTTGAACATCTAATCAATTTAAGAAATGAATAGAATTAAATATTAGTATTAGTAGTGCTAAATGTAGTTATTCTATTAATATGAATAACATTAAAAACCATACTACCCATATAATTATCGCTCTAATCCTCCATAATGGTATGGATTCTAAAACCCTCATCCAATCTCACCTAATAATTAAAATAAATATAAAAATTGCTAATTTTAAGGGGGTTTCCATATATGATTTTAGTCATTTTTAATTTATAAAAAAAAGAATAACACAAAAACAAAAAATGAGATGCTTAAATTTTTACTTCTTAACTTATTTATTAAAAAAATACCAAAAAAAAATATGCGAGGCTCTGCATTTAATAGTGTTAACTATCCTATTAGATGCCCATACCTCAATATCTATTAAACTATTAAATACAACTCTACTAAATTATTCGTAAAACAATTTCAAATATAACTATTATATGCTATATAATCAATGTACTACTGCTACGTTAAAAAAATTTCACATAATATACAACTCCTAAATCAAAACTATTTTGAAACCATCTTTTAAACAAATACTATTTATTAATTGCATATTTTTCAATAGCTAAAATTTAGCAAGTTTGCTTCGAGCAAGTTATTTTTATCTATTTATGCCAACATTGTTAAAAATTTTTTTAAATAATCAATCAAAACTTTTGATACCAAGATTGTATAAAATCTCTTATATAAAAGATGTGCTTTTATATAATTTGATTGACTTTTATAAAATGTTTGCGAAGCTTTTTTGTAGATTCAAATATTTACAGAAGAGTATATTCATTGCTAAATAATCATTTTAATTTAAATTTTTGTATTTAGCTTCTTACATCTTTTTTTATTCATACTTTTGTAATTTTTAGAGTTTTAGAAAATACGTATTAAATTATGATTTTTATATTTTATTTCTTTCAAAAATATAATTTTTTTAGTGAAACTTGCTAACTATGTTTTTTTTATCTAAAAAAAATACATATTTATTTATATGATTTTACTTGATATAAAACTATTTTTTACTATTTAAAAAATAAGAACTTATCTGTATTTTTTATATATTAACTTATATAATAATGTCTTTTAAGATAATTAATTATTTGTATTTTTACTTTTGCTTCCTAATCAATAATTAATTATTAATACTTTTTGAATATAATATGTTGGTGATTTTTTGCTGGGCAGAGATACTGAAATTTATATATTTTGCTTATACGCAGCTCTAAATGAATTAGTAGAATTTAAAAAATAAGTATTATTAAACTGGCATTTATTAATGATCTATTTTTTCCCATTAATTGAAAATTTCTAAGCATTTACAAATAACAATCAGTAACTCTTTCTCCTCAATTTATAAATTACCATTATTATAATTTCAGAAATTGAAACAAAATTTTTTTGAGCTAGCTGTTTAATTATTACAATATAAAAAACTAATTATATTTTGAAAATGAACAGCTTAAATTAATCAAATATAAATAAAATTATAAAATAGCTGTATAATTTATCACTTTTAAATCTTGAACATTCTACAAAATTATTTGTTTGTTTATTTACTTACCTATTATATGATTATCGAAGCTGACTTATTTGTTTATTGAAAAATTCTCCACTCAATTTATTTTCTAATCAAAATCATCTGGTTTACATATTTTTTTAAAAAATTATTGGATAGATATCAATTTACTATTTAAAGTAAAAGGATACTAATCAATATATGATTAAATTTACTTATAAATATTGATCTTAGCTTTTCCCTTAAAATTTTTTAATATTTTTAGTATTGCGCTATCATAACTGAGTAACTTTCTGATAGAAATATTTCATCAAAATTATATTTTTTCTCTTTTTGATAAATAAAAAACAAAGTTTTTTATATATATTAAGCAACATGAAAAAGAAAAAACTAGAGCACGTTTATTTAACTATTTTTTAATGTTCTAAATTCTTGAAATTGCTTCTTAAATCAAAACATAATTTTTTATATTTATTAGATCTCATTTTTTAAATAAATAATTTTTTTGTAAAAAAATTTAAAAAAATTAATTTAAATAAAAATATTTGCTTAAAATTTATCTTGACCATTGATCAGAAGATATTTTTATTTATTTTAGATAATTTAACTTTTTTTAAACCAAATCAAATTTAGTCCTTATAAAATTTTTCATTTTTAATAGAATTATTACAAATTCCAAATAATTTGTATTCTAAAAAGAAATGTAGAAAATTTAATAAAATATATCATTATATCTAATATTAATTAAATAATCTAAATAATATAGGATTTTTTCGTATTAACTTTCAAATGATTTGAATGACTTGGAATATTGTTATGTTTATTTAATTTGAGAAGAGTGAGTGATTTATGAACAAATTAAAATAAATTCTAAAGACAGCTTATATTCACAAATGAATGGAAACATGAGTGAATACAATATAATTAAAATAAAATACAAAAAACAAATAATATTTTTGGAATATTATTTATATCATTCATAAATATGTTTTATCATATAATAATAATAAATATTTATTTATAGATTATTTTTTAGCTTTTATGTTTATTCAGATTTGTTATGGTTTTAAGCTAATCGTTTACTTAGGTAGTAGCTTATCTATCAATTACTTATTTCTCACTATTCAATGTCCATATTGTTAGCATTACCATTGTTATTATTTTATTAATTGTTTGTGTTATTATCACCTTCAGTTTACATCTTAGTATCAGCAGCTGGTTTTTCTTCTTTCTTAGGTTCAGGTTTAGGCTTGGAAGCAACTTGCTTGTAAATCTTTTCAAATAAACAAATTTTAAAATAAAGTCTAAAAATTAATTTAAAAAAATTACATTAGACAAACTGTTGATGTTATTGGTAATTTCTTCGACTGTAACAACGGGATCAGATGTCAAGGGGATAGTTTTTTAGACATTATCAGCATTGTTCAACCAGATTCTTAATCTATCGATTTCATCAGAGAGAGGTTTCTTATCTTCCTTGGAAATATGGGCATATTATTCATCCTTTTTAAATTAATTTAAATTGAGTTAAATAATTTTTTATTTTATAATAAAATTAATTACATTTGAAATATAGAAGTTTTCAGCAGTTATAATAGCATTCTTTAAGTTGTTGATAGCTTCAGGGAGGTGAGTGTATTGATTGAAACGTCTATCAATGGCAACAGTCAATTATTGGAGAGCATCTAAACGGTTAGAATATTCCTAGAGAGTGGAGTCAGCACCTTAATCATAGAGCCAAGTTTCAGCTTAGTTAAGGTTTTCATTTAACTTGTTAGAGAGTTCAGGAGTAACATAAGCCTAATGAGAACCAGTAATCAAACCTCTCCACTTGTAGATGAAAGATTCTAAATCATTCTTCTTATTTAAAGTATTAATAATTAAGTTATCGCTTTAAAGATGAGCTGCTTAGACATTTGTTAAGTTTTCCAATTATTCCTTAGTTTGTTGATAGTATAAGCTAACGAATTCAAGAGATAAATCAGTGTGTCTGGTTTTTTTCTTTTGCTTTATTTCGTATTCAATAGGAGGCTCTTAGACAGGAGCTTATTGGGCAGGTTGTTCTCCGTTAGCAGCTGGGGCAGGAGCAGTGGCAGCAGGCTTATCCTTCTTAACTGGAATTTTTTCTTCAACAGTGTAATCTTCAACAAGTTGAGCTTCTTCAAGATTAACAAGACCATCCTTATCAAGCTTGACCTTAATCTTAACTCCAAATTCGGTTTCTTTTGGTTTGCAAGGAGCAACAACAAAGTTGGCTAATTGAGCATCAAATCCTTCAGGAGGTTGGGCATAGAAAAGACTGATATTGATACCATCGTTTTTATTAAAAGTGATTGATTTGACATTAGGAACTGTGCATCCTTTATCAAAGATGACATTGGTTTTACCTTCTTATTCCATCTTTTCACCTTTTTCGTTTCTGTTGAAGAAATCCCAGCTCATCTTAATGGAATAATAGTTAGCTTCTTCTAAATTGTATTGGGCAACCTTGAATTAAGGAGAAACCATAGCGCTCATCATAGCACAACCTCTAGAAATACATTCAGATTGGTTAAGAGTTTTATAAAGAGTGGGGACATTGAAAGCTTCTTAGATGATAGCTTGGACTGCAGGAATTCTGACTGCACCTCCGATGATTTCAACACTGTGTAGTTCGATTTTTTTAGATTCTATTTTAATTAAATTTTAATATTTAATAAGATAGATTTAATTAAATTCAAAAATGCTTGATTAATTAATTAATTAATTCATGATTCGAATATTCTTTTATTTTATATTAATTTATTTTTTATATTCTAATATCTTGATTAATTAATTAGAATATTAAGTGCAAATAAATACTTTTATTTATTTATTTATTAAAATATATTCAAATTTATCTTTGATGCTTTTATATTTATTTAATAAGATGCTTTTTTTTAGCTAATTTTAAAGATGTTTTTGTTTGTTTTTTCCTTGTTTTAAAAAATTTTTTATTTTAAATAAATAAATAAGAATTTATGAGTTAGTTAGTTAGTTCGTTTATTCTTATTTATTTTTATTTAGCAAAAGATTATTGAAATTTATTAATTAAAATTTCCTATTAAATTTAAAAATAATTAATTATTTACTCAAATCTTCGATAATAGTATTAATGGATTCCTTAATACGAGCTAGGACAGGCTAGATAACAGATTCGAATTCAGTTCTAGTAAGATTTTCATTTAAATCGCAATCTTCAACTAAGTATTCACAGTTGCAATCAGCTTCACTGTTAGCAGAGAGGATCTTACGTTACTTTTCGATAGCATCGAGTAAACGGAGCTAAGCCTTCTTAGATTCACTGACTGATAAACCGTGTTATTATTCAAACTTTTTGCAGTATTTCTAAAAGACTAACCAATCCATGTCTCTAGCACCCAAGTTTCTTTCGTGTACTTGTGAGACAATGGAAAGCTTTTCCTTGGTGAAAGCACCAACGAAAGCAGAGAATTTAGAGTGACCCAAATCAACAAAAGCAACATGTCTAGGGGTAGTAGCATCCAATTCAGCCTTTCTAAAGAGACCATAAGAAAGACAGATGGCAGAACTTTCGTTGAATAATCTGAGAGGATTCAAACCGGCAATACGGCAAGCATCTCTCAAAGCCTTTCTTTCTTATTCAGTGTAGTATGATGGAACAGAGATAACAGCTTCGTGATTGGGTAAATTGTTTAAAGTAATAATTTTACGAATATCACCCAACATAGCAGCAGTAACCTATTCAGGTAAAAGCTTAACATTTTATCCCTTATATTAGACGTCATGAACTAATTTTCCTTCTTCATTAGTGCTTACTTTTGAAGAAATCCACTTGGTTTCATTTTTAAGGTTGGGGTAGTTAGCAGGTATACCTAATAGTCTATTGAAGAAAGAGACAGTGTTCTTGAAATTGCTTTTTGCCTTTATATAAAACAAACAATTAGTTAAATATTATATTGAGAGGCTATGTTTGTTTGTTTGTTTTGCTTCATTTGTGATTCAGACTTTCAAAATATGAAAATGGATAAAAAAATATGGAAACGACTCTAAAAATGGGAAATCAAAATGTGTCTAGAATTAATGAGTATATTAGTTATATTAGAGATATTTTGAATATATTTGCTGAATATAATAAACTCTTAGTAAGTCTGAAGCTAATTCTATATTTTAAGCTTAGAGAATTGCATAATGGAAGAGGTAGAATTAATGTTAAATAATTTAAAAATTAAAAAATAATAACATACTTGAGCGTTAGCAGCTTCACCAGTAAAACGTTAAGCGGGTCCGTAGCCTACGATATTTCTAGTTTCTCTCAAGGAGGCTTCATTGGCGATAACATCGACACCACCTCTTTTAGCAACAGCAATGACGGATCTTGAGGAACCGAAATCAATACCAATAGCACCTATTTACAAAGCCTGATTTTGGGACATTTTTTAGATTGTGTTTTATATGAATATGTATCTAGATTTTCTTGTTTTTAATTTCTTTTTAGTATAAATTTAAATATTTTTTATTTGATTTTTTTATCATATATCTTTTAAATATCCCCCACCTACTCATTAATTCATTCAAAAAAAATATATTTTTTGATAGAAGAATTCTATAGTTCTATTCATAATTACTATTTTTTATAGAATTATTCGAGAAGCTTCGTATCTCCCACATATAATATTCGATTTACTTATTTTTATATAAAATCTTATTTGTTCTTTTGTTCTGAACATTCATTCTATTCTTCTTTTCATTCTATTTATAGAACACTTGCAACAAGCTATGTTTCGTATATTTTAAATTTAGCTTTTTACATTTACATTTCGTATGTAAACTACTAGAGTTTTTTTGGAACTTATTTTTAATTTTCATTTATACTTTATACTATTTTTGATGAATTAATCCTTTATTACAAAAAATAACTTTTCTTATACCCAATAATGCCCCAGCTTTTGCATAAAAAGTATATTTATAGCAATAACAGATATTTTTAATTAATAATCAAAGAAAATTTCTTTCAATTTATTATTAGTATTAAAGCAAAGTAGCATTTTAATTAATTTTGTCGATTTTAATTTTTGGTAACAAAAAACAAGAAAAACTCCAAAACTATTAAAAGTGACGAATGAGCTTTAATATCTAATAAAATCAATTGTCCGACACGTAATTAGAATAATAAATATTTTTTTTCTCCTACTTTAGCATTCACTGAATCAGCTGAATTGGAATCCTTCCTAATTTATAAAAATAAACATCAAATTCTAAATTAATTATTAATAAAATAAATATTCTATTTCAATATGTAATTAAAATTTTTTTTATCTAATAAAAATTATCAAAATTTTATATTAATATAGATTAAAAGAATTTTCTAAATTCTAAAAATAGATTGCTTATTTCCTATCTTAAGAATTATTAAAACTTCATAAAAAAATCTAATAAAATATTTATATTTCAAATAATTGTAGATTTCTTCAGCAGTAAATGTCATTGTTGATTTCCTCATTAGTTTTAAAATTATAATTAGTTTATTATTTAATCAATTGCGAAAATGCTTAAAAAGCAAGTGGAACTTTAAATCATTACTTAGGTATCATCTATTTATTAAAAGTCTAGATGTTTTTCGTTATTTACTGCTCTTGCTAATAAATAATGTAAAATAATTGTTTTAGGAAGCAAACAATTATTTATTTTACAAAAAGCCTTTAAAATAAGATAACTTCAAAATATTTTTAAAATTATAGTTGTTGTATGCTGTTCATGTATGTTAGCAGTCTCTGATCATTTATCATTTTTAAGTTTTTATTTTGAATAAAAAAAATGATCTAATTATACCAAAAAAATCAAGCTGACAAGGAATACATATAAAAGTATTTACATTTCTTTTCAATTTCGAGGGTTGTTTCTTTAAAAATAGAGTAGATTTTATAGCAAATAATTTTAATAAAAAATAACAATCAAAATTTTAATTGATTGTAAAAGCTTAAAATATTAATTAATATCATTCAAATATACACAAATTATATAAAAGTAATATTCTTTTGTCACATGTTATGCATGCTAGTTAGCAGTTTCTGATCATTTATGATTTTTCGCGTTTTTATTTTGAATAAAAAAATGAAATGGAGCTAATCTATACCAAAAAATTAAGCTGACAAGGAAAATAAAAAAAAATATTTACGTTTCTGTATAATTTCGAGGGTTTTTTCTTTAAAAATTTAGTTGATTTTATAACAAACAATTCCAATAAGAAATAACAATTAAAATTTTAATCCATTATATAAAGCTTAAAATATTAATTAATAACAAACAAATACAACCAAACTATACAAAATTGATATCCTCAATCATTTTTTTCTTTCTTAACAAAGATAGGAATAGAACTAAAAATAAAAGCAATTTTTTTAAGGAAATAGAAGGAGAAGGTATGAGTGAAAATGAGTAAATGATTCACATCAAAAGCAAAAGTATTCCAAGTTATGATATAGAATAGCAAGAAGCTTAGCAAAATTAATCATTAATAAAATAGACTTAAAGAGAAAATGGTAAAATAAAATAAATATATCAAGAACCTGATACACACAGGTAAAATAGATCTACATGGGAGTGGCTCTTTGGAAGTTGTATGAGTCGCACTTATGATTTGGATTAGTAAGAAATATAAGCATTTGGTATGCTCAAAGAAGATACTTAGCAATATTTTGATGAAAAAAATCAAACTCATATTATGATTTTAGCAGAACTTTGGGAACTACTTACTGAAACGGCCATGGATAAAGAAAATTACAAAAATGAAGAATGGATTAAATATGGCTTTTAAAACAAAAATCCCTGCACTGATTTTAGAGGTGGCGGAGTTTTATCTCTCTTATAGATAATACACTTCACAAAAAACAATAAAGAATTGGTTATAAAAGATATGAGTAATCCCTAAAATGATTTCTTTTTTGCTTTATCATCCATAAATGTAACATTCTTCTTGAAGCAAATTTTACACTTAGCAGAACACCTAGATCCAAAAAAAGATAGAAATGTATTTTGTGATAGACAAAGTTTCAAAAGTTTTTGTTAAATGTTAGTAAAAGATGATGATACATTTAATAAAATGCATGATATTGTTTTGAAAGATATGTTTAATTCTTGGATTGCCCTTCGTAAATCTCAACCTAAAACCACTCTTATAGATTTTCCAAAAATAGAACAACAATTTAAAAAGAAATTTAGAAATGTCCTCTCAAGATAAGAGTATTTCAATATTACAGAGTTCGAAAGAGCTTTTAAAGCTTTAAAATGAAAATAATAATTTGCTATCATTATTATATTTTATTTTAAAATGTATAAAATTTCTTTATTTTTATAAAATATAAGCAACAAAGCATATTTACTTAGTCTTTCTTAAGATGCAAATTAAGAAAAAAATCTATATAATAATAAATGATAATATTAATTTCATTTAGGATTCATTTACTGTAGTAATTTATTTTAATTTTAAGATAATCCATATCGATATTTGTCAATCCACTTTTATAATATTCACTCAATTCATTTAATGGCTAATAAAAGAATTAAAGCAAAAATTTTAATTTATTTATCATAAAATTTCATTTTTTTTCTTCATATTTTATTAATCTGGAATGTATTTATTAGTTGAGAATGGTTATAATTTACATGCTAATCAACCTCATTTAATAATGATAAGAAATATACATTTAAATTGTTAATTATTAATACAATTTGATTTATGAATATAATTTCTAAAGTATAATTAATATTTTAATTAAAAAAAAATTAGAACTAATAAAAAACATGAACAAATTTTTACTTGTTGCACTTGTTGCTTGTTGTATATCATTTACCTACGCTTAAGATGGTGGATATCATGTTGCTGAGTATGAAGAAGAGTACCATGGATCTGCTTTCAAAGCCGCTATTCAACGTCTTGCTGAATTAAAGTTAATTTCTTCCAATGGTATCTTACATCCTGAGGCATTTTACTAGAAGATCGTCAGTGGTGCTCTCTATAAATTTGTTATCAGAGAAGGTAAAAATGTATTTGAAGTAGAAGTTTGGAGTTAACCTTGGTTGAAGAAACTTGAAATTCAAAGTGTTAAGCAAATACACACTCCCAACTATTGAGAAAGACTACTACCAATAATAATCATTGAATTTAAATATTCAAAATTAATGAATGATAAAAAATTATAAAATCTAATAATATTAATTTCTATTTCCATAATATATTTGACTATATGTTGTACTTTCACTGATAATATGATTAGTAAATTTAGTTAAATTAATAATATGAAAAATAGAAACCTCATTTTTATAATGTTAATTATTTGATTTTTTAAGAAAAATATAGCATTATCTATATATATTTAGCAACAAAAAGATAAGTTTTTGTTTAGCTAGTACATTGAATTTTTTTAGTCTAGAAAAACTATAATTAATAACTACTGAATTAATTAGAATTTTTTATTCTTTAAAATATGTAAATATAATTTGTTAGTTTTTAATAATAAATTTATCATGAAAATAATTATTTCTAAATATACAAATGCTAAAATAATTGAATAAATTTTAATTATGCTTAAAAACATTTTAAAAATATAACAATAATGTCCTTAAATCAATAGTATAATTGATTGGTTTTCACTTCTAAAACTTATAAATCATAAAGATTTTAATATTTTTGTAAATAAATCTTGTTTTAATATCAATTAAAATTTTTAGATTTTATCATTTTAACATAAATAAAATAGTAACTAAATAAATTATACAAGCATTAAATCTAAAAATGTTATTATTAATATAGATATATATTATTATCTAAGGTTTTATATAAAATACAAACTCTTCGACTCATGGCAACTAAACTAATAATTATTCCTATTGTAACTTAAAAAGTAAAGTTAAAATTAAATATTTACAAATTGAGAATACATATCATCCATATATCTTATTGTATTTTTGTAAAATAATTAAGTCTATAAAAGCAATATTAATAATAGCAATTTTGTAAATCTTAATATTTAATGATTATTTTAAGTAATTAATATGGTTTTTTAACTAATATAAATCAATAAATAAATAATTTAAAATAATTTTTGAATTTCAATTAATTATTTGTCACACCACATCATTGCTTTTTTTTACTTATGCTAAGGCACTATGTATTCTTTGACTTGAGTTTAATTTTATTTATTTTGCACTTCTGAATATCATACTTGTGGTTTTATTGTTTTCTTCTTTTTACTTAAGAGGATAAGGAGGAAAAATATACTAGATCTGTTTATGTTCTTATGGTGTATACAAAAACTACTTATTACTAAACTTCTACATTCTTCTGATTTATGTTTTAGCTGTTTTGTTATCTGAAGTTTTTATTTTAGATAAATTTTTAGATAAATCGCTAACTTTTTCGAATTCTTGCTTATTTTCTTTGGTTAGGTTTTCTTTCCGTTCCTTGTAAAAGGCAGTTTAAGGTCTGTTGATAAATTTTGTGCTGAATGATTTTATTCTTTTATCCAAATTATGAGAAAGTATTTGATTTTGATTTTAATCTACGATATTCAGCTAGTCAGTTTTATTACGCTCACGATATTAAAAGTTAACTTTCTTCTGCAGAAATTCTATTTCATCATACTTTTTTAATTCAAATCTTGGTTTTGTAGGTTTTTTAACTTTGCTATAAATTTAATTTTTAATGATTTCTGGATTGTTTTATTCTTCATAATAATTTATAATATCATTTAAATCACTTATTTTTTCGAAAGGGTTAGGACAATAATCTTCTAAAATATTTGCATAATACTTTAACTGATTTTGATGCTCTAAGCCTAATTCTGACATATAAGGGATATTGTTTAGCTAAAAGTATGTTTAGTATTACTTTTACAGTTTAGCAGGAGCTTCCAATTACTATTTCTTTTCTTTTTCTTTTTTTAATTGAATAGTTGATCTCCTTGAAAATGAATTTGATTTCATCAAATCTTGATTAACAATTTGATTATTTTATTCTTTCTAAAATAATTGGGATTACTAATCTAATAATAAGCTGCCTTTTTATTGTGGTATTTTATGTATTTAAGAGTAACTTTGTTATTTGGATTGTGTTCCTTGAGGTGAGTTTGTTATTGAATTCCTCTAAAATATGTTTTAGATGCTATTTTTTTATGTTTCCTCTACTTTGAAAAATTTACTTTTGTTATTTTTTTCATTTTAGATTTGCTAATTTTATTAAGGAAAAAGTTTTTCGTATAGCTTATTTATGGCACTCTTTTTTTATTTAAGCTCTTCAAAATTACAGATTTTTTCAAATTCTATGTTGTCAATACCAAGTGTATAGTTACGTTTTGATTAATGTGCATCTAAAAAATTAGATTAAGAATTTATTGTTTGAGAGTTACGAGTTTCCTAAGTTGCTGTAGTGTTAAGTAAATTTATTGAATATAATTCTTTTGTATTTTTTCCTTCATTAATTGAGTATGCTTAGCTTAAATGAATCTGCTATTTTGGATTTTATTATTCTTCTATTTGTTGATCAAATAGCTACTATTGTTCCTTTTTCAGTTACTGTTTTTTCATAATATCAAGCATAAGTTCTTCTTCTTATTTCTATTCTAATTCTTTTTATTCTTTTTCCTTCTACAGCTGCTTTCTTATCTGTTCTCTATTTTATATAATTTATTTACTTTTATTGATTTTATCTTGAAATCTAAATGAATTTATTTTGTTTATTTTATCTTAAATGGTTTCTGATATGTAAATATCTATTTTTTGTTGATTTAAAGGAAAATATAAATCATTTTCATTAACATATTAAAACTAATCAGGTGCTCTAAGTGCGTAGTTATTGTTTTCAGCTTAAAATAAATTTGCCCAGTATGAGTCTCGTCTAATAAAATCTTTGTCATCTTTATAGGCTCCTTCTTATTCAATTATGGGTTTCTAAAGAGTACTTGCATCTTTTTCATAATGGAGATGATTAATAATTTTTTCTTTTTCTTTTGGATTTTTTAATTAATGTCTTTCAAAAAACTATTCCATCTTCAGCATAAGCTTATAGGATAGCTTACCTCCTATTGAATCATCTACCATCATTTCTCTTCTAATTTGAAGCTTAAAGTCATTATAATCTTTTTCTTTCTTCTTTTAAAGTAACTCGTTCTAATTGTTAGCTAAATATAATTTTAAATATTTAAAGAAAGAGATAAAAAATAATTTTCCATACAAGAAGATGTCTTTTGTTGTAAAGCAACATCATTTTCTAACACTAAATTCTCCTAAGATATTTTTTTTTGATTCTAATCCTTTAGTTGTGGGCTTTATATTAACTGTGATTCTTTTCTAATTTAATCAGGCTATAGTAAATGGAGTTATTTAATACTGTTAATATCTTAATAAGCTGAATTTTTTCTAGATCTTTAAGCTGGACTAAGTAAATTAAAATTATTTATTTTATCTACTTTCGCTTAATCTTATTGCTGATGTTGCAGCTATGCCTTTTTATTTAATAATTCAAAACTGTAATTTTGATTTTCCATCAAAATTTATTATTTTTTTATCTTATCATTAAACCTCTCAGCTTTTCTTCTATTTTTTTTCACCCATTTTATAAATTTTTAGAATTTTTTATCATCCTTAGCCACTTTACTTTCTTTAAATTATTTAGGGAGTTCTTATTAATGAGTTTATTATGCATTTTTTATTTTATTCATTACTGCCTTAAATATTTATTTTACAAAAACTAATAAATTTGTTAATTATAAGTAGAAGAAATGCTTGCTAATATTGCTAGAAATATTTTTATTACTAATCAGAAAATTAACAATTAAATTTTTTTAACTTAATTTAGGAAGTTTTTTATTTTTAATAAATATGAATAAAAAAGTGTAACATAATATTTTAAGCAGTTTTTTATTCATTTAATTCATATTTTTAAAACATCCAAGAGAGCTATTTAAACAATTATATTCTACTACAAAATACATTAGCCCATAAATAATTGATGAAAATACATTAATTTATTAAGATATTTTATTAATTGTAAATAATTAATGACAAAAAAAAGAAATATATTCATACAAAATTGAAGTAAAATCATAATATTTTTTCAGATCCGCCTCTATTATCAAATAAGAAAGAGGAGACTCTAATTGCCTGAGATACATTTTACTATAAGATACCAACAGATTATTTTAGTACATCAATATGATAATTTTTTAATAAAATCTTATCTAAAGATTAGCTTGAGCTACTATTTTATTCATACCAGAAAGGAACCATAGCACTCTCAATAGAACTAAATATATAAATGTCAGTAAAATCGTATTGTTGTCTCATGAAGCTAAAGCAACTCATGAAAGTATCTCTCCATCCTTTATCGTAAAGTAACCCAGCACCACTTCCTGGAAGACTAAATATTTCAAACTCATAAACTCCTCTTACATTAAAGAATTTATTTACTTGTTCTCTCATCTTACTATCACTATCTATTATAGCTAAAATCCTTGTTGGTTTTTGCTTTTGACGAGCTTGTTACTTAATTTAATCTGGTACTTCATTACTATGCTTTAATAGAGCAGACATTGGACTAAGTATTTATTTAGCAGCAAGTTAACTTACTTTTGAAGGTTATTACTATATTTGATTTACTTAATTTTCCATGCTATCTGCATTGATTTATTAATATTGAGAAGGCAGAGGTGTATTGAAATATTTAGCATTTGCAGGGGGGGAAGATGAATTAATCTACTAATTCTTACTAACAACAGGAGTTTTTCTAATATCTGGATAGTTTGCATCTCCATATTAATTCGAAGGTAGTTGTGGATTATTTTAGCTTGATGAAGGAATTCTAGGTTGAGACATTTGATTTTACTAATTAGCAAGTATATCATCTTAAGAATATAAATTATTTGGCAATTCTTATGAATTGATAGACATTTAATTTACGTTTGCAGATTTCCTCTATTATTGTTGCTATTAAATTTACATTTCTTTTTCTTTAATCTATCTTTCTTTCTCTTACAGCATTTAGTCATGCAATCTCATTTCTTCTTACTTCTTTAATTAATTTTCTATTTCTTGTTATCTGCGTTCTTATTCTTGCTACCTTAACTATCTCATATTTTCTTCTTGCTACTATTAATAGATTTATAGCTATTCCTATTCTCTTTATTTTCTTTATAACTCTAATTCCCTTAATTCTAACTCCTTGCGCCTTTTATCTTATTCAATAATCTGTTACTGTTCTTTAAATTTTTTCATTTCTCTAATAACTAGCTATTCTTAGTATTGCTTTTCACTCATCATCTTGCCATATCCCTAATCTTACGAATAGTGATAAATAGGATTTCTACCAGCATTTCTACTATAGTCCTAAGATACTCTATTTTATAGTATGCTAGGATTCTAGTTTCCATATTCTATTTAATACATCGATTTCTCTGATCCTTATACATTGTTAATAATATTACCTTAGTCAAGCTACTATAGACTTGGCTATTATGGTGGCTATTAAATTTAATTTAACACCTATGACTTAGATAAAATATATTTAAATAAGTTATTAATTAAGATATCATATTTATTAGAGATAAATTAATTATATTTAGTAAATAGATAAAAAAATAGTATGAGATCCATCTTAAATATGTTCATATTATTAAATTGATTACTGAATAAATATCAGGATTTCTCATAAGCATGTTTTGCTAGTTGATGTTTGGTGGTGAAAATATATTCGAATTATTGTTATACTATTAAGCTTTTGCTATTAGTTTTTGCTTCTCAAAATATTTAGGACGAGCTCCTTCGATATCGTCAGTTCTTAATGACATTTTTAAGTTTTATTTTATGATTCTTTATTTTTGCAAATTGTTAATAAAATACCAATAAATTATTGTATATTATTCTAAAAATATTAATTTATTATAACTTATACTTATTATTACTTTATAAGTCAAAGATATCTTTATTATTAATTAAATTTTACTTTTTGATCACTCATTCATTAGCTCATTAAAATTCTAATCAGTAAACTTTATAATATTAATCTAAATAAGAAGAAACCAAATTAAATAAATTATTTACTCTGGGTTAATTTTTAATTTTCATAGATAATTTTTAGTGGGGTTGGGGTTGGGGTTGGGGTTGGGGTTGGGGTTGGGGTTGGGGTTGGGGTTGGGGTTGGGGTTGGGGTTGGGGTTGGGGTTGGGGTTGGGGTTGGGGTTGGGGTTGGGGTTGGGGTTGGGGTTGGGGTTGGGGTTGGGGTTGGGGTTGGGGTTGGGGTTGGGGTTGGGGTTGGGGTTGGGGTTGGGGTTGGGGTTGGGGTTGGGGTTGGGGTTGGGGTTGGGGTTGGGGTTGGGGTTGGGGTTGGGGGTTGGGGTTGGGGTTGGGGTTGGGGTTGGGGTTGGGGTTGGGGTTGGGGTTGGGGTTGGGGTTGGGGTTGGGGTTGGGGTTGGGGTTGGGGTTGGGGTTGGGGTTGGGGTTGGGGTTGGGGTTGGGGTTGGGGTTGGGGTTGGGGTTGGGGTTGGGGTTGGGGTTGGGGTTGGGGTTGGGGTTGGGGTTGGGGTTGGGGTTGGGGTTGGGGTTGGGGTTGGGGTTGGGGTTGGGGTTGGGGTTGGGGTTGGGGTTGGGGTTGGGGTTGGGGTTGGGGTTGGGGTTGGGGTTGGGGTTGGGGTTGGGGTTGGGGTTGGGGTTGGGGTTGGGGTTGGGGTTGGGGTTGGGGTTGGGGTTGGGGTTGGGGTTGGGGTTGGGGTTGGGGTTGGGGTTGGGGTTGGGGTTGGGGTTGGGGTTGGGGTTGGGGTTGGGGTTGGGGTTGGGGTTGGGGTTGGGGTTGGGGTTGGGGTTGGGGTTGGGGTTGGGGTTGGGGTTGGGGTTGGGGTTGGGGTTGGGGTTGGGGTTGGGGTTGGGGTTGGGGTTGGGGTTG